TATTAAAATATTAAAATGGAAGTACTTAACAGAAATTATAAACATTGTTTTGTTTAAAGCAGTTTATGATACTACGAATAAGCTACATAGAAAATTTACGAAATTGTACTTTATTAAATGACTTGTTTATTCAACTATTTAAGACCTTTCTAATTTAATTGGCCATTTTATGGATATTGAAAGATGCTTTATAATTATTTTATGTGTTGGTTGTTGTAACACTTGAATTTAATATATAACTACAAATTAATGCCTGTTAGATAATAAAATTCTACAGAATGTTTCGAAAAAACGTTTAAAGATTTCGAGGGAGATGAGTTTTCAGGTCATTATAGAAAAAAAGTTTCTATAGACGAACGGAAATGCTTCTAAGGAAGCTAGAGAGTGATAGCTCGACCTTACATGAAATATCTCACATGAGACGTTTTTTACAGAAGATTAAATAAACACGAATCTGTAGGAATAACTATCATGCATTTTTACCAAATCAAAATTTTAAGCCTTAGATAGGTTGACCACAGTGCATCCGTTCCTCTTGGTACATAATTTTTGGTAGCACCAGAGCCAGTTACCCTGCATGTTTTTTGTAAATTTTTTTGTTTAATTAAAAAAAGTTTTCTTGTTCTGTATTTTCAAAGGACTTTAGCTTTTTTGGTAAGCATTTCTGGACATATAGATGTATTGGATTTTTTCTTTATTGGCCTAAGAAATTACCACTTGAAACATTTTAATGTTTTTTCCGGACACCTGTATATTTATTAAAGGCAATCAAATTAATCTTAATAAAATATTTGCACTGTTAGGATAATAAACACAAGGCTTGAATAAAAGATCAAAACATCATTTTACGTTGTACGTACTGTGAAGCTTATTTAGTTCTTTTTTGAACATTTTATTGCGTCGATAAATTTATTCTTGAAAATTTTATTTTTTTCAAAAATACTCCCTTTTTAACGCTGAGTGAAGCCATACTCAGTAAATTAATAAATAATTTAATAATCTAATAGAAAGAAGTGCGTTTTGTGGGGTGTTAAATTTAATAAAGGAAACTGGAACGACTAATTCAACATACTAAAATTAAATCAGTGATAAAGTGATGCCAGGTGTTGGGATTTGATTGACTGATTATTAGATTTTTTAAATTTTAGGGAGACATTTTCGGGTCAAAATTTTACTTCTTCTAATAAACTTCTCTAAAAATGTGTCAATGATTTTCAGTTATTTTTGTTTAAATTAAATTAGACATTTAATATTTTGTAAGTGGCACTGTTAGGTAAGTGCTACACTTGTTGCAAAATCTCGCAAACTTTGCTTCAAAAGCAGACATTATTATCTTATCTAAGACTAATATTGCCCCTGTTATATTACACATCAATTTTGACTCTCAAAACCAGGATTTAGTCCATGAATCATTTATGTAGAAATTTAATTGTTCTGAACAAATACGATAAATAGGCCCGGACTTTGTCACTCATAAGTCACTTTTCGTTCTTCCTATCTGTCCTAACACCCCTTAATTCTTTGATGGGGGCGATGATTGCCTTCAATTCGTCTCAAGGTCGCCCTATTCAATACCATCGAAGGCCACCGCAGGTGGCCCAAATTGTTTTTTCATGAAGTATTTTGACTAGGTCAATATGTCCTTGTTCCTGGGGGCACAGTCCCAAGTCCCCGGCCCCCTTCAATCCGGTCGATAACAACAACGCTTGCCCAGTTAATCGCTGTCAGCGCTGTCGAGCACTTGCGTGCATAGGTCGGAGTGAGAGAAAAACTATACCTACTTTGGAAAATAACAGCACAGAACAACGCATATAAAGAAGTTTATGCGTGTGTTTGTCAAAGTGTTTTAAAGAAAAAGTGATTTTTGTTTTGTGACCGCGATGGCGGAAGATATAAAAAATGTCGCCAATGCTTTCGTCGACGACGTCCTCAACGGTGTCTCAAACGAGATGAACAAGACCAAGGGTGGTGCCGACGATAAATCGAGGCAGAGGTCACTTCTTTGCGTTTTGTTTACTCCAAGTATGTGTTTTTTCTTCGCTTTGAAAAGAGAATTTTTTCGCACTAGAGTGATAATGGCTGGGTGTTCACTTTTTTACGGCTCCCACTAAATTTTTATTTCACTTTAAACGACCCAAAATGAGGCCGCAAGTATGATTCAGTCATTATCAAAACATTCATTTTGTAAATAAATGAATAGTACTTGGCTTTAATTACAGAAATTTTAAGAAAAAAGCTATTGTGGTTTTAACCTTGCAATGTTTGTGTACTTGTTATATAATTTGCGCAGGTCCAGGTATTTTTTAATTTTAGGAAATATCCTTGATTGTCTTGGATAAAAGGGATGCATTGTTGCTTTTTCAAGGTTTTGGTTCTAATTGTTGCTTCGGTTTAGGTGAATTCTGGCCATGGTCATTTCCGGACAAACTTGATTGGTTTTTATCAAATATTTTTTCGATTTTTTACCACCACGACCCACTTTATAGAAATTTTCAGTTTATTTGACTAAGCATAATTAACTTATAATGAGGAGTTTAATTTATTATCAGTTTTTAGTTTTAAAGTTTAATAGTCTATTTTACTTATTTTTGTATTTATTTTTGCATTCAGTTCGCAAAGTGATAATACAATCGTAGTTTAGTAACTTTTCCATCTAACTCTCATGGCCTAGTTGGCAAGAAACGATCCCAACTGCCATCCAAATAATTCACGAACTTTCTTCTTGCTTTTTACTGCGTTTCAAATGATTCTTCTTGATTCAGGGTCGAGGTAAAAACATCTTGAAGTTTGAACTTTAGAGATAACTGCCATTGTGATGATAGATAATTGTTTGCTTAAGATTGGTGTGAATAACCGCAGTGTTGCTTTTTGCATCCTTGCTTGTAACTATAGACGTAAATTGCGCAAAAAAACTTATAAATGATGAGTACGAGGTATTGAAATGATAAGTCGTATGTGACGCCATTTTTCGATTATTCGAAAATGTTGTCAACTAACGTACCTAATGCACTTTTCTTGCACAACTTTTTTCCAATTAACACACTAGTAGACTAATTTCTTTACTAACAATCCTTTTTTTTTTTCTTTTCAGACACTTGGTTCAACCCTGAAAGACTGAATCCTAAAGGTAAAGTCTTATTTTTAGACGATTTAATACGATAATAAGTGTATTTGTTCAGCCTTGAATTTATTTTCATATCTATTTCGGTTTTATATTTTATTAATAATGACGAATGTACGAAGTGCAGCGAAGTGTAGGTCATGCGATTTAAGTTCGATAAGTTGTCTTTGAATGTCCTTAACAATAATTAATTAATGTCGACGAGAAAAGGCGGAATTTATTTATAGCTTGTAATGGTTACTAATTATTAAGTGAACAATTGTTCGTAAAAGATAAAAATAGTATATTTTATCAATTTCACCAGTACTTAATTTTTTAATGTAGGCATACAGGATGATTCAGCTAAGACGACAAATCTAGTTATATCTAAGTTATTAATTTTTTAATTAGTGGATTCTCTAAACTCTTTCATTAAAATTGTTCTCAACTGTTCAACTTCGCGTAAATGTTAAACGAAGTCTTTAATTATGCTGTTACTGAAACTCAATAATGTTTAATCTCTAACCAAAGTATAAGTCGACCCTTAAACATAGTTTTTATGTGAAACAAAATTAATTTAACATTCAAAACATGCACTATTTTGTTTGTTTTTCACATTGATCAGTGATCACAAAGTTACAGACTTTGCAGTCTTTAATTCAGTTTTGACAAGGGTATGACATGTAAAAGTTTTTCTCAATTTACCAACTTGTCAATTCGAAATAAACCTATAATTAGTATTATTTCTAATTATTTTGTAGCACTTGTGTCTACAGTTATTCTCATGCTTATTAATTTTAGCGTTATTTTAATTTTACGTAGCTTCTCAAGGGAATCAGAAATTTGATGAATATTAATAATTCATTATTATTATTGTTGTATTTTTAAAAGGTTATTGTTCCTGATAAGTTATTTGCATTTGTGATAAATGTGTATATTTGGTTGCCTACACTTCCGGTGCAGTTTACTCTCATTTTCATCCAAATTGGATAGGGGGCGGAATCCCACATTGCGATTACCCCTAACCTAACCGAACCGCGTTTTCGAATCACGTGTCCGCGTAAAAGAGCTCGGTATCGATTTTATCCGGACGCGTGTCGTGGGCGCAGTCGCCGCACATTTCAGTTGCGTTCGTCTTGTGGGCATCTTTTATTTATTATTTATTTAGGCGCCCTGTGGTGCACGTCCGGGGGTGGCGATCGCTCGACGAAAATCCTAGCTAGTCGTCAAATTTAGCCGTTTTTGTGGGCACATTGCCAGTGCGTCGTCGTCTCGGCCGGGATTCCGCGTATTATTCGCGTTCCGACTTGGTGACCTCTTCTCCATAGGCTGCATGCTCCTTCTTTCGCCATGAGCGTCTTCGATGTGTTACGTCGTGATGAGCGTAAGTTGCGCTTTCCATAAACGATTTTTCTCTGTGTGTGGTTGAGAGAAAAGCGACGACTGGATCGGTTTTTAGCGACCGGATCGATTCAGTTTTTTTTTAGTTTTGAAAAATTTGAGAAAATCTACGACTAGTCGAGCGACGCAACAGTACGTGAGAATTTTTTCATGTAGATTTATCTGTTGCATCCAAAGTGTGTGACTAATAATTAATTTTTCAACTTGGCGCTAATTTTAGACTTGTTGCCTAACTTTATTGAACTCACGACAATTTTTTGGCGAGATTAATTCTGCTTTGTTTTATTTGATTATTTATAATCCACGTCTACGTTACTAACAAGTGAAAATCGATGGTATGCTTGAGTGTAGTAGTAATTTAATAAACGACAATGGACAGACGATCTTGGGTTTACTATTGGCGCCGTTTTCGTCGCTCATTGTCCAATCAAATATTTAACTGGTTCTTTCGTTTGTTTTACGTCATAAAATCGAATTTATTAATATATTAATTTTGAAGAATTTCCCGAGGAGTTTATTCCGTTTAAAATGTCACAGTGAATGAATGAGTATCATTTTTCATAAATCAAATCGAAAAATTAGTTTGATTTCGTTTCATCAATTGGAAATCGTTTATTACGTTTCTATGTCGCTCTTTTGGTAATAATTAGAAGCTTTCCATTCATGCTAAAAGTCCTGGGGGATTATTGTATAGGGGGAAAGCGCATGAAATGCTAATAATGGATGCAGTATTTGAAATTCAGAATATTAACTGTTTAGTCCTGTGACTTAATTCCATTCAGTAAATAAAAAGCATTTCAATGGATGCAACGAGAAAATGTTTTTTCAGCAAAAAAAAATTAATACTCTTATATATCGTAATTAAAAATGCAATCATTTCATGCAGATATATGCATAAGATAGATAAGAATAGATAACCTTTACTGTTCTTAATATCCGTTTAAAATTTTTATTTTTCATTGGAAGATAATTTTTTAAGTTAATTTTAGAGATGTTTCTAGCGGATTTGCAAATGATTTCCATCTGTGTTTATACATTTCAAATTTCGGCGATTGAAAGAATAGGTTTTTTATTTAACAATTTTATTGTTTCAATTTTTTTAATGTAACATACGCATAGTGATGGACAGTGAATTTCGTCCGCCCTTTTTCCGTGAATTCTCAAAAATTCACTGTAGTTGGTGCTTTATTGTCATGATAAATGACATTTAAATACGTTTGTAATTAAATTCCTATTCATTTTTGACTGGATTTTCAAACTGAAAATGGATTGGTTTTATACCTCAAGTAATGAAAGACAAAGCACAGGTAAAAAGTAGCAAGAAACATCGAGCATTCTGTCATCACTATAAACGTTAATCAAAATTCTTAAACAGGGTTAGAAAAACCTAAAGACTAATTTACCCTTTTTGTCTAACATGGCAATTGGGCGTACGAAATTCACTGTCCGTCACTGTACATACATATCTTAAATTTGACCCACTTTATCCTGTGGAATTTACTGCATTTGTATAAATGAAATGAACGTCTTTTTTGCTTCCACGGCACTTTTTCATCGCACCAGCTGTTAGTGTTTCCGCTAAGTATGTTTACCGCCATAAACAGCTTCCGGTTGCCCGGAAAATGATTAATTTTCAAATTTGGCCGTCATGTGATTCTCATAATCATAAAATTGCAAAGTTGCTTATTGAAAAATACACTTAGATTAGATTATGGTCTCTTAATCGTTCCGGAGGGTTTTATTGCAGTGACACGCCGACGTAATCGTCACCTCTTTCCATTTCTGCTTTTGGTCTACGTGTAGGAAAAAGACGGTGACTTTCGAAGTAGATGCGGATCTGGTTCTCCGTTGAACTCGACGCCGTGTACTTTTTTCTCTTTCACGTCGTGAAGGTGAAGTGTATCGCGAGGTGTGCTCCGGTTACTTGTGGTTTTTTGTTTGAACAATCGTAATAATGGTACGCAAAAACAAGTACCAACAATATTCCGAACCATTGCCTGAAAGAGGACCCGGTAAGCATGGCGATTTTTGCGGTTTTCGTTTTATTTTATCGCATATGGTCGCCGAGGACGGGTTATCTAACTCTAACAAAGCTGGTAGATGATTGTATGGATTCCCTTCTTTGCTATGTATTTATTTTACACTAGGGGCTTAATATTATGAGTTTTGTAGACTTAGTGTGATGGGAGGCTATTGACATTTTGTTTGTATGTGGAGAAGTAGCCACGTGGAAGCGATAATTTGCATTGTTTGTACTTTATAACCGAGAATGTTTTTATTTGCTAGTTATGTAGGTGTCTGCTCTTTGGAAAAAAATGGTGAAATTTTGAGATCCCCTTTCAGGTTTTTTTACCTGTAGAAAGTTTACGACATTCTAAATTTTTTGAGTGTTTTGTTTGTTAATTAGAGCACTTGAGTTCATCTTTTTACCGACATTGCAATAAAAGTATAGTTAAGAATTTGCATATTTGCATGTATTTCATGATTAACTAATGTGATTTTAATAGATGGAAATCATTGAAGTAAAATTTTATTTAAATGTATTATTTTATTCTTTTTATTTATAGCGTACTATATTTAGAATCATATGAGCAATTTATTATTTTAAGAGAATTTTTGCACCTATATGGAAAATAGATATGTGTAACGTAGTTAAATAGTTAATTTTTTTATTTTTTTTTTTTGGTAAAAAGCTGGTACTAACAAAAAACCTTTAAATTGGGGGGAAATTTTGAATTTGTTTTTTTAAATTAAAATCCAAGATAACTTGAATTTGAATGCATTTTTAGCTTAAATCTACTCATTCAGGGTTTTTAGATCTAAAGATCCTTGAATTGGGAGCGCCGTTGGCGCTTCAGGTCGTTTTTTGTCAATACATAAATCCCATGCGAAATTGGAGTTCTTCCAAAGAAGAACCAATAAACTAATCAGTCGTTTACAAAAGAATGTACCTAAGTAAATTAAATTTACCTAAATTCGAATCGCTCTATTGAGAGACAATTGTTTCTCGCACAAGAAAATTATGACAAATATGCGGCAAAAATAAATTGTCGGAAAAACACAAGATGCTCCGAAATGTTTCGATTCAAGCGGATGAGTTAAATTTAGGTATTTTAAAATTAGAATTTTTGCCAATGCATTCCAAGGACGCGTCGGTTGACGGTTAAATACAAAAGGGCTAATTTTTCTCTATACAAATATTGTGTTACGAGAGAAATTCAAGTCATCGCTCATCGTTAGTCCAAAACGCTCGAGTTGTTTCTGGTACGACTCTTGCATTACAGGAAACGCATGGAAAGACGATACTTTACAAACTAAAGCCGCAATATTCTCGACGACCTTCCTTCACGTCCACCTGTCCTGAATCATCCATTTCGTGACGTGTTAATCAAATTGAAAACACCACAGCATTGTTGACTATTTTTGTCCCGTTGCGTAACGTTTTGTCAAAGTCGGTTGATTTCGCACGAGTAAAAAGTCGAAAAAAGTGATTGGGAAATTGTTTAAAAATTGTTATTTTTTCAGTGGAAAGCTTGATCTATTGGCGAGACCCCAAGAAGTCGGGACCTGTCTTCGGAGGCGTTCTTTTAGTGCTTCTCGCACTCACATACTTCTCACTAATCAGTGTCGTGGCATATTTGTCACTGTTGGGCCTTACTGGAACGATTTCCTTCCGGATTTACAAAAATATCGTTCAAGCAGTACAGAAGACAGGCGATGGACACCCCTTCAAGTAAATCTCTGCTTCATTTTTTTATTTTTCCCTCATATTTTTATTTATTTTTAGAGATCTTCTGGAGTTTGACGTGTCGCTTCCGCAAGAAAAAGTCAAGGAAGTGTCAGAGGTGGCCGTGGCCCATATTAACGCTGCGGTCGTGGAGTTGAGGAGATTATTCCTTGTGGAGGATTTGGTGGATTCCATCAAGTTCGGAGTTCTGTTATGGACACTGACTTACTTAGGAGCTTGGTTTAATGGGATGACTTTGATTATTATCGGTTGGTATTTGGGTTTTTCTATTGCTTTAAATGTAATTTCATTTGTTCGTAGCTTGGGTTGCACTGTTTTCTCTTCCCAAAGTGTACGAAACAAACAAAACGCAAATTGATGCCAATTTGGAAATCGTGAGGACTAAGCTCGCCGAAATCACGTCAAAGTAAGTCGTTTTAGTTTTATAATTGAGTTTTGTAAAGTGTTTTGATAGGGTAAAGGCGGCCATCCCAATTGGCAAAAAAGCAGTAGAGGAGAAGAAGGATCAGTAATTATTTTCACCGAGGAGATAGCTGGGTCACACTTGTGTCATAAGTTATTCAAATTTAGCTATTTATGAACAATCTTATGATTTATTCCTTAAATTCCATCCTAAAATTATAAATTCATCTAAAATATATACATATTCTTTGTATATACAACCCTCTTTATTTATTGTTGTATTGTGATTCATAAATTTTATCAATGCAACTCGTTTCGATTTTTGTTGTCTTTGTGTAATAAAAACGTTTCTTAGGTTGAACGTAAGGAACTACTATTAAAAATAAATTCTATAGTTTGTTTTCGTTTTATTTCTTTTTGTGTGTTATTGGTATTGCAAGGGTGCGATTTATTATGGCTATTAATATTAGGTGATAAGATTTTCATTAGATTAAAGTGAAAGATTTTGAAATATCCTACACGTGTATAAATTTTACAATACACACATTAATTTTTTACTTACAAACATGATATTTTAGTGATTGTGTTGTCCTTTATGTGATGCTGTAGTAAGAGTGAGCACGCAATTTCTATTTGCCAAGTAAATATTATAAGCAGAAAATTAAATTATCGACTGTTACTTGAAAAATCAGTTGGAACATCCATTTAGACTGATGGTGTAAAATTTGTTTATATTTTAACACTTAAGATTTAATGTAGAACTTGTTTTTATTAATCTGTTTCTTCAGCGAAGAAGAAACGTGAGTAAAGCCGTACTAATAATGTTCAGTGTCAATGTTATGTGTAACTTTACACTCATTGAATGAGATGTTTATCATAAAAAATGATTGTATGAAGACCAAGTCATCTACGAATATCTTATAGTTATATCTAAAAATGAATTAATTATAGGCAAAAGAAAAATGTTTAATGATTGCTATTTATTTATGTTAGACATAGTTTTAATATCATTTTTATTTGTTGCTCTTGTTTCAAGTTGATGTAAGTTGAGGTGAATATGTTATTTTAGACTGTTGCATACTTTTATAATAGCTTTGTATTTGCTTTATGAGGTTATTAAATTGTTTATACGCGCTTCATTGGTGTTTTGCTATGCATTTTCACAAAAATAATCACAAATTCTGTTCATAAAAAATCCCAATACTAGGTAGGTGGGTAACTACTACTAGCCGTGGAATTTCGTTAAGAAATGCTTGCGGCCTTTATTGAATTTATCAAGTACCTACCAGGAGTTCAGGTTGGTTTTTAAAAAAATTATGTGGAACAAAAAATCGCTCATCGCAAAAAATCGTTTGTAGTCACAAAAAAATATTTGAGAAGTTTTGTTGAAATTTTGTTAAGTACCAGAGGTTTAAATTGGTTTTAAAAAAAATTGTAAATTGTTTATTGTAACAAAAAATCGTCGGCGAGCACACAAAATTGAACAAAAAAAATCCCATGTATTTTAATACACTGGCGGACACGAAATTTTGGACAATTTGTCATTCGACTGACATAAAAATGTAAAATGGACCTTAGGCAACTAACCTCACTTTCGGTTTTTGTAAGTTTTATCCTGATAACTGAAAAAAAAATGACAATAAATCAAAATAATTTATTGAACTTATATAAAAACACCCATTGCTAGCATTATTGTTTCGGAAAATCGACTCCAAAAACAAATTTCAATTAAAACTTTAGTTCAAACGCCAATCATAATGACAATAAAGCGTGGCTCACAATGTAATTTTTTGAATTGACATAAATTTGATGTCCAAAATTCCGTGTCCGCTATTGTACATGCATGTAATTTTTGAAATTTTTCCTGCAAAAAATAATCGTATTCAGGTTATCCAATCGACGTAATGGTTTAAGGAAGATTAATATTTTAAATCTTTAAGGTTGGCAATAACAAAATGTCAAATACATAAGTTTCAGCAGCTAGCCTGTCACCTGTTTGTGAAAACAAATATTTTTGCAGAAGGTGGAAATTCGTTAAGCCGCTAAATATGTGGCTAAAGACAGTTTTAAAAATGTAATAAAAGTAAATATCAAATGTATCCGTAAGAAAATCCACCGAAATTAACCAGAACTATGTTTTTAAAAGACCCTTGTGGTGTTTGTTGTATTTTAATAACTTATGTTTCCGTTTTTTACGCGGATTATGTTATAGTAAAATGGGTTGTGTTGCAATCTATGGTTAATAGGTAAATCTGGAAAATTGTAAGTGGCAATAATCCAACATCTGTTCTAGTTTATGGGGCTCTTTCAATGTGGTCATGTTTAATACTGTAATTTTGTTCCTCTGTATGGCCCACTTTCGAGCTGTTTTCACTGATCCTGGAACTCTGCCTTTATTTCCCAGTAAACTGGATTTTTCTGATTTACATTCCTCTGAATCAGGTATACAATTAGTTTTTTTGACCTTCCTAATAATCAGTTTTAGGCTGTGACTATGTTGATTGGACAGTATGCACTCGTTGTGAAATTTACAGACCACCAAGAGCCCACCATTGCCGCATTTGCCGGCGGTGTATCCGAAGAATGGACCACCATTGTCCTTGGATTAATAACTGTGTTGGGGAACGGAATCAAAAGTATTTCCTACAGTTTCTTATCTATGTTGGAATATTATCCGTTTATGCAATAGTATTGGTCAGCACTTCATGGCTATCAGAATGTAAAGACTGCAGTCAAGAAATTACAATCAAACAAGCAAGAATGTACGATTTCAATTACTTTATTTTTTAAAATCAATATGCTTTTTTCAGAATGCACTCAGTAATTTTATTACTGATAAGTACACTGTTTGGCATGTTCGTTTCTGCAATTCTTGTGGACCAAATTCAAGCCATAGTCACGGACGAAACGGCAGTTGAACAAGTGCAAAATCAAGGGCCGTATCGACCTCATAAACCAAAAATGACACTCTTAAGCGACGTTTTTGGACGAGAGCACCCTCTATTCTGGCTTATGCCTTGCTCTTCCACAAAGAGAAAACTCGATACTCCTTTAATTAATCATCATGTTTAGTTGCCTCGATTTTATAATTATTGAACTTTTCTAGTCTTAATTTAGGGTGAAACTACAATGAGCAATCTTTTACATGACTTGAGTATTATTATACCAACTTATCCTTCACTATCACTTTGGTTGGATATAATTTTATAAACGTTTTATTTTTATTAAAATATGGAAAGCAGGAAAAGGATTATGATTTATAAGCCCTGGTCACAAAGCACTGAAAGTACATACGTATATTTCAAAATAGTACTATAATTATAAAGTATTAACGATAAAATCTTGTCAAATCTTTTAGAGCATGTGTAACTGATTTTGACGTGTCTGACCTAAAACCAAGTCAATAATTTTTTTTCATTTCTAGTTTTTAACTCACCTAGTCATTGATGCATGTATATCATTCAGTTGCTGAGGAGTGGCTGACATAATTCCGCCGTTACTTTCCTTAGGTAACGTATCTAAACCATTCGCCAACCATTTTCTTGCCGCTTCTCTATCAAACTCTAACAATTCGACAAAAACATCCGCGACCTCACTCAACATATACGAATGTAAATAAAAAACACAAGCGTGAAGCAAATTAGTCACTAATTGTTGTCCGTATTCATTTAAAATACTAGTAACGAGAACTTTTCTTTGTTCGAAGTCAATTTGATTTTTCCCACACTTTCCTGTATTAATCAGATCATAGAAAAATTTCATTACCGACGTATTCGCTTCTTTGTGATCTAGAGTACAAGCCATCAAGCTACACTGTAGTATATGCACAAGAGCACCGCATTGTAAAATCGGTACTGGCGCCCTCTGCATAAACCGCGAACATAATCTGAAAAAATCATCAACGGTGTCGGGATGATTCCTCAGACCGTTTTCTTCCTGAAGAAGTTGAAATGTAGGCTCAATGAAAGCCTGCAGCATATCTAACAGGCCTTGAACGCAATTCGGATTTGTTGCATATTCATCTACTAATATACTGCCGACGTAGAGAAAACACGAATGTTTATAAGTCGCATAAATTCGGACTATTTGACTGACTAAACTTTGTAAAAGCTCACAGACTTGCTGACTCACACAACGCAACATAAAACGGACGGAACGGCAACACCGCTCCATTATTCTGAGGTCGTTTTGGTACTTGTCGAAGGTGCGCGAAAGCACGGGCCACACTTCCAAAATCACCGGCTTGCAGGGATGTGGCTGGCCTAAAAATGATAATTTAAAAAAAAAGTAAAACAATCGATGATTTTACCTTCATAGAGCCTAACGTTGACATTTCTTAGCACCGAAGACAGCCTATCCAGCCACAACACTGGATCACTCTTGGTGCCCCTAACCGGCACCACGTCCTGCTCTATAAGCTGACACAGTGGATTCAACTGCAGTGAACACAACTTCCTCATCGCATCGGTCAACTCGGCATGAGGCATACACCCCACGATCGCACCGACGCCTTTCACCAATCCTATAACCGCATTATTCGTAATCGCAAACGTATCGACTTGCTGCAACAATTGCAACAAAACTGGAACATGTCTCGGCATGTGGTCGTTGCAAGTCGCACAAATACTCTGCAACGAGATGGCAGCAGCAGCCCCAACACCGGCCTGAGGTAAACAACAGACCAAAAAATTGAGAATCGGATCGAGAGTATTCGGGTGTTTCTCGATCCATTCGCAAAGCTCGCCCAATAGCAGGACTGAAGTGTATTTAACTGCGATATGTGTGTTTTCGGGGAGGGAAAGTATAGCTTCCACTACTTTCGGAACGACTTCGTTTTCGGTCCTAAAGGTAATTTTTTAAAATTTTGAAATTGATTATGACTAGACTTACGGCAAGACATTTTTGGCGACGGCTTGCATTATGAACAAAGCGGCTTCGCTGGAATCCCACGTGACTCCTGGTGCTTGCAAATTCATAAACATCTGTCTAAAACAACTGCTACTTCCGACAATGAAAACAACGTCTTTTACTAAATCGGAAACTTTCAATCGGAAGTCTTTAAAATCGTCACCGTCTTCGAGTAAACCCTCATGGTCTGGTTCCATTTGACAATGTCTACATAACGCCGTTATTAACCTCTCTACATAAGGTCGGAATAATTCGGTCAATTCTTTACTATTCTTCTGATACAATTCCTCACTCAAAACATACCATAAATTAAAAGTTATCTCGGCAACTTCATATTCGTGATGTCCCACACAAATCAAAACTAAATCCAACACTTTAATCGCATAATGAAACGATTTGGTGCTACAACTATTGATAATCTTCTCCAAAAAAGATTCAGCTAATTCGGTAAAAATCCGACAGTAATTAATCGACTTCTCTTGATCTTCATTCGCCACCGATAAGTGATAAACAATTTCCAAATTAATCACGTTGTTGAACAAGTATGTTTCAAGGATTTGCTGATTGTTGTTGTCCTCTAGGCATTGCAATAACGTGCAAATGCAATCAGAAGCGGCGTCGTGTAACGACCCGGCGACACTTTGAGGTTTGTCACCTTCAGGCTTGTAGTTTAGAACCGAGAAAGCACGCGAAACTACCACATTGTCGGCAATTTCATTCAGAGTGATTGCGCCGACTGACACCCAGGAAGTTAAACAACGTAGGATTTTTACGTTGATTTGGACGTTTTCTTGCCAATTGCCGCCAAATGTGTTCGAACAGTGGGTGAGGAATTCGTTGACGGTGGCCGCGCACGATTTCAAGTCTTCAAGCATCACGACGCGCCGGTTTTCACCCAACCTACGCAAAAAGGCATCAAATCAAAACTATCTTCAAATTCAAACATAAAAACAGCGAATAATTTATATTATACCACTTTTTTACCAACATACACACTTACCTAACGGAACGGCTTTCCAGTTCCTCGGGCAAAACCGTCAAAATTTCCAGCAGTGGCCACATACTAGTCGTTGAAAACCTATTGATCAGGTCTAAAGCCGCCTGCTGCCATGTGGGCATCTGAAGAATCAGATCAGCCAAAGCTAAGCACAATTGAGTCACAATAACAGTGTTAGTGTCCTCATTAATTTGACTTATATGTTCCAAGAGCGAATTTCGCAGAGATTCATGGGCTTCCGTTGGTAATTCGTGAAAAGAGTGATGAATTTTAGTTCTCATTGTTTGTGCCCCAAAATAACATGATTCCAGATCACGTTTGTGGTGGAGTAATTCGTCTGCGATTGTCCATGCGTGGACCTAAATATTGCAATTTTGAAACTTGGAAGAGTGAAAATTGGGAAACTTACGGATTTTTGGAGTTCCCCGAGCCATTGCGAGGCTCTTTCCTTTTCAGTTGTGTTTGGGTTGTTGTATAGAGCGGACACGGCCGCGTATACTAAGTTCAAACTTGGTTTTGAATCCATTATTAAATGCAAATTGGTTCAATATCACATCATTAATGAGCAAAATTATAAAAATACATTATTTGTACATTCGTAAACTGTCCGCAAATGTCAAAAACAGTAATAAAATTGAATAACGAGAAAATGGATGTCACTAGATAGCCATGATTGCCAACCTAGCTTTTGCACTACGGCGGCAACTAACAATACACATTCAAACCCAATTTATTTAAAAATAAAAGTAATAATTTGAAAATAATATCGTCTAACAAATTAGTGAACATAAAACAGTTTAAACGTTAAAAACAATATTAAAAATAAACAACACAAAAATACACGTTCACTTTTTTATCTTTAAAAACTGCACGAATTTGAATTTTGAAAATACTCCTCCGAACTTAAAAAAACAAGCTTTGGGCCTGTTGTGTATTTGTAATTTGACGTTAAATTCTGTCAAACTTTCACAAAAACGTCAAAAATTCATTGTTAGTCTAATCAAAAACATTCTTTAATAAAAATAAGAAAACTCCCTAATGGAAAGTGTTGAAGTGTTTTTTATCGTCGAATTTCACTTCTATTCAAACTAAGACAACGTCAAGCATGTCATTTGATGGTGTAGGTCCTGAAATGGTTCACGTTGCTGTCAACACGGACCCTCTCCAAATGCTGCTCCAAGAAGAATCTACAAAAACCGTACAAAAATGCACTTTTTAATCATGAAAACTAAACGTTATTTAGCAGCACTATGGTCTCAAAGTACGCAACATTCCACACATCAAAATCTCTGAAATGAATGAACTGAAAGTCTGGTACGAGTTTGGAGAAAAAATTGGTGAAGGAGGATTTGGCATAGTGATGGCAGTTAAAGAAAAAAGTAACAATAAAGAATGGGCAATGAAACTTATTTCAAAGTCAACAGTAAGCACATTGTACAAAAAATCACTCTTTAATTGTTTCCTTAAGGCCGGTGATAATATAAGAATGGTGGAGCAAGAAATCCAAATCTTGAAATTAATCCATCACCCCCATATCATATACCTTGATAAGATTTTCGAATCGCCAAAAAAAATGTATTTGGTGTTCGAGAGGTGTCATGTGGATTTTGCAAAAATCTACAATGAACGCAAACCCTTTGCTGAAAAAATAGCAAGAAAAATCATTTCAGAGTTGGTAGATGCTGTGGCGTATTTGCATAAATATGGTAACTCGGTAACTGCTCTATTTTTAAATCACAAATTCAAGGTTTATAGAAATCGTTCATAGAGACTTGAAAATGGAAAATATCTTGCTTGGGGAAAATCCTCTTGACCCGACTGACGAGTACTACATAAAATTGACCGATTTCGGATTGAGCAGTATCGTCAAATCCGGGAAAGGGATCGAGAGCATGCTGCACGAATTTTGCGGAACTATCTATTACATGGGTAATTAAAAAATACTCATTGATTTGTTTGTTAAAGAAATTATTTCAAGCGCCTGAAATGATTACCTTCAGGTCCTACAGCCAAATGTGTGATATGTGGTCGGTGGGTGTAATTCTCTACATGTTAGTCATTGGCAAATATCCATTCTATGGCAAAAACGATAAAGAAATACAAATCAAAATTTGCACACAATCGCCAAAATTCGATACAAAACTGTCGCAAGAGCTCGAAGATTTGATTTTATTGTTGCTGGTCAAAGATCCAGTCAAACGCATAAGAGCAACTGAGGTTTTACAACATCCGTGGATTTCAAGCAAAAAAATGTCGAAAGCAATGTATTCTTATAATATCATGGATAAAATGAAAGAGTGGAAGTCGGAAATGACGGTAATAACTGCTTGCCACTGGCTGATTAACTTATGTTTCAAACAGGTGGAAACAGGTGCGGTTTCTGATTGGGTCATGACGCCTGATGAAGCTATTGAAGCCAACCGGTCGCAAACTAAACAGGCGATGAACCTACCGAAAACTAACATCAACTTTGATAGGTTAATATCAGTTAGTTGTGGTTAATGATTACCTTCTGTTATCAGGGCGAGTAGAAGGATGAGTAACCCCAAGAAAATTAGTCCAAAGGAGCAGCTTCTGAAACCATCACCGAAACCAACGATGAAAGGGCAATCGAGCAAAAAGCGGGTGAATTAAAATAGGAGTCGCAGAAGTAACGACTAGTTATTGTGTAATAATGTTCTTTTACAAGTAATTTACAGTAACACTGAGTTTATTATAGGTAATTGTGTACCCTATAAAGTTTACATTATATTACTCTGAATTTGGATTTGGTATTTGATCGGGTCGTATAAAAAAACTCTATTTAATAAAACAAACTGGTATGAAACAATTTGTATCCATCGTTTATAGGTCACTCAAAAGTCATACAACACTGTTACAAATCAATTTCTACAGATCATTTTTTATTAGGTAGACAAACATTTTTTCTGTAGTAAAAATATAATATAGAAGAGAAGTGCGATCACCCGGTTGTCACAAACAAATTAGTTGGAATGAGTTCAGCCAAATCTTTCAGGTCAATTACTCGGAGAACTCATCCTGAAAACTTTTGTCAAGTTATGGTAATAAAATAATTTTACAAAATTATAAAAATGAAAATGCGACGCTAGTGAAAATTGTAACGGATTGAATGGTTCGTCGTAACTTGACAAAAGTGAAGGTACGAGTTGGCCGTGTAATTTACAACGAGAATTTGGCAGTGTACAAGAGGCGACGACTAGCACCGCATTAAACCGTATTTTTTAATTAAATACATTCATAAAAAAAGAAATAAAAACTATGTATCATCGTACATATAGTAAAACACACGGATTTAAAAACATATTTCGACTAAGTTCTATGTTAGCCTACAAGTTAACACCTTATTGCCCTTCTGCGCTCGACAGACTGGTACAACCATTACACAATAACGGTCGTTCCCAAATAGAAATACATTTTTTGAAGGCTTTCGTAACGAAAGCCGCGGGTTCAGCGACATCTTCAAAAAACATTTTCAAAAAACATTTTTTGTACAAGTATTTAATTAATCAATAAAAAAAAGACACTGTATTCAGAGACAAACTTAATCTAAAATTTATACCTAGCTTTACATAAATTGGACAATTTTTTTACAAATTGAAGGGGATACGTAGTAATAAGTTAGAAGAGTCAGGTACCGCGGATTACACGCAGTTCACACACGGTCACTGAACAGTTCTTGCTCAAGCAAAGGTCGCGAGGTAGCCTGTGGCCGAATGTAGAAGATCCTGCTTCTATGGTGGCTGCTACAAACATTGACATTCTTAACATTGGTTCACGGTGAGATTGTATGGCTAGCATGAAACGCACTTTATTTAAAACTGATTTATTTTTTTTAAACTTAAAAATTAGTTTGGCCACAAAGTAGCTCGAGACTTTGCGCTGAGGAGTCCGTCACAAGTCGCACAGTGGGTTGTCGACCACCTGCTCCATTATGCGTCGTCTTCCTCTTCGTCTACCCCTTCCTCACCCTCTACATCCTCCTCGTCATCATCTAAACAAAGCACACATTAACAATCACCATAAAATTTTACGACCTCAAACTACCATCGCCTTCGAGCTCCTCGTCGTCACCTTCGGGAAGTTCTTCTTCGTCATCGTCTTCCTCTCCTTCAACACCCTCTTCCTCTTCTTCATCCAACTCTTCGCCCTCAGAGCCCGCGCCGTTCTCTTCTTTTCGCGCCTTTTTTACTTCTTCCGTTTTTTCCTAATAAAACAATTGTTTTTCTTAAAATATTATCTACTTTTTTTTACGTTTACGAAATAAGCGTTTGATAATTAAAAGCAAGTGGCGAAATAAATTTACTTGACAAAAATCTCATACATGGCACAATGGGCTCGAATGAGAGGCCTCAGTGCCGGAGGGACTTGCAGTCCTTCACTCTCCACATTCAATCCAGAATCTCATACATGCTCCAATAATACAAATAATAAAATACCATTAATTTTTGTATAGTATCAGAAAGTATCAGATCGCATTACGCACGGAATTAACGACCCAATTAAAATTTAATATACAGTTAGTTCCTTAACATATTCTAGCAGTTATAGCCAACAATTAAAAAATGTAGTTTTCTGAAAAGACGTACAATTTTTATAATTCTTCAACGTTTTACAGTAAGGAAGAATTTTTAGAGCATCAACGTAGCGCTACTGTAAACAAATTCGTTGTTTCAGATAAGGTTAGTTTAGTAAATAAATTATGAAAACTTGTACAAATTATGCTTTTTATTAACAAGTAGAGGAATACGTGTTGAGGAATACAAACTAAAAATATATTTTTTGATTTGACACACTTGCGATTCAAAATAAGAATCAAAGAGGAGTTAAAATATGCAACAAGCGGTCGTGTATTGAAAAATAACAATGCTAAAAGGTGCATTTTATGTGATGTAGTGTTTTGTATGTAATATTACTTCCATATTCCGAGTAGAGTAAGTCATTATCGCTTAAAACAATAAACAAAAACAACTGCTTTTTAAATTAATTAATTCCTTAAAATCTCCATTTGTACCTACAATTCAGAGTAGCATTTACTTAAATTTTTACTAATTATGGGAGATACCAACTACTGTTTAAAAAAGCGGTAAATAACAATTTCTAGATAGAAAGTATATTTCTACTGTGTTGCAAGGTTAAATATAATAAAGATGACATATTCTTGATAATTATAATAAAATATAAAAAATCTAATATTTGTAAACAATTTATGTCAAGTAAATTTAGAATATTTCTGTACAAAACACTCAACATTCGATAATCTCGTTTGATAAGAAAAACAACTAATACACTAATACAACACAAAAATAAATTCAAATGCGCCAAGGACAAAGGCGGGAAAATTTTATCCAACATCGAGAACTAAAATACGTCAGATCCGAAAATCGCCAAGTGGTCTACGGAAAGCATGACTACACTGATTTAATGCGGAAAACGAAAATAAATAAAGAAAAATGCCTAAAAAAAGTTTTTTTATTCATAAATTGTGATCCATGATGGATCTTACTCTTTTCCACTCGTTAGCGAAGCATCAAAAATGTCCAACTGTTTATTCAACGCAAGAGCTTTAAAATTTGATTTAAAAGCGCGCGTTCTTTAAAAAACTGGACCAAAGTGGTCAATCTCCGGGTTATCGTTAAATTCGCGTCGAAATTTCAATCAGCACTCGGAAATCTTTCTAGAATACGATGTTATTAAAATATTAGTTGGCATCTAGCCTCGCTCGGGGACGCCTTCAAGTTACTATTGATTTCGCCATATTGAATCGAGCGAGCGATGCTAGCCTCAAACCGGGGTCTGTTGTATATGGCGGGATGCTTTCCAAGCGTGTTTATAACACATGCGGTAATGAAAAACAGTTGAAAATTCCATGGCAACATCAAATTCAGCATCGGGATGTCGTCCACCGCTTGCAAAGCTCATTTCGCGCACACGGCCAACTGGGAAAAATGCACCGTTCACATGGTAACCATCTCTCGAAAACCGAGAAAATCGCCGGAGCGAAGTGTGAAAACGACCGGAACCGGCCCGCCGGAGTTTCCAATCGCGCTCCGGAGAGCTTTCCACGCGAAAATCACAACCACAACATCCAATCGCCATGTGACCTTATCGCAAAGCAACGTAAATACAAGAAACAGTTGAACTTACCTCCGCCGCTCGCTTCGTGCCTTTTAACTCACATTTCGCGTCGCCCGCACTTTTGTCGTTGTCGATTTTTTCGACAGCAACTTCGTTATTTTCTTTCGAACTCATTTTGTTTATATTTTTGGCGTAGGTTTTACTCTTTCCCGAAAAGTTGCGTACACCAACGTTGAACACTACTGACCGGCTACTCGTTAGCTTTGTTCAAAAATTAAGATGGCGCCGCTCAAACCGATCAGCTACGGACTTCTACGAATGACCGGCTTTCGACACGCAAAACCATTTATATTTACGACCGACCAAAACAGTTTTGACAACATTTTTCACGATTTTTTAGCGGTTCAAAAGTACAATTCTTGCGATAGATTGAAAGAAAATAATTACAAGATCTTTGCAATTGAGGGTTCCGAGAGTACGGATTGAATTTTACAAACTGCACCGAGATTAAAGATGTGATTTAGGTATGCCACCGCTAGGAGCGTTGTTTGAAAAATTTCCCTCCAGAATCTCACTCCAAAGAGAAAATTCAACCAAAACGATTATTAATTTTGACTTTATTACTCATTATTCAGAAATACAGCAAGTATCAGTTTTTATCAGACTTTTAATTTTATTACAAAAAAAGTCAATGTGCATATTCATTAAAACAGTATATAAATATTTATGAAAATGTAATTTAACCTAAAGCGGAAATATTTAGAACAACTTTATTTTTAATTAATTAACACGCCTTTCCTTTTGAAAATACTTATTTGTTTTGGGAACTTTTTGCAATATTTATTTGAATTGCACTTTCGCTTTGAAGTCACATTTTAAGTTCGCTGACTCCGTATGCAAGATTTCGATGATAGACAAACAGAAAATAGCCAAAATAAGCATTTATGTATATAATCATAAATTATGTATTAAATAGTCTTTTTTTTTTCATTAAAAAAAATGTAACGACACTGACTTATTGCTAATAAAATTACATCGCCAGACAAAACAACAAAATTTTAGCTTTTTGAGAATTCACTGCGAAGCAGGCTTTAACGTAAAATTTGACTTTTCAAAATCTCGAAAAAGTCAAAATGCCAACTACTAAGGGCCGTTTCACATTTAATGACCTTGCTGTCTCATTTTTTTGTCCGGTACAGTACGTCTGTGTATAATTTTAGTTATAATCAAATACTGTTCTATTCAAACACAAATGCTTTATTTAAGGTGTTGTTCTCATTTAAAATTTACCGCCATCAAAAAATCAGCGCATGCTCGTTTCGGTGACACATTTCTATCTCTCTCTTTTGTTTGCAATAAAAGGAAAACCGAAGATGGTAAGCAAGTTTTCATAAAATATCTTTAAAAATAACAGTAATCGGCTATTAAATTGCCGATAAGTAAATCGACAGGTATATTTCCAACCTGTAGGAGTGTATATTTTCAGCTATTTTACCGTTTTTGGCCGTTTCCCCAATTTTAAGGTTATGTCATTGTTTTCAGGTTAACGTTCCAAAGCAGAGGCGCACTTTCTGCAAGAAATGCAAAGTGCACAAGTTACATAAAGTAACTCAATACAAAAAATCCAAGGAACGTCATGCCTCTCAAGGTAGAAGACGTTACGATAGGAAACAGCAGGGTTTTGGTGGACAAACTAAGCCTATCTTCAGAAAGAAGGTACCTACTTCTTACCTACCTTTTATTCTTGTGAGGCTAATGTATTTGTTTGTAGGCTAAAACCACCAAGAAAATTGTGCTAAGGATGGAATGCACGGAATGTAAATATAGAAAACAGATTCCCTTGAAACGTTGCAAGCACTTTGAATTGGGTGGTGACAAGAAACGCAAGGGACAAATGATTCAGTTCTAATTGTTTGACTAAATAAACACATTTTTTAAAAATTGCATAACGTGCTTTATTTATCCTTGAAAAACGTAACAATCTTTTAATTTACAGAGGAACTATCTTGAGTTTGAGTTGGTTTTGAACTGGAAAAATGATAGTGTGAACGTGAACTTTGGCACAATAATTTTACTTACTCTAATATGCTAGGGTCAATTCCCTCGGATTGCATTTTTAATTTAACAGCAGCTGGTGGAACACCAAATTGCAACATTTTGAAAAATCGTTGATATCGTGGGTCTGATGTAAGATCAGGCTCAACAATTTTCTCACTTTGTTCCTCCTCATCTTTAACAGGAGGAAGATTCAGATCTTCATTTGAATCATTTTCTTTAACTGAATCCTGAGTTGCATTTTCTTCTAAATGAGCTATTGAACCTAACTAAGAATAACCGATTCACTTTCGCGTAAAATAATGGGCCAATTTTAAGGCATTGTTCAATACTTACTTGCGATTCAAGTATAAGTAAAGAAGCTTCAACTTCTTGAAGTTTATATTCAAATTCCATCAAACGCGATTCACATGATTGTGCAAAATGGTTTAAAAATGACACAGTATTCATTACAAAGTGATTTATAAAAGCAATCGTACGCTTTTGTTGTATGGGTAAAATCTATGTGGAGAAGTTAAAAAAAAAACTTCATTCTTTTTGCTCAAATGGACTGTATTTTTCAAAGACTTACCTGTGTGTAATCCACATTTGGATCTATTGATGTTGTTAGGTCGTTCACTTGCATTATTTACATGTGAGTGAAAAACACTCAAAAATTAAGGGAAATCAAGGCATTAGCACAGGATTTATTGGAATTAATTGGCTCCAAGGGGACACAAAAACCTCTGAGAATCTTCGATTCATGTATTATGACAGCTCAAACCTGTCAAGAATGACATTTGAGGTTACATTTGAATGAAAAAGTCGTTTAAACGTAATTATTTACATAAAAAAACATAAACAGAGACAATAAGCGTATTAAGGAAACTTTATTGAAATCATCAGTTTTACGGATGACATGAAACAAGTACTGAAAACAAGGGACTTTGCACTTGACCTTGTATGACCTTTGGGAATTGCATTCCACAAGGAAGTGCGTCTTATTTGCATTACAAAAATAGACTCGATATAACAAATTTATTATATGTAGATTTATAAAATAACATTGCTTTTTGCAAAATATAAAAACACATTTGGACAATTTTTGTAACAATCACAGTATAAATAAATTTTCTATAAAATAAACTAAACTATAAATCTAACAGTTTTATAAGACAACTAACATGGAATGCAGAATGGTAAATAGCCCTAATCCACAAAAGTCGGTCACTTGTTATACCCTGAAGTGTACAACAAAAATATTTCTTTTCCAATACATAGTACTGTTGTATTTAATGTCAAATATTGAACTCGGTTTTACATTACTTAAACCTTAAGTAATCAATTTGTCTCACAACAAATGTTTATGAAACATTCAAATTTTTGCACCATTGAAGCATCAGACTTCTACTGTGGAGCACCCTTATAAATATCACTTGCTTGGCAAATATTGTCTAAAGCGCTGTTGGCCAATCGTGTTAAACTATCAGTCATATTTTGATCCTGTCGTCCTTCACTATCATCCATTAATGATAAATTATGGGTGAAAGTCTCGGACAAATTATTCGTCTCGAGCATACTTAAATCGCCCGAATTTAAGTCAATTGGTTTCAACTCCAACTGTTGACTGTCCAAATTTAAGAAACTACTTATACCACTAGGCGTTTCAGTTAAATTAACACCACTGAGATCATTTTGTGCGGAAACATTCCAATTCATGTTTAAAACATCTCCCACTGAAGTGGACGGCATATTCCAATTCATCATGCCTCCAATAGGGGGGAGGACATTCTGGGGGATCAAAGGACATTCTCCTAGCGGGGGCGTGGGGGCCACGTAATGGGGCGACACGTTCTGGACGGAGGCCTCAAACATTTGGCCGCCGTATGGAGACGGCGCCTTATCTACATAAGAAATTCGGTTAAACAGGAAAAAAAATGAAAAACTGTTTACCTCTGGGCTCGACTTTGATGCCTTCTGATGGGATGTTAAGCAAGAAAGGTTGGTGCGTCCCTAGAAAAAATCTATGTAGAAAATCCGAAAATTTTACAAGATTCAAGTCACAACGCTTCAAATTGTTAGTTAAGTAAGCTAGTAATTGAAATAATTAATTAATAATAATTAAGCTAAACCAACAAATAAAACAATTTATAAGTAAAAAATCATGCAAAACACACTGAAGTACCTTTATTCCTGTGAGAGTATTGGCTGCAACTTATGATGCAATGAAAAACTGTTTACTTGTAAAAAACTTTAATACTTTAGCTGATATAAAGATATAAAGCCTCTAAAAAACTCTAACAAATCTACCTTTAAACTTTCCAAACAAGTGAACATCAACACACATAAAATTGTATAACTTTGTAGTGTAATAATCCCAATAACCAATAAAATAACAGTAACTAAATAACTATGACTAGTAAAAACATTTCAATAAACAAGTTTCGTGTGTAAAAAGTAAAACAATCGAATCGGATTACTTAGTGACTGAAATTTTCAGCCAATCAGTAACCACCCTACAGTTACAAATCTAAATTTGAGCAAAATGACCCCATCACCAAGAAATACAAATAGAAACTTACTTTGTTTGTCACTTTCCTCAACATGTCTTAACAATTGGCTTGGGTCATGATACTTTTGCCTCTTTCGTTTAAGCATACCCGGCTCTAAAAACACATCAGATAAATAAAAAAATCATTACAGAATCGTTTAAATCAATCATGCAACAAAGAAAAACCAAAAACAAATCACGTTTTCGACGTTAATCTCGCCAACATTTCACTATTCGTCAAGATTTTCCCTCCTTCTACTGGCGCGTAATAACACGACATTTCGTCGAATTCGCTCTGGGTGGCGTGAGGGGCCATCGCAGTGTACAGAGCGTAATGTTCAGCCTCAGTCAGGTCTAAATTAAGAGTTAAATCCATGTCTTGCACACCATTGTCCTGATTCAAATTATTTAGACTCGACGGAGGGCTGTCTTTTAGTGGAATTCGTATACTGGTCGCCGAATTCGTCGAAATATTTCCGGCGCTTTGCCCCAATAAACCCGTACGGACTGACGGAGACAAACTAGTCTCACGTGAAGTCCCCGGAGTTTTGCTTTTCCGACCAAACAATTTCGAAAACAGCCCCTTTTTTTTAGGATTAGGTAACGTGGAGCATGGAGTCGGGGGCAATTTCGCCGGGAGTGTTATGTCTTGTGATTTAGGACGAGTCAAATTAAATGAATGTGAGCGACTGACCGCGGCTTTTGGAATCTCATTTATGCTTTGCATTGAGTTCCCTATGAAAGTTTCGATTTTTTTAGTGCGTTTGGGTGGTAGGGGTGGTTTTTCGGCCTCGCTCTCGCGTTTGTTACGAGCGGTTATGTCTATGATAGGACTTGGAGGGTCAACTATTTCAATCTCGGGTTCGTTCTCGGTGATTTCGATCGGGTTTTTGAACGCTAATTGCAAACTTGAGTAAGTTTTGCCGTCGTCAAATGACTCATTTCGGGGGAAGTCCTCAAGCCGAGGCTTTTCTACATCGCTCAAAGCCTCGTTGAGAAGGCGGGCTTGTGTTTCAGAATAAATCTCGTCAAGTTCTGCCACTTGATTGATCAATTCATTGAAAGATTTCTCTTCGGTGTTTTTCGGTTTTTCAATTTTCGAGTAGTCGTTGTTGTTGGTTTCAATGACCTCTTTTTCGTCTAGATTTTTTGTTTCTGTGACATTTTTTTCGGGCTCTGGTTGGTGCTTAGAGATTAATTTCGCATCACTTGCAAGAAGTGTACTAAATAGGTTGTAGTTTCCTTTTTTCGAGTAATTTTTCCTAAGTGACCAATACAAAGGCCTACCTGAATCTAAAGGTAATAATTCGAATGGAAGAGCTTCACTAGTGGCTCCGTCTGAGGGTCTTCTCAATTGGATAAAAACCTTGACAGGTTCTGTGATGTCCAAAGTGTGATATCGGGGGGCTTTGAAACAAATGGCGGTTTGTTTGTGGACTTGAGAGGGTTGAAAGTCACCAAAGCCTTCCCATACCACTTTTCCGTTTATCTCCTCAAAAAATCGAACCTGGATGTCTTCTTTAGCAACCTAAAATTCTAATAATAAAACAACGAATTGCCAAAATACAAAACAAACTTTTTCACAAAGTAAAATAATTTCGTTTCTTCCTCCATCAACATAACTGTTACAATGAGACAACTTAACTATCATAAGATCCGACATGGCTTTCTTATCATAAATAGGTTCACTAACAACCGGTGTTAGTGGTACTGTGAATTTTCCTCGTCTTTCACCCTCTAGGAAAACTTGAAAACAGAGTCTAACCGCGTTCAAATCGATCGAAGTCGGTTGATTTCGATGACTAAAACCAGCTAAAAATCGCAAAATGAATAATTTATTATTTCCGCACAATCGCTTACTCATAAACGGATCGACTTTGATTTCCTCTCTCAGCCTCAACGCACTTTCTATGTCCTTCTTCTTCACGCATTGTATCCCCAAATTCGAGAACGTCACACACATGGTATCCGAATTGATCTCCATGGTACAAACCCCTTTTTTGCACCCTTCCCGTCCAACTAAGTTATGAGGATGTGGTCTATAAGGCTCGTCTTTGGTGACACACGAAACGACAACCACGGCCCTTCCTTGATACCCCACAACTTGAATGGAGGGAAAAGTTTTATTTTCCGGGGTACTGGAAGCTCCCGGAATGGAACCGGCAGAACGTCCTTCGCACTCATAGCGAAATCGCAACGCTTTTGACGCCGGTTGTTCGATAATCTTGACGTAGGCTCTTCGGCGGCTTTGCTGGGGTTGTTGCTGGATTATATTTTGAGGGATTTCCCCGCCACCGTTAAACATCGTGGACTCTTTGAAGTCCGGATCAGTCTCAATAACCTCAACTAAAAAAAAATTAAGACGGGCCGATTTGATTTGATTTTTTACTTACTGACATCACTTATATTGATGCTTTCATCCCGCATCCCGGCATTTTCGATTGCTTGCTCTAATGATAAAAGGTTTATTAATACACAGGTATGATTAAATAATGAATCATTTCGAACTGCATTCGGATGTTTGTAATGTTGTAATCTTAATGCTGGAGATTATGAGAGAACAAAAACACCAACTAAATACTACTACATGGTGCAAGCGAACGTTATTTGCTAAAGTTGACAAGTGTCCAAAATCTTGTTAAGTTTTCAACCAACTGTATTAGTAGCAACACCAACCAATTAAAATCATGCTAAATTGTGTCAACAATTAATAATAGCCTAAAAAAAGAATTAGGGAAGAAAGAAAATTCTGTGTTTGAACTGAAGTCAAAACGAGTTCTCTTATTTAGAAAAACTTATTAATTACGGACAACATATTGTTTGTTCTTCTAAATTACAGGATAGGAAAAAAATATTGATGTTCAAGTAATAAGCGAGTTTATTACTTGATTACTGGTATGTTGCAAAACCTTGTTTAATTGGTTTCTATACACGAAATAAAAAATGTTTTTCTTCTTCAAACTTATCTAGGTAAGTAAAAACTTTAAAATTTATGGAATAGAATTAAGCGTAATTTCAAACATATTAAGATTCAAACAAAAATTCAAGGTTACTAAATTCAAAAAAAAATTATACATCAATTAAATTTTTGATCAAAGCATGCTGCAGTTATGGAATTTATTAGGTTGGCAACATTGAATACAGTAGACAGACGATTCCTTTCTGTTATTCAATATTGCCAACTTTAGAATCACAAGGCATCCTAATTATTCAGGCTGCATTACATTTTTACTCTTGATTCAGTAATAACTTTTTTAAATACATATTGAACAAGTATACAGGTGATTAAAAATGACTGGAGCATAATTAAAGTTCCGATTGTGCAATTGAAATTAATTAAATACAAAACAAGCTAACCTAAAGCAATTTGTTTAATTTCGTCCCTGGATCATCTTTATAATAATAAGCTATAATCTGTTATGTGTTAAACATCTGTCAAGCAAAACCAAACCAGTCGAAAAAGAAAATGTTTTTAATTTCGTTGCCAACTCAAACATCTTGATCACTCGGTATAATCAGAAAATTGAAACAACTGTGTCAAACAGACCACTATGTATGTGAACACCTTCTCTGCGTGTGACTGTATTATTAATTTGACAGAAATAAAACTGAGCTTGTTTTGTTTTGATTTTGTGACAGATAAAAGCTGGAGTAGCATTTAAAATTAAATTTAAACCACAGATGTGAGGTAGAACTACCTTAAATACATATCACACAAAAGAAAACCCAAATTGAGTGAACACAATAACATTTGTGGTTCGGTTAGTTTAATTTTTTTTTTATTTAATAAAAAAGTTCAACACAGATTTCGGTTTTTAAAACTTTCTATAGTAATTCTTAATAAATCGAAAACAAAAAATGGAAAAGTGAGAATTTATGCTAATATTTTATTAGTTATGTATCTAATAAAGTAATAAACTGTCAACTATCTAATTTTGTTTTGTAAAAGAAAATTATTCTAATAAAACATTTAAAAATGCTCTTAAAAATCACAGAAAAACGTACTTAATCTACATTATGTGAACATAATCTAGAAGTTCGAAAAAATCCTCAATTTGTGTTTTATAATTTATCCTTTTCATTAAAAATTACCTCTCATATTTTTTTTTCTACTACTGAATTTGTGAAAACACTAAAAAAAGAAAAAACGTAGAATTTGTCAGTTTTAAGATAATTTGTGTTGCATAACAGCATAAGAAATATATTTTTTCTATTTCGGTGTTAGAATAAGTCTATTCCAGCACCCAAATGACGTCATTTGAGTGCTGGAATAAGTCGTTGGCGTTAATTTAATTTTAGTGACGGACTTTCTTTACAATTCATTCTCAAATGTGAAAATATGAATTATTTTTATTTTGTACAGCCGCCTAAAATTATTCCACATACCTAAATGTCGCCAACCGTTGCAAAATTCTGTAGAAAAAAAAAAAAAAATTTCGTTTTTTAATTTATAAAAAATGATATAAAGCGGCAAAATAGAAAAAATAGTATAAAGCACTTATTGTAGAAGGTTCTTCAAGCACTCACTTGTTCCTCAACTCGCCGCTACGCGGCTCGTTTCGGAATTTCAAATTTGTGCTTGAATAGATACCTTCTGCAACTTGTACTTTAATATACTATTTATTAATTTTTATGTGACATTTTCTTTAAATGCGTCAGTCATTACAAATGCAAGCTTTCTAAAGCGAATTGCCCAAATTCTCATAATTACCATTGACGTCACAAGTAGATTTTTCTACTTTTCCAATCGAATTAACAAATGACATAATTACAATCCTATCAATCAAAACCACCCACTAAATCTTGTAGAAATTTTTTGTAGACAAAAACATAAACTTTCCTCATTCTAGTCAAAACATTTCGACTAAATTAAATCGATAACAAACTACTTCCTGTACACAACTGCGATTTTTACTTTTTAAAAAATTTGGAAAATGTGTGGCACCCAAATGATATTGGCAACACTTTCCCTCCTACATGAGGAATTCGAGCTCACTATTAATGAAAAATGACACACAACATTGGATTGTGATTTAGAAAACACAACTAACTTAAGAATGGGACGACGACCCTCACTTTGTAATAAAAAATAACACAAAACTTATCATTAACAAGATAAAAGTACGCGGAAATCCGTAATCTCCAATTTTGAATTTAAACTGTTGGCAATACTGATGTACTACTTTTTATCTTCAATAAATCTTGACATGTAATTGTTGTCAGTACCTTAGACTTAACAAATTTATAACTTATTTGTTTATTTAAATATGATGAACGGTTTTAATATTAGCAAATATCCAGCTGATATGAGTAATTTTTTGCCTAAAAATAACGGTCTAGTTCAAATCGCGCTAGCAATGGAACCTTCCTGTCAAAAAGTTGTTTCCAATGTCGTCTCGATTGTGCGGTTCCAAACAACAATTTTGTAAATTACTTATTAATTGAGTATTTATGACAAACTTGGAATAAAACAACGTAAATTCTACTCGTTAGAGCATAAATCGGAACTTTCTCCAATCGTGTCGGTAAGAGAGATAGCATTGAAGCGCTTTTAGCAACAAGTCTAGCATGCGTCGCAAACAACCAACAACACAAATTCGAAAAAAAGAAACAATATTGTTATTACACACCTAAATGGTTCTCGTCCATCACGACTATTTATATTTGTAACGCTGACGGTTCTCTCGTTACAGATCCTTGACAAAAAAAGATGACAATTTTACTCGAATGAATGGCGAATGAAATGTAACCAAATCCACGAAAAAACAGAACCACGAACTCCAACAAACTCACCTCATGCATAATAGTGATCACTCAGAATGAAATTCTTCCAAAAGTTTCAAGGTCATCACTGGAAACAAACACCACTCCACGTGCGTTTTTGTTATTGAGAAGCCAACTAGAGACACTAATGTGTAGTAACTTGTAACTGGGGAGTGATCACACAGCCACCACACCTCGCAACAAATGAGATCAAAATGAAGTCCGAAAAGACTTATTTTAAGAAGCGATGAGCATAGAGTAATTCGCGGAACGACCAGCGCCGACACTAACGCTGATTGGACGATGCACACGTGACCACGAACTGGACGTCATTGGAGACACCGCGCAAGTTCAAATTTATTATCGCAGAAGGCTGTGCGGCTGCAGGATTTCTTGCAGGATCGCAGGCCGTCACACTGAGAAAGATCAGGATAACTTTCTCTGAGTCGCGCAATCATGGGGTTTTACCATATCCCACTGACGTCATTCAGACAAGCCTACTGCGATGACGTCGATAGTTTTAATATTTTATTCACTAGTCTATTTACTACTGTTTATGTAACTAAGCAGGGCTAGAGTTTATAATAATAAAACGCCGTTTCGCATTGTTTGTTTTTAAAGTTGTTGGGGACGTCGTAAATCACTAAACAAAAGAAGTGATCAATTATTTTCACCACCTACTAATTTGTGTACCTGAACTTGATTTTCTGAGAAAACGCGGTAAAGGCGTGATGATTATTATTAGATAATCGAATTTTCTTAGTAAAGGAGTTGTGAGAAGGCCAAAAATTAAAAATATCACAAAAAATGTGTTAGATGCACTAGAAAGTCTGTTTTTTATACCAAATTTCAAAATCATCGGCCAACTATGATTTTTGATTTTTTTCCAAGATTTTATTAACAGAAACGTCAAAAATTTATTTAGTACTAGGTAATAATCTAAATGTTTTTTTTTATTCGTAATAAAAGAACTGTTGAAAATAAAAATTCTTTGATTTGTGATTTGAAAAACATAAAAAAATGAGAAAGCATTGCTGGCCGATGATTTTGAAATTAGGTATACATTTGTAAAGGAAGTAGGCACACAAAATTCATAAAAGGCAAAATTTGGCTACATTTAACATGAAATCATAACCATAATTTAAAAAAAAAATCTACTATTAAAATAGTTATTTATTCGACGAGTTTGAATGTAAATCGGACTTTATTTGACCGAGTGGATTTTTAAACCACGAGTGTAACGAGTGGTTTACCATCCACGAGGTGGAATAAAGCATCCGATTTACACTCAAACGAGTGGAATACAACATTTTATTCTTCGAATTAGAGTCAACAAGGCTTAAACTTGCTTTAAATATGTTAAAAATAATTTGACGTTTTGTATTGAGAAATGCCAAACAGTTGTCAAAACTTCCTTAAACGGGAGAAAAACCGTAAATTTTGACAGTGTCGAAGAATAAACACTTTTATATTTAAATACAGGGTGTTTCACATAATTTTACGAGGCTTGCGCCTGTAAGATGCAATCAATAATACATATTCCGATACGAACTCGATTACAAATTTTGAAAAATTGGATAAACTTCTCTAGTTTGTTCACCCTTTAAAAAAATACAACGTTTTTTGTTAGATAGTGATTAAGATAGATAAACTACAATCATATTCCTGCCATCTATTGATAAAGCAAATGATAATTGTTTCTGAAAAACTGCAGTTTGTGACTATAAATGAAACAGTGATTAGTTTGACAACTACTGTCATGGGTTTCCAAAAATTAAATAAGTAAATGTGTATTTTTTGTATCCAGTGTTTTGTGAATTTTGTATATTTGGGTGCGTACATACATAAGGCGCAAGCCTCGTAAAGTTGTGTGAAACACTCTGTATAGCAACTTTAAAAAACACAAAACAACCAAAATTTGCGGCTATGGAGATAAGCTGCTACCCATTTTTTCAACAAAATTTTGACTTTAGTCAACATTGATTAAAAAAGCTCTTGAATTAAAGTAGGCTGCAAAACAAAGCCTGTTTGTAAAACGTTTGTCAAAAGTACACGATGTCAAAGTTTAACCGTGAAAATACAGCCTCAAAGCTGAAAGGTGCCGGCGATGGTGTGAGAGCTTTGACAAGCAAATCCTCCGAACGAGTTCCCGTCCCCTCATCCCGAAAATTTACCGCGACAATGGTCCGCGATGAAAGTGTCCAATTAAAACTAAAGAAAGTCCTCGACGAAATCGAGGCTAAACAAGGACTCAAGAAGGCCAAAACTGTCGCGGAGATAACACCCACCAAAATTACTCGTAGGAAGTATGTATCTTCACGGCGGAATTAAATTAAAATTTTCAGTGATCTATTTTTTTATTGTCTAAAATAGGAAATTTTCCTTTTTTTTTGAGTTACTAGAAATCTATTTTTAGAAAATAGTGATAATGATCGTCACAATTAGCATCTTTTGTTTGTGTGTGAATTAATTTCAGATTAAAAAAACGGGAAAACATTTGTATTCTTTGACGGATGAGTCACACCATAAACAATATCATATATCATATACGGAAGAAGGTTTAAAATAATTATGCTTAACTATTATTAAGCGTGTAGTAGAATTCTAGCGGGAAAACCCAAACGCCGTTTTCCCCGACCTATCTTACATAAAATGTGCTTAATCATTTTAGGTACTCTTCAATTATTATCATCGAAAAGATATAAAAAAGTGATACAAATCTAAAAATTTATTTAAAATTATGATAATTGGACAACAATTTACATTTTTTGTATACGCTCCCAAAATTTTGATATTTAAGTCCCTAAAATGAGTCTTTTTCAATAATAAAATACTTAAAACACAGAGAAACATTTGCACTGATCAGAAGTTTGAATGTGTTTTTGGGAGCCACAAAAAATGTTGTTATCCAAGAAGTTTTTGTGGACTCATCTGCTATTCGTCCGGCAACAGCAACGATTCGTCCGCAAAAACTGTATTTTAGGTACTTGTGACAAAAATCGCTATTTTTGTTTATAAGTAAGTAAAGAAAAAACTTTGGATATTTAGCAATAAGTTTTCCACCCCTGGATAAATTTCGCTCGAAATGGATTAAAATGAGGAATATATCTTTCAGTCGTGTAAAGCGCCAGGACAGCCGTGCGTCGTCGATGTTGCATGCGACGCCAAGACCTCCACTAGATGACGTGAAAAGGCCGCCGTCTGGACGCGTCGATAGAGAGCGTCGAATCCAGCTATTGGTTTACCACCGCATGCTTCTTTTCGTTTGGCGCCGCAGCAAAATGCGCCTGGCGATGGTATCTGAGTCATTACGGCGCCGTCAGGAGCAGGTTTGTCACCCCACGATACATAATTAAACGGTAATCGCATATGAAATCATCCTGGACGAGCAAATCTTACATCATTGGCTAAATGCGAGAAACTTTAGCTTTCAAAAAGCTCTAGTGAATTTTTATTTATTATGTTTCTTCTTATGTTTTCTATTTAGATTTCTAACTTGGAAAAACAGATCGACTGTTTGAAAAATTTAACACAGTCAGAATGCCACAAACGTGGTGAAGCGATTGGTGATTGTCAGCGATTGGAAAGTGTTTTAAAAGCGATACAATTAGAAAATAACTCTTTAGTTGCGGTAAATGTAACTTGAGATGAAGTTTCGACCTTACTTTTTCCTCACCCTCTAGGAGAAAGTTGAACTACAAAAAGAAATAAACGAATTGCGAGATAAACTTCAAAATGTGAGTACAGAAAAAGAAAATTTGAAAAATGAAATCAATACAAAAAATGTCTACCTCAAAAGAATCGAACAGGAACTGCAAAAAGAAAGGATTTTAATGATGAATCTAAGGGATCAAAATGCAGGACTTATTAGTAAGGTGAGAATGACTGACTTGGCAACACAATTAAGGGCATTTGTTTCCGATTGTTTGCAACCCTGCATTCGCAGGATTAAATTGGTTAAAATAAGAAAAAAAATGAGAAAAAAACCCAAATTTTTTTAGGTACATTCATTTTTGTTTTAGACCAGAGTAGTGTGATTCAGCATTCAGGCACAATCTTACCATACAAATCCGCAAATTTCCATAGCTTATATCCGTGTTATATTTTTTTGTTAAAACTCCCAAAAACACATTCAATCTCTCATTATACCATTTAAAATTTAAAAGTTGGCTCCAATTTCTCGTAGTTCTGGAAGTTCAGCCATTTTGAAAATCATTTAATTGAACTTAGACTGGTCGATTGGGGTTGTGTACAAAATTTCAAATTCCTATCTGCATTAGAAGTTGAAAAGTTTCTAATGTAGACCCTAAAAGAATCACCTTGTTTATGATTAATTTCTCGAAAATAATAGTTAGAAATAAAAAAATAATACCTAAAATAGTTATTTTAACTATTTTACTTTATTGAGTTTGTAAAATAGCTATAAGTATCAAAAAATACTATTTTGGCTTTATTAATCAACTTTTTAACATTCAACTCTAGAACGCTATTTTTTATTTTCATTTAATTTCATTTTATTCACTACTAACATCCTAAAAACGAACGAATAATATAGAGTGAAAATTAATAATAAAATAACTTATAAACTAAAGTTAGTAAATAAACAAAATAGTGTGATAACACTTTTTATTTATAGATTTATTATTAGGCACTTTTGTTTTGAGTCACGATTGTTATAAAATTGTAGGTATACATTTTTACAATAATCTGCAACCCATTAAAACTTTATACGTAATATAAAATCAAGATTATCTTAATTTTCCACACTCTTGTCCTTTTTTCATCTAAATTCGATAAAAAATCTTGAACTGATGCCAGAATAAAATGAAATTCAAAAATCAAATTAATAAGATCTTAGTTTTACTAATCCCTAATAATAATTATTACCATAGCCTTTTTTTAAGTGAGATTTAATTTAGGAAAGTTTGTGACGTTTTCTTCGTTCGTTTTGGGTGAAAACAAAGAATTAAATAAATGCGCGAATGCTTGGTAAAGTCTTATCATTTCTGGTAATCTGGTTATGAGATATGTTGATGACGGTTACGTCAAGGCCGGGTCATATAAAAATAATAGTCTCAACAGTGAGTAGGAATTCCCCAAGTTCGACAACTTGGTTTATTCATAAAATGAGTAAGTGATTGGCAAAAATAGAAGAAGCAACCGGTCGCCTCGTTAATGTGGGTAACGAGTACGCTGTCAGACTATCGACCTATAACACAAATTACTTATTACATTATAATGATTTTTTCATATCGGTGAGTCACACACGAAATTCTGCGTATCCAGAAGAGGGTGGCATGACTCACTCTCACCCTCCGGAGGCAACGCTTGCGCCGCGAGAAGTGACTAATATCGGTTTCAATAACAACAGGTAAAAGCGCAAGATGCCGAGATTGAAGCCCAAGAACAGGTCACAGATAAGTTGAATCAAACTTTGAAGGATTTGGAACATCATATACATGAATGCGAGGAACAAAAAACAGCGCAAAGTTTAGATCTTAAGAGACTTTCAGAGTAAGTTAAATGCGTCGAATAATTAATAACTCATTTGAATATTTTTCTTTCCTCAGGCAGTACCAGTTTGTTGTTAAAAAAAGCGACTGTCTCAAACAGGAATTAAGCAGAGTTTACTCGACTAAAGATAAAATGAAACAAAAAATTGCTGATTTGGAAGACAATTTAGCGAAAATAAGCGCTCAGTATGAGAGACTTTTGGATGAAAATAAGGGCTTTAGGGAGGAAACGGAAAGCAGGAAGTGTTGGTGGAGAAACGCTAGAGATTTCCTAGCGGTTTCTTGGGCCGTTTTGCAAAATGCCGCTTATATAATGTTGCCGGCAATGTAGCTATTTTTACCCATTTTACACGCTTAATATTTTGTATTTGTAGTAAGTTTTATTTCCTATTGTACTTGTATTTAAATTAACTAATTTAAAAATCAAACTGCTTGCTTTATTGCGCAAACTCGCTGATGGTAATGCAGAACAATGTGCTACTTTTTTTCAATTTTCTGTTATGAAAGGTAGTTTTAGGATCAGGTAAGTAATTCTTCCAATTTATTATATTTTTTTCTTTTATAATTACATCGTATATATACTCTTTACGATTCTAGACAATGTAAATTCAAATTTTATTCTAACAGCAACAACTATGTCTAAAAGGCGTTTTAGATACTATTGTCGTCTTATTAACAATTTCTAATTTTGTGTAAGCTTTACCGTAGTTTGAAACTCACTGGTCCCAAGAAAAATAGAAGTTTAACAATAGGTCGATAACAATTGCTGTTAGATAAGTCTATAATAAGTTTTTAATGTCAAAAAGAAAATTACAATATCTTACATGAATGTGAAATAAAAGTACCTATATCTATAAATGCAAAAACAGCTTAAGTACATAGTCAAAAATAAGTAGAGATCTGAAAATACAATACAAAAAGTAACAATGTCGAATATTTTGTCCGTTTAGTATAATTTGATAAAGTTTAACTCTTTTTTATTAAAAGCTCTATCACCTATGAAGCATAAATAAACCTACCCTAAGTTAATAATTTAATGAACACTGTTTTACATTACTTTTATCACAATCTGTACACTATGTTCGTCCATACTTTGATTAAATTGTGTTTATCACTTAATAATAATTTTGTACCGTGAATAAATATCACAAACAATATAACAGAAGTTAAAATCCTGTGCAATATGTAAAAAATAGTTAAAAACAATACTGCATTCAAACCATGCCAAATCCTTCTGTTCCTTCACTTATAGCAAGAAGAAGAGATTTCTCAAAATGCTCATAACAGTCGTAATCCGGCAAACAAAGTTGATTGAAGCTGCAAAACCAACAAATAACACTCCTTTTAGCCACCCCCTCCAAAACTATACCAAGTATGTGCTGTCGGAAGATTTCCAAAAGTGGGAGCCGCAGTGATTTGAAATTTCGGAGTCAATTCCTTAAACCCACCCGGGGGCAACTGCGAACACCCCGTTGTGAATTGCAACAGTCTTGCCATCTCCTCCTGTGTGAAATTACCCACAGCTGCCCAAAACCAGCCCACAATTCGTCGAAATTCCGCAGAATTGCCGTTAATCACGTGGTGTTGCTTGAAATCGGCTATGCTATACTGACCCGTCCCACATAGGAGTAACTGGAAGGCCCATTGAAACAAATATTATTAACATTAATGTAACAGTGCAGAAGTGCTTACTTCCAGTTCATTTTCGTCAAAAATGCTCAAGAGATTGTCAGGGATAAGCTCGTTTAGGCCTTTGAGAAACGACTCCATTTCGTCTTTGATACTGGTTGCGAGACGATACTGCGCCAAAGCGTCCAAATACTGGAGTTTCGTTGCGTTTCTAACTCGGATTTTTGAACCATTGGGAATTAATTCGACAGTTTTGAGTAATTGGCCTGATGTGTCATACTGTTCCTCGACGAAATACAGTTCAGTGTCGATTTGGTCGATATCATTCTCGAGTAAATATTTTATTTTGGACAAGTATAAGTCGGGATCGTCTTGTTCGAAATACTTGTAATGGACCCTTAGACCTATTACTTGTGCCAGGAAAGATCGGGTGAATCTAGCCCGAACCAATTGCCGGTAGGACCCCCCTAGAGCACTCTCGTACAAACACTTTCCTACAATCTTTCCAGCAAACTCATAATGCCTTAATTTTAAGTGCGAAGGCCGATTTGGATTTGGGTGCACCAACGACTGTTGCCCCTCATGGAAACTCGTAAACAAGCAATTTTTCGCATCGAACAATTGTGAACAAATCAACTCGAACCATTCTCGGCGCAAACCACCCCAGTCAATTCCTATAACCACCGATTAAGAATTTTCCAACTCAGAGAAAAATTACCTTGTTCTCCCTGAAACGTTATCTCGAAATTTCGGCACCACTCGCTCACTGAAAAATTCTTTGTCGCTTTCATACTCGACTCTAGCAGTTTTTCCCGATTGACTTTCATCGAGAGCTTCTCATGGTAGTGTTTCTGATGGTACTTGCGTACCTCATGGTAGAAGAAATCCTGTTTATCTTTGAACGTTTCCGAGCCACCCATGTTTTTGAGGAGAAATTGGGCAAAAGTGGCGGCTATGACGTTGCGTTCCTTTGAAATTAATTCGATTTTAGGTTGGCAACCATCGTCGACAGTAAAATAACCAGTAGGATGGTCCATTGTTTTGACTTCAGTTTGAAAACTGAACTGTAAAAACGAGGCGATTCAAGACGTTCTGTTTATTTTAAATACTTTTTTCTACGACCGCAACAGAAAGAAAGTTTTCCCACCCTTAAGAGAGGTAAAAATTTTACCTCCCTTTACCACTCCCATAGAAACGAGAAAATATGCTGCTAGATTTAATGGCGATACTGGGAGAAATTGTTAGTTTTAAAGTTTTTCTTGTTGGGTCGCAAGAAAAATTATATGTACATATATGTGACTATTACCTTAGTGGAAGGGCATAGACGGAAAGTGTATAATCGTTTCGGGATAAATTTTAGAATCAATTCTTTTATGATGAGTTGTTTGGGTGAGACGTAACATAAAACTTTTTTCGGTTTTGGTAATCGTTCGTTGTTGATGCCGATTAGTTTGGCTTCGTAGCAAATATTGTGGTTTTTTGAAGCCACGTTTTTGTGGACGAGAGTCGAATCGATACCTAAATATAACAAAATCGTTAATTCCGGCCCTCGGGAGGTAAAGAAGTGACTCACTGTTCAAAACAATAATGTCAAAGTCGCCATTATGTAACTCGATTCCTTTGTATTTAATTGTGGTATGATAACAACCTTCAAAGAGAAATTTAAGTTGAAGACTTATTCGTTGACTTTGCCAGTCGTAATCTAAAGCGGTGGTAAAATTATTGTCGTCAGTGTCCAAATTTGATTCTTTAGAATAAGTTCCTAACTGAGTAATATGGACTGTGTAATCCTATAAAAATCACGTGACTTAAGATTTTTGATTGTTTGGCTTCAAACCTGTGTGGGATCATCATCTGAAGAGTAGCTACAAATATTGCCGTATTCATCACGTGGTTCTATATACAACAAATGTGCGACATTTGCAGTACATACAACAGTACTACAATGTCTCACAACCAAAGTTCTTTGAGCGTAGGCTGGACCGGCGATGAAAGTCCTCATAAAAGGACTTCCGGCCACATGTTGATTGCTTACCATAATTGTGATTCTGTACTGGCCTGCATGACGCACCATGAACTTAACTTTGGCAATATTACCACTGTTTGGGTCCGTTGGTGAGCCAAGTTCGGTTATAACCACCATCTGTAAAAACAATTTAGTGTTTTGTTTTCCCGAAGACGGTTTTCGGTTACTTTTCGTGAACCCTCGGAAACGTCAACGACAAAATTGTCTGTATCACAGATCGGATAAGGCTGGCCATTGCGTTGATAAAATTGCACAGTGAAACAAACTGTATGACCTACAGGGTGGGGGTCGGACCAATGAAAGATCACTTTGCAATTCGATGGTAGTAAATATTTCCCGGTTACATATTGGAGGAGTGAGTGTTTAGCTTCGGGAGCCAATGATGGTTGAGTCATTGCTGCTAAAGTTACCAAACCGGCAACTGACACAGAAACGACCAACATGCCTCCTAGAATTTATCAATTATTTTTGATATAGTCAATTAGGAAAAGTCAATTGACCCCATGTCCAAGCGTCTTGGTGGCTGCTGGACTTGACAACCTCGGACCACAGGTCTGCTTTAAGAATTTCTAAATGTGGTTTCGATGTTGGTAAAGATTGTCTTGCAGTTGACCACTTGGGAAAATCTTTCTGCAAGATTGACTTGGCTTTGGTGTCTTCTAGCCAATAGACGTCTTCCAAACTGGTAACTTCAAGGTTAAGGAGACGAGGATAGTAATGTTGGAGATTGTATTTTGTTAACCATTGACGGAGGACGAGACGCTGCTGTAACAAGGCAGCTGCCTTTTGAAGACGTTGTTCGTCGGAGGCGGGGAGTTCTGGCAAATCGCCCAATTGGCCGCATTGGGCCAGCTGGGATATGCCTAAAAAACAAACACTACAACTTTATACGGATTTTACTTTATTAAAATGTCAAAGGGTAAAGCAAAGTTCAATATTTGGTCAAGTGTCAACGAAATTATTGAGTGGTTAAATAGCAAGGCTCGTTAAATTAAAATCCAATAATCGATAAGTCAACTAATAACTTAAGAACAAAGTCAACAAAACCGAAGCAGAAATTCGCTTATATGTCCCTAATTACGACCTTCTATTCTGATTTCTGACGTAGCAAAAACCACAAACGTTTATATTTTTTATTAAGATGTAAACTCAGTATACACATGTAGTTACAAAGTTTGCTCATCAAAGTATGAAACAAGTTAAAGTTTTATTAAGCGAACATGTGTTACGAATTTTTACATCAACTTTAACGTTTATGAAGGGTTTTAGTTTGTTGTTTTCCACACATGCTAAAACTGATTTACCGACAAAAAACTTGTGACGCTGTGAGATAGGTATAGCCATTAATGGAAAACATCTGTTTTAACACTTTGTTTTGTACACTATGCATATTTCTGTCTTTAGTAAAAACAAATAAACTGAAATAATTACAAGCTTGTTTTTCTGTTTTTCAGCAAAAAATCGTTCATGGTTTATCTTCACGAACCAATTGAGTAAAACTCTGTCACTAAATTTGCGAGTGAACTGATTGTATTTTCAAATAAAATTCCAATATTTTACAATCGTCTCAATACATATGGAACACACTTGCCTTGAAATCATAAATTAATTTTAGACATTACTTTTTTTGTATAGCGGGGATCATACATATTCAAACTCTATTATCAGATTCAAGAATAATTTAAATATTCACACATTTTACGTAATTGAATTATATTTTAATTCATTGTTATAAAATATACGTCTGATGTCGATTGACACGTTTAATCAAAAATTAATTAGACAAAGTTTATAGATTACTAAATCTGTTTTCATGTACCTACCTACATTTATCTTATTGTTTAATAATATAAAAAGTCATTTAGATGTAATTTTGAATAAAATTTTTACTTCAGTAGATGGCTGGCTTTAAATATAAATTTCAAAGTAAATACTAGCTTTTAGTAGTTTTCAAGTTAATAAAATACTGTTTGAAAAAAACAAAAATAAATAACAGTTAATTTATGACAAACTTAAAACTATAAACAAAGCAAATTCTTTCGTTATCACAAAAATTCAAGTAAATTTGTTTTAAATTTATTTAATAGACATTTAAATGTGTAGGTATTTAATTTTTCCATAAATTGACGAAAAGCTAATTTACCTATACCGTAATTTGGTGGGAAACACGTTTTGTTCAGACTACTGTACCGCAATTAAAAATTTCTTCATTAAAACACATTACAAATTCACGCTAGCAAATGAATAATCTATAAGCAAATGTTCTTTTAAAAAACACTTATATACACCTCAAATAATTTTTTTATCACCAATTTTATTACCAAATTGATTTCTAAGAGTTTGGGTCATTGAAATTCCAAATAATCAAATCATGCATGGTGTGCATGTGTTGGTGCACTTAATATTTCTGATTAAAACTTCTGCATGCATACAAATATTTCAAACTGCATTTTTTATTGTTACTGAAACATTGTTCTAAATATAAGGTGAGTCAGTACGACGATGAAAAATACTGGTTTTATTAGTAAAAAGTACGAACGTAATCTTTTGCTTCCTTTATATTACCTACTGTTAAATCTCCATCGACCGTACCCAATTTTTTTAATGACAACCTACATATCTTTAGACCATTGTTTCTCTCCAAAAACCATGTTTTATTTTTAAATTTCGGTTGTGATTGCAAAGTTACAGAAGTTTCCTTTTTTTTAATTTAATTTTTTTTATTAATAACATAAAAAGTAAAATTTTGAACATTAGTGCTCTAGCGTTTAATATTATTTATTCACAATCACTAATGTAATATGCCGATTACTAACCTTTTTAAGGTTGGGAAACATGTCATTATTTCTCATGAAGAGTAATAAATGTTACTCCTCTTGGGTGGTAATATGCAGGATTGCCAACGTTAAAATTAGGAAAATACCGGACATTTTTTCTTTTAAATTGTCAAGTTACGCATAATATTTCGCTAAATTAGTATTCAATTGCTTTTGTAGCAATTTCTCTTAATTCTGGGGGAGTACATTGCTCCATTTCGACAACGTTAAATGAGAATTACACATTATTTCAATATTTTCTTTGACATTTCTGAAATGTCAAAAATCAAACGCCTACCACGTTTGGACCTTAACTTTGTTAGAATTTTATTTTACTCAAATTTTTGACTGAAAATAATGTGATTGTGAATAAAATAGCATACAAACCTCGGTGGTAATGGCATTACCCCTTGTGCTTTATCCAATCTCGAGGCTGGCGCCTCTCGATCGTATACATAAGCACTCTGGGTAATGCCATATTTACCACCTCGCTTGTAATGTACTATTTCATTTGATTTTGTTTTACAGGGTGCTAAAAAATACGATCAAATTGTGCAGTTTTGAAACAATCGTATTTTTGTTTTTTTCAAGTGTAACATTTTTTTTATTATATTGTATAATTTAGAAAAATCATAACATTACTTTAGAGCTATTTAGCTAATTTTAAAATTGCAAACAAAAATTTTGTAGGTACTAACTTTTTTTTGGTAATTACAGCTCATCAAACATATATCTTTAATGTTAGGTACTTTATTACTAATTAAGAAAAAAAAATGTGTTTGTATATATCTTGTAATAAAATTTTAGATTTAGTATTTGTTTGGTATTAGAAATATGTGTAGCATATTTTCCAAACAATTAGTCAGTTATAAAGTGTAAAAATTCATTGAATAAACGTTATGATGTGTCGGTGTTTTATTTAAAAGAACCGCCAAAAATAGACCAATGAGAGGTACGCCCAGATAAATGGATCAAAAGTGGAAACAAAGTGTTTGTTTTGTTGCTATAGGAATGTTGACTTCAAAGCGTATATAAAGGAGAACGGGCCGCCACACCGGCAGATTCACTTGAGTCTCCTTCCGGACATCTTCGGACGAAATCACCAGGACCTCTCTTGGTGGAATAACTTCAGGACGGCTTCTGAAGGATTGTACTCTTTGGACATCTTCAAAGAATACGGTCGACGGGACCTTCTTCCGTCGTTAAACCACACCTGCCTCAGGACAGTTTCTGGGAGCCGAGTTCACCTCTGAACACGGGCCACGGGATCCCTTCCGTGGTAAGGGCTTAACATCTGAGACAGTTTCCAGGTGGTATAATTTCCTGGACCTCTTCAGGTAAAGCAACCGACGGGACTTCTTCCCTCAAATTCACCCACGGAGGACGTCTTCTCCAAGGGCTAGGGTTCACTAGGTCCAAGTTAGATTTTGTTTTGTAAAGTTTGTTATTTTATCTGTTGTTACTGTTGTTATGGTTACTAAATAAATTTCTCTTTTCAATCACCTGTGTTTAATTCAATCGAACCTCCCCATTCCTCTCCACTGTATAAAAGCTGGCCGGAAAGGCATTCTTATGTAGTGTAAACCTGGAGAACATCTCCAAACAGTTCTTTTCCAACTTTTAGGAAAAAGTTGGTGGCGCCCGGTTTAAATAAGTAAAATAGTAAATAAAAGAAAACACATTACAATCTACATATTTATAAAAATAGAAAAAACCCTTGAAAATAAAAAATTGAAAAATCTAATGTGGTTATAGCTTTCCGTAAAGTAAATTTATTTTTTGTTGAACAACTGTTGTAATTGACAGCTACGGTTCTCATTCTTACAAGACATCTGTCAAGTTTAGCGCACGCCGTGTGGGAAAATGACACAAAAAATTTAGGCTTTGAGAGATCTCGAAAAAAAAAAAGATACTTTATAGTAAATGAGTTTTATTAATATTAAGAGAAGATATCACACTCAATACCTAGTTATTCAGTATACAGGGTACGCCAGAACTCGCGCCCCAGAGAAAAATTTCAAGTAAGATATGATACCAGGAACATGAAAAAAATGTTTAAAAAATTCTATCTGTCAAAAAATTTTGACATTTATTTTTTGACATTTGACATTTTTTATGTCTATTTAATGATGCTGATAATCTTGTATATGTTTTTTTAGGATTATTTAATAAAAGTACAAAAATTTTGCCAATAAAAGCCACAGATAAGATTATACAGAGATACAATTTAGGATACATAGCTTCCTTGTTTCCTCTTCTAATAACCTGTAGTAAAAAAACTTGGAAAATTATTTATCCAACAGAAATAAATAGAGTCAAAGTGCAAAATTTAAACTCACACAACTTCGAAATTTTTATAGATAACATTTTTTTTACATTTTTTTCATGTTCCTGGTATCTTACCTTATATGGCATTTTTCTCTGGGGCGCAAGTTCTGGCGCACCTGTATAAAAATAAACACAATTTATTTTTTTTCGGCAGAATTCTGACCAATGCCGTGAAAGTACTAAACGTATAGACCCATAATATCTATGTAGAGCTAACAAATCTAAATACCAATTAATCGAAAAACTCTCCTCGGTCAAAAAGTTTTATTATTTGTGCGTTAGGTATTTTATAGCCTTCAGTTTTATCAAATACTCAGCTTCGCTACGTTCTTCGTTCTCTTATTATGAAAACTTTATACTGTAAGACTATATCTACTGTATTTTATTATAATGAACTATTGATAACAAAGAGTTTGTTTGTTTTTTTTTCAAAATGTTATAAAATGAGTCAAACGGCGTGCTGGAGCATTTCGAGCACGCAAAGCTGCCTGGAAACATATCCTTTGATAAACGATAACACGCGACCTTAATGAGTTAGTTTTACGAGTAAAGTTTATGCTAGAAATTTTATTATGACTCCGCATACCGATTTAATGACACATTTCTAATCTTTGTATTAAATAATAATAATTTTTCAAAACACATCACATTTAAATTTTGTGCGTGTCTTCAGAACCGGCGCATCCACCATTTCGACTCGAATAAAATCATCGCCATTACTCGCACGCAACCCCAAAAATCGGTTCGTAACGTCACCTGTAGTTATTAATAAATGCTTACCAGAGGAGGCACTAGCGGACGGCTGCATGGTCATGCCAATTGAGCAAATTTCAGTATCGTCATCCCACATTTTGAGGGCACTCAGAAATGAAATGACGACCAAAACAAAAACAGATATGTTACATTGATACGGATCGAGTTTTCAAAAGGTTTCATGGTATTGTGATGGGACAAGCAGCTGGGTCGATGGGTGCTCGACAGCGACTGCAGTTTGTCAGCAGTGCTTGCCTGGCTTTGTGCGTAACCCTGGGCGACTGAATTTCGATACTGCGCCCTGCAGCCCTCGCAACCCTAATATTTGCACTCTTCCTAATTAATCGCTAATCGGCCTGACACATCTAGTCGGCTGAGAGCTATTTAAAAGAACGCGTTTTTAATTTTTTAAATGCCGCTTTAATTAATTTATAACTGAATTCTTATTAAAAAAATGGTATGGGAAAATGGAAGTTCATTCAAGCAAACCTATTTTCAATGGACAATGACTCACCTTTGTTAACAAAACAGTCCTTGAACGGTGCCAAATTGTTCTGCTTTAGCCATACATCTACTTCATCCGGTTTATTATCCGAATCGAATAATCCGGACCAAAAACAAAAACACAGTCTAATAACACTGGCCACACTAACAAAAACCAAAAATACAACTGCAAATATTTTGGCACAACGCTTCATAATACAATTTTCGAAATCTTTGGTTACATTTTTGGCTTTTTTTGAATTTCGGTTTTTGTTCAAATGAGGAATGACGGAGGCGACTCTCGCTATTTTCAGCAAACGGGCGCCATTACTGTTTTTGTCAAAAGTGGCGCCCTCTAAATGGGCGGAACCTTGCGTTACTATGGCAACACGAATACAAATCGAATGATAAAAAAGTGAAAAGTGTCCATTTTGACAAAATTGTCATTTTTTGACTTCAAAAATGGCAGAAGAAACCGAACAAAGTTTTTCAGGATTTAGTAAAATGGAAGGGCTTTTAGATAAGTTAAAGTTGTTGAATTACGAAGCCGAGTTTTTCAAAGAAACAAAAATGAAGCCGATCCATAGGAAAGTAAAAAAATATTATTTATTATTGTAATTAGCAAATTATAGGTATTATTTTGTTGTTACCAAAAACCCAGGAGAACAGTTTTATTTGTTTGCATTGTTAGCGTCATATCTGATACAAAAAATTGGAATCAGTTTCCAAACGCCTCAAGAGGATGATGACCCCAATGTCACAATAGAAAAAATACTGGATGTAGTCCGAAAAAATGTAACTAACATTTCAAATTTTCAGCAATTAGAATGAGAGTTTTAGGACATTCCCGTCAATTTTCATGCAAATAAGCTAATGCAAGGTGTAGGAGAACATGTGGTTTATATTTTGGACAGTCTTGCTGATAAGGCTTTAGAAAAAAATTTTATATATCAAAAGTAAGCATTTTTCTAGATTCGATTTTATTTAAATTTGACCACTTTCGGCAGACCTTTGCTCCCTGAGGAAAAAGCGGAAGAAAGCGAGCTAATCAACGACGAATCTGAGATAAACCTTGATCGTGTGGAGGAAGAAATGTTGGCGGCATACACCGACGATTCAGACGAAGAGAATCTTTTCCTCCTGGATAACGTGAAAGTAGCCCGAAAAGAACCCCAAATGGCCGAGATAAAAATGAACGTAAACGAGGAAGCCTGGAAATTAGAACTCGAACGAGTTCTTCCTCATTTAAAAATCACAATTAAGAACGAAAACCGCGACTGGCGCTCCCATTTGGAGCAAATGAAACAATACAAAAGTAATGTCGATTCTTCTCTAGGTGGGGTAAAAACTCAATTAGAGAAGTTACACAAAGAAATAAGCGTGACTCTTGATAAAATTGGAAATCGGGAGAAATATCTGAACAGGGAGTTGGAGAATAATTTGGATGAATATCGAATGTTGCAAGATCAGCTCTCGAAAATAAAGGATGCTTACAAAGGTATCAGCGAGGGGGTTGCCGAGCGGAATCGCGAGTTGTTCAGGTTAACGGATCGATTGGAGACAGTCAAACAGCAAATGGAGGAAAGAGGGAGTTCGATGACGGATGGGAGTATGTTTGTGACAAGATTTGATAACTATTTAATTGGGTTTTCAGCTCCTTTGGTCAATATTAAGAAGCAATTGGGGAAAGTCAAGTCTGAGATTGTGGAGATGGATGTGAGGATCGGGATTTTGGAGTGCATTTTACTCCAATCGAAAATCCGAGACGAGAAGAATTTAGAAACAGAGTTCGGGCAAACAATTTCGGTTTTTTAATTGTGTTAATTAAAAAATAAATGTTTGCATTGTGTATAATTGATTTATTTTCGTTGTGCGCTATCTGGAGGCCAGTAGAGGAGTCTTTGGTCGTTTATTGACCAGTTTGTAGTGCTGTCTCGAACCTGGTGTTTCTAACTGTTGCTTGCGGTTTAGGTCTCGAGTAGTGTATTTTAGTCATGCGCCGCTGCCACAAGACCTGGTAACAGGCAAACAGCAGCAGTAGCAACAGCAGAAGAGTAGATTGTGCAAGTCGATGTAAATTGTCAAAAAATCTAGTTCAAAAAATGGTGAGACAGCGAGAGCATCGCAGCTCGACTTCGGTCCCTTCGTGTCCAGTCTGCAGTTAACCGGAGTCTCGCGTGTTTTATCCTCGGTCGTGCTAAAGAACAAACTTCTTCGCTAAAAGCTGCGATGAATGAACGGCTCTGAAAATCGCGCTTTTCTTCTCATTCGCAGTGTTAGTGGTTGGTTGTGAGTGGTGTGCGATGTTGTGTCGTTAGCTGAAGAGATTTTCAGCTATGTCGGCTGCTCCGGGAGGCAGGACCGGATCGGCACCCACCCCTACCAATGCTGTCTCCCTCAAATCTATCGAGGTGCCCCAGGCCCTGCAGAACGGTGAAAAATTCATCAAATGGGATGAGGTGAGCCACAAGAAGCCAAATGCGGAATTAAACTACACCCGATTTAAACACCACACCCTTGACTAAGTGCTGAAAATTCTGAATCCGGGACGGTTTCACGGATTCGACTCAAGTGCACTCGTGGACCCGTTTGAGGAATTAGCGCTAACGAGGAAGTTAACGCCAGATTTTCAGCTTTGTTTACAAAAATTTTTGACACGACAATTTTCAAAAGGAAACGAATCTAATCAAAACAATTTTAAGTAAATATAGAAGGCGCGACTTTGTTAAAATTAAAAACTGTTCAGAGGGTTATTTATGGATCAGTGACGGTTTTTCTCTGCATTTCCGTCTGTTTTTGGCCCAAGAGTTGGACTAATTTTCCATCAGCTTTCCCAAAATTAACTAAGAAAAATAAATAATACAAAAAGAATGCAGTTGCACAAATTTTTGTCTCGCAGACGGTTAATAAACTTGGAATAGACAAGCAGCGCAATGAGACTTTTTAATACATAAAAGTCGGCCAGTTATTTACTTTAGGATCGTTTATGACACTACGAGTTCAGAATACAATAACAGTCCCTTATTTCACTATATTCTATCCGGTTTTGAAAGCCCCAGAGCAAAACAAACCCACCGTTTTTATGATACTCTGATAGGAACTTAATAAACTTCTTTGGGGCTATTTTGCTCCTTATATTAGAAAAAAACTCATTGCGGAGATAATAAAGTGAAAAATTGTATGGCCAAATTATCTATTAAAATAGATGGAAGACATCAGTGAGAAAACAAAGCTAAAAGCAACATTTGATGTGTTTACTTATTGCTCTCGGGTGGTAAGTAACTGTGTCAGAAACGACAATTGACGTCGTAATGAAAAATACATTTTGATCTATTTTTGGATAGTGGACATCATTTAAATTTTACAATTGGTTTGTGATAATGTTCCACAAAGTAAAAATATTTTTTTATTTGAAAACTATGTCTTTATTTAGGATTAACGTCACAGATCGCAAATCGTTAAAGGTAACAAAGGGTGTCAGTTAACAAGTCGATTAAACTCTTAATTAGGAGATTGCGGTTTCCGTTAAATAGTTCTGTAACCGAAAGAGGTCAACGATTGTGATAAAAGATAAAGCGAGATAAACTTCTGTTGACTAGCATTATTACAGGGATGGTTTAATTTAAAAATATTTATCGCTGTACACTTTCAATGAAAGCTTGAAAATTTAGAGAAATTTAATAAAACTTTTCATTGTTGTTGTTTGATAAATTAAATGATTAACTAGTTTAAAGTGCATGTAATTATACACAACCAGCACTATTTACGTTCAGTTTTTTTGCTTGAGTAAATAACAAAATAAGTTGACATTAGTTATCAAATCACACACCATTCAGTAACATACTTGGTATGACATAGTTTTGAAGGACTGGACATTTGTTGTTTAACAATGGAATTAGAATAAGTCACAATATATTTATTTTTAAAATCGCTGACTTTTGCCATGTGTTAATTTATTGTACAAGATTAGCAGATGATAATAGATTAGGTAATTTGTTTGATAGTTTGTAGTCAGTTGTTAGAGATAACCTTCAGATAATATTTATTTTTAATTCTTAATTTTGCAAATGAATCAATTATTGGAACGGAATTACGAATTTTCCGAGTAATTAAATCATGTATTTTGGGGTACAAAAAATACGAATTCAGTTTAATGTTCCATAAATAATCGTCAGTTGAAAAGATTTAATAATTGTAAACTTCCTCGTAACAATGATAAAATAAATGTCGTTGCGAGATTTGATAGTTGCAATTTTCCCGTTCTAAAAATATGCAACAAATCGATTACCTAGCATTGTAAGAAACCTATTTTTAACATTTTGGAATAAAATTTGTTTTTTTCTTCGTAAAAACGCCCACTCACATTACTAAATATCTCGTCGATATACACACACCGTTCAGTTTAACAACCTATCGAATAATAAATGGCACCTACCAAAATTCGGTAGGTGTAACACAACGCGTTACATCAATCAGTTTTGACGTCACTCAAACATTTAATATTTATACATTTATGAGGGAAGAAAACCGTGTTTTAATTCCAGGACTCTGGGGTGGGGACTCCGATCACCCTCCGGGTGGACAAGCATGGCTTCTATCTTCACTGGGTGGATCAAAACCATGAAATGGACCTTCTCGACATCGCCACCATCAGAGATACGAGAACGGGTCGATATGCGAAAATCCCAAAGGTTGTAGAAATCGGTGTACGAGTTGTTGCTCAAGGATTGGTTTTAGGACCCTAAATTAAGACAAATCGTGACGATGGGCTCTCAAGATACGCTCGAGGAGAAGACAGTGACTGTTTGTTGTGCCAATGACTTTGTGAATATGAATTTTATAAATTTTTGTTGTACGAGGAAAGAAATTGCAAGACTGTGGACGGACGCACTTATGAGTCTGGCATACAATCTCAACCAAATCAATGGCACAGCCAATCTCTACCTTTTGAAGGCTTACACGAAGCTTATTTTGGTCACAGACAAGACGGGGAAGATTCCAATCAAAAAGTACTCTTAAATTTAGTCAAATCTCGAGTTATTTGATCTTTTCCAGCATAATAAAAATGTTTGCTCAAAGCAGAGATGACAAAAGACGGATTGAGACAGTTTTGCAATCGACGGGGCTACCCTATGGCAAGAATGACACGATAAGTCCCGAAAAATTCCAATTTGAAGATTTTTTTAATTTTTATAAAAACTTGACACAACGGAGCGAAATCGAGAAGGTTTTTAACGACATGTAAGCACAGTTTTGTGTTGAACAAGTCGGGTAAAATGTTCGTTTTAGTGTTGGTTCAAAGAAGCACATGACGGCCGCACAATTCGTCGATTTTTTGAACAAGACTCAACGAGACCCTCGCTTGAACGAAATTCTTCATCCGTATGCAAATACGGCAAGAGCCAAAGACATAATCGCGCAATACGAGCCCAACAAGTACAATGCACAAAAAGGCCAGTTATCATTCGACGGTTTTCTCCGTTACCTCATGTCTGAAGATAACAATATAATAGCACCCAGCAGATACGAGCTTTGCGACGAAATGGATCATCCTCTCGCACACTATTTCATAAATTCATCCCACAATACATATTTAACCGGGCATCAATTAACGGGAAAATCCAGCACAGAGATGTACAGGCAGTGTTTATTAGCTGGATGTCGGTCTGTTGCGAATTATGTCAGCTGTTTATAATAAATTTAACGTAAGCTGATTTTTAGCTGCGTCGAGTTGGATTTCTGGAACGGGAGAGAGGAACCGATCATCGTGCACGGTTATACTTTCGTTCCTGAAATATCGGCGAGAGAAGTGTTGGAAGCGATTGCTGAAAGTGCATTCAAAACGTCTGATTTTCCCGTTGTTTTATCGTTTGAAAATCACTGTAATCCGAGACAGCAGGCAAAAATTGCCAATTATTGTCGAGAGATTTTCGGGGAAATGCTACTAGAGGCACCTTTAGAGGCTTACAAGTTGGAGCCAGGTATTTAACTTCTTTTATACGTCATTACATTGAACAACATCAATTACAACCTATAAATACATACTTTTAATTTATTACGATTTCTGATTGTCACATAAGTGCTGGCTAATAAAATTATTTCAATGCGCGTAGCTTTTATTCAACCAAGACCGAATGCGTAACTAAATAAAGTTACTTATGAATCAACAATCCGCGCAAAAGGAGACGCGACATCGATCACTTTTATTGAAAGACTGCTAACTTGTTGCTCATCATTAGATAGAAAAAGTGACAATTTTGCTATAATTATGGATGGACAAACGAAAAATTACGCTTTTATGACTAAATGACACAAGTTTAAGTTTTACTTTTCAGATATGGTGTAAAAATTCTATTTTTGCACCTAAGCGTTTTTACTTTTATCATGACATTATTGACATTTAGCAATGTTGTTTCTGTCTTGTGTCTTTTGTTGCTTTAGCAATTTCTGGAGAGGTACATTGGAGATCAATAGTATTTAACATTTTAAACTACCGACTGCACTAGTCATGCACTAATTAGGTAAATTAATAAACACTTTCGAAAATCTCAACAAAAATTCCGACACTGACGCGTGATGTTTGTTTATAAGCGTTATGTTTTTGTTATTGCAAAGTGTTCTAATTATTTTGTTCATTAACTTGTTAAATAAATGTTGCTCTTTACTCTCGATCTGAATACGTTTGCGGATAAAATAGTTTATGTTATTCGGTGTAAAAGTGAGTTTATGTGGCTCAGCTACATTATTTGCCTCACTACGTTTGGCAAAATACATCTTCATCACATAAACTTTTACTTTTCATAACATAATATAGCACTTTTAATTTGCTGTTTTTGCTCTCTCTCTCTTAAAAGAAGCAGCAAGTATCCAAAATTTTCCAGTTTCTAGTGAAATCTTGATTTCTGAAAGCAAAAGAAAGCGAATTTTTGTAAAAATGTGGAGTGAAACTCAATACATAGAAATTTACATTAAAATAGAACTTTTTTTACATACATTTTTATTTCTTTATTTATTGGTGTTTTATTTATTAAAAAAATAAATATTAAAAGACTCATGAAATGTTTTTGATGAAAATTTCTTTTTTACATCATTTAATAGCTTATTATTAATTACAATAAAAAATGAAAGAACACAAACTAATTGTGGAAAATGGAGATGAATAACACTGAGAATTTTTGAGTGGGAAAGATTCTGTTTTTTTAAAATCAAGAATTTTAAAAACTAATAATTCTTCATTTCCTCTTTTACGAACAGTGAAGAATCATAATTTTTCCATTTATGTTTAAAGATTCTATTTAGCTTTTTATTTTTTTATGTTTCTTTGACTGGTCTAACTAATACTTTTTTTGTTTTTTACTTTTACTAAAACAGTCAGGACACCAAACGGTTTCGATGGAAAATCCTAAATTCTTTTTACATTATTAGAGTATAAAATGTTGAGTACTTAATTGATCTAATTAAATATTTCTCTGATTTCTCCCGATGCTTTATTTTTTCGTATTTCTTCGAAATGCTGAGAGTTTTAAAATTACCACGTTCTGTTTTTTTTTTGTTTATTATATTAATTATTTTTTTTGGCACTAGATATTTATTTCTTTTCGCATTTAATACTTTTCCGATGGAACAATGTGTTGTTGTTTTAACGAAATCACTTTTATTATCGCTAAAATTCTGCTTGAAGGCCAGCCTTTGCCTCCCCCGTCGGTGCTGAAGCGCAAGATAATCATAAAGAATAAAAAAAAACATCATCATCACCACCACCATCACCACCACCATAGAAAAAGCACAACAGCCCAACCGGAAGCACCGGCGTTAGAACGCACCGGAAACGGCGATGTTCCTCACCATGCTCCTCCATTGCAGGCGAATTGCAGACAAGTAATCTGCATAAAACAATGCGTTTAGTGTTTGTATTGATTTTTTCACTCATTAAAGGGTTCTAAAGACTCCACCGGTACGGAAGATGAGGAATCATCTAGCGACGAGGACGGCGAGACGCTAGAAACCGACAATTCAACCGAACCGACAAATGAAGGAAGCGATCACAAAGCTGCAACTGCTACCGAGACCGAAGCGGGAGCTGAAATATCGGCACTTGTTAATTATGTGCAACCGGTGCATTTTACCAGTTTTGAAAATGCGAAAAGTTAGTTGATTATCTGAGTGAGTCAGTGTTTGATGTTGTTTTTCTAGAAAAGAACCGAAGTTATGAAATGTCTTCATTTGATGAGAAACAAGCGACGTCGCTGTTGAAGGAGTATCCGGTGCAGTTTGTCAACTACAACAAACATCAATTGAGCAGAGTTTATCCAGCCGGTACTCGTTTTGACTCGTCAAATTTTATGCCCCAGGTGTTTTGGAACGCCGGATGTCAACTCGTAGCGTTGAATTTTCAAACGCTCGATTTGGCAATGCAACTGAATCTCGGCATTTTCGAGTACAACTTCCGCTGCGGTTATTTGCTCAAGCCTGAATTTATGCGAAGAACTGATAGGCGATTCTATCCTTTTGCCGAGTCGACTGTCGATGGTATTATCGCTGGTACAGTCAAAATATCTGTGATATCTGGACAATTTTTGACTGATAAGAGAGTAGGGACTTACGTCGAAGTGGAAATGTATGGCCTACCAGCAGACACTGTGAGGAAACGCTTCCGGACGAAAACAGTACCCAACAACGGCATCAACCCAGTCTACGACGACGAACCTTTCGTCTTCAAAAAGGTTGGTTTCTTGACTAACCAATTCAGTTTGTTTTACATTTTTTGCAGGTTGTTTTACCGGATTTGGCTTCGATTCGGATAGCAGCGTATGAAGAATCGGGCAGGTTTATCGGCCATCGAGTTCTTCCAGTTGTTGGTTTGTGTCCCGGCTATCGGCACGTGAACCTCCGAACCGAAATCGGCCAGCCACTACCCCTAGCAACGCTCTTCCTCCATATCGTGGTCAAAGACTACGTCCCTGATGGACTCTCCGACTTTGCAGAGGCCTTGGCAAACCCTATCAAGTATCAGAGTGACCTTGAGAAACGAGCTCAACAATTGGCTGTGCTCACTGATGACATGGAACCAGCAGAAGGCAGTGAAGATCAGAAGAAAAACAGTTTAACAAAATTAGCGAAAGAACAAGCCACGAACGGAAGTCCGGTCCAGAGGCCTTTAATAGCGACAGGGGCGGCATCTGTGGATGCGACTTCAGATAATGAAGGGCCGGTGATTGCAACTAGTGTTGACACGAAGAATCCTCCCCATGACTCAAATTCCTTACCCAAGACCGTTGAGGTGAAAGAAGAGAAGTTTGAAGAGCTCGTAGCTGAGCCTTTAGATAAAATTCTTGACAATAAATTAGTTAAAGAGAAGAAAATGGAGTTGGATAAGAAGTTGGAGAATTTGAGGAAGAAACACGAGAAGAAGAAAATGACGCTTCAGTCGCAGAAATCGGGCGACTTCTCTGAGAAGAGGTCGAGGTTAATAAACATGAAGCTGGTCAAGAGACTATCAAGTAAAAATATGTAAGTTTTTGCGTGTTTCAAAAGGGCAATCACTGATTTAATTTGCTTAAACCAATAATAATTACTATGTCACACGTTGTAACGTTTTAAAGGGCGGACAACCAGACCAGTTGTTCTGAACAACCAACTGGTATGTGGGGCCTTTGCACAGTTTGGTGAGTTTTTATGTCGTCATGTGTGAACAACACTTCTTTTCAACTTATGCACGAACATCTTGCACATGACTCGAGACTGAGAAGTAGCGGCTTCTTAGATATCGGTGACAAACGAAACGTTTGAATGTTTTGAATGAACACAACGATTGCTACATGCATGTTCAGTGTTGAAATTCAGTGTAGATTTAGCGGACGAATCTTTCATACATAGTAATTATTATTGTAGTGYCAAAGCAAGTTAACAGTGGAAATGTGGATAGCGGAAAGCCGGTGATTTCTTGACTTATTTCGGCCTGTTTTCACATCTTGAATTAGGCAAGAGTTTTTATTATCAAAAGTTCTGTTAGAGTATATTTTACTTATTTATGTAATTCTGAAAAAGTAAAGTATTTATAGGTAGTAAACTATCCGGTCGTGACAAGAATAAAAGATCTGCTTTAGTTTTAAAAAAATTACTAAAAAAATCGAAAGACATTTATTATGTTTATTGTTGTTTGATAGCGATCAACTCGCTAGTTTTTACAATGCTGGGAGTTCAGAACTTTGAGATTTTTCTATTTTTCTGGAAAAAGTTTCAAAGCAAACAATTGCTATCAAGGTCCAAGAAGTTACGAGTAAATAATGTGCCAATAAGAAAACATATTTACTATTATGTTTATTTTTATTGGGGGTACAAAAACCCAACTTTTTTAATTTCATGTTATAGAGTTTCTGGTTTTTAATTGAACAACTTAAAATTTGAAGGATAAAAATACGAATTTTCGTAAAAGTATCGAGAGAAACCCATTTTTTTTATTAATTATAATAAAGACCTGAGATATTGTCTCATTATTTTTTGTTATTTCATTGAATGTTGATAGTTTATTGCAGTTTTATACGTTTACTTTTCCTTCTCAAAAAAATTCACATATCGAACATTATGGTTATGGAAATACTTCAATTTTAAAGTGGGTTTTATTTTCTTATTGAATTTAATTTTAAGTACCTACCGTGCCTTTGTGGGTTCCACTTTAGTTTATCTTCTCTTTATAATTGAACATTATTGTTGAATTAGTTTCCCAACTTTAATCATCATTTCAAAAAAATAATTTTTACTTATTCAAACCGAATTTTCGTAAATAGAGCATTTTTGAAATACAGAAAATTTTATTTTTAAGCTCTGGAGTCTTGAATAAGTTTTAAAAGTAGAAATTTATTTTCTTCTCTTTAGCAGTGAAAGGTTAGTTTCTCTGTTTATATTGAAATTTTGATTTTTTGTTGCTTTATTATTTCGTATTTGTTAAATGTTGATTTTTTTGCAATTTTTTAGTTTACTTTTTACTTATAGATAGATAGTCAAGACATCAAATAAAAAGTTTATGTGCAAAGAATCGAAAAGTGAAATAACGTGCCAAAAAACAACATATTTTTTATTATGTATATTTTTGTTATAAACATTTAAGTTGCTATTACTAACGAATAAATTGATATGTACTGGGTAATTGGATAATAAATGACTACTTTCAAGTTATGTTGTTGATTTTTGGAGCTTTTATGACTCGTTTTATTACATTTGGAACATTTTGTTTCGGTGAATTTCTATTCTTCGAGAAAACAAAATGATTTATAGTTATAAACAAACAAACAATAGAAGTTTAAGCACCTAACAATTAATTTACTAGCATAAACACAATTCAAGACAGTTGTTTTATATTTTATTGGACAGAAGTTAAAAATAAAATTTCTTTTAGCGTCAGCGGCGTTTTTTCGACGGAATCCCCGAGCGTGGAGCCCCTCACATGCGTGGCCGACGGCCCTGAAACCAGTAGCGCCGACACCGAAAAGCCCTCACTTCCCCGAAGCCACTCCGAGCGTCTCTTGTCCGTAAACCGCGACTTCGTCTGTCAGGAGAAGGAACTTCGCGAGAAATACCACGAAGTGATCTTCAACACGGCTGAAAAAGTGATGAAAATCTCGCAAAACAACCAACTGAAAACACTCAAAGACCAGTTCGAGCGCGAGACTACGGACTTGATGCGGAAGCTGCAAGCCGACCACCGGGAAGAAGTGAAAGCTTTGGCGAAAAAGCACCGGAATCGCGAGCAATTCACTCGGGTTAAACGCGAAGCGGAGTCGGCCGTCGTGGGCAGAGGCGTCTCCGAGAGGGAGAAACTGGGGCAGATTTTCGAGAGTCGGAGGGAGGAATTGCAGCGGCAACACGAGGCTGTTAAGGACGCCTTAGCTGAGTGTAGAAACAAGGTAAGTGGTTCGATTTAATTTGATTGAAGAATTAAAATGTTGTGGTTCAGGCGAAAGTCGCTCTTTTGAAAGAGTTCGAAACGCGGATGGCGAGAGTGGAATCTGAAAGCGGTGGAGTTCTGTGACTGTTTTCTTAAGCAAACAATCTTTTTTTCAAGTCTAACTGTGAGTTACCTGATGAGACCTTCAAAATGAAATCTCTAGTTGTAAAGTGCAATATTTAAGGATATTGTCGTAATTTATTTAACGAATACTGTCTTTGATACTCTCGACAATCAAAATGTTAAGGTGGCCCAGATGTTTTTAAGTGCTACAGTCCTTTGGTCTTGTTACTATAACATAGTCTGTATTGATGTTTATCGTTTATTGTGATAGTAGGTATTAGAGAAAAATAATATTAGAGCGTTTTCAAGTGATAAATTATTGTTAATTTGCAACGTAACGCCAGTGTATGATCGGTTTATTTATCGAAAGCGAATTATTTAGCCTTCCTTAGCGTGCATTTCCAAGGGTGTGGTATACAAATACATTTATATTTTCGAGCAAAATTGAAAAAAACAAACTAATTTAGGTAATTTAATTTATTAAAGTGGCTGTGAGGAGACATGACAAAAGTTATTAAGAGGCGTGAAGTCCTGTTGACAATAAAACACACAAAAGCTATTTATTACTTAATTGTTTTAATTTATTTTTGGCAACGACCTAAATTATTTCGTGTTTGTGTACCATCAACCCGAGCATTTTTTATGAAATAATTTTTCGTTGGTGACGGATGTACTAGAATAGGTACTATATTAGTAAGTAATTAGAAAAGTGCCACCAACTGTGAAACGTTATTTCGTAATAGATTTACCTTGTTATTAAATGTATGTATTTATTTTCATAATATGTGCTATTTTGGCCGGTGTCAACGACATGCAGTAACCCAATTACCATAATAAGAGTAACCAGTTACTTATTTCATTGACACCCGGTATATACCGTGATGTAGCGTAAGTTTTTGGTATTATAATTTGGGATCTTCCGAGCGGGTTTAGTAGATCTAGTCATTTTATTTTATTAATAAACTTAAGCAGAATCAAGTGAGGTCTTTATTTTCTTGTCCTTAGCACAGAACTATCTTTAAGTCTTCTGAAACTGACATGTTTTTACGATTTATTTAATGGTAGTTCTGTTATTAATAGTGTTCTGTGGCGAACACCGGAAGTCGTAATAATTTCGTTGTGATACGATGAAAATTTTAATGATTTCGCAATGCACTGGGTACAGCATTATCGATTAAATCATTCAAAAAAAAAGTGGTTTTGTTGTGGCGGCACTTTACCGGAAACGGCCTGAATTCTGAAAATTATAATTTTGTTGAATTGTACACAGATCAAGAAGCTTAATATTGAATCTTCGATGTTGCTGACTAGTGTTTGTTGCTACTAATTGTTAATATAACTGGTTGTTGAATATGTAGTATAGAAAAATTGTTAGGTGAAACGGCCACTCCCCTTATTCCGATCTAACTAAGTTAGTTAATTGTCTATAAATAAAAGTGGAATAAGGGTGACAACAACTGGCGGTTGAAGTTATGCGATAGATGTAGTATAAATTATTTCCCTCATTAGGTATTGTACTCCATATAACATACTCGAAAACGGCCTATTTAGTCTAAATGTTTTCGTTGATTTTTTTAACCAAAATGTACAGTGGAATTAACTGTTTGATTCGTTTAAATTCTATAATCGCGTTTTCTAGGTATAGGTACTTATTTTTGTTTACGAGTGCTCAAGAGAGTTTTGACGAGATTTGTTGATTTTATTTATAGTTTTAAGCAGACGTTGTTTTTGATTACATTCCATTTAATTTTGTTAGTGAGTGATTATTGTTGAATACATTTACGAATTTCAGCATTTTGTATTTTTCCAAGTCGTGCCTTTTAACCATGAATAATTTTACTTGTACACTATTCTTACTCATCTGTGTATTACATGTGTTTACTATGAAGTTTGTGTCAGAATAGATTTATGTGCTCTATTACTTGTTTCCTTCCCCTTAACAAAAACACAGATCCGTAAAAAATAGTCTCTATTTTAATAAAGTGGAGATAACAAAATAACAAGATCAACAAAAGCAAATTGTATAACAATAAATAATTCTTTACGAAACAGTTTAAAATGCTCAACCAATGTAAAAATATGACTTTTTTGTACATGACGTAACACAGCCTAACATGTGGTGAAGTAAAGTGGTTACTCAACTGTCATCATCAAATCTTCAGCTTCCAGTTTCATTCCCATGTTAACATCTAAAGTTTTAATAATACCGGCGATCGGACTTTGCACAACAGTTTCCATTTTCATGGCAGATAAAATTACCAATGGAGTTCCTTTCTCGACTTTCTCCCCAACTTTAACTCTAATATCAATAACAGTTCCAGGCATTGGGGCCCCCACTTGTTTCTTATTGGCCTTATCAGCTTTCGGATGAACGTGAATTTCTTTACCGGCATCCTTATCTCTTATCAGCACAGATCGAAGAGTTCCGTTCAATTCAAAGAACACTTCGCGTTCGCCATTCTCGGTCAGATCCTCAGCCATTGCTAGGGTTTTAATGCCCAAAGTTTTACCTTTCTCAATTGTCACTTCAAACTCTTCACCAACTTTTGGTCCTACGAGGAAAATTCTAGTGTCTAATTTATCGACAGGGCCGTATTGCTCTTTAAACGCTAAATATTCGTTTGTTACTTGCGGGTAGAGAGCTGCCGACATGACATCTCTGTCGGTAGCGTGAGGGAAAGTTTCTTTAAGGTCAGTCTTGAGTTTGTCAAATTCTAAGGGAGAAAGAGAGGCTCCGGGTCGGCCTTCGATGCGTGGCATGTCTCTGAGTACTTTCGAGCGTAGAGGTTCAGGGAACCCTCCGTAAGGTTGGCCAATGTGGCCTTGCAAATACTCCACTACTGATTTAGGGAAGGATAATTCTTCAGCTTTGTTTAACACGTCTTGAGGGCTGAGTTTGTTTTGGACCATGAATTGGGCTAGGTCACCCACGACTTTAGATGACGGAGTCACCTTTATAATGTCACCTAAGAGAATGTTAGCTTCGGCGTAAGCTTTCTTAACGTCTTCAAAGAAGTCGCCAAGACCTAGACAAAATATTAGAGGGACAAAAGACAAGTTTAGTGTAACTAACCGAGAGAATATGCTTGGAATTGGAGGTTTGTGTATTGACCCCCTGGAATTTCATTAATGTAAACATCAGCGTTTCCAGATTTCATGGTTGTGGTGCATTCGAATGGTGCATATAGAGTTCGTGTTTGTTCCCAATAAGCTGAATATTCGGACACATTGGAAAGGTCGATGTTTGTGTCAAGTTGAGTGCCTTGAAGACTTGCAACAATAGCACCCATACTTGGTTGACTTGTTAACCCTGACATTGAATCAACAGCAACGTCAACAACATCAGCACCAGCTTCAGCACAAGCCAACATAGCAGCGACACCAGCGCCACTAGTGTCATGAGTATGAATATGGATCGGGAGATCCGGGTATTTGTCACGAAGAGCACTCACTAGCATCCTAAATAAGCAATAGTAAGATTGATTTTGTATTTTTTTCTATATCTAACCTTCCAGCTGCCGGTTTCAATAACCCAGCCATGTCCTTGATTGCCAAAACATGTGTTCCAGCCTTGACCAGTTCTTCAGCAATGTTTAGGTAGTACTTGAGGTCGTATTTCTTTTTATTGGGATTGCTAACATCACCAGAGTAGGAAATAGCAGCTTCGACGATGCCTCCAGCTTTCCCTGCAGCTTCCATACCCACAATCAAATTTGGAAGATAATTCAATGAATCAAACACTCGAAACACGTCCATACCAGTTTGGACCTTAAACCCGAATCAAGCAAAAGTCTCAACGATGTTGGTCAACCTTACCGCTAATTCGCAGAATTTGAAAACAACATTGTCGGGATAATTTGTATAACCCACAGCGTTTGCTCCTCTAAGCAACATCTGGAAAGGAATATTTGGTATCAATTTTCTCATTTCCTCTAATCTTTCCCATGGACATTCGTGCAAAAACCTCAAAGCGACATCGAAAGTCGCCCCACCCCAGTTCTCCAAAGAGTACAACTGATTAAAATTGTGTGTAACGAAGGGCGAAATTCGCAACAGGTCGTGTGACCTGACTCTGGTGGCTAGAAGAGATTGATGGGCGTCGCGGTAGGTCGTGTCCATTAAAAGAAGGCCTTTGTGGTTGCGAACGGCCTTAGCGAAAGCTTCCGGACCTTGCTGTTTATAAATCTCGCGGAACCCTTTCGGCGGTTGGACGTCTGTCAAAGGCGCAAAAAAATCGATTACAAATCGGTTGCAATTTTTGTCGAATGAAAAAAAAAATGGAATTGTTTAATTAAATTTGTAATAAAAAAATAATGAGAAAAAATACTTTACTTGGTTTTTGGTCTGGGGTGTACGCCAGGTACTCTGTCAAACAAAAACAGAAGAGGCATGCTAATTAATAATGGAACTAAACAAACACAAATGGATAATTAACAAATTATAAAAACAAGGCGTTGAGTAAAGTGAGTATGGTGCTGTGCTAATGGGCCGAATGTTTTTGTTAATTGTTTCTGGAAATTTAAAAAAAACTTCTCATACTCTCCTTTACTAGATAGAGTATAATTTTTCACTAACAACCCACAGAAAAACAAATATTAATTTGGACAAACAAGCTTAGTAGTTAGTTTTTTCATAGTGTTGGTAGATTTTTCTGCTGGTTGTGATAAAGTAAAACAGTAAGACCCGATTTGACATAAATTCGGGTGTTATTGTACAATTTAAAACACAATAAAAGTAAATTCACAGTTGTTTTTACCTTGCGACACTTCTGGTAAATGAGGTTTAATATCGGAGGGTTTGTTGGTGGTGGCAAGCGGAGTTTGTGGTCCGTTGACCAGCACCTGCCCTAAATAATTGAGCAATTTTTGTGCTCTGTTTTGCGTTTGGGCGAAATTGAAAAGTTGTGGGTTTTCATCAATAAAGTAAGTATCGACCGAGCCATTCAAAAACTTCTGATTTTCCAACACATTCAAAAGGAAGGGAATGTTAGTTTTGACTCCTCGAACTCTGAATTCTCTCAAGGCCCGATTCATTTTCGCACAGGACGATTGCAAGTCTTTGGCATGTGCAATGACTTTGACTAGGAGTGAGTCATAGTAGGGCGAAATGATCGCTCCTGTAAACCCTGAAGCGCCATCTAGCCGAATCCCCATCCCTTCTCCTGAGCGGAACACCTCGATTCTCCCTGTATCTGGTTGGAAGTTCTTCGCAGGGTCCTCAGTGGTGACCCTGCATTGGATCGCAAACCCCTAAATTTGGGCTAGTACACCCTTTCTTACATTTGGTTTTATTATCTTACATTTGGTTTGATGTTATCCTGCGTAATCCCCATCTCTGGTAGTGTCACCCCTTCGGCAACTCGAAGTTGAGTTTGCACTAAATCAATTCCGGTGATTTCTTCCGTGACAGTGTGTTCGACTTGGAGTCGAGCGTTGACTTCGATGAAATAAAAATTGCCTTTTTGGTCACAAAGAAATTCGACGGTACCGGCGTTTTCGTAACCAACATGTCTGGCAAGTTTTACAGCCAAGTCGGTCATTTTGTTCCGGACGTTGACGTCCAAGTGTGGAGCTGGGGCCATTTCTACGACTTTCTGGTGGCGGCGCTGGACTGAACAATCACGCTCGAAGAGATGGACCACGTTGCCGGCTTTATCTCCCATTAATTGGACTTCGATGTGTCTTGGACGTTCGATGAATTTTTCGATAAACATGGCGCCGTTGCCGAAGGCACTGAGGGCTTCGGATGATGCTCTCTGGAAGTTTTCTTCCACTTCTTCCATCTTGCGGACCACTCGCATGCCACGTCCACCGCCGCCATAAGCGGCCTAAAATATGCCAAAATAATTCTTCATTTTTGCTTTTATAATTCTTGTTGAAGGATCGTATTCAACTTTTTTATGATTATCTAACCATATTTCTTACTCTCCATTTTGTGTTTCTTGTCCTTGAAATATGTTAACCTGATTTCGTGGAAGATGGTTTACAGGACAAAGGGAAATAAAAACCATTAAATTTGTCGCGACGTTTCGATACCTTTATTGTATCTTCCTCAGGCGAAGGAGGAGCGTGGGAAGCAACTCCTTGACTGTGTCATGCCTCCCACGTTCAGCCAACAAGAATTCTTCACCTGAGGAAGATACAATAAAGGTATCGAAACGTCGCGACGAATTTAATGGTTTTTATTTCCCTTTGTCCTGTAAACCATCTTCCACAAAATCAGGTTAACATATTTCTTATGCATATTTGGCTAAATGCTTTAATCATGTTTTGTGTTTCAGTTTTAGTGATCGAAATATGCAATTTTCAATTAATCACTCAATATTTTTTATTATTTATGTTATCATGTTTGAGCATACACCTTAATTATTAAATGGTATTGTAATTATTGCTTAAAAATTTAATTCAAGAAAAAATAATAGTTTTAATTACAAAATCATTATCTTTTTATGAGCAAAGTATAGGATGTTCCGACTAAACTCCACATTAGAAGTATCGGGAGTTCTGATATTGATATTTGTTTAAAAGTTTGTATATGGTTATAATCGGTTTAGGTCCCGCTTAATAAAAATATCTGCAAGTTGGTGGCAATTCCGGTTATACCGGAACTGAGTATCAATTTTGTTATTTAAAATAGAAAACTATGTTTTTTGGATTCCCTGAGTTATTCGATGAGAGGGGTTATCGATATTCAACAGTTTTTGAGATTTTTTGACTTTTTGAAGATTTTTAGATTTGAACCTTTCTTCTCAAAAACCGATAACTTTGCAATTTTTATAACTATGTATTATGAAATCGTTCTTGGGCAAATAAAAGAGAAAAATTCGATCTTTCCTTTGGTGGATTCATTCTGCTCAATGTTACCACCACAATTTCAAAGTCCAGACTGCTTTGCTTAAAAGTTCAGAAATTTAATTAACGCATATGGAAATGAAATCGGTGTTTTTGATTAGTTATCGAAGATATTTACGTCGAGTAATGAGTTTGCAGTTATGGGTACAAGAAAGGTCATCCGGAACAATGTAATTTATGGAAATTCAAATGTCGAAAAACAATTTATCGTACCTTAAAAATGACCGGTAGTCCGTGTTTGACGCAAAATTCCATGGCTTCTTCCTTGGTGGTAACCGGCCCATCAGTCCCCGGAACAATTGGAACACCTAGATGATTCCCAAAATTATTTATAATAATCATTTATCTCGATCTAGACTGCACCTGCTTCAATTGCTGCCTCTCTGGCAGCCACCTTATCTCCCATCTGATGCACGACTTTCGGCGATGGTCCGATAAACCTAATTCCGGCATCGATAACAGCTTGGGCAAAATCAGCCCTTTCTGAGAGGAAGCCATACCCTGGATGTACCGCATCAATGCCGTTGTCCTTACATATTTTTATTATCTCGGGTATGTTGAGGTAGGCCTGGACAGGTGGTAGGCCTTCACCCACTAAGTAACTCTCGTCGGCTTTGAGTCTGTGAATGTGGGCTCTGTCTTCTTTGGAGTAAATTGCAACTGATTTGATCCCTAGTTCGTTGCAAGCTCGGAATACTCTGACGGCGATTTCGCCTCGGTTTGCCACAAGGACGCTTCTTATTGGCTTGTATTCGATTTTTGTGGAAAAGTTGCATGTTGCAGGGAGGAAGGAGATGTGTTGGGTTGAACGGAGGAGGGTTTTGGAGCTGATGAGTCGCACTAACATTGCTGGAGGCCTTTCTGGTCGTACGGTCTGTAAACAACGACCAAAAATTTTAATTCACTTAATTGGGAGAAATACCTCAAGAGCGAATCACGCCTAATTATTTATACAGTTGTTCAAAGAACACACTACTATAAAACTACCAATCATTTGTGTTTGTATTGCGATGAATTGGATAATTCTAAAATAGATCTTTGTTTATAGTTAGAATTTAATCAAACATGAATTTATCTAAAAAATTACATATTTTATCTAGTGTAAATAATAATTTATTACAATTAAGGTTTTTTACAAATTATGAAGAGATAAAAAAATTCTTTCCTGTAACAATAAGTTGGTATTAAAACGTAGATAGGTACCTACACGTGAAAAGCAAACAATATAAATCGAGATTAAATTGATAAACGTGTCTGATGGATACTTTCTAATGTAAACAAATTTCGATCAAGTGATTTTTTAGTTTAGAAGATTACGGAAAAAATTTTTTAGTGAATTTAATTAACCTTAAAAGGCGACTTTAGAGAAAAACCGCCAGCACATGACACCAAAATTGCTTTTCAAGGCCAATTCAAGTCACAAATTTTTTGCAACACGCTAGCCATAAAAAATATTTAATGAGTTGAAATTGAGTTTATTTATTTAATAACTATAATTAGCTTTTTAGTTGATTAAGTGAAAAAACTTTAAATTATCTCTTTGAAATTTTTGTTCCATGTCATAAGGCATACATACATATTTGTTTGATTTTTTTATTGAATTATTATTAATTAACTAGATGTGGTGAGAGTTATCAGTGTTAACAGTTCAGATCACTCATCGGTGTTTATGTAACCACAATCGTGTGGTATTAGAGTTCACGTGAGTTGTAACAAGATTAAAAATAAGACATTATTTCCCGATATTATTAATACCTCAATATCGAAGATTAGATGGCAACACATTTTTATAATGAAGGTCAAATATTTTTTCATTAAATACAAACAATAGCAACTGAGCTGAGTAAAATTTACGTTTTCCTAAATATTTAGACGTTTTAAGTATGGTTACTTCGGTAATCGCACTCATTATTATAAGTAACGGTAATTATAAAATAAGTTAATAGGCTATAAATAGCCGTGTTAATAGTGTTTTATTTACATTAATTCTAGCAAGAAAAGTAAAAATATTGAACTTTAAAATTGATTGAGAAAATCGTTCCTTTGGACTTTGGACAAATCAGACTCATCATCAGTTCATCCCATATCTCCATTGCGTAATATTAAATGAGAAAAACAATAACAATTCATATTGGAGTAATTTATAGGATTTTGGAAGTTGTAAAATGCGCGTCTATAATTATTTTTAGCTTGGTTAGACACGAGTCTGAGACAGTTGTGTAGCTGACAATCATTTAAGATGAACTTGGTTTATTTTTACCTGCCCGAAAAAAACTAACGCAATTATTAGTGGAGCAAAACTTTTTCCAGACCAGACAGACACATGAATTAATTGTTAATTAAAGTAAAACAGATATTTTAAAGTATAATTAATGCTAATAAGAAAGCGAATGAACTTTGGAATTATTGTTTGGCAATCGTAATCCCCTCGGTGTCACTCTGAGGTGAACTCAGTTTGTTATTATCAACAAAAAAAATCGAATACCAGATTTAAAATTAGAGATTAAAAAATGTGATTAAGTAAATTAGGGGTTATTTATAAAAAACTATGAAAAAACGAGCACGCCACTGACGTGACATCAATAAGAGGGATCAATTTTCATTTGCCGGAAATGAAGACTTACACTTTAATTGAAGAAAATCACAAACCAGTCGTTCTCACTTTCAACGTTTCGAATATTCAGGCCGCAATGTTGCACTCACGCTGCAGTGTGGTGAGAAACACCGGTACGACCTGACCAATATTTTTAAATGAAGATAGAAAGCAAAGTCACCATAAAATGAACCTGAGGCGCATGCGAACTTTACTCCGGGTACACGATAAGAACGTAAATCAACGGATGATTCCGCTGAAAGTTCATAGATTTTTCAGTCTAATAAAAATAGAATCATTCAGTAGTAGACGACGTGGGGAATTTATCGCCACTTCCGATTTTTGTTTTTGTTTATTTTGTATATTTTGAAAACTGGGAAGAGTGGCGATGCGATAAGGTTTCTGTATACAAATAATGTTTACATTATGTCTTATGTACATAATGTTGCAACATTTTATGTTTTACAAGAAAATAATTAGTAGTTTTGGTTTAAGTAACTAGGTCAGTAGGTATGAGGAATTGTGCAAATTCCGGAGGCCCGGAGTTGTAGGTATTGCTGGTTGTCTAACTAGCAAAAATCCAAATTAGAGGGAATGTTTATAACGAAAGTTTTATCAGCTTGTGTAAACATTTACTAGTTTCTTAAAAAAATTAATATTTGATAAACTCTACTATTATTAGTTTCAAGTTTGGAACAAATAATTTTCGACAAGAGGTTAAGAGATAAAGAAAGGTTACATACATGTATTTTGCTAAATGTTTTCAAGTTTTTCTAAATGCATTTCAAACGTAAACAACGTGTGCATGTGATAAATACATTGAGACAAACATTTTGTTTTAATTTAATTTCTCCAAGTACAAAGTATACTTTTCTCTATTACAAAAAAATGTAAAAAAATATGATTGCTCTTTGCCACTGAACAATTTTATTTTTATTTGGTACATTCTATACATATAAAAAACAAAAACTCTAAAAACAAGAAAGTAATTTTGTTTGTTACAATTTCTCATACATTTTTATTGATCTGTACTTGGAAACTGGACTAGAAAGTGGATCAAAAAGCACGTGATGTTAAAAATATTGTGACAAAATGACATTAAAAGGTCTTCGTGTCTTTCTTAGGTCAAATGAAATAGTACTGTTGAAATTCGAGGGTTATTAAAGGTGATAACCCTCAATTTATTAATGTCATGTAATTAATTGTAAAAAAATTGATTTTTTGAACAAAATATTTTATAAAATTACAAATGGTAAAAGTAAGTAAGTTAATAAAATATTTTAAATACCTACTTCTAAGCCTATTCATAATTTGGCACAAAACAATTAAAAATGTAAAAAGTGGGTGTATGCAAAGGTGCCAAATTATTTATTATTATAGGAATAGGTGGACACTATTATACAAAACTTGTGATCCGCAAATTTTTACGTCATTTAACTTTTACAAAAGATAATTTTTTCAACTGAGTTCAAAGGCCAAGAAGTAAAAAAAATGTTGACAGGGATTTTATAACCTTAGTTATTGTTATTTCAAGCTTATTGACGTTGGCGGGGCTGGTTGGTGATTGGTCCATTGGTAAAACGTGGTCAAACATTATCATCATCATCTGTCATCAATTTGTCAATATTGACATTTCAAGTTATTAATATTTCGCGTTATGCAACCAAATATACAGGTGGCGAGCTAACCTATCAGATTTTACGTAAGTGGCGTGTGATATTTGCGTCATTATTTAAATATCTACTAGAATATTATCAAACAAATCAATTGTTTAAAAACGCGCAGTAATGAATTTAGTTTTAATGCCAATTGAGCGCATAAAACATTAGTGATTCAGGACTGTGCAATGCAAGGTGTTCTTTGATCAAGCAAATGAATTAGTTTAGTGGAAATTAGTAATAATGTGGGGCATTTTCTTTGTGTTTCTCTTGTCAAAATTAACTATCGTACAAAATCAAATCGTTTGGTATCAACCTGAGCAAGTCCATTTGGCTTATGGAAACACAGTTGATGAAATTGTGGTAACTTGGTCTACATTTAATGACACAACTGAATCTATTGTGGAATATGGGATAGGAGGCTTTATCCTCACAGCTAAGGGGGCCTCCAAGTTATTCATTGATGGGGGCGATCAGAAACGGTCACAATTCATACACACTGTTAGACTGGGAAACCTGACTTATAACTCACGCTATGGTGATGATTTTGTATTTTTGTTTCAAATAGTAATAACAGTATTGCAGTGTACCACTGTGGTAGTAGCCTGGGTTGGTCAGAGCAGTTTTGGTTTCAAACACCCCCTGAAGACAACTGGGAACCCCACTTGGCAATTTTTGGGGATATGGGTAATGAAAATGCCCAGTCTTTAGCCAGATTGCAGGAAGAGGCCCAAAGGGGGATGTACGATGCTATCCTACACGTTGGAGATTTTGCCTATGATATGGACTCTGTAAGTTGTGATAATTGTTTATCACAAGGACATTGTTTATGTTATAGCAAAACGCAGAAGTCGGTGACGCATTTATGCGCCAGATACAAGCAGTAGCAGCTTATTTGCCTTATATGACTTGTCCTGGAAACCATGAGGAAAAATAGTATGTATTTTGACCGACAGTCAGGCAGGAGTTAAGTTTCCGTTTCAGCAATTTCAGTAACTATCGCCAGCGTTTCAGCATGCCGGGGGGCTCAGATTCGCTCATGTTCAGTATGAATATTGGCCCAATGCACGTTATTTCAATCTCAACTGAAGTCTACTACTTTCTCAACTATGGTATTAAACAATTGGTGTTTCAGTATGAGTGGCTTGAGGAAGATTTGATTAAAGCAAACTTGCTGGAAAACCGACAGAAACAGCCTTGGGTTGTGGTGATGGGGCACCGCCCTATGTACTGTAGTAACTCAAATACCGACGATTGTACCCACCATGAGACTCTCACTCGAGTTGGCTTGCCTTTTTTGCATTATTTCGGTCTTGAACAACTCTTGTATGACTATGGGGTCGATTTAGAAATTTGGGCACATGAGCATTCATATGAAAGGCTTTGGCCGATTTACGATTACCAGGTTTACAACGGGTCGTATGAACAACCATATGTCAATCCTGGAGCCCCCATCCATATCGTTACTGGGTCTGCGGGGTGTAAGGAAGGGAGAGAAGATTTTAACGCGACAAGGCCCCCATGGTCGGCTTTTATTAGCCGGGACTATGGATACACCAGATTAAAAGCGTATAATGCGACGCACTTGTATTTAGAACAAGTTTCAGACGATAAACAAGGAGCTGTGATTGATTCGTTATGGATTGTTAAAGATAAACACGAACCATATAAGTTTTCTAAAGTAGATTGGGGAAAATGGACAGTTTGAGATTGAGAAATCTAACTGTTTAGATTTGTTTATTACCAAACATGTATTATCTAGATATGCTTTAATGCAATGTCGTGAAACCAAATAGCGCAATTTTAGATATCAGTACTTGTAGATTGTTATATTTTTATTTTATCACTTCGCGTGCAAATTAAAATTGGAATTTTGATGATTTAACAATGCGAACCTTACAAATGTAAATAAAACGAGTATTTAAACAATGATATTTTTATTTGAGGATTTCAAAAATACAAATAGGGTTTTTTATTTTAAGAGTTGGCTATAGTTTTAAGTAATTGCAAGCTGGCAATCGCTTGTTGATGTCAAGACATTTCAAAACCGTTTATTATCTAAATCACAGGAATTTTGATGCTTTTGCAATGCGAACCTTATAAAATCCCATGTAAAAACGAGTCGATAAACAATAGTATTTTAATTTGAGGATATCAAAAATCTAAATAGGGTTTTTTATTTTACAAGTTGGCAACTGTTTGTCGACGCCGAGAGTTAAAAAAAAACACGTCAGACGTCAAGCCAGGTTCAAAAAATGTCAAAAATTGTTTGTAATATACTGAAATAGTTGTGGTGCGCAAATAAAGACATATGGATCGTTCGGGAATTTGTGAAATGAGAATTAAACGGTTCGCGTATTTACTTGTTGCTATTGGTTTAATCGTGACAATTTGGAAGCTTTCCATAATCGAGTCAAGTAATGTACCCCCTAATGTATCATCAGTTCACTCATCTTCTATTTTTAGCTGTTGACAATTTAAAAACCTTCAAAGCTCTAAGCGTTTACAAGAACGAACTCGAGTTAACTCAGAGGCAGTTGATGGTATTTCAACAAATATACAGAAAGACGAACTATTTCAAAAATTTTCCAATCATCTATGCCGTGACCCCCACGTATTGGAGGCTAGTGCAAAAAGCGGAACTTACGAGAATATCACAAACCTTGCAGTTAGTGCCAAATGTGCACTGGGTTGTGGTTGAAGATTCTGATACCAAAACTGATCTAGTGAGGGCCCTTTTAGCTGATTCAGGGTTGAATTTTACACATTTGAATGCCAAAACGCCGCCTTTTGAGCAGTTGAAGGATAAAGTGGGTAACTAGTGCGTTTTTCAAAGCCAATAATGCATAATTTTTCTAGGACCCAAGATGGACACGTCACCGAGGCGTGGAACAAAGAAACGCCGCTTTGAATTGGCTGCGGCAAAATTTGAAAATTGGGAAAGATAAAGGAGTTGTTTATTTTATGGACGACGATAACACGTATAATGTGAAAGTTTTCCAAGAGGTAAAAACAATGGTAAATTTGATGATTAAGTTGTTTGTGTTTTGTAGATGAATAAAATAAAACGAGTTGGTGTGTGGCCCGTGGGCCTTGTTGGAGGCTTGAACGCAGAGACACCAATCCTGGATAAAGACACTGGTATTTGACTTACTGTGTTTATTACTTTTCTAAATTGTTTTTTATAGGAAGAGTCATAGGGTATAAAAGTGGTTGGAGGCCTGACAGGCCCTTTGCTATAGATATGGCAGGTTTTGCCATAAATTTAGACCTAATTTTGTCTAAAACAGACGCTGTGTTTTCGTATAAAGTGGAGAAAGGTTACCAAGAAAGCGAGTTTCTCACTTATTTTACAACCAAAGAAGAGTTGGAACCTTTAGCTGATAATTGTACAAAAGTTTACGTGTGGCATACAAGGACAGAGAAGCCGAATGTAAAGGGAGTAGTGCCAGGTTTAGAAGTCTAAACATCTTTTATTTATACATTTTAAACGTTTCTTTTATTTTTTTAAGCGCATATGATATAACAAACAAGACAAATCTGTGATAGACAATTGTACTTCCTGTCAGTTTTTACAGCTTGAAGTAATGAAAACAATAAAGATAAAAAAATAAACATCGTTTCATAATTTACCACTCCACATAATTATCGTTTCAACTTTAATTTATGCCATGTCTAATAGTCGGTTTAAAGAGGTGGGAACCCAGTTAGTGTTATTTTGTGACGAGAAAACGACATTTCTGTCGATGTAACATTGAAGTCCGTTGGACCCTATCCTGTATACTTGTTTAGCCTCGTAATATTTGTTTGGGATAGGGACAAACAAAATACCACGTTCTTCGCATCTTTTCGCGACTAAATCTTTGTAAAGTGGAGGTATTTTCGAAGCGGACCTTACAGTTTCAGCAAAACTCTGCAAAAATTACAAATCAAAATCATTTCAGACTGAGTTAAATAATTACTTCAACTCGAGGTGGTGGCGGAGGTGGCGGTGCGTTATTTTCCATACTCAAATACGAGATCGATTCTTTGGCCCCTGGTTGTTGGCCGATATTCACCGCTCGGTTCATAATCTCAAGAGCTGTATGGAAATTTTCTGCAAGAAAAAGTTATAATGATTACTGGTACATTTTTCCAAATTGAACCTTTAATGGTCGGTTGTGCTAATAACTCGTCTGACAACATATGTTTCCACCCCGTGTACCAATCAGTGACTTCGGCATAATTCGGGTTGTGGTTCAACCACATGGCTAGAGTTTGCCGCCATCTTGGGAAGAAAAACTTATCCAGAATTAACGTCATATTCCCCACTGATAACATATCGCTCCAATCCATAACCCAATACCACGCGTCTGAAATTATTTCGATTAGTTTTTGTTTGTTGGTGATGACAGGAAAGCAACCTAAATGTTGTTGATGTGGATTTATAACTAAATTTTGCATACAAAGCTGTAATTTCGGTACAATGTGTTTGAGAAGGAATGCGACGAAAACGCCATCTGGCAAAACTCTTTGCCATGGTTTTAACATGGGTTTAGCTGATTTATCCGAAGGGTGCCAGTTTGTTAAAGCCACTCCTAGTTTCTCTTGAATGATTGGATAAATAATAGCTTGAAGTCTGGTATCGAGTAAAGGTATCCAAGGATGTATCCAGACATGAATTGGGATTGTGTCTGTCAAGGGATTCCAGATATTGACTTCAGCCTGGATTCTAGGCATGATAAGTTGGTCGTAAATGTTGTCCAATATCCACTGCGGCAATAACGGCATCCAGGTTTCAATCAGTGTTATCAAAGGATCACAATCCTTGGGATTCCACGAACTGCAAAGAAATCGAATCGACTTAGATTTTTTTCCAGACATGTTTTTGTTTTTTTGCTAATTATCAAAGAATGGTGAATATACAGCACACACGACCATAATACAAAATTCGTGTTATTAGAAAACCTAAACGTCCTAAAGTGACAGCGAGTGTCGGAAATCCGGATATAGACAAACAATAAAGTAACTTACCTAACACAAATTCGCATTACAGGCATCCAAGTGTGCCATAAGAGACTATCATATGGCTGAATTCCCATATTATTACCTTCTAGTGTCCCACGTTGTCTGGGCTTCTCCAGAATGTCCTTCCAACGGGCAAAAATTTCCTTGTATTGCTTGGGATTGGTCAATGGCGACCAACTGGCGAGGGCTGATGTCAAAAGAGGACCTACTAAACCAGGGGCCAATTCACCTAATTCGTACCTCACAAACTCTTCATAATGGTTTTCCTGAAATTGCATTCATAAATTTAGCTCATTTGAAGTAATAAATAAAATCATTACCAATAAATTATTGAAAATTTGTGCTACTTGAAGCAAGGACAGCCCCAAATCGGGATTTAACAACTTGTCCACTATTTCAATAACATCTTTTAAATTATCAACAACTTCACTCTCTCTTTGTACTTGATTTTTCAAAGTTTCTTGTTCCTGTCTGAGTGCAACAATTTTATCCTGATTAAACCTTGTATTTCTATCTATTCTAATAATATCCTACAAAATATAAATTAATCACAAAAACTACAATTTAATAATTTAGAAAACCTGTTCACAGATATCAACTAAAACATCCAGATTGTGTTGTATTTCAGGTAAAGTAAAGTTTGAACATTTTTTATGTACAACATCTTCAAAATGTTCAACCCCTGGGGGTGCTTTGAGTCCACTTAGTGCGTGATACCCGCTCAGAACCCTCTGTTGGGGCCCCGTCATATCAATGACTTTGACTTTGCTTAATTCACTTCCAAAACCCATGTTTCTAAAAGCCCCTGGCCTCTTGCCTTTTTCTATCACATCATCTACGCTACGATAATAATAACGCGTTTTTTTCTTAGACATGTCATTTTTCTTCCACTTGTGATCGGTGTTTTCATCTTCAATTTCTTCCTTGATTTCCTGTAAAATCCCAGATTCAAAATTTTTATTTACAAGACAAATTCAATTACTTTTTTCTTTGGAATGCTTGCCGCCTTTTCAGGGCCATATGCGCCTATCGCCCCTCTGCCCTTTCTCAAGTGGGCCTCAACCGGGGCTGCGATACCTTGTAAATCTTTTCCGAGACCTTTCCCCGGTTGAAAACCCATCTGTAAGAGAAGCTTTGCCCCAATCCCTTTTGTGTGTTTCTCCCAATTTCCCATCCCTTGCATTGTTTGCGCGCTAGTTTTATTTCTTAAACCTGCAATTTCCCCACTTTCTTGTGCACCACCAAACCCTGAAATAGTATTTTCGTCACAAGTTTGGTATTCTTTGACTCTACCTGGCCTAGGGCGTTCATCCTCTGAGTCACTTGAACTATCCTTCAGTTTAAAGGAAGTAGTTGGTTTTTCATCATCACTTTCTTCTTCCTTCTTAACATGGTCGGTTTTTTTGCCCGCTTGTTGGACACCCCCAGCAACAAAACCAATAGGGGCGGAGTAATTCTTAGGTTTTCGTGACTTAAACGAAGGTCTCTCGTCTTCGTCATTATCACTGTCGTCTGCCCATATACCTAGATGTAACTAGTCGTTAATTTGGGTTTGTTCCACCTAAATGGGTAGATAGTAGATGTGGATTCAAGTTGTTACCATAAATCTGCTGGTGTTTGCTTAACTTTTTTCTACCACGGTAAAACTCATTGTTTAAATCGTAATCCGTTATCTCGAACTTTTCCATCTCGTCGTCCGACATTTTCGGAGCGTTTTTCAACACTTTCACAACAAATTAATCGATCACTGGTGGCAAAAAACTTTAGGTTATGTTTTGCGTCAGATTTCGCGTAGGCAACGCCACGGTACAGCTGTCAAAACAAGAGCGGGAATTTTAAATTTTAGTGCGGACAAAAAATATTTGGTCACTATAAAGTAAACGATAAGCAAAATGTTTCAAATACCAACTTGATCAATTGTATTTTTAAAATTTTATTGCAAATAAACCAGGCAAAACAGCCCTCAAGTGTTGAGTTGTTGTTGTTGTTACTGGAGTAAAAAAATGACTTCCAAAGACGGTACATACGAAGTGATCCAGAAAGACTAACTCTGTTGGTAACAGATTTGAATGTATTTTTGTTAATAATTTGAAACAGTACAACCGGATACGGTTGTACAACTCTACAAGATTGTTGAATTGTTGTTAATCAAAAGCGTAGTTCAGTGGTTAGCTTTAAAAATTAGAGTCAGTATTGCCAACAGATTCATTAATTGTGGATTACTTTGTACATAGGCACAAATATACTTTTTGAAAAAATAAACACGTTTTAAGTATTTACTGAAAAACGTTTTTTTGAGTACTTTTACAACAAGCGAGTGCAAAATATACAAATCTCACTCTCGACAGTATCTCATAAATAAGAGCTTAGAGAAAACGACACGAAAGAAGCGTAATTAGTTACTCATGAAGGCTAGATTGGACGAAACAAAAGACTGAAATGGATGTATACGAAAACAACCCTTTCTGCATAATTAAGTAGGATTGAACTGACACAAAGATGAATGTCGGGAACAATTAAAGTTAGGAAAAGTGACTCAACAAACAACTGTTTATTCCAAAAGAGCAAATAATAATTATTTATCAGTATTTTTCACAATTTACTATCGATTTGCCACCTTGGGGACGGGAACGTGAGCAATCTGGAGTTTGATCGGAAGTTGCCACTTGAATATCTATGTAAAAGCACCGAGAAAGGACAGTTTCGTTTCTCAGAACAGTCAAGAAAGTAAATAAAGCCAGAAATAAGAAAATAAGAACACAACCTTCAAAATTTATCACATCGAATTTTTAAATTCTGGGTTTGTTATTGAAAGCGTAATTAAACGCAAAACCTCGTTTAAAAAGTTTATCAAACGCATTGATAATATAAACTGGCAGTGAGTAAATGCTTCCCGAATCTGTGATGGCACTTAGTCGGACATAACACACGGTGTAATCGACGCTTTGCGTCTGGACTCTTAAAACGGCGTTTGCTTGGCGTCTAGAGGATTATCAGCGACGCTTGGCGTCAGTAACCGGCATCCGTCGTCCGTGGATGCATGTTGGCAGATCGAGGAGCGGTAGTGCGCGTGTTTAAACCAGCTTTCGTTTAAACAATTTGTAAGTAAAGTTGTTCAAAATCCCACAATGACACCAAAAAACTGAAATAGGATTTTTGCTATTGAGAGAAAAATGGTGGAGGCGCCGGTTCAGCGCTTTGGCGCTCAAGTTCTGAGAGAAAAAAATTGAAATATTTTATGACTCAATTTGTAATTGCTTGCAGAAAAAAAATCAAATGTGACATTATCGTGACGTAATTGTCGGCGAGAGAGATGATTTAATGTGTACTTTGAGTAAACAGTTCATTAACAATTATTTTTACATTCCAAAAACCACTATTTAGGTTCTAATCCCGGACAAAGGTTGTAATTAAACTTACACAAAATCTAGTCCAATTTTAATTGACTTGAGAGAAGTATAAATTAACCTTTTGGATACAAAGTAATTTGATTTGGGTTTCTGTCTGTTTATGATTTGGTCTTTCTTCCTAAAAAGCTTGATTTTTATTCAAATGATTTACAAATTCAAAGTTGATTTTTGCAAGTTTTTAATTAATTTACATTTCCGCAATAACACTTCTTCGAATTTATTATTTGCAAGGGCATTTTGTATGTAAAGATAATTAAATAATTAAGTAGAGTTAGTAAAATTTCATGCAAGTGTTCTGTTAAAATTGGGTGTATTTTCTTTGTTTGTCGCTATTATCCTTCGTTGCAGACGAGCGGAACTGTGAAGTTATGGTTCATTCTCTTTTATATTGACACAGTACGTTGCCCACCTCAATTTGAGGAAAATTATAATTACAAAAGAAACTCTATTCTTAGCCCCACCAAATCCCTCGAGTAATATCATGACAGCTTTCAGGTGCTGTTAAACACAGCAACTCCATTTAAAATTGCCGCAATGGCAATTAGAGGCTTTAGTAATAATTAATTCACCGATTCAGCAACGATTGGGGTGCAATCTCAAAGTACAGATAATTCTCGTAAAAACATCAAATATTCCTGCTTTTATTAAACAAATTAAAACTGCCATTAGCAGAGTTTCTGGTTAAAAGCTGTTGATTTTCAGAGTTTTCTCGAGTCAATAACGAGGAGTAAAATAAAGGTCGGAGTAAAAATTAGTGAGCGAGTTCTTGCAAGAGTTCCATCTGGATAGAATACGGAGAAAATCACGGGCTATCGCCGCAAAACGCGGCAAAAAAGTCAAGGTAAGTAATGGAATATTTATTCGAGTCAAAGAGAAGTCACTACAAATCGTGTCGATTCTCGATTCGATCAAACGCTTTTATATTTTTCTTTTCAATAACTCACTCTACAGCCTGATAATGGTCGTTAGTGTCAAAATGGAGCGTGATGGATTCAGGTCCACTCTACATAGATTGAGAGGCCTCTAGAGAGACATGAGGAAATCTTCTAAAAATATTTCTCGCTTTAACCGGCAAATTTTTATCCAAAATTGTCAAAAATTAGTGCCAAGTAGCGTCTTTTACAACCGGAATTGCAGTAAAAACCTCTAATAAGGGGGTGTTATTGGGTTAAAAACAAGGCCTGAAAATTTTTACAACCCTCGTAAAGATTATAATTGAAAATGAGCATAAAAATTTTATGCATCAGTTCCACTAAAAGTCACATCATTGTGGTCATAAATTGAAAATTGTTTGAATTGTTTGTCTAATTCGAACTGCAATTTCCGGTGTCAAGACGGGCCTTATTAGTGCCTCGAGGTATTTACAACAGAGTTAATAAACAGTGATAGTTTTCCAGTTTTGGGGTCAGAGGTCATAAACACGTTTTGTTAAAATGGTGCTAGTGTTGCATTTCGGGACGTTAAAAACGAATATTCGTTTTATTGCTGTCGTAGAGAGGATGCATCATTGTTAGGGCATTTTTAGAAGTCGAACTTTATTAACTTTGTTATCGTCCAGTTTTGTTTGTGTTTTAAATAAAACGGGACCGTCAAACAACGAAAATCAAACATTTGAGAACAAAAATGAATTTTTCGAGAAACTTAAATACGATGCAAAATTAAACATCAAAAAGACAAATAGTACAGTTTTGAGGCAATAATTTACAAACAATATTACTTAAACTAAAAATAAACAAATTGGGAATCACCAAAGCAATAGCCAATTTTGTCACAACCGGTTTCTATCAGTTAAGTGGTGACATTATTGAATATTTAATGAAAGCAGGGCTTTATCTCATTATCAACTTATCGGAATGAAGTAATATAAAATGTTATTTGCCGCTAATAAATAGGACCCTCCTGTTCAAATAAATTTACAGCAAAATTCATGTCAGTCCAACGCAAACATTGTTGTAGCGTTAATATCTTCACAACAATATTTTTATCAATGATTATTTTAATACTTTAAGCTCTGTGTGATAATATGTACCGCACAAATGAGAATTGTCATTAGTCCAATTTTCCCAGTATTGTGTAGTAAATACAGGATGATATTCATTTCTAGTCACTGAAGAATGCAATAATCCGAAATCTAAACACTTTGTCATTCGGTATTAAATTGGCCGAAACATTTCAGGAATTATAAAGCTATTAATTTCAAATTTATCGCAATGTTGTTTTGCAATTGACTTGTGCGAAAACAGGTTTTACAATCATAACTTCCGATTATTTTAAAAATATTGTACAATTTTTTTTTATTTAACTAGAGTAACTAGGTAATCCTTTTTTGTGAAAGGTTGAAACACATTATAAATTTTCCATAAACACCAGAAAATATTTCTGTAACTTTGAAAATTTTCACCTTAATTATTTAAGTGTTTCAAACTTTTCCCTTTTTAAACCTCCCTTCAAACAAAAGCTTAAGTTCATTGTGAAGCTTGGAGTTTAATTAAGTTTGTAAAAAATCACTAATTTTACGACCGAATAGTTTGGAATGTTTGATCGAAGAAGGTGATTGATTACGTGCTATGCAACACCTTCAAATTCCCTAAAATCCGAGTTTTATGATCTTTAATCGAAAAAATATTTATTCAAAAACTGTAAAATAACACATTTCTTTTAATTTTTATAATGTAATCTGCTTTAAGTTTAAAAAATAATATTTATATGTGTCAGAGTTAAAATAGATTTGTGCTGTTTTCAATTTACACGCTACAAGTTGTTTTCAGGATAAAAAAGTTGCCTGTGGTCACAACTCCATATTGTAAGGCCTTTCAACGGGCGTTTTTATTTCTGCGAAACAGAATTTATATATTTACAACTCTATTCTTGCGTATTTTTGTATTTTCGTCGGCCTTTGTTTGGATTTTTGATAAACGACATCTCCGACTATTACAAGATAAAAAGTTGGGACCGCACCAAAGGTCCTTGCCCCTTCTAGTCGATATTTTATGGACTTTGTTCCCACAAACAAGACTGAATCGAATGTTTGTAATGCAGGGGCCTTAATGGATCATTAAAGAGATGACTCAAATTCAACCCTTTATTGATGACGTACTTTAACCTTCAGAAATCATAATTATAATTATATTGCCCTAGATGCACTAACAAATATTAATTAATTAACCTTAATTGCCCGACGGAATATCATGTATCAAGGCAAAGGCTCAGAAAAAATATTTTTCTTTGTACGGATGAAATTTCACGTTTTATGTGTTTTGGGGAAATCGTGAGACAATATTGTGAGGTTTTAGCATAATTAGAACGACTTGCAAGGTTTCAAATGGTGAAGCGACTTGCAAGACTTTCATTTGGCAAAAGGCCAGGTTTGTGGAGGAGAATCGGGAGTTAATGATACAAAGGCGGTGATGTTGCAATAACTGAAATGGAATGAGATATAACTTTACAAATGAAACAAAATTATATTTCGTGTGACAAAAACTTTCATTAAAAACTAAGAAAATCATACAGCTGAAAATAAAATATTGGTTCATGAACATTATCGAATCTTAAAAAAAGATTAATGGACTTTGACGACGTGTGTTGGCAGATTTTCCAGCGCCTGAGCTTGTCTAAAGACGATTAAACAACCAAACGATGACATTTTTTTTAACTATTTAGATGTATTTGAACGGATTTTTTCTACTTGTCCTGCTCCAAAGACTTAAATTATTCCCTTTACCCTTTGTTTCCTTTTTTCGGAAGATTAATTCAACAAGCCTTATTAATCCAACAATATTTTATTCATAATAAATGTGGCAATAAAAAATAATACGAATATTTAACTTACCCTTACATCTTTTGTCTTATAAATTCATTTTTTCAAGTTAAAAAATTAAAACATTGTCAAAATTTATGTTCATCGTTTTAAGGCTAAAAGTAAAAAATCTTTCAAGTTAAAAAATTAAAACATTGTCAAAATTTATGTTCATCGTTTTAAGGCTAAAAGTAAAAAATCTTTACATATTAGGACCATTTAACATTCTAAAATTTATCTTTGTCTTCCGCATTGCGTGGTTTCGCCACTGCTTTAACCAAAGGATGAGTCCTAATCCGGGTTTATTTATCCTCAGAACCGGATTTGATACCGAGAAGTTTTCGGATGGATTTAATGCAATTTTTTGGAGGATGTCGAAGTTTCAATTTGAAATAATAATAAACAAGACTTTTGACCTAAAAGCCAAATTGGGGCATACAACCCCAACTACAAATCCTGCAACCGCAGGATCACCTTTCGTCGGCGACCCTTATTAAAGTTGCAGTCGATTTGGTTTACTTTCTCTCGGCCTCACTGCTTTATTTATGTGGTAATACTTTACAAAACATTAAATTTTGCTGTGCCATCAACGACAAAATCCCTCACTTTAAACATAAACAAGCCGCTAAATCACAATTTGTGAATTTTTGGTTAATTAGGACAGTGGCTATCATAAATCACACTTTTGACACTTTAACTAAATGGTGTTATTTGAAAATAAGTGGAACGAGTTATGGAGCTTTCTCAAACACCCCCCCACAAGCCCGGAGTCCCGGAGTCGATAACCTACCTGCAATCATAAAGGTCTTTGACACTGTGACCTAATGATTGCACTGCACCGTCACGGTTACCTATAAACCGCTGTGGTGGATCGCGATTTAGGGGTGGCGTGCCGGCTTTGCGTGTTGCAATGCACAATATAACCCCATTAACCCCGTTTGTAATGCGATTGGAAATTACACTTCCATTCGGCAGATTTTAATTTCATTTCGGTTTTTATTGCGGTGGTGAATCCGGATTTTTTCCGAAGAAAGTAAAATTAAAATAATTTTGTCATTTGGGGGGGTGGTGTGCAGAAACACAATTTAAATAATAATATAATGTGATTAGATTGTATCGCTAGATTGAAATTTGCAGTGATGAGACTCTTTCCCGAACGTTCGCCTTAATTTTATCATTGGAAGCAAAGGAAAATGGTCGTTAAATTTTTACGACATCAGCGAATATTTCACAGAAGGCGCTTGCGTAACTCGGGGTTACAGAGTATTCAAATATGCAAATTCGGCCGTTAATTTTATGCACTTGCCTTCAATGTAAATTCCACAAAACCGAAAATGTATATTTCATACGAAATAGATGTAAATGTCAATTCGCTTTGCTTCGATGTTTATATTTGCAATGTTGATTAATTGATGTCTGTTTATGTTTCGTTCTTAAAATACATTAGGAAATTTTTCTTAACGTAAACAAGCTTTTTGGCGGAGTTTCTCTGCTCATTGTAAGGAGCATTGTAAGGAGCACTTACACACCTTTTAATATTAAATCGCCGCCAAACATCAAAGATAGGTTTTAGAATCTAAATTAAAATTAAAATAATCCTCGACCATTTTTTTATTACATTATTTTTAAGAGAATTCTTTTGAATTAGGTACAATGGAAACATCTTGTTAAAATAATTTTTGGCTTTGCAAAGAAGGTCAAAAAGTTCTAAAAAAGCGTAACAAACAACATAACAAAATTATTAAAAAACCTTAGAAAACAAAGTAATAATACAAAGTAAGTAATATCGATCAAGATAATTTGTAACCGAGTCAACCTTGGATTCGAAAACGTATGTCTGTAAAATATCAAGTAAAATGACAAGTCGAAAAGTAAAATGGCATGATCAAAAAGGTGATGATTATAATAACTAAATTTATAATTTATCTTCAAAAAAGAGCGGTCCTACTCGTATTATTATACGTCGGCAACTAATTCCAGCCTATTTTGCCGTTTTACCTTTTGACTTGTCATTTTATTTGACGTTTCACGTGCAGTTAGACATACGTTCTCGGATGCAAAGGTGACTCAATTACAAGTTATCTTGATCGCTCGATATAAACAAAAGATAAACATAAATGGGTAAATTAGTAACCATTGAATCCACGATAATGCAGTAAAAAGGAGGCAAATTTATTAAAAGTATAAAAACGTTGAAATTTGTTTAAAAGTAGAATAAAAACTCGAAGATATGAACATAAGATTGTAATAAAATAAAACACTTAAAGATAACTTGTTAGAATTTTTGTTTTGTTTAAAAGATAAACAAAAAAGGATATTAAAAGCAACGCAAACAAAAATAGACTAAACATTCTTGACCTAGCTAAAAAAAAAAATTCAATTATATTCGGAATTTTAAAACGGCAATATGCTGTTGGTTACTATTGAAGAATGATTCATTGTTTTCTGCATAAAAACATTACCCTCGAAAAGAGAAACTTTAGAAATGCTATTTTTAAATGAGAAAAATTATCGTTCTAATTTAATTGCTCTTTTAATTATAAAATCAAGTTAATTGGTACAATATTCAAGCAGCACTTGGTAAATTCCCTTTAACTAGCTTGCAAAAGAAAAAAATCTACAAGCAACAAGAAATTTAAAAAATCGCTTATGAAGAATTTCAGACGACATTAATTTGAATTTGTATTTTATGCCAAGTTTTCCTATTTGTTTCCTCTGATCTTTCAATTCGCTTATCTAATCCAAACAAACTGAACTTGTGTCAAATGCATCTCTGCAACTTAAAATAAATCATAAGTTTCTAATGCTCGTAATAAATTTTCAGTTTTCGTTTGTGTATTTAGCGTTCAGTTTTCTCGAACAACATTAACAGCCTTAGAATCCAAATTACGAGGAATAAATTAAAGCCGAAAGCTGTCGTATTTTAAAAACCATTCTCAAGCTTTGTCGATATTGATTTAATATAAGCCGAATTTAAGGCGATTAAAAGCTCTGCGTTGAACACTTTTCGTAATTAACTCGTAAAAATGCACTTGTGAGAGAGGAACCCTCAGAGGTAACATTTATTTTCAAAATTCCGAGAAATAAAGCAATGACGCCTGAAAGCACCTGAAAAAGCGGAAAATTCGTCCTCGATATACACCACGGCTGAAATGCGATCTGTTTGTCCTGGTGAAGTGTTGACGCAGGATGACGTATTTTCGATATTAAAAACAGGACATCAAGCTGGATTGTTATAGGATGCAATAAAGTGATAAAAATATTAGTTTTATTACAGTCGGCAAAGTGGAGACGAGAAAAAACACCAAGAATTGCACAAAGGAGCGAATCTTTGTATCAATCCAATATTTTTAGGCGAAGCCACGAAGCTATCAAGGCACTTAAGGTGGCCTGTTGAATTTTAAACACCACTATCTGACTCCGTTAATATATCAGCCATTATTAAGGCTCGGAAATTTTTATGATGAGTGCTAACTTCGTTCCGTGCTCTAAATTAAATAGTAGAGTGGATTAGGAGCGAATAAATTTCATTGGAGTATTTTTATTTGTTACAATTTAGATAAACACAAAATGTTTTTGTATGGTTTGTGAGATTTGTTTACTTGTGGTCTTTGTAAGGGTTTGATAATGATAGTTTTATTATTTATTTAAGAAACACACAATTTATTCGCGAATTAAATAAATAAACTGAAATAGAAATAGTTCTTTTAGTTGTCGATGTTTCAAGTTCCTAAAAATTAATAAACAAACTAAAATATTGGGCACGTGAAACCTTCTCTGCTAATTGCCGGTATCACATCCAATTATTGAGAGCCGGACCTGCAACGCGTACATAAATTTTCCGCTGATGCTAGTGGAAAAGCGGGAATTTGTGGCTTCTCTCCTAATAACAACAAATCACTTCATTTCAAGGTACCGAGAGAATTCGAAATCGAACATCAATTTTGGCCTCAATAAAATCTCATCATTTCTGTCAAATGCAATTAAATCATTACTCGCCTCGAAGTTGACTTGATTATCATATATTACCAACATTTCTGTGGAATCAACAATGTGTATTCCTGGAATGTTATTAAAAACGTGGAGACTCTTAAAAATAAAATTTGCAGCGAAATGGAACTTATACAACTTCATTTCGTGTCTTTTATGACAGAAATCTTGCCTACTCAACGTAAAAATTTCATTGCAAATTTGCTTCGGTAATGATATTTTTATTCAAAATGTAAAAACCGCACTCAATTTGATAATAGAATTCGAAATTACGGGATAAAACCAAAATATGCTAAAGAATGCAAAGTCTTTCCTCTTCAACTTGGGACGTCTTAAGGGCACAAAGTCGGGCTTAATTGCCAACTACTGCAAGAAATTAAACTTTTCAAAAAAAAACCGTTTTATTCGCGAGTCTGATTCAGAATAGCGTGAATCCCATATTAAATACGATTAGAATTCACAAAAATTTGTTGTTCATATTTTAATTGATGAAAATTCAAGTATTTTCATTGTGTGTTTTGAAAAAGAAAAAAGATGCCAAAAGCCTATCTTTTCTCTTTTGATTAATAATTTTGTCGAGATATTTAAAAGAATATCAAAAATTGAGACAAGTTTTAACTTTTTTTGTGTAGAGGATGCAAATTTACTTAAAAAAACAGCCGTTTTTTTATGTGAATATCTTCGCACAAGGTTCTCCCTACTCATACATCATCTCAGCGTTATTTTCAGCTAAACCATAAATTTCAATAAGCCCAACCGTCATTTGAATATGTACAGGAAAACTAGAAAACTAGATTTTCGGACTTGTATGTTGGCGGAAGTCGTAAATATCGACCACACTCTCTTATAGGAAGATGTCGAGGAGTCAAGAGCTTTCTCTCTATTCTTCGCAATTTGCAGAGCCGTAACCTAATTACGCCCTATTTTAAAATTCCGTTACAAAAAGCTCGAGTGATAATAAAAAAATAAAACATTGATTTATTTTTTGTTGCAGTTCTCCGAATGGACGGATCATGACAAAGACACACCGGATATCGGTAAGTTGTCAGGTTTATACAATTTTCAGGACTTGCTGCAACTGAAAATTCTTAATTTATTATGCACACGGTGTCGCGTTTATTCTCTATAATTTTACGACGTTAGACTGAATTTAATAAGAAAAGAAGATGAGGAGCAAAAACAAATTAATAAAACGGGAGGAAGGGTGAATATTAGCTCTTTATTAAAGTGCGTCGCATTTGTAATGGATGGATTTATTTCATCGTCTTGGAATGAAATAAATGTGGTGAAAGATGTTTATGCTATTGAAGTTTATGAAACTAGCGTTCAAGGGTGTCGTGCTGAAATTATACTCGACTTTCAGCCTTGTTTCAGTTTCAGGGTCACAAAATATTCAGCCAAGTAACATTTACACTGTTTATGTAGTTTGTACCCAAACTGAAACGTTTAAAAATACGTAAGGTTGGAAATTCTGTCGAGTGATAAACTTATTTTTAAGTGCTAACTCATTTGAAATGTGATTAATTTTGTGTCAGAGGCAAAGCCCTTGTCCAATTTTCTTAGTCATTTAACGAGATAAACTCTTGTAGAGCTAAGTTATTCGCATCAAAACTTTTGTAACATCGTCCTCATTACATTCGAATTTTAAATTGAATAAAGCATTTTTCGCGGATGTGACACAACGATCAATGCAAGAAGGAGGTAATTAAATAATTCAATTTTGAAGTCTGGATATGACGAAACAGATTAAGTTCCCCCTTGTGTAATCACAATAGTGTTAGTTGAAGTTGGCAGAACTATCGTCGTTAGGAAGCATCGCCTGCGTTTGGATATTAATTCGGAATCCATACGCCACCAAACCGAAATTCTGTCTTAATTACCATCACCAACCCGGAGTTTTTGCTACTCAAATACCCCTATTCACATCACTGGAATAATAGAAAACGTATGACTTTTCTCCGAAATATATTTCAAAGAAATGCGGTAGCTGGAATGCGGCGAACATAAAATTTTTGTTGTACATAAACCGGAATGTGTCTGCAAGAGAAAATTTATCTCGCTTTCAGCAAAGTGTTCCGGAATCAATTTTTAATGAAATTATCTCGTAGCGTAAAGCAGCTGGTCTTAATCCAGGGTAATTTTTATTAAAGAAAGTTTTACACTATTTAGAGATCCCAGGCAGTTTCAATGAATTTTTTCAGTATACTGTTGGCTTCTTCCAAAAATTCTTCCCCTTGTGTTGGCTTTCTTTTCGCAGGTGATGCCACAATTGTGACACAAAACTGTTGAGATGCTTGAGGTACTGAACGCTTCCATTTCCAATACTCCGAAGGTGTGGTAGTTGGACTTGTGAATGGAGTTGTAGTACTGTTAACTAGAGTCTCATTGTTGTTCACATACTTCATTTCTCCTGAAATTCCCTCAGTGTCTTTGAAGTTTCCGGTGGTACCATTAAGTTTAGCCAGAGTCTCATTATTGTTAACATATTTCATCCCTCCTGAAATTCCCTCAGTACCATTGAAGTGTAGGTTTCCTGTGGTACTATTACCTGTACTCAGACTCTCATTATTGTTAACAAGATTTATTTCGTCAGCATTGACACTCATTTTGCTAACATATTTTACCTCTCCCGAGGTAATATTTGGTGGTACCTCATGTTTGACAATAGTATTGTTAACAAACTTGATATCGCCATAGATATCCGCAGTCGACAAACATGGTATGTTTACCACGACGCTAGTCTTGTTAATACCAGCACATTCTGGTGCTGTATTGTTGACACAAGACATGGTACTACTTGTACAATTAACCAATTGGTTGTTTGCATCTTTACAAGTGACCAAAGCTGTAGCTGCCACCACACACATTAATCTACCATCGCTGGTACAAAGCGACGTTGTGTTTGTTGGACATACACTGGTACTATCACCAACACACCTAATAATTGTATTTGAAACAATTTCTTGTCTCTTGGGGATTACATCAGCATTGTGGTAGTAATGATGGATTGTGTAATGGTCGTACCGAGGGCGGTACCCATCATAAAATGACTCATGGGAGTATGTGGGCGTTGATAATTTGCCCAATTTATACCCTAAGTAAAATCCAAGAATACCACTTCCGGTATCAGAAGTACTATAGTGGTAAGTTGAGTAAGTTTGGTAGTACCCATGATGTTGTGGGTGTTGGACTGGAATGGAGTAATATCCGGGATAGTGGTAGTTATATTTGTTGACGATTTTAATTTTAGTTTTCCCATATTTCACTTCTGGAAATTATTTATTACTTTATGAAAATAAAAAAAGTACTACTGACTTGACCCAGGAGGAGGTGGTAAATCAGCCCAAAACGTTTCTTTCTTGTAATGTGGTCTAGTCGTTGTTTTCGGTCTTCGTGTTGTTGTGACACTTACCCAAGGTCTTGTTGGTGGGGTCCATCGTGTGGTAGTTTTTGTTTTCCACCAAGGAGTTGGAGTTGGAGTTGTATGTGTCCGTCGAGTGGTTGTTGTAACACTTATCCAAGGTCTTGTTGTTTGTTGAATGCGTCTAGGCGTAGTAGTGGTTGGTCTAGGTGGAGGGGTGGTTCGTTTGGTAGTTGTGGTGGGTCTAGATCTTCTGGTTGTCACCTCCACCCATCGTTGGGTTGTTCTACTTCTTCGTGTTGTTGTTGGAGGGTAACTACTACGTGGAGTAGTTGGAGGATGCGTCCTACGTGGAGTAGTTGGAGGGTACGACCTTCGTAGAGTAGTTGGAGGGTTTGTTCTCCGAGGTGTAGTCCGACTTCTCCTTGTGGTTCTTGACTGGTAAGCTAAAGCTTGCAGCCCTGACCCCCAATTATCAGGACCTACAGTTGACTGAATCTCGTCATTATAAGCTGAAAATAAAAAAAACAATCATACATATGTAGGTCGTATGTCCTACTTTGATTCAATGTTTATTGACAAAGTCGTTACAGAACGTCTGCAAATTCGTTGTGATAGCATCGACGATAAATATTGAAACATAATTGCAATAAAAACCCATTTTACGACTGGCTAGTTCACAATCTTTCGCTCGGCGTGTTTCATTTACTTTAGGAAAAATTTAATGCATGCTGAAATTTGTTACAATTTAATAGAATGTTGACCTAATTAGGAAATTGAGAAAGGTGCTTATTACATTTGGAGATTGTTTCTAATTGTACCCTTGTTATGTTACCCACAGTTAGAGCCTAAATTTACATACGAAATTTCATTTCAGTTTGACAGAACTTCAGACAAGTTTGAAGAAAACGTGGCAGAAACCACATAGGATAAACAATAATAACCACTATTAACAAATAATTTTATTTTTAAGCATACAAATATAAAGTAACAACACTGTACATTATGTTATAAATAAAAAATTACAATTTCCAAGCAGATTCTATAAATTTTTCAACGATCGATTTGGCATCTTTTAAAAATAATTCTCCTTCTGTTGGTTTCTTCTCAGCAGGTAGAGCAACAATAGTAACACAGAAATTTTGCGCCATTTCCCTTTTCGTACGAACAGGGGGGTTTGTAGAGGGTTCCGGTGTAGTAGTTATAGGATATTTAGTCGAGTACGTTGACGTAGTACTATCACTAGAATTTACAATCACCATTGGTGTCGTTGTTATCGGATATTGTGTGGAAGAAATTGTCGAATTGGTACTATTCGTATTTGTAGAGTTTGTAACTATCGTATTATTGACAGTTTTGACATCCCCATAAACTTTTGCGTTGGAAATACACGGTATGCTCACAGTTGTTGTGTTTTGATTTGAATTTTTACATTCCGGTGCTGTATTATTAACACACGGGACCACACTTTTTACACAATTGACTTGCCGATTATCAGTGCATGGTACCGTCGAAGTTGCACTAACGACACACATGAGAGCTCCGTTCGAAGTACAAAGTGATGTGGTATTTGCTGGACAAACAGTAACACTGTCGCCGACACAACCAACGATTGTATTAGATTGAATCTCTTGATTTTGTGGTACTGCGTCTTTGTTATGGTAATAATGGTGTACGGTGTAATGGTCATATCGAGGCCTGTATCCATCATAAAACGAATAATGCGAAAATGTTGGTGTTGTCAGATGTGCTAAAGAGTAACCCAGGAAAAATCCCAAAGCGGTACTTCCAGTATCACTACTACCGTAGTGGTAACTAGTCGGGGAGTAAAAATATCCAGGGTGGCCCGGGTTTTGGACTGGTAGGGAGTAGTATCCAGGGTAATTGTAGTTGTATTTATTTTCAATTTTAATTTTTTGGGGCCCATTATAATCTGAAATTATCAATTAGCTGATTTTGATTCGTTTAAGTGGTAACTTACTTTGTTGGGGGTAAGTACCGGGTCGGGGTGGTATGTTCCACCCAACATTTTGACCTGACCCAGTATTATAACTGGAGGTTGTTCCCGAGGAATATGGATGTCGGGTTGATCCTGAACGAGGTGTCGATTGGTAATTTGGCGGTCTGTAGGTACTACTCCATGGTCTAGTACTAGTTGGGGCAGTACTGCGAGGTCGGCTTGTGGTATATCGACTAGGGGGAGGATGAGGTCGCCGTGTGTAACTTCCACCGCCTCGACCTCTTGCTAAAAAATGTTTGATCATAATATATTGATAATTGATTAACTTGTGGAAATTGAGTGCCCTTACCTTGTGATCGAAAAAGTGCAATTTTTGCGTTAGGTGCGAATTATGTTTCGAGGTTAAGCATTCAATTAATAATACTTACAGCCACCGTAGCGACCACATTGGTGAAAGTCGATGAATGCCACCAAAAGCAACAACACTAAACTAATTTTTACACTGTACATGTTTCGGTTTCAGACTTATTACTTAATTAAGGTACTTGTCCAGTATGCAAGGTAGAGATCACAGACTCACGGTCCTACACACACTACTGAAGTGAAACTAGCTTGTTGTTATTGGTCAGTGCACAGGTGTAGAGGTAGTACCAGTTGATGTAATTTGGGAGTTCAATACCTTATGATGTGTTGTACGTCTTTGATTTAAACCAAATACAGATAATTATATGGGAAAGACAAGGTCGTTAAAGTTGGTATAACCGTTTTCTAGAAACATATACTTCACAACTGATGTAAAGTTAATTGTTTGTTTACAAGCAGTGAAGTATTTTATGCATTGAACTAGTTTTGCTGGTATTACGAAATCCATAAAATACCCAATCTTGTAAAAAAAAATTGTAGTCTATTCTGATGTTGGTTGTATCTGGTCAAAGCCTCTCGTAATCAGTGTGTTTTTTGAAGCGTTTCATGCATACATTGTTACAATATAATTCTACGAAGTTTTATTTATGTTTCATGTCTATTTTCAGAAGAAAAAAAATGTTTTTGCACTTCTTATTTTACTATTTTTATTATACATAGTGCACTAGCACCCCAGAGAAAAATTTCAAGTAAGATACCAGGAAGATGGAAAAATGTTTATAAAATTAAAATAGAATACTACAACTTACTCACTGCATGGACTATATTTGTTCCCTTGAAAATAATGACATTTTGTAACCTCTACTGACGATTTCGGAAAAATTAAATACTATTGTAAAATTGTAAATAACATCATCAATGTAAATTTTTTAGTTAAAAAAACACTAAAATTTTATTGATTTTTTTTAAAACCTTTTTGAACTTACTTTAACATAGGGGATGCGCCAGAACTCGCGCCCCAGAAAAAAAATCAAGTAAGATAAATACCAGGAAGATACCAGGAACATGGAAAATAGTTATTTATTGTAAGAGTGTGTTAGGTACTTTTCTTAAGTGGATAAAACGCGACTAACACACGACTGCAATATAACGTTTTATCCACAATCACAGGCCCAAATTATTCCAAACTTAATTAAAAATTAAACTGACATTTAAACGTCACGCCAAATGTGCTTTCGGTTAAACGTAGTAAGCTGTTACGCGGTGCGCTGGTTACTAACAGTGGAATAAAGTTACTTTATTCCACTAGTGGATAAAGTGGTACTTTATACGCATCTAAAGTGTGGAATAGTCTCTTTTTCTAATTTGCGTTTATAATACGTTTATTAACGTCTCCAGTAGGAGTCGTTTATGGCTATCTATAAAAGCACACTGTACTTTAATGAATTTAGGGTTATTTAGCTTTTGTATGCCGCTTCTGACTTGTCAGGTAACAAATTTTGCGTTGTTGCTTCGGCAGTTTCGCGAATTTCGGTCGGAGTTCAAACTAAATTCTGTTGGCTCATATTTTATTTATTATTATTTTGTTGTAACATTAATAACTAATAATTTGTAAATTTTACTTTTAATGACAGACGGCAGAAATGATTCAAAAAATCAGGTGGGCGCCGAGTGTCACCAACCGATACCAACTAACACAAAATTCTCTAGACGACAAAAATATATTTTTTTTTAATTAAAATAAGAAAAAAGGGGGCACAAATTAGAAAAAATAGCATTAAATACTCGTTTTATAATGGCATTGGCGCACTCATCCCATAGAAAACTCGCCTACGGCTCGTTTTCTAACTTGGAATTCGAGCGCCAAATCAACCCTTATAAAACTTGTTCTTTAATATACTATTATAGAGTGATTGTGGATAAAATGTTTAAAATATTCTCTGTAATTTTTTTTTGACATTTGACAGTTTTTATGTATATTTAATGATACTGTGATGATGTTGTATAGGGTGATTCACGATGAATAATGAGTCTGACCAAATTTGCGATGCAACCAACATTACAGTTGTCGCAAAATAACTTGCGAAGAGTAATGGTGGTTGCATCGAGAATTTGGTCAGGCTCATTATTCCTAGTGAATCACCTTGCATATGTTTTTTATAATTATGTAGTGAAGGTACAAACATTTTGCCAATAAAAGCCACAAATAACATTAAACAGAGTTACAATGTAGGATACAGCTTTCTTGTTTCCTCTTCTAATAAATAGCCTGTAGCAAAAAAACTATGAAAATTATTTTTACAACAGAAATAAATAGAGTCAAAGTGCAAAATTTAAACTCTCATAACTTCGAAATTTTTATAGATAAGATTTTTTTAACATTTTTCTCTCCTTCTGGTATCTTACCTTACATGGGGCATTTTTCTCCGCCGAAAAAAATTTCGGCAAAAATCAAAAAAATTAAAAAATTCTTCATTGATACCCTTGTACCAGTGTTTACTCTTTTAAAATTGGAATTGAATGAACTGAATATTTTGATATTATTTGATAAATTTATCATTTTCTTATGTTTTTATTAAAAATTTAGTTTGTTGGGATAAAGTTTTGTATGCATCTCTGGAATAAACATCGTTAATCTCTCAAACGAAAATGCCTTTGGCGTTATCTACATTCTGGGAATTAAAATAGCTGTACATTTTCATAAATAATTATTATAAGTATACCTATTATATTACTAAAATAATAGAAGGGATAAATATAGCACAGAAAATGGATTGGTATTATTTCCTAAAACTTTAAAGTGAACATTTTTTTCAATTTTTATTAGAATAAATAATAAAAATAAGAAAATTGCGATAATAGTATAAAACAAGCAAATTGTAATTACNAATACTTATAGTTTTAACAATTTTGGTGGTATTTATTTTCATAAAATAATCTGTTATTAAAGGTTATCATCAATTTCTATAATTGTTTTACATTTATTTATATGTTATGTTATCTATTTCAAATACATAACTATAATACTTTGTTAATAAATGACAATTTTGATTTTCGCTAATTTTATTTTAAATTAATTTTTTAACAGTACGTATCCTACATCACTAAACATTATTTTGGTACCTTTTTTGTACATCACTGGCGTAAATTATAAATTCCATGCTGATTCAAAGAACTTCCCTGCTATAAACTTAACATCACTTAAAAACTGTTCCCCTTCAGTAGGCTGTCTTTTAGCTGGCAGAGCCACAATAGTGACACAATAATTCTGGGCTACATCTCGTTTCCTGCGCTGTGTATGTGCTACCGGATTGGGTGTTGTAGTAATGGGGTAATTTGTCGATACCTCGTTTGTACCAGTACCATTATTCACTGTTGTACTATTGGCTACTGTTGCTGTTGTATTCAATAATGTCGCATTAGCTGGGATTATTGTATTATTGACAGTTTTAAGTTCTCCATAAACTTCAGCTTTAGATATACATGGAATATTTATAGTTGTGGTATTCTGGTTTGAATTTTTGCATTCTGGGGCTGTATTATTAACACAAGGGACCACACTGTTCACACAGTTGACTTGCCGATTGTCGGTACACGGTACTGTTGAAGTGGCACTTGCAACACACATTAGAGCCCCATTCGAGGTGCAAAGTGATACAGTATTAGCTGGACAAATAGTGACACTGTCTCCAACACAGCCGACGATAGTATTAGCTCGTATTTCTTGGCTTTGAGGAATTGCATCTCTGTTGTGATAGTAGTGATGGACGGTGTAATGGTCGTACCGTGGCGTATACCCATCGTAGAACGAATGGTGGGAAAACGTCGGTGTTGTCAGTTTTGCTAAAGAGTACCCCAAGAAAAACCCTAAAGCGCCACTACCAGTATCATGAGTACTATAATGATAGTACGAAGGGGTATAAAAGTATCCTGGATAACCGTACTGTTGAACCGGAATGTGGTAGTACCCGGGATAGTGATAGTTGTACTTGTTTACAATTTTAATTTTTTGGGGTCCTAAATAACCACAATTAATATTTTGCAATGGAAACTTAAATACTTACCTGATCCTTGAGAGTACCCATATTTTGGGGGTCCTATGGGACCTTGCCCCGGCCGTGGAGGTATATTCCAACCACCAGTCCTGGGAGTTGTCTGGGAATAAGGGCGCCTTGTTGTCGCTCCTCCAAAATGAGGTCTTGGAGAACTAGCTGGGTACTGAGGTCGGCGAGTAGATATTCCACCTCCAAAATAAGGTCTTGGAGTACTTGCTGATAACTGAGGTCGGCGGGTAGAAACTGCTTGATAGTAAGGTCGTGGAGTTGAAGGTGCTCTATAGGGGGGAGGACTAGGACCATGCGTGGGTCTGTATCTGGATGTAGCTCCATATGCTGGAGGATATGGTCTTGAGGTTGGTCGGTACGATGGGGAGTATGAATTGCTATGGTAAGAAGGAGCATGGTATGAAGGTGATGAAGAATGGTAGGAAGGCGCATGGTATGTCCCACGACTGCTGCTGCTTCTACCAAAGCTGCCTCCTCGAGCTATCGACAGGAAATTTTAAGTTAACAAAACTACGACTTTTATATTGTTTTTTTAAATATAAGCAAGCAACTTACCTTTGTAAAATTTTGCAAGAAATTTATGTATTAAAAGTAAAAATAAAAAAGAAACAGAAAGCACCACACAGATTCACTATTTTTGTTTATTAGAAATTTTTTTAATAAAAAATTACTTACATCCTCCATAACGTCCACATTGATACAAATCAACACAAGTTAAAACAACAAAAATCAAGAGACTTGTTTTGACACAACCCATGTTGGATTAAGTGAAATTACGAACATTTAACGTCTCACTATAAATATCTGACTGCAGTCTTAGTACTGTGAATTCAGTTTGATAATTAAAGGTCACTTTATGACGACTACAAGAGATATTAACTTCAAACAATTCTCCCAATTCGTGTAAAGTCGTAAATTGCGTTGAATCGTTTACAAGTGATTCACTTATCAGACTTTTGGTTTTAAACAGAAGTTTATAAATATGTATTAAATAAATTAAATCTGTTATCAGAGTTAATAATTACTGAAACGCAATAAAGCACTGAAAAACTTGTAATAATTTACTTTAATTTAATTTTAGCTTGCTTTGAGAGTTAGCTTTTTTAAGGGCAGTAAAACCAAGTATTTTTTTTTCTAAAAATTTATTGTTTCTAAATTTTTATTTAAATACAATAAAATTTGTTACGACTCTTCTTCTTTTGGTTCTGGGTCAATAATAACCGTCACACAATACATTCTCTCGATCTTTGTCAACGCTGGTACTAGAACAAAAGTACCGCCAACCGTACTAATACTCATTCCTTTATCGTCTTCATAAACATCTTCTATTTCAATACTGGCCAAACAAGGCAAAAAAATTGTTTCAAAATCATACGCCACTGAAATACAAGCTCGTACACATGGTACCGTAGTTTTAATACACATAATATTATTATCATGGTCGCAGGGTACCACTACACTTATTTTAGACATACAATAAACGGTACCATTTAATAAACAAACCGTTTCTGAATTTTCGGGGCACAAAAACGTTGCATTTGGATGACAACTAATCACATGGTCGGACGGAATTGTCTCATTGTCGGAAATGGTTCTATTGATGTCATGGTAGTAATAATGGTAGTCATGGTACTGGAAATCAATGTCGGTCATTTTGCTCAAGCCGTACCCTAAGTAATAATCGAAAGTCTCATCGGAACCATGGTCGCGGAAATATTTTTGGACTCTGTAGTAATCTCTGATGGGTGCTTGGTAGCTACCATGGATGTAGTGGATGTTGTGGGGGTTACAAGCCTTTGCGTTGTAATACGAACCACCGTAAAAACCTCTAGTACCAAAATTCGTGTCAGGAGTTGTTGTTTCAATAGCGGTGGTTGTATCGGATACCACGTCAGTGTTGTTATCAAATGCTGGTTCTGTGGTGGTGTTATTATCACTATCACTCAAACCACACTTAATCACTAATATAAAATGGGCCTGAATTACGTACGTCACCTTCATGTTAGTGATTCAAATCTCAAATGTGGAATAAGTAGAGTGTGAAGGTTTGGTTCATCCAGGTTTGTATTGAAAAAAATTCGAGCGGCTCCATTGCACATATGATTTATCTCCTCATTTGTAAAATTACTTGATGTGTTTATGGCGGATATTGTAATTACTCATTAGTTTAATAAGCGTTTCAGTTAAATTGTTTAATTACAGCCATGCACATACTCGTAAATTTAGAATAACACAGCGCGTCAAAGAGTTCACGGAACTTTTGATAGGAAAGTTAATGATTTGACTGCTTATGCAAACATCATTGATTTGGTTTGAAATAGAAAAATGAGACTTGGAATTCCCGATTTTAAATTTACTTGCAAAGTGAAACACATTTGCTGAATGATGAAAACAAAATGAGACACAATCTGTGTCGGTGCAAAAGTTTACGGGTTACAATTTGATTTAATTTAAAATGTGGTATGTAACTCGAAACACAAGAACGCAAATGGAGTTGATGGAATTAACTGCTGCAGTTTTCAGTTATTATTTTGTGTATACCGACTGTGTATAATTTATATAAAAAATGATTTAATTATTTCATTTTATGTGATGTCTGGGAAAACTTATTTGAATGGGTAATAACTTTCATGCATTATTGAATATGGGACTCGTAAAGGACTAAATTATATTTCGAACAATGATCATAAAGCTTCAAATAAAGCTGAAATATTGTTCAAAAGTCGTAAAAAAGATTGTATGAGCGCCATGTAGCAAAATTCAATCACCGTTAAATTAAATAAGTCGATTCCCCTTTTCAGTCTCTCGAGACTTTATAATCTTAAACGATTATTTACATAATTTTATTAATAAATTTAATATCATTTATCCAAACAAATCGGGCCAATTTCAGGAGCAAAATACGATAAATTACAGTTTCCATAAACATTAATAATTTTCATAGAAGCAATCAAATTCACGCAAAAATAATTAATATAAAATGGTATTTAGAACTGCGTCAGAACCACTTTGCCGCCTGATTGTGCGATTTTGAACGTTTCATAAAATTTGAATTTGATTTTTGCAGTTGTAGAAACAATACAGAATTAATAAGATTATAATTTGTCAAGGGTCGTTTATATCACACTTGCTCCCCCAAGAGTCATAGTAGCCCCAAATTGAATTGCTCGAATTGAAGCGGAAATGTGGCCATTACACCAATTCGTTGGTTACCAAAGCCGTTGACCTTGCCCATGTAAAAAATAAATAGACGGGGATGGAATGGCTTCCTAGAGGAGTTCTCAAATTTATTCACTGTCTTGTGAATACTTCGCAAAATCATTTTTTGTTTCTTTGTCGTTTTTAAATTTAGACCGTTTTATATTTTATTTTGTATATTATTTTAAGTATGAATGTTAGCATGTAAACAGGAGTGCTCCCGAATTTCCAGATCGGTATTTTAGTCAGGAAGTGGTGTTGAGAAGGAGTGCGCGTTTTTGTCGAGTTTTCGGCTGAAAATGTGTTCAGATGAAATCCATGTATTGTTCTAAGGGTAAGGGCTTGAAAGTTTGAAGGAAAATATGAACAGAATGCTTTAGTTAGGAAGTCTATTGAGGACAGGCGGCGTTAATAATACATTTTCTCCTGCAACATCTTAATTAGAGAAGACGGCTTTTTTGGGGGTTGTAAAAACCAAAACTTTTGCTATGATTAATTAATTTGAAATGTGATGAGTTTGGAAAATCGCACAGGAGAAATTTTTTGAGTGCTTGGGGACTTAAATTTCAACATTTTTTGCTTCGTGTAAATTGAATTCGATTAAATTTAACTTTTTTGACTATAAATGGCTTAAAAGGTATGAGTGTTTAGTTTTCAGTAGAATTTCTTTTGTTTTTCAGCCATTTATAAAAATCCTTAAAAGTTTAGGGCGAGTTTGAACGAACAATTTTATCAAATTTCAAGTGTCTATCATTTTGTTTTTAGGTAATTAATCTATTAGAGATATTCTATATCTGATGACAGTGACAGAAAAGACACTTGGAATGTGCCCACTTGGTTAAAGTAATGAAATACATGGGCGTGCATTTGTTCTCTAAAATTTTCTTAGCTGTCATTTTGCAAGTGTTTGCAATCAGGTGATCGTAAATGAAGACCAATTATTTAAGTAGGGAAAACTATTTAGATGTAATCGTTAATGAACTTATGTATCATAACCGACGATAGCAGGAACGAAAACGAATTTTGCTTTAGTAATTTTGAGGACGAGGAGGATTGCTAAAAATATCATAGTTAAAAATTATTTTCATGCGTTAACAAATTAATAATTTGTTCATCATTCTTCATGGTATGTATGAGTACCTACTTACTATATTTTTTTAAAGAATAACAGTGGTTTTGAAATATTATTTAATACGACTCCTATAAACAATATTTTTTTCAATAGTAAACTTATGTTTAGTGTCAAAATTCAGTCGTTTTTGACATCGTCAGTTCGTCTCCTGATTTTGAAGAAGCTCTACCAAATTGAACAAAAAATGTATTTTAAAAAAATCTCAAATACTAGTAAATTCACTATTTTTAAAATATTTGTTTAAATAGTCACTAATCTGGATAATTTCAGAATTGAGTTTATATTTTCTTTATTATAAGAATTTATGTATTACTGTAACATATCTTGGATAAAATACGCTCTGAAAAATATACATTCAAACTGGCTTGTACCTATATTTTTTATTTTGTATTTTTATCTTTATCACTTCTAACTACCTACATCCAAAAATTTTTATTGTGTCAGCAGCTATACTATATTTTTATTCATTTCATTTTTTCCCCTCCTGTTTGATATTGAGTCCCGAGTAGTAAACTTATTTTTAGAATGTTTTCATTACATTTGAAATATTATTAAAAACGAAATATTCGTTGGCAATAAATCACCGCGGTTGAAATTGAAATACGATTTATTAGTGGCAAGAAATCTCCGAATAAATCACGCGGTTTTTCCACAAGCTCGTCGGATTTCTAATAAATTTTATTAATTCCAGAGAGCCCCGCCGAAGATGAGGAAGAAACGGGGTCCGGACTGGACCCCTCGACAGGGCCCTCGGAGACTTGCATAGAGATGGTCCGAACCGACATCGCCACCGCCTTCTCCTCAGCTCCTCTCCTGGAGAAGCCAATGATCGATAAAAAAGTTAAGGTGAGTTTGATCCACGAACGAATTTCGCCGAATTTATGGCAATCGTAAAATATTGACGTGTTTTCTTAACTCTTATCAAGCAGAAATTTTCACAAGTGGCCAAAACAAAGAAAAGCAGAAATAATTCACTTTCGGTGGTATCAAAAAATTGTGTATTGTATATGTGAAGTTTAGTTTGATGAATGAGGAAGTCTGGTTTTAAAGGCTTTTAAGTATTTTTAAACACCAGCTTCGGCGAAAAATGTGTTTAAAAATTTATATAACAGCTGTAACAATAAATTTTGATTGTTTAGAAATGGTTTTTATACGTGTCTAAGTATATTGCAATTTTATAGCCAGTGGTTAAAATATTACAATGATTTCATTGAGCAGAATTTTAAATCGATTCTTTTACATAGAAAAAATCCAAATTACTAAAAAAAATTCAACTCTGGTAGAATTACATTTACCACATCTTAAATTAATTGTTTTGCACTTTTATTTTAAGAAAATTGGTAATAAAATTTTACAGAAAAATTAGACCGTAGTTAACACTGGCAATATTGGCAATATTTATTATAAAAAAAACATTTTATTTGTCATTTGTATTGTATTTGTATTGTTATTTTTAGTTGGTCGTAAAAGAATGAGTTGAGAAGATCCTAATGATTCATTTTAGTACCTTTGACTTGAAAATGTTGTTCATAAAAGTGCAAATTAATAAAATATATATAAAAAACTGTATCATGTAAAAGTTTAAGTCTTACAGTGGTCAAATTGCAGCATCAGTGATTGTTTTACAAATTTTTACAACTTTAAAATCTAACTGAAAGTAAACTCATTAAAATATACGAAAATGTAACTTTTAGACAACTTTGTTTCGAATCATGAAATAAAATTCCCAAACGGCTAACAAACCCTGTCCATGCAAAATTTTACATGTGGTTTTGGTGTTCACAAAGCGATAAAATGACATGTCGCTATTTTACAGCCACCAAATCGTAATGGTAGAACAGTAATTCCGCAACAATTCACTTTCAGCAGATGCAACTATCGTCATCGACAGTACACTTGTCTTGCAACTGAAGCGAAAATTCATTGAATATCACAGAAAATATTGACCTGAATTGGAAACAACTTCACTTTGCTGTAACAAAAAGAATTGCACTTATTGTTTGACCTACATTTGCATCTATTTCCATGTTTAAAAACATATTTTTGTTGGCAAAACTTGAGGTTTTTCTTCTTTGATTTGTACTTTCGAGTCCTTTCACACCCTTTTTATGTATTGAAAAAGAATTTCTTCTTGTTTGAAATTATAAAATGAAAGGCTGAAAATTAATTAATAACATTCAACCCTCATGAGTTCAAATAGCTTGACAAATATTCCTTTGTTCTCGTCTTTTGAGGCAATTGCGGCCACATCTCGTACAAAAATATGATCCTTCACTGGACAAAAAGGAGCAGCTGCAAGCGGCGCTTATTACATTAATGGTTATCAGAGCAAAACAGTAAAAACTTTCATCTTGACTTCTCATATTTAAGCTCGAAAATTACATTTCCGGCGATTTGAGGAGCTTTAGCTCTTTTATTAATCGATGGCCAGCTACATCAGACATGGCAGTGAAACAAAATCTCAGTCCAGTTAAAAAACGCATTTTCCTTGCTTTATCTTTGTTCAAATACGTTCCAACCAATTGAATTTGTATTTTTCTTGACTTTATAGAATCACTCGGGGATGACATATGTTGCATGTTATGGCAAGTTGGACCAGAAAACTAATCTTTGTACGACTGAATGCTTTCTTGTAAGCTCGAGCTGTTATTTATATTTTTCCGGTGCGAAAGTGCGATTTAGAGGAACAAATGTCGAACTTTTAACGGAAAAGATTTATCGCCAACATGCGTCGAGTGTTTTAGATGATAAATCTTTTGTTAATAAAATTCTATTTTGCGGAACATTGCACGGACTTAATTAACGTCAAAGCGCAAAAAGCTTGTATGAAATGCTTCAAAAATGTTTGAGATAATTTCGCAGATTTTGTTAGGAACTATCACCGCATATAGACCAAAATACGCTTTAAGATAGTAATTAATAGGTGGTAAAATTCATATTGGACAGTTACATGGGGTTGAAAATTGAATGGATCAGACCAAGATGTCAGCAATTTTGGAAAATTTGCGGGAACGACTGACAGAATATTAAGCCAAGATGTTGAGCTAAATTAGGGGATGATAAACTTGATTAAATTGTCATGCTTTTATTGTGGTAAAAATTTATTTTGGCAAAACAATTCCAAAACGCTATCTTTGCATCATTGCAATGGAAGCACAAATTTAAGCTTTTGTCAACTTTTGACCGGCGAATTTTTTTCACTTTCCAGCTACAAAAATTCATAGTTTTAACCATCTCTCTACGATATTTCATCATCACTTTTTGCCTCACAAGGCTCCAGGCCGAATACATCGATTTACAAATTAAATTACAAACAAAACTTAAGTCTTTTAAAATATTTCAAACTTTGTCCTAACGTAGGATGCTTTTATTCAAATTATTATAAAGCCCTGAAACTTTTCCCGAATAAACATTTTTATTTCCTTAAGATACAATAAAGTTCAATTATAAAGTTCAATTTGTATTTCGAAAGGTATTAAATTTTATCGACCTAAAGCCACCCTATGCATATGTGCAATCTGCAAATTTTCGCACTATCTTCGCAGTAAATTTAGAAACTATTAAAACCACTAAAATTAATAAAAAGAAATTAAAATTACTTATTTTATAAATAAGTTATTTACAAAACTAATAACGGCTGAAAAAACGTGGGGTTTGTTTGAATTCCGCCCGTGGAAAGCTGTAAACAACATTGTCTAGTAAATCAGACAGGTTATGGCCCTGTTAAGAATTTTTTAACGGATTCAGCTTCCATTTCCATTTAGATTAGACTTGGACATTTTCCCGAATGTGTTTCACCGACTTGCATTTCCATACGTAAAATGTTCCATTTTAAAGGAGACAGCAGTTAGGTGTTTGTAGTACAATACTTGGAGTCAGTCTTCTTAGTGCCAGGGGATGAAAATGAGGATAATTACGTTAACGAGCTACACGTCTTAGCTCAAGATATCTCCTGAATTTCAACTTGCTCCGGTTTGGATTTGCCGGATTAGTCTGGGTTATGGGCATGGGAAGATCATAATAGCACCAAGTCGAAAAATGGCATTCAAAAGTTTCTATTTTTCAAACAAGTTTGCGAAAGCGTGAAATGTATGCACGCGTGGGTAGGAAGACAAAGGATAACGAGGAAATGTGGTGCATGGACTTTGGGAGATTTATGTTCTGAACGAATGAGTCACTCTGTGAATTTTACACATGTGTTTTTATGTAAAATGCTGAATTTGTGAGCGATATAAATCTGAACGGATGTGCGAAATTGCGTTCCTTATTATGAAAACCAACTTAAACGTGTGTGAATGATGAATATTTTTTGACTACCTGAAAATTCGGAGTTTTTGCACAATTTATTACCGTGAAATTCAAATAGAAATGAAATATCGAACAACACAGCAATTGCGTTGTAAATATTAAATTGTTTCCGAAAGGTTTTTAGTCCACATCTCAGAATTCCTTTTGCGTATGTAAATATGCACAAACTACGAATATTACGAAAAGTTCTAAAATAAACCCCAATAACGATGTGGCTGAGAACATAAATATTAATAAACTTGAAATGAAATCCGAGCCTAAAGTAAAATAGTGAGCCAACCTATTTATTATTATTACCCAATCATACAAATTGATGATAGTAGCCACATTTGCGATTGTGCAAAGCTACAAAGCTCAGGATAAAACATATGCAGCTTTTCATGCTAATAAAGAAATCGCTACACATTCAAAATTAGAAAAAAATATGACATCCGACAGAAACATATTACATTGTGAGCTAACAAAAGGAGATTTGGTGTGTTAAAATTTCTACAATGATAAAAAATACATCAAGTTTACGATATATCACCATTTCATTTGTTTGAGATAGATTCAACATTAATTAAACTAGTTTGGAGTTAACAGCTTGAAAATAAATTGCAAGCTTTTATCAAAGACAGCAAAGGTTTGAGAAACATTAATAAAACGGATTGCTTAAACGAATCATTTAAGCTACAAAATTAGTGTTTAATGTTTTTAAATTGAGTCGTGTTCGCGACAGAAGTTTAATTGTAAATAAACGAAAATTAATGAATTTTTTCTTGTATTCTTTTGAGAATTTTTGTGCATCTGAAAGAATAATAAGGATCTCGTTATGTGTTTTCTAGAAATGTATTTTAAGCCATATCCTGTTGTCAGCAAAAATGATTTAATGCTATACAAGGAGCATGGAGTTATCTTGTTGCAGGATAATTGAATTATTAAATTTGATGGAGTTACTGTGGGTTTTAATCGAAACACAACGAGAATTCTGCCAAATTATTAATTTATTTTCAATTACATGTCAAAATCTCATTTTAAGGTGAAAGAGCTTCTTCAAAGCTTCATCTACATTATGGAACATCTATTTCACATGAGCTGATAAATGCTAAACGTCACAGGTAGTTGAATGTCTTATCACCCGACAATTGACAACATTTATCAAAACAGATAGAAGCACACTTGTACTTCGGGTTTAATTATAGGAACCATATTTTGAACAAATTTTTATGAGAATATGTAAAATAAGAGCTAAATTCAAATGAAATGCTGAAAGTATTTCAGATAGTGATTTAGTACGGCGTATTATGAGAATCTAGAACATCATCACAGATAAATTCTTTTGAGTGTGTAATGTTTGATTTCGTGCATCGCTTCCGCCAATCTATAAACAAATATCGACATAAAATAAATATGTTAATACGTCTCTGCCAATATTCGTGGGTATCCACCGCTTAAGATGTCCATCTACAAGATGGATCACTGCTTTAGCACATCTAATCCTCTACAAATTCGAAAAGAAGCATCTATTGATTTAACAAATTAAGTGTCTTTTAGAGTAAAAGTTGTATCGAATTCCGTTTCCCATTAAAACTTTGCCTAGCATTTTGTTGACAAAACTCGCGTGCTTGTAGTTTGTAATTAATGGCCGAATTCTTGATGTGTTAACACGGCGAAAGCAGCGATGTTTTTGAATGAAATTAGAGAAAGAATTTGATTTATTTTCTGGAAAGAAACACGTTAACCGACATTTATTGTGGTAATTGACATGTAAATAACAAACCGATTTTGACGTTCCATAAATAGATGGTTTATTAAGTTGCGCCGGTGTTTGTTTACCATTGTTGAAACACATTAATTATGTCTTAGAGTGAAAAACAATAATCTAGTACTCTAATAACGGGTGTTTATTTAAATTTGGCGTCATAGTTGGCGGTGATAAGAGTGTGTTGTGAACGGACCACAATTTCTAATACACCCGGCGAGGTGTCAAATGTCATATTAATAACTTTCAATACGATGGTTCGTTCACATTCAAATTTTCATGGATAGCTTTGACGCCAAATTAAAAAAAAAACATTTCTTAGAATGTTGTATCCACGATTTAATTTATAATGAATTTTGGTTGAATGTATAATGAGTAATTGAGCGGAAATAGTTAAATGAGTGTTTTTAGTGCCATTAATTGAAATAATGGTTTCTCTTTTTATATTATAAACTAGTGCTTTAAATTGAATTTAATAGTTCGTTATACACAAATAAAAATAATTTTAAATTAAAATTAATTTGGTGGAAATTCTTCTGAAAACTTGTAGCAAATTTCTATTTACAAGCCTTGTTTATCTTTTGCTTCAGTTAGTTAATTTTTGACAACAGAACATAATCAAATATTCACACATCACGTTCTATAATAACTAATTCAAAGACAGGATAATTAATATTTCTTGAAAACATGGGTTTGCGTTTATTTTAGTAACTTTAATCTTTCAAATCAAAATTCTTTAATCATCGATTTCGAGCTCGCCAAAAATATGCGCATTTACACATTGACGCAATTATTTACTTTGTATCGTCGCCAGACCGGCACGGAATTGTTAATTACTTAATGATGGGGTCTTTAATCATTTGTTTTCATTCATTCCCAATCACTTTTATTAGCCTTGAAATAAATTTTTCTATAATGTAAAACTTTCATTCTTAATAAAACAGACAAGACAAATTGCTTCAAATTCATTAACTTCCTTTCGAAATCGATCGCCCACGTGTTGTCTAGCGTGTTTTATCTAAAACCCCTGACTCGGCGCCTATGTCCTAAGATAAATCACCCTCAAGAGTCTTCCAAACAACCCTCACTAATCCAATTACTTTTATATTATTTAGCGACGAGTTATATCCAACATTTTTGCGTAAATTTTGTTACCACCGAAGCATTTAATTTAATTGACACTGACATATCGTTTTCACCGGAAAACCGGAATTAATTCATTCGATAAAGAATGGGAAAAACTAATGATTCGTGTTTGTTGGACAGAGACATAGCATACATGGAATGATGGAGGAGGAAAATGTCATCAGGCCGCACCAGGAGATCGCACAATTATCACTTGAAGAGAAGAAGTTCCTGTTGGCTGTGGAGAGGGGCGATGTTGCTTCGACCAGACGGTGAGGATTATTAGATAATTCCTGAGTAATTTTAGGTATTTTTGGGTGGCATCGTCGTAATTTTTATTTCTTAATTGTAACACTTTTAAAATTATGTTGTTATTTTATAGCACATTAAAGCTAATGAAGATAAAGAAGCACTTTAAAACTTTATCTTGACTAACATATAATGCTTGAATAAGTATATTTTTATTGTCAGATAAAAAACATAAATTATGCTAGCGCACTTAAGATATTTATTTATTAACTAATTGTAAATAAGTTATTAAAAAAATAAGTCAAAACGTGAATATGAAGACGAATAAAAAAATTGGAATCGATATTTGTGTCACGTTTCTTGTAGTAATGAAATTTTTTAGGGATGCAATTACCCCAAAAAGCTCGTCGAAAGAGATTTATCCTGTTTGTACTGCGAACACTTTGTTTTCGAAAGCCACCCTGGTGTTGGTGCAAAAACTTCCCAAAAATATTAACCGGCATTTATCCGATGAATGTGTCCGTGACAGTCAATAAATTACGCGAAGGAGAGAGCTGTTACTATGAAATAATACGCCCGAAGAAAATTCAGGGTTGGTTCGAGTGTCGCGTTGCTTATTTACGTCATTTTCCTTGATGTGGGGTGTGAGATTAGTGGATGTTTTGTGCGAGTATTTCTCATCGAGCTTTTCTCTATGCATTGCGATTTTAATCAAAATCGGGTAAACACTGTTCCTAGTCGATAACGATATTCAAACACATAAGAATTTTTTTTATAAAAGTGGTGATGTTAAGGGTGCGTTTTTTGTTTATTTTGAAAGTATCTTTGAGAAACGTGGTTAATGACGAGCGCGTGGCTTTTTTCGAGTGCTGCTGATGCGGATAACTGGGGGATAAAGGATTTTTTGTGGAAATGAGATGAGGGTTAAGTAATTCCACCTTATAATGGCACAAATGAACCATTTGCAGAATATTGATGTGTGTATTTCTGTGTTTTTTTTTATATTCTAGGAAATATGAAAGTCATATTACGCTGATTGAGCTCTGTAAATAAAAATTCATACTCTTCTTTAAACCCCAAAAGTGTTTAATATTTATTCGGTTTCCTTCCATCGAAAAGTCTTTCAATACCCATTCAGAATAGAAACTCTCCATATGTTTGGGCGAGCTCTATCTCAAATTCGAAGAGAAACGAGTTTAAAGTAAATAATACAGAAAGTTTGAAAGAGAGGGGGCTTTTTCTTAGCCAAACTTCATTCAAGGAATTTAAAAAATACATGAAATCGTATGAGATTCCGGTAATAACTTTGTCGTAAAATCTGTTGTGTTTGTTGCCGAGTTTGGCGTACTAAAAATTGTAATTAGTTTGTTTTAAAATTGAAGCCGATTTGTTCTCTTGTTAATTAAAGCTTCAGGACAGCTCTGAAATCACATTAACTACTTGGGAGTTGACAAGTTAGTAGCCGGGAAAAGCATTTTGTGGCATAACTCGATATTACATAATTTAAGTTTTGGATATATTACCCTTTCGAAGTGAGGCACTTACGCGTCCCTTACAGTTTTGGTTATAATTAAGTTAACAGCCGCGTGATCCCAAGAGGGTTGAAACACGAGAAACGATAACTTTCTGACTGGCTAAGTGTATAAAAAACGATGCATTTGTGTATTGTAGGACGTTACAGAAGGCTGAAGAAACTGGCTTCATTAACATCAACTGTGTGGATCCATTAGGGCGAAGTGCACTTCTTATGGCCATTGATAACGAAAACTTGGAGATGGTCGAACTATTAATTGAACATAAAGTTGAAACTAAGGACGCGCTTCTACATGCCATTTCGGAGGAGTTTGTCGAAGCTGTCGAGGTGCTGCTGGACCATGAAGAGACCATCCACAAACCAGGGGAACCACATGTAAGTTTAAATTTTCACTTAAGTGCCACTTAAAAACTCCTTGTTATTGACTGAAATACTTTCAGGATTTTATAATCCACCCACTATTGCAATATCCATCCGTCATCCTGAAATATCGCTGTCAACTCTTTACAAAACTGTTATATCAATTCATAAACTTTTATTTTGCGGCCCACAGTCTCCTCTTTTCCTGTTTTCATGTCTGTGATATTATTTTTTTAAGAGTTGGGAAGCTTTACCTCCAGACACTGCAACTTTTACTCCAGACATCACTCCGCTCATCTTGTCAGCTCATCGCGACAACTACGAAATTATCAAGATCTTGTTGGATAGAGGAGCCACATTGCCGATGCCACATGATGTCAGGTAAGTTGGCTTCCATTAAAGCGAGTAGTTAATTAAAGGATGCGGGAGTGTGATTTACAGAAGTATCAGGTTTGAGAGAGACTTAAATTTTCCTTTCAGATGTCCGGGAAGCAATCTTGAGCATTTGGCACGATTTTCCGACTGTTTAAAAACGAATTCAATGGAAAATTTAGTGGAGATTCCACATTTCACCAAAATTAATTAATAGTTGTGCAAAAAGAGGTGATTAGTCTGATAGTAGGACAATTTAAAAAATATGAGCTGAAATAAATAAGCAAATCAGCCACTGAAAAAAGTGGCATATTTTTTCATAAAATAACAAAAGAGGAAAAAAGTTGCATCAGATTTTTTGCAAAAAAATTGATTTTCTACATTATACCAAAATATTAGAAATTATTTTTATGGAAGTTGGTTTTTCCCGTGTTTTTTTTTGTCTTATTTTATTAGAATTCTCGCTCAACCTCGGTAAACTAAACAAGGTTTTATTTTCTTGACGGATAAAAGCGTGTTTGCTCTTCCGGGATTAGTGATGTTTGGGGATGAAGGAAGTGAAAATTCCGTAAAAAGTAAAAGGGGTGATGCTTGTAGCTTCATTCAAGAATCTTTTTGTTTTTATCGTCGACAAAATTCAGTAACGCGATGAATGTTTTTAAATTATTACTTTTGACATATTCAAATATAAAATTCTTACTTTGAATAAATTCAAGTAGACATTATTGCATTTCTCCATATCCATACTTTTCAACTTTATCTCCAAGTAGAGATTCAGATTTCAAAATAGAATCGGTGATAAAACCAGGGGCGAATTTCTCGAAGCCGTAAGTCTATACGTCTGCAAATAAATCCCCGACATAAAAGGGATGAACTTTCTTTGAGTTTTATATTTCGTTAGTGCACTCCACTAATGATCTTTCGGAACAATGCAAGCGCTTCAAATTAATTCATTTAAATGCAAACCATTCAAACAATAATTTATTTGAGGTTTTGAGGGATTGTTATGCAAAACAATAGCTATCAAAACTTCAAAACAAGGATATAATTTAGATTTGTGGCTGCAAAGGTGACGCAAAGTGACCATTTCTGGATTAACCCAAATCGGCTTGAGTTATGGCAAACTTTCAACTAAATTTTGTTGATTTCAAGATGCGGGTGCGACGAATGCGTGACATCTCGCTTGGAGGACTCCCTGCGGCACTCCCGGAGCCGAATAAACGCATACCGGGCTTTGGCGTCGCCCTCGCTGATAGCCCTCTCGTCGAAAGACCCCATTCTCACGGCGTTCGAGCTGTCTTGGGAGTTGCGCCGGTGAGCAATCGGCTTGTTACCATGAGGAATGGATGTTTGACCCGGCGATTTCCAGGTTAAGTCTGCTGGAGCACGAGTTCAAGAGCGAGTATCAAGAGCTAAGGAAACAGTGTCAGGATTTTGCTACCGCTCTGCTTGATCACACGAGGAGCTCTTACGAACTGGAGGTGCTACTAAATCACGACCCGACAGGGCCGGCTTTCGAACACGGAGACAGGATGCACTTGAACAGGCTCAAGCTTGCTATCAAACTTAGGCAAAAAAAGGTAAGGCTTTGTGTGGAAAAAAAATAAATTAATGGACGAGTGTTATCACAATTTAAATTCTTGCCGGCGTGCATGATTTCTACAGTCGGGGTTATTGTTGCAATTTGTTACCGGTTTAGGAACATTTTTCAATGTCTTCTACGAGATTACGATGAAAAATGAGAATTGTCGGACTGAATATTTGGCTTAAGGATTTGAAAAAACAAATTTTTCAAACAAATATTACTTAAGATTTAATATTTTATCAATCAATTAAAGTTGATCTAACGATAAAACTGTTATTTTTCTAAGTATGAATCAAGATATTCTAAGAACGTAGCAACAATGATAAGACGATTAATAATAAAAATATAAAACATATCTAGAAATTGAAAATCTTGAAATTTGCAGTCTTTGAAGAAGGTGGGGAAGGAGGAAATAGTAAATTACTAAGGAACTTCATTTAAAATTTAAATTTTATGGTTATCAAAATTAATTGTGTAAATGTTACTTACATTTTTGTTTGAAACATAATTGCTTTAGTTCAAAATTTGAGTTCCTTATCTAGGTATTGGTATATTTTTGTAATAGTATGCAAAATTTAATGATAAGTAAATTGTAAGCACATCAGTATGTATCTGTATAATGAATAAAAATAAATAATGTAAACCTAATTTCAATAATAATCCTTCAAGGATTATTTGTTAAAATATTTTAAATCTCAGCTATATTATGAAATTTTGGGTTTATTAATAAAAAAAGTTTATACCAACGTTTCGAATTATTAATAAATCTTTTTTAGTGACTTTTACTTATTTAATGACTTTTTACTATAATTACAAAGAGAGTGAAAAAAAATCCAAACGCTGGCAAAAACAACTATTATTTAGTCACATCTGAAAAATTGTAACTCAAACTTAGTAATAAAACTAAGAAAAGAAACTGAAAATATTTTTTTAATTTAATAAACTTAAACATATAATGTTTAAATCAAAACTTGCGGACGACAACAACTATGAAGTACCTACTCTTGTGATTAGTTCAAAAACTGATAATATATTTTGTAAAAATGCAAGTAATTGTTATCTCTTCAATAAAAACAATTTACACCTGTTAACGCTATGCGTTAACTCAACACAAAATATTCGAAGTGTGATAAGTCTAAATTAAAAAAAAATCACTTGAGATAAAGTTACTTAACTATTTAATCATTGAAAAATATATAGGTATTGTTCTTTACTTCATCGATTGCCGCGATGGCACAATTAACTTTTCTTGCTTTTCTGTTTTTGGCGACTAGTTTTTCCCTAACTACGTGTAAAACTACTATAGGTACGTAAAACTCTTCAGTTTTTACATTCCTTCATTTTTCTTATAGACGATTTAGGTCCTCTTGAAATCGGACTTCGCCAATATTTCCAAACGGGCGAAGCCACCGATGAGTTTCTCGAAACTTTACATTCGTACGAATTCCCTTACTTACTTAGGGAAGGAATGGAAACGGCTTATGACAATCCGACTGTTTGTTACATGTGCAACTTAGTTGTCGATTTAGTGATCGGTGAACGCTTTTTGGGCTTAACTCGTGACACTCTAGTCAAAGAAGCAACTCTTTTGTGCACCCATTTGAAAATTGAAAATGAGAGGGTTTGCAAAGGCGCAATTGAGCTTAATATCGTAAGTTGTTGCGTTGATTTCTTACCAACACATCATTTTTTTATTGCAAGGATGTATTTCTTTACGCGATCGACAATTACGCAAATTTTACTTCAAATAGAATTTGCGGTTCGATTCTTCAAGCTCAAAGTTGTCCCACTGGTGATGCTTTCGAATGGTCAATTGATTTACCTTCCGGTAATTCACCCGAACGTCCCAAACCCAACGATACACAAGTCCCCACTTTCACTATTTTACAAATCAGTGATATTCACTATGATCCTAATTATACTCCCAATGGAAATGCCGATTGTGGTGAACCTATTTGTTGTCAAGGGGACCAAGGCAAACCCGCAACTCCTGAAGATGCTTGTGGGTATTGGACGGATTATAGAAATGGGGATAGTCCTTGGCATTTAGTTGAGGAAACAGTCAGACAAGCTAAAACCCAGGTTAGGCTTAAAACTCTTATTAAAACCTATTTTTTTCTCAATGTCGCAGAAATTTGACTATGCTTATTACACTGGTGATATAATTAGTCACCGAATTTGGGAAACCAGCATCGAAAATAATACTGAAGCCATTACTAAACTGTATTCCTACTTTAAGGATACTTTAGGGGTTCCAGTTTATCCGATTTTTGGAAACCATGAACCTCACCCTCTTAACGTGTAATTTTTTCAATATTTTTTGTAAAGCAAAGACTCATCTAGAAGTTTCTAGGTGGCCTACTGATAAAGTTTCCGATAGTTTTAATATTAAATGGTTATTTGAACTTGCGGCCAAACACTGGTCTGATTTGATAGGTGAAGATATCAGTGAAACAGTTTTAAAAGGTGGTTACTACACTGTTAGTCCTAGGCCCGGTTTTAGGATTATTGGAGTTAACAGTAATGTTGGATATACCGACAATTGGTGGTTGATTTACGATGATTTCGACCCTTATGGTCAATTGCAATGGTTAGTTGACACTCTTAAAAAAGCAGAGGATGATAATGAAAGTGTTCACATATTGACTCATGTTCCTACTGGTACTTCCTCAAGTCTTAAAGTTTGGAATAGGGAATACACCAAAATTATTGAGAGGTATTTTTCAATTTTTTTAAATCTAGTTAATGACAATTATTTAGATTCTCAAATACCATTACTGGCCATTTTAATGGACACACGCATAAGGACGAATTTTATGTCTATTATAATAGTTCCAATCCGACTCAAGCTATTGGAGTGGTTTTTAATGGAGCCTCTGTTACTCCTTTCACTAGCTCAAACCCAAGTTTTAAATATTATTACGTTGATGAAACCACTTTTGTGAGTATTTGCTGAAAGAGTTCATTCTGATTAAGATTTTAGAATTTAGTAGATTACGACGAGTGGACTTTTAATTTGACACTTGCCAACTCCCAAGACTCTTCTAAGTTGCCCGAATGGTACAAATTGTATAGTTTTGCTGAAGCTTATGGTGTTGATAATTTGTTACCTTCTGAAGTTGACAAACTTTTGTACAAAATGACAAAAGACCATTCTCTTCTTGACAATTACTTTAAGTAAAGCTTCCTTAACTATTAATTATCAAATTACACTATGATATTTCTAGGTTTAAATATCGCAATGGTGACGATGGTATTAAAAATGGATGCAATGACTCGTGCAAGAAAAATTTACTCTGTAGTATTGTAACAACGCTGTATGGGGAAAATGCGCAGTGTAACCGTTTCATAGATTTGTACGACTCTTAACTGTAAGAAATAAATATTAAAGAACACTTCTCTTCTTTTATTGAATGTGAATATTCAAGAGATAAATCTTTTAAGTGTCGAAAAAGAGATAACTGAATCTGACAACTAAATTTAAATTTAAAATCAATCTCTTATAAATGAGGTATGGTACGCTTCAGCGCCCGTTACTTCCGAAAGTATATAATCTTCCAGAACACGAATTTTTCAAAGTATCTGATATATTACCAATAAGTAGGTAATCCAATTCATCTGTTAGTTATTCATAAAGTATTTGAAATCGAAGTAATTTGATTAATTTTAACTAGTTTTTGCACATACAGCGTAAATAAAAGTAAAAATGTTATTTAAAAAAACTTGTTTAAGATGAATACGAAATTATAAAATCAACATTAATAATAATAATTTATATGATTTTGTTATATAGGGTGTTATAGTTTGCATTTTATCGTAATTCTACTACTAATTCTCTTATTAAACGACACATAAAAATAAGAGAATCAGAATCCATATTACTATATTATTTAGAATCAAAGAAATAATTATGAAGTTGTAAAAAATATGTATAATCGTAAATTTATAATTGGGTAACGATTTTTTAAATTTTGTTTAATGCCACACAAATTGAAAAAACAGTGTCATTAATTCAGGATTTTTTATCTCAGAGATAAAATTTTCTAAAATTTCCTTCTTTTTTCAAACCCAATGAATTACTACTTTTGATATGAGATAAAGTTAAAAGTGTGAAACGTACTTAAAATGTTACTTTTGACTTGATACTTAATCTTTAGTTAGTGATGAACACTGATTTGTGGACAGATTTGTATCCACGTGTATAAATAAAAAACCGAGACAAGATTAAATGTTTGTTCGAGTACTTGTTACAGGAAATTACTATTCAAAATAAGAAATTGTTATTAATATAACTAGACACTTGGACACTTTTAAGTTTTAAAAAAGTCGAATTTTTAAAACATTTAGGTTTAATAATGTTTAACACACATACTCGTTCTTGTAATATTTTTAACTATAAACTTAAAATGCAAAGAGTGACTAATTCCCATACTTTAACTTTAACTAAAATCACTTAAGATAAAACTTTACATTTGGACGAATTTCCCGACTTACTTAGAGAAGGAATGGAAACGGTTTATGACAATCCGACTGTTTGTTACATGTGCAACTTAGTTGGCGATTTAGTGATTGGTGAACACTTTTTGGGCTTAACTGGTGACACTCTAGTCAAAGAAGCAACTCTTTTGTGCACCCAATTGAAAATTGAAAATGAGAGGGTTTGCAAAGGCGCAATTGAACTTAATATCGTAAGTTGTCACGTCGATTTCTCACCAACACAGATCAATTTTTATTGCAAGGATGTATTTCTTTTTTTTTACGCAAATACGCAAATTTTATTTCAAATAGTATATTTGCGGTTCAATTTGTTTTTGTAATATTTTTAACTATAAACTTAAAATGCAAGGATTGACTAATTCCCATACTTAAACTAAAATCACTTGAGATAAGACTCCTCTGGTGTCTGGTATATATTTGATGATTTATGAAACTCCTTTATTTTATTTAGACTTTGCCACGATGGCATCATCTACTGTATTTAGTTTACTGTTCTTTGTTACAATTTTTTATTTGACAACATGTAAGAAAGTTACCATTGGTATGTAAAATCTGTGAATAATTCTTCTATATTCGTTTTATATTTTTTTCAAAGAGGATCTAGGACCGCTAGAAACCGGCCTTCGAGGCTATTTCCAAACGGGCAAAGCTACAGACGAGTTTCTCGAAACTTTACATTCCTATGAATTTCCTTATTTGCTTAGAGATGGAATGGAAAAAGTTTACGACAGTGCGACCATCTGCTACATGTGTAGTTTAGTTGTCGATTTTGTGATCAATCAACGAAAAAATGCGGGAATTAGTCGCGAAACTATTCTCGATGAAGCTACTTTCTTATGCACTGAATTAAAAATGGAGACTGATAGGGTTTGTAAGGGCGAAATGGAGCTCAATATTGTAAGTTATCGGCTTGCACTTTGTTGCAATTAATTTTAAATTTTTTGAAAGGATATATTCTTGTATACAATTGACAATTACCCAAATTTTACTTCGAATAGAGTTTGCGGTGCATTTCTTCAAGCTCACGATTGTGACACTGGTGATGCTTTCAAATGGTCAATTGATTTACCTTCTGGTAATTCACCGCAACGTCCAAAACCCAACGGAACAGATACTTTCACAATTTTACAACTTAGTGATATTCACTATGATCCTAAATATACTCCCAATGGAAATGCTCTTTGTGGTGAACCTATTTGTTGCCAACCGGACCAAGGCGAGCCTTCAAGTCCTGAAAATGCCTGTGGGTATTGGACGGATTATAGAGACGCTGATAGTCCGTGGTATTTAGTAGAAGAAACAGTCAGACAAACAAAAACTCAGGTTTGTCACCACTTTTTTTACTTTTTTTTAATCAAATTTTATAGCAAGTTGACTATGTTTATTACACTGGTGATATTATTGCTCACCGAATTTGGGAAACTAGCATTGAAAGCAATACGGAAGCTATAAGTAAATTGTATTCATATTTTAAAGATAGTTATGATGTTCCAGTTTATCCGATTTTTGGAAACCATGAATCTCATCCTCATAACGTGTAATTTTTGCAGACTTTGGCTCAGATGAAAATATTTTTGGTGCGTTTTAGGTGGCCTTATGATAACGTTGATGATAAATTAAGTATGAAATGGTTGTTTGAATTAGCGGCAAAACACTGGTCCGAGTTGATTGGTGAAGATATTAGCAAAACGGTTTTAAAAGGTGGTTACTATTCTGTTAGTCCTAGACCTGGATTCAGGATTATTGGTATTAACAGTAATGTTGCTTATACTGACAATTGGTGGTTGATGTACGATGATGTTGACCCTTATGGGCAATTGCAATGGTTAGCTAACACTCTTAAAAAAGCAGAAGATAATAACGAAAGTGTTCATATACTGACTCATGTTCCTACTGGTACTTTTTATAGTTTAAAAGTTTGGAATAGGGAATATACAAGAATTCTTGAGAGGTGCTTCTAGTATTTTTTTAATTAAATTAGCTACTTATTATGATTTAGATTTGCTAATACCATTACTGGGCATTTTAATGGGCACACCCACAGAGACGAGTTTTCTGTTTATTACAACCGTTCAAACCCGATTCAAGCTATCGGAGCCGTTTTTAACGGAGCTTCAGTAACTCCTTATTATCTTGCCAATCCAAGTTTTAAATATTACCGCGTTGATGAAACCACTTTTGTTAGTATTCACCTTTTGTCTGAGTTTTATCTTAAGTTTCATTGTTTCAAGAATTTACTAGATTTCGAAGAGTGGACTTTTAATTTAACTCTTGCCAACTCTTATGGCTCTTCAAAGTTACCAGAATGGTACAAATTGTACAGTTTTGTTGAAGCTTATGGTGTGGATAATTTGCTTCCTTCTGAAGTTGATAAAATTTTGTACAAAATGACGGAAGACCACTCTCTTCTTGACAATTACTTCAAGTAAAATTTATGATAAATCAGTCATATTGTTATAATAAATTTTCTAGGTTTAAATATCGCAATGGTGACCCTGGTATTAAAAATGGATGCGATGACTCATGCAAGAAAACATTGCTCTGTAGTATTGTAACAACAGTGTATAGGGAAAACGAGCAGTGTAACCGTTTCATGAATTTGTACGATCAGTAATTGTAAAAAATAAATGCAAAGGTACACTTGTCTTCTTTTATTTAATTTAATTTAAGAAACAAATTTTTATGAAACAATATTTTGTGTCAAAAAAGAGAATCTGAATCTGACAAGTAAATTTAAATTTAAAATCAATCTTGATAAATGTAGTTTGGTACATTTCAACGTCCATTATTTCCCAAAGCTGTGTTCCAGGTCACAACCTATGTCACTAATATCTAGCAAGGAGAAAAATAAAACTACCAAAGTGTAGCGTTAGGAAATATTTAATGTTTAAATGTTTAATCCAATTACAAGATTTGTACGCAAGATTAAAGAGTTTTAAGTACTGGGAAATTACTGAGCAAAATCAGAAACTGTCAAATAAGATGACAAAACACTTGGATAAGTAAACTTTTGAAGTGCTTTTGAAAGGGGTCAAAAACCCATAAATTTTGGAATTTTTTAATAACGATTTAACACAATCTCATAGTATTTTTAACTCGTGTTTGTTTTTTGATTAAACTTAATAAAGTCGCAATGACAGACTAAAGTGTATTATGTTGTTGTCTATATTTTTTCAAAATATTAGTGATAAACCAAATTCACTTAAGATAAGGCTCTTCATAAGAGAAGTATAAAATTGTTGATCTAAAAAACTCATTTATTATATGTTTTGCCACGATGGAACTATCTACTTTTCTCAGTTTACTGTTCTTTGTTACAATTTTTTCCTTGACGACATGTAAAAAAATTAGTATTGGTACGTAAATCTTGTACTTTTTTATATTTACTATAAATTTTTCTCAAAGAGGATCTAGAACCACTTGAAACCGGGCTTCGTGAATATTTCCAAACGGGCCAAGCCACGGACGAATTTCTCGAAACTTTACATTCGTACGAATTTCCTTATTTGTTTCGAGATGGAATGGAAAAAGTTTACGACAGTGCAGCTGTCTGCTACATGTGTAGTCTAGTTGTCGATTTTGTAATAAGTCAACGAAAAAATTCTGGAATTAGTCGTGAAACTATCCTTGACGAAGCAACTTTTCTGTGCACTGAATTGAAAATGGAGCCAGAGAGGGTTTGTAAGGGTCAAATGGAGCTCAATATTGTAAGTTACTAGCAGTCCTTTAATTATAATTAATTCCATTGCTTGGAAGGATATTTTCTTGTACACAATTGACAATTACCCAAACTTTACCTCGAATAGAGTTTGCGGGGCGTTTCTCCAGCCTCATGGTTGTGACAAAGGTGATGCTTTTGAATGGTCGATTAATATTCCATCTGGTAATTCCCCCGAACGTCCAAAACCCAACGGAACAGATACTTTAACAATTTTACAACTCAGTGATATTCACTATGATCCTAATTATACTCCCAATGGCAATGCCGCTTGTGGCGAACCTGTTTGTTGCCAACCGGATCAAGGCGAACCTTCAAGTCCTGAAAATGCTTGTGGGTATTGGACAGATTATAGAAACGGGGATAGTCCTTGGTATTTGATAGAAGAAACAATTAGACAAACTAAAACCCAGGTTTGGATCTGAATCGGCTTTTTTAATTCTACTACTGAACCAAATTTTGTAGCCAATTGACTATGTTTATTACACTGGTGATATTATCGTTCACCGAACTTGGGAAACTAGCATTGAAAGCAATACGGAAGCTATAAGTAAACTCTATTCCTATTTTAAGGATAGTTATGATGTTCCAGTTTTTCCGATATTTGGAAACCACGAATCTCATCCTCTTAACGTGTAATTTTTGCGATCTCTGACCAGATTAAAAATATCTTGAGTGCATTTTAGGTGGCCTAATGACAAAGTCGTTGATGAGAAACTAAGTATTAAGTGGTTATTTGAACTTGCGGCCAAACACTGGTCCGAGTTAATTGGTGAAGATGTTAGCGAAACGGTTTTAAAAGGTGGTTACTATTCTGTTAGTCCTAGACCTGGATTTAGGGTTATTGGTATTAATAGTAATGTTGCTTATACTGATAATTGGTGGTTGATGTACGATGATGTTGACCCTTATGGACAACTGCAATGGTTAGCTGACACTCTTAAAAAAGCAGAAGATAATAACGAAAGTGTTCATATACTGACCCATGTCCCTACTGGTTGTTTTTACAGTTTAATAGTGTGGAATAGGGAATATACAAAAATTCTTGAGAGGTGCTTCTAGTATTTTTTTAATTAAATTAGCTACTTATTATGATTTAGATTTTCTAATACCATTACTGGGCATTTTAATGGGCACACCCACAGAGACGAGTTTTCTGTTTATTACAACCGTTCAAACCCGACTCAAGCTATAGGAGCTGTTTTTAATGGAGCTTCGGTAACTCCCTATGATCTTGCCAATCCCAGTTTCAAATATTACCATGTCGATGAAACCACTTTTGTGAGTATTCACTTCTTAACTAAGTTTCATCCTGACATTATTTTTTTTCAAGAATTTACTAGATTACGAAGAATGGGCCTTTAATTTGACTCTTGCCAACTCGTATGGCTCTTCAAAGTTACCAGAATGGTACAAATTGTACAGTTTTGTTGAAGCTTATGGTGTTGATAATTTGCTTCCTTCTGAAGTTGATAAAGTTTTGTACAAAATGGCTGAAGACCACTCTCTTCTCGATGATTATTTCAAGTAATTTTTCCTCTAAATAAGTGACAAACTTTGATGAAAATAATTCTAGATTCAAATTCAGAAATGGTGACCCTGGTATTAGTGGTGGATGTGATGACTCTTGTAAGAAAGGTTTGTTGTGCGATATTGCGACAACTGTGTTTGGTGAAGATGAGCAATGTAAGCGTTTCCTAGACTTGTATGATCAATAAATTTAAATAAACGTATGCACTTATTTTAATTTATTATTATACTTACTAAAAACGACACATTTTTTTTTTAATTTAAAATTTTTGTTGTGTCTGCTTTAACTTTCCTATCTAAAGGAATATAAAGACAGTTTATGTTTTAAATATTTTTAACAAAATTATGCACTTTTCACTTAATTTTACTTGTAAATATTTTTATGCTATTTATGGTACCAATTAACATTGAAACCCCAGGTATATGTAACAGACAATACACTTGAATCACTACTTCTCCTTCAGATGGTTTAGAGCAAGTTGTTGAGGAACTCGACGAATATTTTGACGACCGGCCATGAGCCCGTTTATTTGCGAAAAGTTTTAGGAACAAATCAATTACGTAATATTTTTTGCTTTTTTGCGATAATATGGAAAATACATATTATTTTGCCATGCGAAGATTTTTTAGTATACTGGAACAATTATTTAAAAGGAAATAATTTGGAATAATAATTTAAATAAAAAAAATTGCTTTGTTAAAAATTGCTATGCCTTGTCACTGTGATAACAAACGATTCAACAAACAACAAAATTCAGTTTAATAAAATGAATTCTCAGAAAGAAGAACCGAAGCCATCGTATAAAATAAAACAGTTTAGACCATTCTGTGAAGAATATGATTTTTTTTTCTAATTTTTTTAAACCTTAATTTGACAAAATAAAAAATAAACAAAACTTTGCTATAAATTTTCACGATTTCTGTTAACTCTCCTTTTCTCTTCACCTGTATGCTTATCATAAAAATTATGAATTTTACACTAGTTAAAAACAATTGAATTTAATCATACATTAAAGTGGTTTACGTTTACGTACCTAAATTCACTTTTATCAACAAATAAAATTTGTTGATTTACATTTAATTAATACATGTTCATTATATTTGTGTTTTTTTAACCATTAAAAACAAGACTGAACTGTTGTAAAATAACTAATAAGGAGATTCGTCAACCGTAATGAATATTTTACTGTTCACATAACTTTTTACATTTGCAAAAACAGTAAGTTTTAAAATTGCTAAAATATTTCATTTGATTATAATTTCAAGTGTTGGCATAACAATATTGTTATCACAATTAGTTGCTGCTTTTATAAACCAACAAAGTCTGTTAGTTTGTATTGAAGAACAAACCATTGACTAAGAATGTTGTTGAACCACTTGATAATATTGCTAATTTTGGCCTCGTTTGGACGGATGGATTTTCCAGGTGCGTACTAAAGTTCACAAAACACAATTGATAATATTTTCTCTAGAATCCCTTTTTGGCAAAATTAAAGAATATTTTACTACGGGCCAAGAACCCGATGGCTTGGTTCAAGCCTTATTGCCATTTAAAATGCCCGGTTTGCTAGACGATGGCCTAGAAGATGTTTACGATCACTCGAAAACTTGTATGTTTTGCAACTTATTGGTAAATTTGGTCATAGCTCAGCGTAGAACTGGCGCAAATCGTGAGACTATAGCCAAAGAATCTGAATTTTTCTGTGTACATTTGGGTAATGAAACAGAAAGGTTTTGTAAAGGGGCCATTAATCTGAATCTAGTAAGGCTAGTTAATTGGAACTAACTTGAGTTAATTTCAATTTTACTAGGATGTTTTTCTTTACATTGTTGATAATTCTCCTCAACTTGACTCGCATAGAGTTTGTGGTACGATTTTGCAATCACATGGTTGCCATGGGAAGAATTTCGATTGGTCCGTTAATCTCCCAAGTGGAAATTCACCTCAAATTAGACCAAATTATAACCAGTCCACATCGTTTAAAATTCTCCAACTCTCAGACATACACTATGATCTTAACTATACAGCAAACGGTAATGCCGAATGTGGGGAATACGCTTGTTGTCAAAAGGATCAAGGTGAAGCTAGTTCACCTCAAAATGCTTGTGGTTATTGGAGCGATTATAGAAGATCCGATCTTCCTTGGCATTTAGTTGAGGAAACGATCAAACAAGTGAAAACTCATGTAAAGTCATCTTTTGTTTCTTTTGATATCTGCAAAATTTTATTTTTAGAAATTCGATTTTATATACTATACTGGCGATGTAGTTAATCATAGAATTTGGGAGACTAGTATCGAAAGTAATAAACAAGTAATCTCCAAACTTTATTCTTACTTTAAAAGTGCTTTTAACGTACCAGTTTATCCAGTTCTTGGCAACCACGAACCGCATCCAATAAATCTGTAACTACCATTTTAACAGTAACCGTTTTTTTAACGTTAGTTTTTAGTTGGCCGCCTCAAAACCTTCCAGATGCTAAATTTTCTAATGAATGGCTTTTTGATTTAATTGGTGATCTTTGGTCAGATCTTGTAGGAGAAGATATAAGAGATACTGTTTTAAAAGGGGGATATTACACGGTCAGTCCATATACTGGTTTTCGAATTATAGTAATTAATAGCAATCCTTGTTACACTTTTAACTGGTGGCTCTTATGGAATGACGTTGATCCGTATGGACAGCTGCAATGGTTGGCTGATACTTTATTTCAAGCTGAAACAAATAACGAAAAAGTGCATATTTTGTCACATGTTCCGTCAGGAACTTCCGAATGCTTATCAATTTGGGCTAGGGAATATTCCAGAATTGTGGAACGGTACTATAAACTTTTCTTTTAAATAGTTATTTGTTGATTCTTTTTAGATTCGCTAATACGATTACTGGTCAATTTAATGGCCATACGCACAAAGACGAGTTTTATGTTTTTCATAATAGTTCCAAACCCACTCAAGCTATTGGTGCTGCTTTCAACGGTGCTTCTGTAACACCTTGGACTGATTCTAATCCCAGTTACAAAATTTACGATATTGACTCAAGCACTTTTGTATGTGAATAAGAAAAAGAGTAGATGTCTCGAGCAAAATTTCAGGATGTTTTAGATTATGCAGAATGGACCTTTAATCTCACTTTAGCTAATTTACGAGGTTCAAATCAAATTCCCGAATGGTATCAACTGTATAGGTTTACTGATACTTTTGGTGTTGATAATTTATCAACATCTGAAATTGAAAAACTTTTGCATAATATGGCTCAAAACCACAAATTGCTTGATGTCTATTTCACGTAGGTTTTCGACAAAAAATTATTTAAAAAGACGTAATTTTTGTAGACTTCGCAATCGTAATAGTGATCCTGTACTTAAAAAAAGCTGTGATGATAGTTGCAAAAAGAAGTACTTGTGTCAGATCGTGACCACAGCCTTTGGAGTAGATACACAGTGCAAGCATTTTATTGGTCTCTATGACAAAGAAGAATAATAAAACTTTTATTTTTGTAAAACTGAACTGATTATTAAATGTTTTGTGGAATTTCTCTTAATATATTTTAAACAACTTCACCTGCTTTGAAAGTGAAGGTAATTGCTGAATTAATCTGCTGAATAAATAATAAATTTGGAAACTTTTTTCAGTTTGTCTTTAAAAAAATATTATACCTACCTACCTAAAATCTAAAAAAAAATTACAATGCTTCAAACATAAAGCCAAATCAGTGAAACAAACTACAATAACGCATTAAGAACATGTATTGCTCGGTTTCTGGAACAATTTAAGATTAGATAAATTTTATCGTTTCGATAGTTGCTATAAGGTAGCGTTGATCGAATTGGTGTTTTTATAGCAATTATGGAACCGATAAAATTTATCTAACAATAAATCATTTCAGCAACCGACCCTATATGGAACATTTAATAGCAATCAAATTTTAATTCGTGATTATTTAGTAATGGTAGTTATTACTTATTAAACTTATTATTGTACACATTTGTATTACTAATTTTTTTTTTATTTTTTCTATTTTCTATTATTTTTTCAAGCAATTGCAAACATTTGAGCTGTTTTTTTATTTTGTTATGTTATAAATAACATTCAACAATTTACAATCGTTAAGTTGTCAATACCACCCTAGTATCACACAGAGTAAAAAGGTTTTAACAGTCAGACTTTCGCTTTAACCGGATTTTTCATAACTTTGATAGTTTAAACCTTTATATATTGACATTTTCGGAATTTCAGAATTAATTTTTTTAAATATGATTATTTAATACCACTAAAAACGTTATACATACCACGTGCTGTTAAGGGCCACAACAACAGCGGGAGTATTAAGGCCCTCCCTCGTCGGGCCTCAAATAACTCCCTCGATCGCTATGGCCTTCTTAACAGCCCTGCAATACGTAAATAACTATTATTGTGTGGATATAAGTTCATTAATTTTACTGTGCATTTATTTTTTATTTTTGGGTACGCTCCCAAAAATATTTTTTTAATTAGAAATTTTTTTAATTAGTAAGAGGTGTGAATTCGTGTTTTGGGAGCTTTAACAAAAAAATCTTGTATGCACCACGTACGCAAAAGGAAGGTTTTAGGTGACTCCTCTCATCATTAAGGACTCGGCTCCTACGTCGCCTCGTCATTAATTACGATTCGTCCCCTAAAACCCTATTTAGCGTACTTGATACATAAATAACTATTAATGAACATCTTCTTCTTGGATCTTCTTGGAATGGAAACGATGAACAAAAACACGATTAGCCCGTCACACCAAACTTTTATTTAAAAACACAGCGCGTTTTAACCACAAAGTGGTCATCCTCAGGTGAGAATAAAACTAACTAATTTAACAATGTTAATGCCTTATATACTAATTTTTCCGACTTTCACTTTCCCTACCCCCAACTAACGAATAGAGGGGAGAAAAGGGAATGGGGCCGTTGTCTGAATTCATAAGATTATCTCTATTTTTAAATATTTCAAGACTCTCGAAAGCGTCAAGAAATTTACAATTATTGACTACTCTAATAATTTTTACATTAGTTTCATCGATTTTATGGTCTTTTTCAAAAATATGTTGGGCCACACTTGATTTTTCAAATCTGTTATATCTTAAATGATCTATGTGTTCTTTAAACCTAGTGTTAACTGAACGACGTGCTTGCCCAATATATTTTTGTTCACAATCTTTACAATTAATTTCATAAATCCKCSATTTTTCTAATGGTCCTACTTTATCTTTAGGATTACCAAGAAAACTTTTGAGACTTCTGCCAGAGTTGTAAACAACTTGGTAGTCAAGATTTTTGAAAATTTTACTCAAACCTCTTGTGATTGAGGGAGTATAAGGTAAAGTTATAAACTGTGTTTTCTTTGGTGTGTTTGTAAAAGTCGTGGAATTATTGACCATCTTCCTATATTTAACTTTTTTAACCATTTTGTTATTATGTTAACATCAAAACCATTACACTTCGCTGCATCTTGGTTGTTTAAAATTTCGAGGAAATGCTCAATGGTACATTTATTAAGATCAACAATGACAAAAATGTCATCCACATACCCTAACCAAACTCTGGGAAAATATTCGAGCTCATTTTCTAAATCCTTTTCTAAAGGGCTCATGAAAAGGTCAGCTAAGAAAGGTGACAATGAATTACCCATTGCCGTACCTTCTTGCTGTTCGAAAAAATTCCCCGAAAATTGAAAAATGTTTTGCTTCATGCAAAGTTCTGTGAGTCGAATATATTCGTTGATAACTTGCTGATCCAAATTGTTTTGGAGCAACAAGTCTTTTAAGTAGCTAAAGTTTGTGGAATCGGAACACTTGGAAAAAGAGAGCTAACATCAAACGAAACTAATAACTCATTTTCATGTAGTATAATATTTTTGACCTTATTTATAAATTTTAAAGAATTTTTAACTGAAAAACTAGGCTGCTGAAGTGGTAAGTCATTGAATTCGTTAGTTAACAATTTTGAAATCTTTGAAGTTGGAGCGTCTATTGCTGAAACAATTGGACGGACTGACTTTCCAGGTTTGTGAATTTTAGGAAGACAGTACAGTTTAGGAACAATTGGGTTAGAAACATGCAATTTTCTTTTAAGCTTAGGAGTGACAAGGTTGTTGCAAGGATAACCACTTTGTGGTTGAAACGCGTTGTGTTTTTAAATAAAAGTTTGGTGTGACGGGCGAATCGTGTTTTTGTTCATTAATGAACATGTTTAATTACTTTTACTAAACATTCTCTGTTTCTGTTTCTACCTAAACAAAAATACGTTTAACTGCAACACCGTGCATTTACCTTATTTTTTCGTTATGTTTTGTAACCGTTTCCTATTATAAGGCTTTATTACTTTCATCTAACGTTAATTATTTTTACTTAGCAATTATTATTTTCACCTAGCGTTTACTATTTTTATTTAGCAAATGTGCTTCGCATTTAATTAATAACCTAGCGTTTAATTTGTTCTCTTTTGTTATTATCTATAACAAATTCATTAAAACTCTTAACTGAAACAAGTTTTTTTTTGAAAATATTCTAAATCTAACAAAAGTAAATTTTATCTTTCACACAACTCGTAAGAATTATTGATTTGTCAAAAATGTAAAATATAAGATAAACCTTGACATCTCAAAAACGCAAACAAATGAGATTGTTATCTATCTAATTCAAATACTATCTATCCAAAAGATAAAGATTGAATAATTAACAATAACAAACAATTTTCTTAGAAAAATTGTTCAGATCTTTCTCTTATTTAACAAACATTAAAATGAAGCGAATTACGATATTAAATTGGTTTTTGTGTTTAAGTAAATAATGTTATTTTATTTATTTAAATCCGAGTTATTTTAAGTTTAGTCCAAAATTTGGATGTTTAGTTACATTTTATGCTCAAAACTAAATAAATATAATATGAAAGTGTATATGTGCCTAAGTGGCAAAAAGCCATAATTTTGATAATAATATCTCGTATATAAAATACTTTTAATAAACCTCAATACTTATTTCAAAGTATGTCATAATTATAATTATATGATAGAAAGTCTAACCATTATAGTACTTATTATTGCACTCAAAGTAAATTATCAATTTTAAAAATGGGTATGGGGAAATGCAAGTCCCTTTAAATAGAGTTTTTGCAATATAAGATTACACAACGTCAGGGTACTTCATGTCTGGCTATTTACAAGTAAGTAACTTTATCACCGGTAGATTTAGACTATGATCTTTGTTCAATTAAATTCAAATTTGTATTCTTAAATTAGGCTTACAAAACCCTGATAACAATTCATTGTCACTTTGAGGAAAAAGATTATAAGTACTTCACACCCGAGTCACCTACCATTCATTACGATGGCGTTCGCCCAGTTCGTTTCTGTCTTAATTTTGACCTCATTTTTTCTAACAGCAACACCAGCAATAATTCCAGGTGCGTACTCGTATTAAAATTTTTACTTACATCTCAACATAAAAAAATCTGCAGAATCGCTTACAAATGAAATCAAGGAATTTTTCAAAACCGGACTTGCTCCCAAAAATTTAGCCAAAGATCTGACAAAATTCCAAATGCCTCATGTGTTTCGTGAAGGCATGGAAAATACCTATGATCACCCTGTCATTTGCTTCTTTTGCAATTTATTGGTCGATTTAGCCATAGGTGAGCGCAGGTTAGGGGCAAGTCGTGATGTTCTTGCCAAAGAAGTAGAATTTATTTGTGTCCATCTTGGGATCGAGAGTGAGAGGGTTTGTAAGGGAGTAATCGATCTAAATATTGTGAGTTGATAAAAATGAGAAAAAACTTATTAATTTTACTATCACTAGGACGTTTTTCTTTACATCGTTGATAATTACCACAAACTTGACTCGCACAGAGTTTGTGGGTCCGTTCTCCAGTCTATGGGTTGCTCACTCGGGAATAACTTTGAGTGGTCAATTGAACTTCCCAGTGGGAGTTCACCACTTAGGCCTAAACCGAACGATACAGTAGAAGTTTTCAAAATTTTGCAATTGTCTGATATACACTATGACCCCAATTATACCCCGTATGGAAATGCCGATTGTGGTGAGCCTATTTGTTGTCAAAGTGATCAAGGCGAGCCTAGTTCACTCGAAAATACTTGTGGTTATTGGACGGATTATAGAGAGGCTGACACGCCGTGGCATTTAATTGAAGAAACAGTCAGACAAGCAAAAACTCAGGTCAAATAAGTTATTATTTTTGAGAATAGACAACCTTAGGCTTGTTTACAGGAGTTCAAATATGTCTACTACACTGGTGATATTATCAGTCACCGAGTTTGGGAGACAAGCATTGAAAATAATAGTCGAGCCATCACCGACCTTTTTTCCTACTTTAAACAAAGTTTTGACGTCCCAGTTTTTCCCGTTTTCGGAAACCATGAGCCCCATCCACTAGACCTGTAACTCAATCTGAATTATTTTTCATAAATAATTAAACCAAAATTTTAGTTGGCCAACTGAAAGCGTCCAAGATAACAAGTTTTCAGTGCAATGGCTGTTTGAGCTAGTTGCAGGCCCTTGGTCGGAACTTGTGGGCCAAGATATAAGTGAAACAGTCCTGAAAGGGGGTTACTACACCGTTAGTCCTAAACCAGGTTTTCGGATTATAGCAATCAATGGCAACCTTTGTTACACCTACAACTGGTGGCTTATTTTCAACGATGTTGACCCTTACGGTCAGTTGCAATGGCTCGCTGAAACTTTACTCGAAGCTGAAAAAAATAATGAAAGCGTTCACATTTTATCGCATGTTCCCACAGGAACTTCCGAAAGTTTATCAGTTTGGGGGAGAGAATATTCCAGAATTGTTGAAAGGTACAATGGATCTTATCTAATCATTTTTATTTTTGCTCTTGAATCCAGATTTGCAAATACGATCACTGGACAGTTTAATGGTCACACTCACAGGGACGAATTTCATGTTTATTATAACAGTTCAAACCCAACACAACCAATAGGAACCGCTTTTAACGGAGCTTCTGTGACGCCCTATACTGCTTCTAACCCCAGCTACAAAATTTACGAAGTTGATTCGACCACATTTGTAAGCAAAACAAAGTAATATTATTACTTATAGTAAATTCGAAATTTAGGATTTATTAGACTACGAAGAATGGACGTTTAATCTTACTTTAGCGAACTCAAAAAATTCGACTCAGTATCCGGATTGGTACAAATTGTACTCTTTTACCGAAGCTTTTGGGGTTGATAATTTATCGCCAGCTGAGGTTGACAAAGTTTTGTACAAAATGGCCGAAAATCATACACTACTTGACAACTACTTTTTATACAAATTTCGAAATGGTGATGCTGGAATTAAAGATGGTTGTGATGACTCTTGCAAGAAAAGTAATCTATGTGAGATTGCAACCACTGTTTATGGAGTTGACGTCCACTGTAATCGTTTCACTGAATTATATATCAAAGGACAGTAATGTTTAATGTATTTATTTGTTGCACTTATTACTTGAATAAAATGCTTGAGACGAGTTTTTTTTTTTTGGTTAATAAACTTTTTAAAACAGAAAACGTAAATTCTAATTAATCTAAAAATTCTGTTTAAAAAATTAAAAAAACACTAATGGTTTTATACTAAATTAGAATTTGAAAAAAAAAATCAAAAAAATGTCTCAAAACTCACACTTTTGTTGTTGTTTCTATACAGTACCTTACACTTGCTAAATCTAATCTGATCAACAGTAGATAAAATCTTATATCTAAACAATTGTTTTTGCAAGGTTCCAAAGATGATTCTTTTATCTCCTTATTTGTTTAAATTATGACAAAAAGACAAAATAAAATATTGTGTAATTATTATGTAAATATAAAGCAATGTTTGTTGTGTGAAAACAATGCGATTGTTGTTGACTCATTCTAAAAAAATTCCGAAATTCCAATGTGAAATAAAAATATATGTATACCTGTTTTGATTGTGAATTTGAATATGAATGCGTTTTGTGAATTTTAAGTGGTTGCAAAATTGATAGGAATTGATTTTTGAATTTATTTTCTTGATCCATGTTTTTAAAACAATAAAACGTAAATCCTGATTAATCTGAAAATTCAATTTAAACGGTTGTAATTGTGAAAAAAAAAAAGTTATGACTTTTTACTGAAATTGTATTTGAAAACAAAAAAAAAAAAAGCTCTCAAAACCCTCAAGTTATCCTATTTTTTAGTAGTTTGCTTCCCATATTTTTTTTCCATTATAAATAAAAAACTTTAATTGTTTCTTAACACTACTTAGACTCGCTAAATATAATCTGATCAACAGTAAGTAAAATCTATATATCTAAACAATTATTTTCACAAGGTCCTAAAGATAATAAACCTATTATTTGTTGGAATTATGACAAAAGGACATACCTAATAAAATATGGTATAATTATTACGTAAACATTAGGTAAATTATTTGTTATGGGGAAACATTGCGATTGTTGTTGACATCTCAAATTTAAAATGAAATAAAATACCCACTTCGATTATAAATGTGTTTTGTCAATTTTAAGTGGTTGTAAGCTTGATAAAAATTGATTTTTGCACTTATTTTCTTAGTCTATTTCCGAACAAATAAAAAACATATTTTAATTCAATCGGCGTAGAAAAAGTATGATAACATCTTATGATTGTCCATCAACTTCTTTTATTATTTTTCTGTTGATAGAAATTTGAAGTATCTTCTTCAATAGATTAAATGTTGTTCTTTCGCAAGGTCTTTATCAAGTATTTAAAGATTAGAAATTGTAGCGTATACCCATTTAATAATAGTACGTAAAGATAGTACCATGACATTATTTCGCTTTGTTCTATTTTTAGTTTTAGTAGCATCAATTTATTCCAAACAAAATGGTAAGTGACTCATTTTTTGATGTTTGTTTTTTAATAAACTTGATAGATGATTTTGAGTCGGTGAAAAAAGGCATTACTGAACTTTTCCAAACTGGAAACAAACCCTATTTTACAAACGTAGCAAAATCGTATCAATTACCTCACGTCTTCAGAGAGCACATGGAAAAAGTTTACAACAATAAAGAGATTTGTATCTTGTGTAACTTACTTTTCGACTTGGTGATCGACGAATGGAACCAAGGAATGACCAAAGAGAAAATCTTAGACATTGTTCAATACATTTGTGTTGAATTAGGAATCGAAAATGAACGAGTTTGTCACGGTTCAATTACAATTAATGCCGATATTATTTTCTACATCATCGAACACTATCCTGATATTAAAGCCAATAGGTTGTGTGGATCCGTCCTTCAAGCTTTCGGATGTTCAACTGGTGAAGATTTTGACTGGTCAATAATCGTCCCTCCTGGAAACGCAGCCAAAAGACCGCAACTGAACGATGAAAGTAGTGGAAGTTTCAATATTTTGCAACTTAGTGACATACACTACGACCCCAACTACAAGCCTTATGGTAAAGCCAAGTGTGGCGAACCAGTTTGTTGTCAGGAAGACCAAGGTGAGGCCGATTCACCCGACACTGCTTGTGGCTATTGGTCCGATTATCGCTTTGCTGATGTGCCGTGGCATTTAGTCGAAGAAACCATCAGACACACTAAAACTCAAGATTTTGATTACGTTTACTACACGGGTGATATAATAAGTCACCGAGTTTGGCAAACTACTGTTGAAAATAACACAAAAACGATTTCAAAATTGTATTCGTATTTTAAACAAGCGTTCGATGTTCCTGTTTTTCCTATTTTTGGTAACCACGAGCCTCATCCTTTAAATGTGTGAGTTGGGTTAGATTTTGTTAGGAGAATTGCTCCAAATGTGTTTTAGTTGGCCAGATGACCAGCTTCAAGATGAAACACTTTCTGTTAAATGGTTGTTCAAATTAGCAGCGGATGAGTGGTCGAAGTTAATTGGACAAGATGTGAGTGAGACGGTGTTGAAAGGGGGGTATTATAGTGTTAGTCCAAGACCTGGGTTTAGAGTTATTGGGGTTAATGGCAATCTGTGTTATACTGACAACTGGTAAGTAATCATTTTTAAAGGAAACAAATTAAACGCTAAGCAGATTTGCTAAAAAATAAACGCTAGATAAAATACCCATAAATGATTTAAACCTTATTACATTATTGTACTTAACACGTACATACAATATTTTACTTAACAAATAACTATTATTTACCTAACATTTTTCAAATAAGCCATTTTCAAATAAAATAATTGCATGAAATGATAAATTGTTCACTGACGCGCCAAACTCGAATGCGATTTGTCTTCGAACATTGGACGTGAGCAGAATTATCATAATAATGTCATAAATTCAGCGAACTACATGTTTTGCCTAAATTTTAAAAAATGCCTATTAATTAATTAAAACAGTCAGTATTATTTTTTTTAATTAAATACATAATTCCAAGAAAGAAATTCTAAGAAATGTAACGTAATTTTGAAAAAAAAAAACAATAGTAACATAACAAGAACATCGTTTTTTATCGATAAAATTTTTGAATTTTACGAAAACTTTTTTGTGATGACAGTTTGACGAGTTGAATTTAGAGATTTATATTCTGATTAGAGTCCGAAAGCGTAGCTCAAAGGCTTTAAAATTTGAATATAAATTTCCAAATTTCAACGAGTAAAATTGTCCGAGACGAAAAAGTTTGCGTTGAAATTCATAAATTTATTCGATGATAAAAACGATGGTCAAGTTATATTTAATTAGATTATTTCTAAAAGCACTTAATAAATAGAAGTTAAAAAAATAATAAATTAAAAAATTCATCTGACATGACGACTTCAAAAGACACAAACGACGCTTATAAAGATATGCTGTTGGTGGAAATTGTAAATTTGACATGTGCTGGAAATAATCTCCGATAAGTCCAAAAAGGATTCTAGAAATACCATATAGAATTCCAGAATAATTCCAGTAATTCATAAATAATTTCAGTAATTCTAAAAAAAATCTAGTAATTGCAACAATCCATCGTAATCTAATTGTTTTCAGATTACTTCCTACAACTCTAAATTAATTCCTATAATTCTAACTTAATATTTCTAATATAAGAATTTCAACGTATTTTCCAAAGAAATTATTATCACTTATGATATCCCAAGTGCATTGATTGTTTCCGGAAATTTTTTCGAGTGATTGTCTAAAACGTCATTAATTATCAACACAATTACACATTTTTTCCAATCACGAAAAAAATATCCGGATTCAAAGAGTACCTGCGTACTAATTAAAGCAAGTAAAGAGTTTTTTTGTTGTAAAAATGACCACAGATCATTGAGCAAAGAGGATCTAGAAGTTTAAGGCACGAGTCTTAAATATAAGGGCAAATCTTTTTCAAATCAAATCACTTTCCATTCAGATTTCGACTTGTTCACTTTGTTCTAGCTTTCTGAACTATTTTTGAAAATGTTTTGGGCAAATGCTTTCTCATCAGATTCGAGTGGTGTTAAATGCAATAAGTCACCTGATTTATTTTGTTGGTACATTCTGCGATTAGCTTTAGTTAGCTTGTAGCTAGTAGTTGTTGTGATAATAGTTGCACACGAAGCAACTGACTTATTATTGCATTCAACATCAGTAGAAAGTGATGAAAAAGCATTTGCTGAGAACATTTTCAAAAAAAAGTTCAGAAAGCTAGAACAAAGTGAACAAGTTGGAATCTGAATGGAAAGTCATTTAATTTGTTCTTATATTTAAAGCTACTGCTTTAAACTTCTAGATCCTTTTTGCTCAATGATCATTTTTAGAACAAAAAAACTCTTTATTTGCTTTAATTAGTACTCAAGTACTCTTTGTTTGTTTTTATAAAGAAACAATTTTTGTTTATTCTAATTAGAACAAAGAAGATGCAATTTACCATTTTTAAACAAAAGAAGAGCCTTAAATCAAATACTTTTATAAAAATGCAATTTTAAGTAAGATTAACATGAATTTCTCCCATATAACGCAATGCCTGAATAGCAAACCTTAACTTCAAAAAATCATATTTTAAAAACTACTCGGTATATTATTTTAAAAATTTGGATTCTTACTAATAAAAAGATGCTCTAAGAAAGAAAAATTTACTCGTAGGGTTTTTTTTTAGATTACTTCGATTTACTTCGAACTTCTTCGAACACTGTTCGAAGAAAAGTTTGCCAATATTCAATTTCAAATTGCATATCATTCTAAAGGGCAAGCCCATTCCTTTAGAATAGTCTTTATTTAAAAGAAATCGGCCTAATAGTTATTGAGTAATGATTTAAAGTTAAAGTATTTTAAATTCATTTGAATTAGAAAAAAATTATTTAGTTCAAAGTGTGTGGACTTTTTGAATTTTTTTTTAGTGCATTTGATTTGTCTTACTGAGACGAACAAAATGAAATAAAATTTGTCAAGTTGTCACGACATGCCTTTTTTTTGTCGCCTTGTGTTATTATTAATTTTAGCTAGGTAATCCTATTAAATACTAAATTCAGATTGATTCTTCCATAAGGTTATGCAGTTTTCTTTATAATCCCAAAAAATCTAGTAATTCCAGCAGAAAAAATTCAGTAATTTACAAACAATTCCCGTAATTCACAAACAATTGCAGGAATTCTAAACAATCCAAAGATAATTTTAATTATTCCGAATACTTCTAATTAATTTCAAACAATTTTGGTTAAATTAAATTAAATCTCAAATAAAATTAACACAATTTGTTGGTTTTTTTTTTGGCGTTTTTTTTTTAATTTTCAAGAACGGAGGTGTTAAATTGTTTTCAATGAATTCTTTGCTTTTGGAAATGCAGGATTTTGCAGTAAAGTCTAAATCAGCCCTGGCAAAACTGTTTTAAAATTATCGAAAATTCTTTTATTTTGATTTAATCCAAAAAAATTAATTGAAATTCTTATTTAAAAAATGTAAAACGACGCAATTGCATGGAATTACAATATTTTTTCTCTTTGAATTGCGCTAAGGTGGTTGATATACGACGACGTGGACCCTTTTAACCAATTGCAATGGTTGGCCGACACGTTAGAACAAGCCGAAGCTGCCAACGAAAGCGTCCATATTTTGTCTCACGTCCCCACAGGGGATATTTCATGTCTAAAAGTTTGGAGTCGAGAATACCACCGTATAGTCGAAAGGTAACATCAAACTTCTCTATTTCCCTTATCCTATTTGTCTTTAAGATTCTCTTCGACCATAACGGGCCAGTTTAACGGTCACACTCATCGCGACGAATTCCATGTTTACTACAACAGTTCGGCCCCAAACCAAGCCATTGGTGTGGCATTTAATGGGGCTTCTGTAACACCTTACGACAGCTCGAACCCCAGTTATAAAGTTTATCGTGTTGACCAAAGCACTTATGTGAGTGTATACAGGCCGCTTGGCTTATATCATAAATACAGTTTTCAGACGCTTTTAGATTATGAAGAATGGACGTTTAATCTCACTTTAGCGAATTCGCAGCCAGTTAGTGAAACACCGGAATGGTACAAGCTTTACAGCTTTATTCAAGCTTACGGCGTGAATAATTTACAAGCCATTGAAGTTGACAAAGTCCTTTATAAGATGACTCAAGATCATTCCCTACTCGATGATTATTTTAGGTGGGAGTGAGTAAAGCAAAACTTGCTGTGTGTTATAATTTACTTTTAGGTTTAAATTTCGGAATGGAGATGACGGAATTAAGGCCGGATGTAGTGAAACGTGCCGCAAAGAGAATTTATGCGATATTGCCAAAGCACAATTTGCAGACAACACACAATGCGATTATTTCTTACAGCTGTATGAGCAAGGCAAACAAACTATTGATTAATAAAGGATTTCTCAAGTGACCCGTTCTTTATTTCAATTATTTTTCCATTGGCGAATTTTATCGTCCACCTGGACTCAAGTCGGAAGTAATTTCAACAAGCCAACGCGGAAGACTTAGTTTTTCATTAAATTCGATAAGATCGCGCCATTTGTGTCAAATAGATTAATGGAAGGGATAAAAAAAACCTGTTTTTAGTGTGTTACATATTGTAATTTTTTCAGTAAACCCAATGTGTTCCTGAAAACGTTTCAGGGCGCTTGGCGATGAACCAATTTGAGTTTATTGAAGACAGCACACCTATCATAAATTCAAATTAGTGTCACACGTCTATCGGTCACGCACTAATGGTCGGTGGCACTTTTCTGCACGTTTTCAATTTTCCACGTCTCGACCCAAATTCGATTATGTGAAAAAAGCGCTTTGATACTAAACGTAGCGTTTTGTCTTAAAGTGCACCTTTAAAGGTCCATAATTGCATCCCTGAAGGTGGCACAATTCGAGGTTGTTTACCTCTTATTAGCTTTTTATTCGAGCATCGATCAAATTTTAGTAAAAATGGGTTTCAGCACAATCACGAGGAATAATAGGACAACAATAATAAATCCGAGTGGGTTTTGGTATCAAACCTTACTGCTATGTCAATAGGATTACAAGGAGAAGAATAATATCCTAGTCTTTGTAATTTACGATTCGATAGCCGACTTGAAACTAAATCAGAGTTAGAGAATGTCGAGCGATTTATCACGCCTTTTGGATCGTTTAGCCCTGTGATAAATACATAGATTGTTTCGGCTAATATTGCGAGGATTTTTTCCTGCTTCTTGTTGCGGTAATTAGTCACGATCAAAGAGATTTTGGCGAGGAATTACAAGTAATATTTTATCAAAGAGCAAAGTTTCATCCCTTATCTGTAAAACATTTTAACTTTGTGATAACAGTGCCTTTATAGCACGACCAACAACACCAACCTCTTTATCTATTGTTGAAGCTATTTTTCCATTAAGTTCACTAAATTAAACTCCAGAACACTTTGGAGCCTTTTTATTCACATTTACAATACCGCATCGTCTTTGACTGTTTTCCCCCACATTCGCACAATTGGATCGATTTTTCATTTCATCACCAATACCAACAGAATTTAATTAACACATGATTTGCATAACTTCTGAATCTGAATATTGGCGTTTAATTAAAAAACACAAATTTTCTGGTCTTGAGAGAAATTATTGTTATATCAACTTTAATTCGGTGTAAAGATATTCAACAGCAATAAATACTAAAATGTCAGAATTTGAGACTGATTGATTGGTTTTTAGTTTGTAGCTCATTCCAACGTCCAACAACTGTTGGCTTCGATTTGGTACGAAGGTCTTCCGGGTTTCCGCAGAAAAAACATGGTTCTACAAGCTTTAGAAATCGTAAGGATCGGCATCCTTTTTCCGTTCTTTTCGATTGCTTACATCGTTGCACCACATTCCGTGATTGGCCAGACTATGCGGAAGCCTTTCATCAAGTTCATCTGCCATTCCGCCTCTTATTTTACATTTTTATGTAAGTTACGACAAGCTTGACTTGGAACTGTTTCAGAATTATGAAAACGTTTTTCCGTTTTATTAACTTTCTCCTGAAAACTGCATTTTAGTAACACAAAAAATGATTTTAACCCTTTTTGTTTCCAGTTTTGTTGTCACAGACTGTATTCTTCGATGACCCTGGCGTCGTCTACACGCAGAGGGGTGCCAAACCCACCCTCGTCGAATGGATAATACTTGCCTACGTCAGTGGTGAGTTTTTAAACAAACCTTGCCTCAGAGATTTTAGTTGAGAAACTTTCCCGCTGTTCCAAGCGACTGCTGCAAACATCAATTTGCTACTGATTTTTTTTCAGAAGCGGATTTTTCAATTTGCAGTTTTGTATTGTTATTCCACTCGTGTAAACTACCACAGAGCGTAATTGTTTACGTGTCCGAGTTAAGTGATGGAGACGTCAAATATGCATGTTAACACTGAACTTAACATAGATCTAACAATCTGAGATATATCGTGCACGGAAAAGCTTTTGAATTTTTGATGGAATAATAAAGAGGTGATTTTGGGGACAAATTGAGACTTAATTATATCGGAAATGAGTTTGGAATAAGTTGAGATGGAGTTAGCGGGTTTATTGTGCCCTTGAAGGGTGTGTGATGTCGTCTTTGACTTAAAACATTTTGGTGAAAAACTGTAAAGCTCTCTAATAAGATAAAATTAAATCAAAATTCACGTTTGGGTGATTCCACTGGCGGTTGCAAATATTTGTTAAAATAATAAATGGAACCGTCTGCATAACATACAGCGTAATGATAATGGAAGGGTTTGTTTCTCGGGTAGAAGCATTTTAATTTTGTTGATGATGGGTCCGGAACTGTGTGGTTAACTAGTTAGTCGCTGTGCAAGCAAAGCTAACATAAACTTCCTTTCTAGGGTTAATATGGAGTGAAATAAAGCAGTTATGGGACGTGGGGCTCGAGGAGTATGTGAGGGATATGTGGAACGTCATTGACTTCATTACAAACTCGTTATACGTAGCGACGGTAGCTTTAAGGGCAGTTTCGATATATCAGGTAGGAAAGTGTTTCCTCTCCCTTTAGTTCCTGAGAAAAATGTTTGCAGTTTTTGAGCGACAGCGAGATGTCTGCAATCGCTTATTTCTTTCAGGTACAAAAAGATCCAAGTGCACTGAATGTTCCAAGGAAAGAATGGGATGCCTGGGATCCCATGCTGATCTCAGAAGGCCTTTTTTCAGCAGCGAATATTTTCAGGTAATTTGTGTGATTTGTGAATTTAACCCAACATATGATTTTCTCCGACTTGACAATCAAACGTGTCTTGTATTCTCTCCCACATGAAAAAAAAAAACATTATGCAACTTGAGTACATAAAATAAATAAAACTTATTGACGTTTTCTTGTTTCTTAGTCTAGTTTTACATAATTTCTATTAGCTAGTAAATGAATAAATTTGCAAAATAATATGAAAAAATTCGCTACTGTCAGGTTGATTTTACCACAGTAAAGCTATTTCGTAAATGCAAATTGAACCTGCATTTTATTTTACGTTGCACTCTACGCTCCAGAATTCTGCTTTGTTCGAACAAATTTTTATTCAGACACGTGTTTGGAATAAATTTGAGTAATTTGACACAATCCTGTGGTTTCTCATGATTTTTTCCTTGTGTTTTGTATTTTTTTAATTTTTCTTTTGGTTATTAATTGTGGAGTTTTGATAAACTAAAGATTTTTACAAAAACGTTAAGTTGTTGCAATTTTTTAAATACTGCAATAAAATTTTTAAATTTTCAAAAATTTTCAAAAATTCTAGATGCGCCGGGCAAAATATTACAGAATATTTCAGTTTTGTTGCAACAAATCTTTATTCAGACACGTGTTTGCGTAAAGTTGGGTAATTTGACACAAGCCCGTAGGTTTTCATAACGTTTTCCTCGTATGGTAATTGTGGAATTTTGTAAACTAAAGATTTTAACAAAAATGTTAAGTCATTGTAATTTTTTAACTGTATTTCAATGAAATCTTAAAAAAAAATGAAAAATGGTGGATGCGCCGGACAAAATATTACAACTTGCAATTAAATAAAAATATAGAAATAGTCATTAATAAATAATAATGTGAGGGTGAGCTATTTAGATAAGCATATCGATTGGTAATTAGAGTGTTTGTTGTTGAATTTCGGTGTGTTAAACCCAATCCCCCTTGCTCAGATATATTCAAAATTTCTGAATCACAAATTCTTCCAATTTAATTTTTCATTTCGAAATTCTCCGTTATTAGTATTCTACCCCGTCGCGTGATTTACACGAGGACGTGTATTGTACCCTTGCCATTAAACGTGGATTCGAGTAATACGGGATGTGTTAAATTCACGATTTAATAATAGCCTAAATCGAGACTAGATACGCGAATGACTGATGAGATAAATTGTCGTTTGACGTGTGTTAGACGGCTCTTTAATTCATTACGAACGAGTGAATACCATAAGCAGATTAAACTGCCCTGCCCTGCGTATTAAAATATTCCATAACTTCATTTTTATTTGAGGGTTTGAAGGCGTGTAAAATTAGAGAGAAGCTAACTAAAGGTGAAAAATCGCTTTCAACTGGTTTTTTAACACAAATTTTATTTGTTGTTGCTTTAACTAAACTAATTTTTTTGCACAACTGTAACCACACTATCACAAATCTTTCAAAAGTTTCGCCGCAAGTTCCTGAACTTAACACTTTCAGGATTAGTAGTCCTCCATGTATTCACTTCGTTAACATTCAATTTTTTTTCGTCTTGCGGACTTGTAATTCGGTTTCAAGAACAAGCACTCCGAGATAGGGAGGATAAAATTTGTAACACGTTTAGTATAATAATTAGAACATGTCGCCGGGGAGTGCTTATATCTCCGGCAAAAGTTTTATTTAACCGAGAGTGTCACATTTCATTTCATTTTTCTTGTTTTAGTTCATTGAAGTTAGTGTATATATTTTCGGTAAATCCGCACTTGGGACCACTTCAAGTGTCACTTTCACGGATGGTGATGGACATTATGAAATTCTTCTTCTTGTACGTCCTTGTCCTTTTCGCATTTTCTTGCGGTAAGTCTGATTTTAACTTGGCGTCAGCTTGCAAATATTATGATTACAGGCCTGAATCAGCTACTTTCATATTATGCTAAAGCTGAAAAAAGGAAGTGTCCAGAAGAGAACCCTCATTCTTTAAATCAGACGGAAAATAACGACACAAACGCCTGTATAATATGGAGAAGGTTTTCAAAGTGAGTAAATGAAATTTTGCGTGTGTTAAGTCTCTTGATTTTTCACTTCAAAGGATTGGAATGAATTCATATTCAATTATGTTGCAGCTTATTCGAGACTAGTCAGACGCTCTTCTGGGCCGTCTTCGGATTGGTGGACCTGGAAAGCTTCGAATTGAACGAAATTAAAATATTCACAAGGTTCTGGGGGATGCTTATGTTTGGAACATATTCAGTTATTAACATCGTTGTTCTGCTCAACTTACTGATTGCTATGATGAATCATTCATATCAGCTAATCTCGGTAAGTTGTGACAACTGCGGAATATTAAACCCGGAGTTTACGCAAGTTTAATTCTTCAGAAAAACTTTCACATCATTTTTTTTCAAGTTTCGATTAAAAACCAGTTGATTTTCCTCGCTTTTTGTCGATATTCCCTCGAGGTTCGATAACCTCGCATGCAACTTTTCCAGAGTTTCCCCCTAATTATAGTGGGAGTCACGCAATAGTGCATATGGGCCTATCTTATGCAATAAATCATTACTGGCACAGGACGAAATGTAAAGCAGGATTTTACATTTTTGTTTTTCCAATAATTAAAATGCCGCTCAGAAAACACTACCTAAAACTTGGATAGCCAGACGATGTGGTATTCAAGGAATATCAAACTAAAAAAACCATTAAGTTTCCTACTCCCACGCGAATTGCATAGTAAGAAGGCAATTCAGTTCCAACAAGACTGTTATTAGCTCCACGGCTTAATTTAACTTCAAAAGATCAATTTCTCTCAATCCTGCATCGACAAAGTAACTATTTATTATTCTCAATTTTTTGTTAAGATTAGGTATTGTGGAACAAAAAAGAGAACGTTCTTGGAAAGAGGTTCAAAAATCATATTTTTTTACAATTATGGAAAAACTTGTTAATACGCGAAATTGTTGTTGTTTAATCCACAAGACAATATTTCTTTTAAGATAGAAAATTAAAAGTCAGAAAAATCGATTAAAATTTTGACAAGATTCAAAAAAATTAAATTTAAATTGCTCCAAATGATGATAATAGGAGTACAAAAGGCCCAGAAAAGTGTTAAACGTTGTGGATAAATTTTTGGAAAATTTGGGTATGTCTGAATATACAGGGTACGCCAGAACTCGCTTCCCAGAGAAAAATGTCATGTAACGGAAGATACCAAAACATGGAAAAAATGTTAAAAAAATTCTATCCATAAAAATTTTGAAGTTATGAGATTTTATTCACAATCACTAATGTAATATGCCGATTAGTAACCTTTTAAAGATTGGGAAACACATCACTAAATCTCATAAGAATTAAAAATATTATTTCTCTTGGGCGGTAATATGCAGGACAGTCAACCTTAAAATTACAAAAATACCAGGAATTTTGTTTCTTCAAATTGTCAAGTTACGCATAATATTTTGCTAAATTAGCATTCAATTGCTTTTGTAGCAGTTTCTCTTACTTCTGGGGGAGTACACTTTTCCATTTCGACGATTTTAAATCAGATTCACACATTATTTATTTTATTATATTTTCTTTGACATTTCTGAAATGTAAAAAGTCAAACGCCATTTGGATGGCCTACCCTACCACGTTTGGACCTTAACTCTGTTAGAATTTTATTTTACTCATATTTTTGACTGAAAATAATGTGATTGTGAGTAAAATAGCATACAAACCTCGGTGGTAATGGCATGTGCTGTATTCGGGGTAATGCCATATTTACCACCTCGCTTGTAATGTACTATTAAATTTTGCACTTTGACTCTATTTATTTCTGTTGGAAAAATAATTTTCCAAGTTTTTTTGCTACAGGCTATTAGAAAAGTAAACAAGGAAGCTGTATCCTAAATTGTAACTCTGTTTAATGTTATTTGTGGCTTTTATTGGCAAAATTTTTATACCTTTACAAAATAATTATAAAAAAACCTATACAAGATCATCAGTATAAGAATGTCAAATGTCAAAAATTAAATGTCAAATTTTTTTGATAGATAGATTTTTTTAAACATTTTCTCCATGTTCTTGGTATCTTATCTTATTTGAATTTTTTCTCTGGGGCGTGAGTTCTGACGCTATTGGACTAGAGCAGATATACTGTCGGCCGCTGTGGTGGTGTGGCGTCCCACTTTCCGGTGGGTAAGTCTGGAGCATGTCTAAAGATGAAACCCCGGTAAAATTCAAATTCAAATACAATTCAAATAAAAGTCAAAAGATGGCGGGCAGATGAGAGCACGAAATTTAAATATGTGCAGATGTTCTAATAAGTATAATAAGAGAAAGAGAGAGCGCATTAACGCATATGAACAAATAAGACAGCAAAGTATGAGAAAAAGTAAAAGTCTTTTTTATCATCACCCTAAATTTTTGATTTTTTTAAGAAAAATTCAAATACCTATAGCATGTTCCAAATCTGGTGGCGAACTGACGTTGTCAAAAATGACTGAATTTTGACACTAAACATAAGTTTACTATTGAAAAAAATATTGTTCATAAGCGTCGTATGAAATAATATTTCAAAACCACTGTTATTTTTTAAAAAATTATAATAAGTAGGTTCTCATATATAAGATGAAGAATAATGAACAAATTATTAAATTGTTAACGCATGAAAAGAATTTTCAAAAATGATATTCCTAACAATCTTTGTCTTCAAAATTTTTAAAGAAAAAAAGTACGCCTATGTATTTTTTTATCTTAAGCAAGTGGGCGCACTCCAATTGTCTTTTCTGTCACTGTCAGTTCGCCACCAGATATGGAATAAGCTCTACTAACAATTCAAATAAATGTCAAAAAATGTCGCTTAAGTGCTTTAAAACATGTGCATGTGTTCTGATAAGTGTAATCTTAACTGAATTTTTATTTTTTCCCTTCACTCGGTCTCCACCTTTTGCCGTTTTCTATTTTTAGTGCTTCTAAATTTCCCAACAATTCCCAGGAAAAATAAAATTGCTATCGCGCGACAAAGACGGTTTTTAACGTTTTACACATGTGTGAGAGCGCTTAAACTACCTCATTTTAGTAAGGTATAGATGTTGAGAAGCATAGTCTAGATTATGCAGATGTGTGCCAGCAATAACCCATCAATATAATTAAAATAAATGACATGAAAAGCCTTAGACTAGATTTGAAACAAACAATGACCCTGTGGAGATTACAGGAGGACAGTTTTAAGCACATCTTAACATGGAGCAATAGAGTGTGACGAGCGATTATCTCGTCTTTATCCTATCCATCTTGATTTAATTTAACTGCGATTGTGATAAATTAAGTTTGTGGCTTGTTTGTTCCAGTTCAATTTTTGTAAATATTTCCAAAATCAGGTAATTCTTCTTGTGATTCCACTCTCAGTTTTATTTTCTCCGCATAGATTTTGAGAGAAACTTTTTAAAAATTGGAAAAAAACGTATTTTTGCGTTTAAAGCTTTATAAACTAGCGTTTTTGACACTTCTTTAGGTCCTAAAGACTTCGAATATTGCCTTCGGTCAATACGGAAAAAGTCGCATTTAAAAAATATTTGAAATCTATGAAAAATCGTTGATCTGTAAATCTAGAAATCGTGTGAAAAATCGTTAAAATGCTCTACGACGGATTTCCGAAATATTTGAAGCGTTTTTGGACGCTGACCTAATCCAATTGTTATTTCCTCAGGAACGGGCCGACACCGAGTGGAAATTCGCTCGTAGCAAACTGTGGATTAGTTATTTCGAAGAAGGGGGTACTGCCCCGCCGCCATTTAACATCATCCCAACCCCTAAAAGTATCTGGTACGTGATTCAGTGGATCCGGCGGAAATTCTGCGGTCATTCCCGAGCTGCCAAAAAGGAACACATGCGGACGATAAGGGTGAGTGGATTATCTTGTCGTTCGATTTTTGGTCGGGTTTATACCCGAATTCAAACGTCGTGTAATGCAAATCCGAGCGATTTATTGTCGTTGATTAAATTCGGACTGGCGCATGTATGTATGTATGTATGCATTCCCATTACCAACTGTTGAATAAATCAAACTGCATTAATAGCGCGATTATATCAATAAATTTGTTGAGGAAAGTAATGGTTTTTGGTGTGTTGCAGAGGAAAGTCAAACAGGCGAGTGAGAGAGATTTCCGATATCAGGTGAGATAATTAAGTGAATTATTATAGAATCTGATTTGGTTACATTGTTCACTTTTCTATAGAGCATTATGAGAAACTTGGTGCGGCGATACGTGACAGTCGAACAAAGAAAGGCGGAAAATCAGGGAGTCACAGAGGATGACGTGAATGAAATTAAACAGGACATATCAGCTTTTCGCTTTGAACTTATTGAAATACTCAAAAATTCGGGAATGAACACGTCCACGGCGCACAGCGGAATGGGTAATTAACACTAAAAAACCTACCCTCATTTTTATTACTTGATTAGACAGATCAGAAAGGAAAAGAAAATTAACAAGCTCCGCCGCTGATTGCAATGCTTCTACTTCAATTCATTAAAACTGCAAGCTTTCAATATTAATCCAAACATTTGAAAGCTTTCCGCAACCGGATTCATTATTTCGTATTTTCATATGTAGTGAATTTTAATCACCTTTGGTCCAATTTCCTTTTATGTTTTTTTTATTCGTATATTTTCTATTGACCTGTCAGTTTTAAACACTAATAAGTCAAAAATTACAAGCAGAACATTTGTTTATTATTTTGTATCAAACTCCAGGTACGGGAGGCAAGAAGAATCGCCAAAAGGAACGAAGACTGATGAAAGGCTTTAACATAGGGCCCCAAACTTCCACAACCAGCGGTCCTCTTCCCCCTGTAGCCGAATTCATCGCATCCCTCCAGCACCAACAGGAAGCTCACCATCACGACTTTTTCGGAAGCACCCTCTCTGGTATCTTCAATTCGACCTCTCGTAAACTGCACCAACACAGCAGTACGGTTTCTTCATCCCAAGGGAGTATCAATGAAGGTTCGCACAACCACCACTCCCGAGGAATTGGCAGGTAATCACCGCTCTCTTTACCGTCACTAGTTTAGGCAAAGCTTATTTTTCTCTTTGTTTGCTCACTTCAGCATGGCTATGCTAGACGCTTTGAATGTAAGTGCACTCAAAAAAAAGTTTTTCGGGTAATTAGTAATGGTTGTAGGTTTCATTTGAAACGCACTCACTCACACAAACGTCGCTGGGGAACATTGATCGAGGCAGCAAAAACTGGAAAAGTTTCCCGCTTGATAGGACGTTCCCGTTCAGAAGATTCAGTCTGCAACAACTGCAGAGAAAACGGGCACAACCACTCGCACAGCCATAGTAATAGTCCAGCGTCGGATGATAATGGGTCGGTGAGGTCGAGGTCTACCGACTCAAATCCGAGTCTGGACGTTCCCGACCATCGCGAACCTGAGCTCCATGGGTTGGCCCATGGACTAGCCTTGTTGAAGAAGAAGCGGAAAAAGTTCTCGGCGTCCAGAAACACCAGCCCGATAGTCCCTCCACCTCGAGAAGTCGCCAGTGTCAAAAAACCACCCAAAAAAGTGCGTACTATATATTTTAATTTAAAGATGCAAAATATTGATGAAAAATTGCAGATTCCTCAAGTTTTGAAGAGGGCCTCCAGCGTTCCTACTCGCGTACCAGAAGTGATTCAAAAAGCGTCACGCAATGACAACCCCCAAGATTCGGTTGAAATTCCTATTTCCGCCCCTCCCACTCTCACACCCTCCACCACAGAGGAAAGTGTGACAGCAGTGGGGCAAAATCCAGGTGCTTCGATAGAACCTCTTCTCTGCTATTCGTCTTCAAGTAATCAAGCCACTGGCTCTTCGCAAACTCCAGAAGAAGAGTTCAAAAGCCACAATTCGCAGTCTTTACCCAAACTACCAGGAGTTATTCCTTTAAGTGGACACAATGGGCCAACTGGATGGTTGTAGTTCGTTCAAGACGAGTCAATGGTTTTTCAAATTAACAACGAATTTTAGTTGCGTTTATCAAGGGGCGTGACATTCTAAAAATTGTAGAATTGACATTGAGGATTGGTTATAAATTTTAGGAGAAAATCATTGACTCTAGGGATCACACACCAAATGCATTTAATTTGTTAGTTGAAAAATATGTGATAATTATTTATTATACAGGATGTTATAAATTATTAAACACAGCCTGTTTAAAAATAAATAATAGCCATAACGGACCATTCACGGTTATTATAGGTACAGGGTGTTGAGGAAATAAATATCAGATTTAATTTACAGTCAAATTTTGTTGATTCTGATATTTTACTGCCATTCGCATCTTTTCAAATTTTCCTAAATCTAGTCTTAATTTAAGAATCATTAGAACTCTTTAGGGTAAATTTTATTGAAAAATATGTACAAGAGGCCTTCGAACATGGTAGTTTCATTGTCATTGCCTTAGATTAGATTAATGTGTGTTTAATGTGTAAAAATGGGTATTTTTATAATACTTATGCTACATTCATTAGAAATGTAAATATAACGACTTCACTAAACTATTTTTTAACTCATTAATCTGTTAAGTCTAATATTAAAGAAAAACTATATCCGCCACATCTACCCGAAAAATTAGATTAAGAAGAAACTTAGATTGTAAGTGCATCGTTTCGATTTTTTTTCAATTTCGAATTTTTTACACACAAGGTCATTACACCATGATGTAGAAAATCACAAGGTAATTGTAAATTTATTGTTAAATCAAATATAACAAATTTCAAATAGAAATTTTATACAAACTTCTCTCCTATACTATTTGTACAGTTCCAAATTAGCTGTTACGAGATGTAATTATTTATTGTTGAACTGTTGCAAGTACATATTTTTTCTAGTCATTGGGAATAAAATGGAGCTTAGCCATTATTATGTAGTAGCGCTTAATATTAACATTTTTTTATTATGCGTGTGCTGAAAATTGTTTAATAAAAAGCTTTAAACTTTTTTTTTTCATTTCTACCCAAAAATTGTCACAGTGACAATTCAATTTGTCAAAGTCTGAAACAGTCTTAATTTTTAATTTTTTTCACTAAATTATACTGAAATAATGGCCAGCTCGGCAGCCACCTCACCTTTCGGTAAAAAAGAAGAAGTTTATGGTTTTAAGACCCTTTACCGCGAGCTTGGGTATTACATATCAAGATTGGAGCAATACGAGAGAGGTACTAATTAACAAAGCCCAATCAAAACTAATTTTTCCTTCGAAGCTTTGAAATTTTTCGATGAAGCGATTGCAAAAACCCCTAATGATCGGAGAGCCTTAATGGGTCGAGCTTGGGCCAGGTCTAAAGCTTGCAAATATGAAGGTGCCCTTGATGACATTAGAACAGCCCTCAATTTAGACCCTGACGACCTTGTAATGTTAGCCCACAAAGCCCTCAACACTTATCTCAATTGTGAATTTGAAGATGGTTTAGTACAAAACACTCGCCTTCTCCCCATAAGAAAAAAACCGGATTATTTCCAAATGGGTGCCATGCATGTAAGTTTTTGATTTTTAATTTGATTTAATAAAAAAAGTGTTAGTGTGCCGATGCTATTGAAAACTGTTTAGGAGAAAGAGCCGGAAGGCCATTACGTGACCACTATTTAATTATCCGAAGATTAGCCTGGAAAAAAAATTTCGAAGAACAAAAACGTTTCCAACCAAAATCCCGTTACAAGAAGAAGAAGAAGAAGAAAATTGTTCTTCCTGACAAAGTAAGCAATAAGGGAGACCCGATTGTTCCCCTAAAGTCATCAAGGAACTTAAATCATCAATCTTTAACATCCGACAATACTTTAAGCCAAATTGATGAACCTCCAACCGATCGTGAAAGTATTGTTGATAGTATCTACTCGCTAAAATCAGAACGCAACATTCTTCCACCTCCCATAAAATTCCCTCACAAACCCCTCCAACGATACACAAGTAATATAGAGAATTACATGGCAGAAAAATACCTCGACACACTTTACAAAGACAAACTTTTCTTGAAAAACCTCCCGAAAGAACCCGGAATTTCGTGTCCCAATGAAGCCGGAACGAAGAAAATTCTACTATTGGCCAAAACCGGCTACAAGACTGTTAAATACAAACAAGAGTTGTTACGAGCAAGACGACCTTTCTATTTCATAAAATATCAAGAAGCCACATCATCCGGTGCCCTCAAAGTACGACAAGAAGAACAGTTGAATAAATTAAGGGACGCAGCGAAGAAAGAAGCAGATTTGATAGTATCAAAAATGCGTGATGCTCTTGAAGATAAGGGTTGGAAGTCGGTTCTTGAAATGGCGGAGAAACTTAAAACTTTCTGTGATCTCAAATCGCGTAAAATTCTTCCCGATAGAGACACGTATTTGGAGGTGTTGTACGACACGGTGTGTCAAGCCCATTACGACTTGAAGAGGGTCAACAAGAATCAGTTAGAGTGGGATCAAGAGAAGAGAATATATAAAATGTTGGGGCTTCATTTGAGTCGAGAACCATCAACTGATTCGGTTATAGCCCAATTTAAGGGAGTTTTCATCGATTGGAAGTTGGTATTTCTAATTTTGTTTACAATATTTCAAAATTTTCATTTCCAGAAAACAAATCACTGTTTATGGTGATCGACTACGTAAGGCAACAACTCCCAAAGAAATGTGTTGGTTGTACCATGAACTTAGCAGATTCCATACTGAGTTGAAACAATACGAACTGGCTCGTGTCTATGCTCGTAAATGTATGAACGAGGGCAAACGTACCGAAAATAATAAATGGGTTATTAATGCACTGCTACTTATCATGAGGATAAATATAGCCCAACATAGCAAAAATGACGCCAAATCTGATGCCCAAGCTGCTATAGAGTTAGCGACTCAAATGGGTGATAAGAATCTTATTGCTTTCTTGAACAAAGTGATGCTTTTTGATTCGTTGATGTTTGAAGTGATAACAATTTGTTTTAGTGTAAGCAAGTGATTGAAAAAGTAGCTTTTGATGAGAAACTAGGACCAAAAGTATTGATGCAGCGTGAACAAAAGATTGTGGAAATGATGGCTGGTGATAAGATGAAAGATGAAGCTGCTCATCTCTTCAGGATGATGTCTGCAATGCCTGCTGCAAGACGGATGTCTGTTATGCCTGGAATCAGGATAACAGATGACGATGATGACAAGAAAGCGATGGCGGCGAGGAAACAATCTATAATGCCAGGAGTGCAAAAACCGGCCGAGTTTACAATGACGACCCCAACTCAGAAGCAGAAGAAAGGGAAACAAGTTTCTATGGATGAGTCATCAAAAGGGGTTGGATTTGTTGAACTTATTAAATATCATATTGATGACTGATTTCGGATAAATAAAGATGAGTTTGATAAGAGTGTATGTTTAATTTCTGACACACATATAAAAAAACTGTCGAAAAATTATCAAACTCAACATTAGCAAAAGTTTCAAAAATGATAATCGAGAAATCTCCCTAGAATATAAGGTTTTGTCCTTCAAGTTGAGTGCAGTAAAAATTGTTTAGTTACTGTGTAAACATTTTAATAATCTTAGATGGAAAAGGTGTAGAACCTTCAATTGTGTGCACTTGTAGATTGGAAAAAAAAAAGATAAATATTTACTTGGAAGGTGTACTTTATCGGATTGGCGTCTGTGACTAACACTTCTCAAAAATTGTGTATTTATACATATTGTTTTTTTTTAAAGTAGTCCATAAAAGTAAATTTTAGTATATTTCTTTTATATACAGAATGACATTTTTTGAATTTAAACAATTCGTTTACTTGTGAATACACACATACCTCGTCACAGTTTCACAAAAAACTAAACCCAATTGAACTCTAATTAAATTTTATTGCAATATGATGAAAAGGTAAACAGTTTGCATGTAAGAAAACACTACTTTATTAGACTCATAAAGGCGGAGGTTTTGCAAAAACCTAGTTTTAGTAGAATTCTCTTATTTTAAGCTCTATTTACTGAAAAAACACAAAAACAATATTTTATATCTGCTGAGAATAAGTTGAATCTATTGTTGTTGATTGACAATCGACAGATAAGATAAAAATATCGAATCATCTCGTTGACTGGTGGTGATGATTAGCAGTTTTATGGTAAAATGAATACGCCTTCGTCATGTACCAAAGATGTATCATTAAAATCGACCTGAAATATCCTACGACTTTAATCGGAATATTTCACCTGGTAAGTTTTTAATTAAATCAATAAAACCTTCTACTAATTTTTCTAATAGATATTTCTTATTTTTCGAATCTATGAAATAGCCATGGATCTGTATTTTCTGGAAGAACTTGCAGAAGTCAACCAATTGACATACGTCACTTTAATAACTTTGCTTCAATTAGGAATAATCATAAGTCTGTTTGTCGGAGCAGCAAAGGTAATCAATTATTCTTCACTTTCAGCACGTTTCTTAATTTTTTTCTAGAAACAACACGTTTTTCTCCTTCCCTGGCTCTGCTTCACAGCACCCACTTTCTGTATGGCCACTGCTTACGCAAGCTTATACGTTGCGACCGGTGATGGTGTTCAAAGTATCATCAATTTTACATTTATTAGTGAGTTGTGTAAATATTTTCGCCGATTATTATCGAAATATTTTTCAGTGATATTTTGGTTGTCTTGGTATTTGGTGTTCAAGTATTACATTATTTTAAAAAACTCTTTCAAATATTCGCCTTTCAAAGGTTACAAGTACTCAGCAAATCTCAGAGAACTTAACAACGAATGTGGCGAAAATTTATAGCCATGAGCAAAGAGGATTTGAAACCAATTGAGATTACTTGGAGTTTGCATTGGCCGATAAAATGTTATTTGTGTGTAGGAAGTCGGTTCAGCTTTGACAACCTTTATCTCTGCTCTGCAAGTGATATCGAAGAAAAAATGCTCAAATTACGTAAAAAAAATTCGTGAACCCGAACGAAATTGCACGTTCTATTTATGTTAATTTGTTTTATCTCTGTTTTTAATTTTTTGATACATTTTTATCACGGCCGTTCTCATTAAAATGGAGTTGCATCACCGACGAAGATACTTGTTTTTCTATATGTTGACAAATTATTAGCTTTCGTGTGAACATTAGGAAAGCTGGTGTCTCATATTCCTTATTTACTGTCCGACATGTGATAAGATGCAAAATCTCGTAATTATCAAAGTTATTTTGGGCATTGGTGAGATAAGATAACGATAAAAAATTCCCCCACCACGCCCTAACCCACGTGGATATCAGCGATATTTTGTTGCCTTTGCCCCAAGAATGGCACGAGTTAAACCTGTCCTTGAACCCATCTTCTGTATTGAGTTCCGACAAGTCTTCTGAGACAATACAGTCCCACCCAAAGGGGATTGTACTTTTCTAATTTTGGTACTGAAAAAAAGGTCCTGTTTGCCCGACATAGAGGTCAGTGATGTTTATATTAAAATTATCATCCTATTTTGTTCTCCTTGACCCTGAACGACCCCTTAGTGTTCTTAGTTTTGTCTAAAATAGACATGTTACATGCACATGGTACCATAATTGCACCAGGAAAGGTTTAGTCAAAGTAAAAACTCGAATGAAAAATGGTATGACAGAGAAGTTTAATTTTTTTCTGTTAGTGATGGTGTAAGTTAAAGACCATTTGTTTTGTACTTGTTTTTATTTATAAAACAAATGTTTTTTTTTAAATAAAACGCTTGTTTACGACATGATTTCTATTCTTGAAATAAATAAACAACTCCTTTAAAATCCGTAAAGTTGGACTCTGTGTGATAATAGAATTTTTATTTCGTAACGAAATTATCTCACTAAACGTATCGGTAATAGAAAAAAACGAAATGTAAACAGAGTGGAAAATTTGGAGGTTTGCAGATTATTAGTAAAGTTCAAGTTTTGATTCACGTGAACAAAATGCAACAAAAGATACCGGATATTGAAATCATTCAAAAATTATTGTGCAAGGACGGATTTTAATTAATTGATGAAATAAGCAAAAAACTACTTTCAAAAAATGCGGAAATAAATTATAAAACCACTGATGAAACGCAAGTAATAAAGTAAAATAAATTAACAAATAATAAAGAATTGAAGATAATTTTGTGCTTTATATTAATAGACTTTTAATTTATCGGTGCAAAAATATAAAAAAAATAATCAAATTAAAAACTTTTTCGCAAAGTATACAGTGAGCGGCAAAACTATGGAATAATAATCTTATTTATTAAATTTAAAAATATTTTATTTGGACAAAAATGCTCGAACGGTCAATTTTTTTTTTAAATACAAAATTCTGAATTTGATTTAATTAATTAATTTAATTTATTTTAATTTAAAATTGTATGTTTGTTTTTTGTTGAAATTATTTCACTTCTCAGATGATTTTTAATCGAAAACTTTATGTAATATTTAATGTTTTGGTGTTGTCGTTTCGACAATTAAAAGATCTATCGAACTGATTAAAAAAATGTTGATGACGTCAAAAACCAAAAAGTGTAAAATTTTTAAATCAAGTTGAAAATTTTGAAATTGACTTGTTCGAGCATTTTTACCAAAACAACACTGTATATAGCTGTCGCAACATCATATAGAATAATATCTAAAATATAGAGAACAAAAAAAAATACAATTTAATAAAAAATATGGAGTACCTAATAGAATTATGATTTTTTGCAAATTGCCCAATTTTCCCCGTATAACAGAAGTACCTTATATAAAATTAGAGCTGAAGCACTCTATTCTTTGCTTTACTAAATATCAAAAAAGCAAAAATTTTAATGAAAGCATGACTTCTCAAAAATTTGGAAAAGGGACAAAAACTTTTTATTCAGAATTCAGTTATATTTGTATTAATTGAAATGAGATTTTTTTGTAAAACTTTTAACTCTTAATAGTGTTTTAAATCTCGAAACCGGCCCATAAAAAGGTACCTATAATTAACACAAAAAAAATTGATTCTGAAAATTTTGGATGTAGTGGCATAGTTAAATTACATTGTTCTGGAAATAAATAAGAGGGGGGAGTGTAATAATTTCAAGTAAATAAGTAATAAACAAACAAAATGATTGTTGAGATGAGGAACTGAGGAGATGGAGAAACAAGTAGGCTTGCAATTACCCTAATTGCCAGATAGTCTAGAAGAAAGCACTCAACCTTCCACCTTTCCAATCATCTGGAGCAAAGTCCAGCCGTCCTTTGCAAAGAAGCCTTCCCGACACGTGCCCAAAAGTCTCTCCAAAAGATTTCCTCGTCATTTCTCAAACGTCCACCATTCGATCGCTTCTCTCCAACCTCCACACATGTGATTTGTGATGTGTTTTATAAGTGTGTCCATCGCTTCTCCGTCCAGTTGATTACAGTTAGCGGTCGATGATACACAGCTGTGATGTCTTGTGATTCAAGTTTGCGTTCAGTCTGTGATGTCGCTGATAAAGTGCCGAATGCATGAACCCAAACCACTCATCTGTACGAATGTAGGAGTTTCGGGGAAGCTCTCAAGGTAATAGCCCAGAGACCATTAATCCCAATCGAGCATGCGGCTCAATAAATTAATAAGTCTGAGAACCGCGTAATCTAATAAAAAATAACAACAAAATTATCGCTAGTCTCGCTTGCCATTACAAGTTTAATGCCTTTATTGTTTTTAAGTACACTTAGGTGCATGGGAGAACATCATGGATATGCCGATTCGTTTCGAGAGAACTTAACGATGATTATGTTCATTTTTCAGATGGATCTCCAATACGTTTTCGTGGTGGTGGCGACGGTCTTGGCCGGAATACAAACTTGCAGAACAGACGACATGGCCAACTTTAGGGGAACCAAGTCCAAAGCGGTCTATTGCGGAAGACGACTCTCAGAGACACTGTCCACGGTATGCAAAGGCAATTACAACACCCTCAACAAGAAGTCAGACAGTAAGTACGCTTTCTCACACGCACAAGTGGCCAAAATTACCCAAAGATTTTTAACTTCAAAATTACCCATTTTTAACGCGGTAATTTTTTTTCATTATTTTAAGAATTTAGTTGAAACTTACCGTTGACTTCTTTAACAATTTCGAATCTAAGCAGACTTTTTCAAATCTATTTCTCGTGTTTTTCATAGAAATTAATACGAAAAATCTTAAAAATCCCGCATTTACTCTATGTTTAAGAATTTTCAGTATGCTATAGAAAGAAGGTGTTTGATGTTTTCGGGTTGGTTGTTGGAAATACATTTTCGCCAACGTTTCGATTTTTATTTAATCTTTTATTTAATTTAGCATGATGTTCGTGAGAGCGTCAAGCCCAAATACCCGAATATCACGCTACCCGTTTTTAAAACAAATAACGTCCTGACGAAGATTAAATAAAAATCTAAACGTTGCCGAAAAAATGTATTTCCAGTAACCAGTCCGAAAACACCAAATACCTTTTTTATACTATACTGAAACAAAATGAGCGATAACACATTAGAAATTTAAATACTTTCTTTTCTTATACTTTTTTTAAAAACCCAAGCAAGTTAATTCTTAAATAAAATGTTAGATAGAGTGCCGTGCCAAGCAATCTACAAATTAAATTTATTAAATAATCTCCAAAATCGATATTAAATTTTAAATTTTCTATTTCTTGTAATGTTTATTCTTTTTATTGTTTCTTGAATTCATTTTCGTCATTTTATTAACAATTCCAATTATAAACAGCATTTGATTAATTTTCCTCCCAAGAGAGAATAAAGTAGTGTTTTGTTCCCTCCTTTTTGACTAATAACCTGGTACCTTATTCCCTCAGGAACAAAATAAATAAAACAAATAAATTTACTGTTAAAATGAACTAGAATTGAATGAATTGAATCTTTTGAGTGTTTTTTGACATATACAATATGCGCCAGAACTCGCACCCCAGAGAAAAATGCCATTAATGTAAAATACCAGGAACATGGAAAAAATGTAAACAAAAATTATCTAAAAAAATTTCAAAGTAATGACAGTTTAAAATTTGCACTTTGACTCTATTTATTTCTGTTGGAAAAATGATTTTCCAACTTTTTTTGCTACAGGCAATTATAAGAGGAAACAAGGAAGCTCTATCCTAAACTCTGTTTAACGTTATTTGTGGTTTTTATTGGCAAAATTTTTACTACTACTTGTATATGTTATATATGTTATTTTGTTGTATATGTTATTTTTACTAAATAATTGTAAAAAAAACATATACAAGATCATCGGTATCATTAAATAGACATAAAAAAATGTGAAATTTCAAAAAATAAATATCAAAATTTTTTGACAGATAGAATTTTTTAAACATTTTTTCTATGTTCCTGGCATCTTATCTTACTTTGAATTTTTTCTCTTCGACGCGAGTTCTGGCGCACCTACATAAACTCCTTGATACGGATTTTTACTCTTATAATTGCAAATGAATGAAGTGAATATTTTGACAAATTATTTGACAAATTTGTGTTATTAATTTAGTCGGCTCCTTTCGGCCGCCTCTTGAGATTAAAATACATACTTGTTTATTCCTTTGATACATACATAAATAAGTATTACAAAATAATATTGCTTCTTTTTTCCACTATTTATGTTTTATGTTAGAACAAGTTCGGTAATGTTTTTTTTTTTCATTTTTAAAATAATCCAGGCAGTAAAATCTAATATTTTAAATTCTTTACTTTACTTTAAAGTGCTTTTTTCTTTTACTATAATTCCTGTTTTTTTTTTTAGTTTTTCTTATTTCCATCTTACTTTTAAATAAAATGAAAACTAGCGGTTGGGTTTAAATTATAAATAACAAAAAAAAATCACGTTTTAAGATAAATCGTATCTCCTTATTAATTGTTATTTTGACTCAAAACATCCAATTAATAGCGACAATACATTATAATTAGGTATTTTTAAGGTTGTGAAAAGGAATTCGTTCAAAAATAACGCAATGAACAAAAAAGAACAAACAAACATAACAATTGGGTTAAAATCAAAACATAGATATCCACATAATAAACAGAAGGAAACACTTACGTATCTATTTCGAAAACGGCTTTTGATTTTCTTCAGTGCTTTAAATTTTTAAATTTTTTTCGAGATGGTATTTTTTTTGTTATTTATTAATTTTTTTTTCAGTTCACGACGTGGGTGCGTCGCGGCCTCCCGGCTACCCTTCGTTGTCCCAGCGTAGTTTAGACTACCCGTTCCAAAGTAGGGCGAATGCAGCCTCGCATCATATGTCCGGTTTTCGTCGAAGAAAGCGTCGTGGTGTTTTTAACGAGTGCTGTGAAAAACCTTGTTCAATAGAAGAACTGTCTCAATATTGCGGCGGCCCTAGTCGATGAGATTGTGACTTAAAAAGTGAACTTGTGATTAAATTGTGATTAATCGGCAAAAATTTGTGATATAATGTAAATTGTAGGTATAGGTGCGCTTCGTCTCGCTTCTGCCAACGTGCACTTAAATTTTGTAGATGGCACAAACTGTTGTATTACGTGTATTGAAGAAGAAGAAAAATTGTCGTTGCGGTATTTATTTAGTAATGATATGACCTTGTGATACTGTATCTACGGATTTATTGTTGCATAATTTTATTTACCTAGCTAAAGCGTGTAATAAATTATTGAATTTTTCATAAATGGGAAGTTTTATTAAAACGGCACGGAACGGACACGTGTGGTCAACATTGTTACGAAGTGTTATCCCTACAATATCAAAATACCTAAGGTTATCATAATAGGTACAGTTCATGGCATTTAGAAAAAACTAGTAAATATTTGTAGCTGATAGCTTATCAAATTAAACACATTTTTACTGGTCGTTATTTGACTGTAGCATCCAAAGATTAGAATATTTTGAATTTCCTATTTATAGAAAACGATTAATATTACATCCGCATGGAAAAAAACTAAACATTGGTGAAAAAATAAACACGGAAATAGGAGAAATGCACAAAAGCCCCCCTATTGTTTACAAAATACTCCAGATAGTGTACCTAGATAGCACACTATTGTGTACCTACTTACGCATACCACAACGTTATTATAAACATTTATAATGAGCACAGAGGGTCATTGTTTTCTCAACATTTATGATATTTATAGAACGAGAAAAAATGACCAGCCATAGCGCCAGACGACTTATTATTATTACAATTGTTATAAATAATTTTATCTACGCACATTTTGGTCCCCGATAAACATCACTAGACAGGGAGGTTATTGCTTGCTACCATCTTAAACCATTACTTCACGTGTTGGAGCAATTTATTTAAAGAGGTCACGTGTCGCTTCAACGTGATTTATTAATGGCGCCAATATCAATTTCTTAATCTAAGCTGCATGTGGGTGAGCGCTAAATTGTTCTTCAAATTGATGACAACTGCATTGTTAATGACAAAATTAATTCGATGAATTTTTTGTCCGAATCAACGACAGGTTGCTCATTTTTTTATTAGGTTGATTGATCCATTGCCATTTTAATGACGGCAAATTCCTACATTTATCCAATCTTCACGTCTGGTTTGCGATTATTGAAATTGACACGAGACCCTCCACTGGCTCCGGTTATGTAATCGACGAGATGCCTCGCTTTTTGTAATTGAGCATAAGCTAAATTTACATAATGCATTGGAGGGGTCACACACACAAGTGACCTCTCTCCAACCGGCTAAAAATAGTAACAAAAATGAAATTCAACAAAAGAAAAAATTTTAAAAAGAAAATATCAAATATGATATATATCAAAAATACAAATACACACCCGTTTGTAAATTTTATTCTCAATTATTTCATTTTATTTTATATCTCAAAAAATATATGATTTAGAGCTCAAACCCACACAAACTAATTAATTTTTACTTCGACGAGTGTATTATAAATAGTAGAAACAAAAAACATAAAAAGTACATTTCATTTTTGTGTTAATTTTATCCCCAAAAATAATTTTTACTCATGTTAAAATAAAATATGCGATTCAGAGTATGAACATACGCTAAATGTCTAATTTTAATGGCAACTAGTATATAGAACCTTTGAGCCCATGCACTAATTTGATGAAACATTAAAAATTGTCGTTAAAAAGCAAAACATATTAAACTGCAAATTAATAGGAGTAATTAATAACAAATGAGATAATATAACAAAATGTAATAGTTATTTATTCGACGAGTTTGAGTGTAAATAGAACGCTTTATTGCAAGAGTGTTAACGAGTGGTTTATCATCCACGAGGTGAAATAAATGAAGTAATTTACATGAAGATGAGTTAAATACAACATTTTATTCTTCGAATTAGACTCAACAAAGCTTAAACTTTCTTCAAATCTGTTAAAAATAATCTGACATTTCGTATTGAGAAATGCCAAACAGTTGTCAAACGGAAGAAAAACCGTTTTGACAGTATCGAAGAATAAAATATTTTTAATCTAAAATGTATTTTGGTGAGCCAGCTAATTAATTTATTAATATTTGAAAATAATTAACGCTTATTTTTGACAAAACGAGTGTTTTATTTCTTAGATTGGTGTGGTAACAACTAAAACTAATAAATATATCTAGGCGTGAAAATAAAGAAACAAAAGATGTAGACTAAACTATACACAAAGAATCACTTGTTTAAAAAAATATTTACACAAACAATTAGTAATTTGTTTCGTCTCCTAGATTTAACTATTATTATGTAATAAAAAATTCTAACATAAAATTGATTAAAAGTAAAAATAGCCACGATAAAAATGATTTGATGACCAGAACCGAATAAAAGATATTAGCAAAACACTTTGATTATCAAATATGGGTCATCCTACAAAACATAATTAATAATTAGATCTATTAATAGCAGCCTCGATATCACACAAAATTTGATCAAGGTTACCAAAAAACGGGTTAAGCCACCATTTCCCAAACTTCTAGATATCAAATTGTAGAACAATTATAATGTAATTGAAAATACTGCTCAATATCTTCAAAAATGAACCATAATTCACCGGGAAGAACCCCAAACAGTTAAATTCAGGCTTGGCCAGAACCACTTGTTTTGCAAATTGCATTAAAATTTCTTCTTTAAGAGGATGACCTCCCACTTTATTATACAGATTTTGACAAAGAACTATCATAAACTGCGCTTGTTTGTTGGCTTTGCCGCAAGAAAAACTAATCAAAGCGCCACAAATCTGAAATAATCATTAGGAATTTCGAGGAATGGGCATACACCTACACTTACGATGAAACAAATGCTCCACAAACAATTGTTCACAAAACTGAGCACACTTAACTTTGTGCGCTCTTCAATGGCGAATAACACACACAAATAACTCGTTTCAACAACTCGCAAAGCGATGAGTTTGTCCATTATCATTATTTGAAAACCGTAGGTTTTGTTAACTTTGGTTATTAAGCCACACAACATATCGTGGCATTTAAGATAGTTGATTGTTGGTGTTTCCGAATTTGTGGTTCTGATGATGAGCTCAAATTTCCTGTTGAGGAGTTCGAAACGTCGCCGAATTTCGTTCACGGTTACATATAAACGAATCACAAACCAAGTCATTTTGTAAATTAGTATAAAACTGATGCAATTGTATTTGTGACCTTGCCATCCATAAAAATCATTATTGGACGTAACGTCGTTAAAAAACATAGCGAAAGTCACACAGTGGACAATAATTACAAAAAACTTATAACTTAAAACGCCTCGCAGGAAATAGTTCCGGACTGGGGGTAAATCGAGGAATTTATCAATTTTATTCAAATGGTTATAAAACCGGGAGATTGTTTTTACGTTAATAAAATTTCTGTTGACAGCATCAACAATTTCCAAGAAAACAATCAACAATGCAACGCCCCCATCAAGGGCACAAACTGAGGTTTTCAATAAAGGATAAACAAAATTTAATTTTCCAAACATTTGTATCACTGTCATAACAAACACACTTAAAATTACCACAAATCCGTACAATTTTTGGAAAACATTTTTCTTAGTTTCGGGTAAAAATATTGCAAACGGCATGGTAATAATTCGAAAGATGTGTTAAAACACATTTGAACTGTTTTTGATAGAAAAATAAAATGAAATAATTTTGTTTATCTACTCAATGAAACTCTCAATTTGATTAGAAGAATGGATTAGTGGAAGATTTTTAGTTTACGTAATACATCAAATTTAGACGAGTTAATACCAAAACTGGGTTAGTCAATTTTATTTATAGAGCAAATATTTACATTAAAAATAAAGTTTAATATAAATTAAAAATAAAATAAATAAATTGAAAATAAAATATACTATTTTAAAATGTTCCCGGCGCATCCACCAATTTTGAAATTACAAATTGCAAAAATGTCAAAACAAACATGAAATCTTAATGATACTTTTTTGTAATAAAAAACAGTAACACAAAAAATGTTAGATAAAACTATTTTAGGTTCTAAAATCTTCTCGAACCGAATCGTCGGTGACTTAAATTTTATCACTTGATAAAACTGGACATCGACATTTGGAGTTCGTACCGAAAATACAAGATTGCCAAATTCGATTTGAGCATTTAAATGTTTTCAACGCTAACATTTTAGAAGATAAAATAAAATGTGTTAAAAGTGCAATTAATTTGTTTTTGTTGATAAAGCGCATAAAAATTCTTGATTCGAATATCAAGAAGTTATTAACCTTGAGTTTTACAAACTTTATTGTAAATAAATTGTCGTCAGTTGTGAATAAGTAGTACGTAGCTGGAAAATTTTAGGACAAAAATGGTTCTTTTGTTGGGCTTTAAGGTCCCGACGATAGAGGTTATTATCGGTAAAAAACAAGTTCTTAAATCAAAATTTTAGACTTATCAATTATTTACAACATATTTTCATAGATTAAATCATTAATTAAGTACGCTGATTCCCCCCCATTTACTGAATCGCAAAGTGAACATAACAAAATTTCGTACTCATTTTTTATTTATTTCATTGATAAACAACACAAATGAGTCGGCGTTTTTTCACATCGAGGAACTTTTAAGGTCACAAACACCGACGATCTAACTAAAAAGCAACAAAAATACAAAAAACTAATTATTAAAATTATAATTGCTGTAACAAACAATTTATAAAATGTTATTATTGATTCAAATTAATAAGAAGTAAAAGATTAATTAGTTACTTACTTTGGAAGTCTTCCTATTTACATAAATTAGCCAAAATTACTTCAGTCAACTGAAAAACAAATTCCGGCTTATACTACTTTGAAATTTTATCAAAACATCGCAATATCATTTCATCAATTCAAATCTCCTCTAAAAATAAATAAATTCAAAGGTAATCAGTGCAACATAAGTAAAAGAAATTTTTGATAAAAATAATTAATTAAATTTACATAAAAAAATTTATAGTAATTAGCCAACTTGTATCTTGTTTTGACCAAATTTTAAAAATATAATTGACTGGAACTGTGGAAAACTCAAGAACTCAAATTTTTTCACGTTTAGACAATCTAAATAAACATTATTGAACACAATAGACCATGCTTGTACAGATGTCAATACTGTGTTGCCTAGTCAGTGTTAAATAGGTAATAATAATTATGAAATAATTAAATTGATTCAATTTTCCATTAGTAATGCTGAATTGTTGACATCATGTTCAATTTACTAATTGGTTTTTTAGTCGTTTGTATCCAGAATGTGTAACCAATTATACTTAATTTTGCTTAAAACAGTAAATATTCTAAAAATAAATCAAGCTTCACCGATTTTTCATAAAATTTTTCCTTATTTAACAATTCTAGCAATGTTATTTTTGTACTTATGGGATATTATGGGAAAAATTAATGTCACATACCAAAAGCTACGATTAGCCAGTGCCATTATGGATGCAATGGCTGACACGTTAGTTGTTTCAATTTCTGTGATAAATACAATTTCCAGAAATATTTTAAACAAAAAACTTTCAAGTAAATCCTCATTGAAAACAATCTACGATAAGACAGAAAGATTTGGACAATCAAAAATTGTTTTCGTTTCAGTGCACTTTATTGTCATTTTGACCTTCAGTTGGGACATTTTTTTCAGAAATTTTAGTCTTGGATGGGCTACTTATAAATATAATTTAGTACCTTTATTTTTTCTTTATAAATTTCAATTATTCGCATTACAAATATATGATTTGGCAACAAGAATTGAACAGAAATTAAGTAATTTAAATCGAAAACTCACCCAAACCTGCGACGACAACAAAATTACAGATTACATGAAAACTCATTACGTCTTGAGCAAATTAATGGAAAATATAAGCACAACATATGGTTGGCAATTTATATTAATGGAGAAAATGTTAGCCTTGTATATAGTGGGAAGTGTTTACTGCATTTATTTATTAAAGTCATCAGGATTAAATTTTCATGTACCTGAAGCCATTTGCTACCTCTTGTGGAACAAGTTTTTAATTGTAAGCAATGTAAAAAATTTAAATAAAAGTTAAAAATTATTTTTTTAAGGTTGGTTGTGTAGTTCTTGTTTTTTCGTGTGACAGAGTTAATCAAGAGGCTGAAAAAACAGAACAACTCTGCCGAAATAGAATTCAGAGTAAAGAAACAATACCAAAAATTAGACAACTCATGGAACAATTTTTGAGCCAAGTCAATCATTTGGCGCCCAAAATTCGCTTTCCACAAGGATCACCAGTGGACAGAAAAGCCTTTTTCAATATCATTTCAGATGTTATTAATTATGTAGTCATTGTTTTGCAATTTGACAGCTAATAAAACACCCTTTGTATTTTATGTTTTAATCAAACAATTATTGATACATTTCTCTAAATTTGCTGAAACATTTTATCTACCCTACGGATTTGAAAGCAAAAATAAAGTGTCAAATTTAGTATTTAACCATTTTGATCACATAACCTTTGTATTGCAACAACAAAAAAGTGATTTAGGGTAAAAATAACCTGATTAAACAGCCGTATTATCAATTATGCCATCTGCAAGAACAGCAGAATTGTCGTAACTTTTAGGATCAGCATTATACGATATTTCAATAACTCCTGATTTAACTGTATTATATTCGGCGACTTCTTCGTAGAAATAGTACATAAATACTTGTCCATAACACATAAAAACTAAAATTTCACATAAATGAGTCACAATAAGTAAAAAATGTGCCTTTACCTGAAAAACAAAACAAGAGAAAAAGCACTCCATTGCGAAACATATAAATTCCAGTATAAATAATTATGATAAACAAAGTTACAGAACCTAGTAATAAATACAACAAAACGTATTTCTCCTTTGCCTAGAAAAAAAATATAAAAACTGTTTTGACGACTTGTAACAAACCTTGATAATCCCGACTAAAAGCAAAATTCCATTAAACATCGACAGTAACCCGACTGCAAAACACACTGAAAATAAAGTTACATGCCCCTCAAGTCCTGACACTTCATTTCCATATTTATGATGTAAAGTCGTGGAATTACAAAAGTCAGTTTTGTTGCAAATTTTTTCAAGAATGTTTACTTTCCCACTCATGGAATCCAATTTTTCTTTGGCTTCCAGGTCTGAAAGTTCGATTATTGCCGACACGGCTAACACAGCCCCTTCTAACTAAAATTTGCAATAATTTGATATTCTCCAAAAAAATTTACTCACGAGGTTCAAAAAAGACATAATTATAGCCCCAGTTTTCAAACTAATACAAACACAAAAATGTTTCGGCATTTTGGTACAGGGGAAGAGTCAAACTGAGAGATCTCATTGGGTGGGATGAGACGCCAGACTTCTTGGCGCTTTGGAAGCTTTGTCCAATAATTTCAGTCATCTCTTTCTGGCAACTGTTGTTTATCGATTTTCGGAATAAAAAAATCGAGTTAAAAATTTTACCCGGCGCATCCACCAAAACTGACAAACCCCAAATATTCCAAAAACTATTTATTTTTAAACACTAATATCACTTAACGAAAAACTACTAGAAAACGTGCTATTTAAATATCCATATTTGTAATATACCACTAGTTGTTCCACGCTTTCAGTTCGTTTTCTCCTAATCATAATCACAAAAAATATAATTACACAAAATTGGTCACACAGTAAAAAACCCACCACAATGACCATCGGAATTTTAAAATGAATATCTAAAAATTGCATCGAAACGGCTTCACACATTAAATAAACCAAACTTGGACTACTTGCAGTCAGATAAATAAAAATCCAGGTTGCTTTTTCCTGAAATAAAAAAAAATATGTTTTAAAAAATAATCATAAAAAAATACCTGAATAAGACCAAGAAGTAATAACAATCCACTAATTATGAGAATTACACCAATAGTAAGAGGAACTGTGAGTTGGTAAATATCGAAGAAAAATAATCCACTTTTCAAATGTAATAAAATTTGGATAAGTGACACCATGAGCAATAACGCTCCTGCAATCTAAAATAATCATTAAAAAATAATTATTTAAAGTTACTTACCGGTGTTATGAATACCAAAATAAAAGCACACACCCTTAAACGCGAAACTGTGGCTTCAATGTTAATCATTACAATCTTGTTCCTAATTTTAGGGTAAAAATATGCTGAAAAAGGAACAGTTCATGTTGTTTGCTGAAGAGGTCGCTCACTGTTTTCGCCGCATAAAAAAATTCATTTACAAGTTTAAAAAAATCAAATATTAAGGTTCAATAAACTGCAGTCTGTGTCTAAAAATAAAAAAAAAATTGTCTGAGGAATCGATTACACTGAAAGCTATTTTTAAACTACTTGAGTCTATTTAAAATTCGTTGGTTAATAAAACACAAAAAACAAGTGTCTAGTTTATAATTTTCTACAAACAAAATATCAAAAATTGAGTTTTCTAAATTATTTTGTAAATAAGTTTTTGCTACACATACTACTGCCTGCTTCTGCGTCTCTACGACTAATTTCTAATTTGCACATTTGCTTATAAAATTTGTAAACAACGAAATCTAAACACGTCATAATAATCACAAGTATTAAAAATCCGGCGAATGCTATGTTGTAAGAAATTTCTTTAATTATCACAAAAGTCAGTACTAACCAATTCATACAGTTTAGCACTATATATAACAAAACGTAATATTTATTCACCTGAAACAATTAATTGTGATACTGAATCATAAAAAAGTGTCTTACCATAACAATCCCAACAATTAGCAGAATTCCATTATAAATTAGCAAAATGCTCATTAAAAACATGATGACGATAAACCCAATTCGTCCATTTTTTATAACAACTACTTTATAAATAAAACCACCTAAAGTGAAGCCTCCCACTAGCTAAAATATCAATTTTGGCACATTTTGCTATAACAGAAGACAATTTTCTACTTACAAGATTAACAGCAGCAGCTATGAAAGCCCATACTTTGGAGTGACAACAATTCATTGTGTTCTACTACGAAGTAAGCAGCGCCACACTAATTTATTTTTAAATATTTAACATCTGTCGTGATAGTGTGTGACGCTAAAGAAAATTTGTGCCAAATTTCTAAGAAACATCGCGCCAAAATTCGACTACCTTCGAGATAATGATCGATAAAACAGGTACAAATAGAGTTGGATGTGCCACATTAGCATCAATATTGTGGGACAAACAAGAGCAAAAGTCACGATAAGTATGTAATTGTGGTGTATTTTAAGTGATTGTGAGTAGTTGTCGTCAACTTCGTGGAACTTTTGAATAGCACAATAAATTATATAAATTTTTGCCAATAAAAGAAATATTGTGGTAACAACCAAATAACATAAAACTAGGTTTTGCAACCGTTTTCCCTAAAAAAAGACTTTTAGATTTAGTAAAACTTAGTTCTTGCACTAACCAAACTTAAAACCAGCAATAGAAAAGTTCCCTTCAATATTAAAAAACAAGCAACTCCGATTAAAATATAATTGTGAATTTCCGAATAAAACGATGGAATAATAAAGTCCTTCAAACAGAAAATTATGATTCCTGTCACCTCAAAAGTAAAAAAAATTGGTTAATTGAAGGATTTCAAAAACTACTCACAATATCGATTATTCCACCGTAATTAACACAAATTTTACTGCAATTACACCTCAAATATTTGCACATTTTTGACTGTTGTTGATTTTAAACAGTGGTAACGGGGTTTGAAATTTTGCCAAGTCGGATTCTCTTTCTTTTTCGTATCGAAGAATAAGGATCTTTTCTATTTTTACACATCTACTAGCGTAATTTCTAATAAACTAATTTTTTGTAAAAACTTTGTTGGTAAAATGTTATTTTTTACCTGGACAACGATTTACTGGTTGTGAAAATAAATATTAGTGAGATAGTTTATAATTCAGTCTTGAATGTAAACAAAACACGTTATAGAAGCTTATAAAAGTAAAAATAACAAATCACTTCAATCACACTGATGTGCCTTCTGACGTTTCTTCATTCACAACACCGTCAGATTTCTCACCACTTGTCTGAATTTCAACAACAGGAAGTTCAAACGTTGTTGTTTTAGTACTGAGAAGATCTTTGTAAAATAAATAGACGCAATACAGGATGGGCCACCAAATTATTAGAAGAAAGTAGACAATAACAAAAACGTGTCCTTTCACTTCTTTCACTTTTGGTATAATTAAAACCGAAATAAGGACCGTTGTGAATGCAATTACCATAATTGCTAATATAAGATAGACGAGAATAAATCGATCGTTGCCCTGAAAAATTTGATTTAATTGTAAAATAGCGAAAAACATTAGCCAACCTTAACAACTCCCGCAAACAATACAAGTCCACCAGCAATCGCCAATAAACCCAGCATTAAAAATAAACCATTTAATGGAGCAATTCCCCTCGTAACTATACTGCACAATCCTCCCACCTAAAAATATTCCACGAGTGATTGTAAAACCTCAACAAGAAAACTCACTATATTACTGAAAATCATAAAATAAACAACAATTTTGACGAATTTCTGACGGCAAGTCTTCGACATTTTATTCCAGGGAGGTCTAAGAAACCCGACACAGAACTAAATTTTTTGCAAACATTTTATTATCGCTCGTAAAACTTCTTGGCGCTTATTCAGTGCTTTTCCCGTCTCTGTCAAACCGTGCAGACGCAACGAATTATTGTTCCTTTAATTCAGAAAGGGAAATTTACAAGCAAAAATTATAAATAAATTTTTATCACACCAAAATTGACTACAAGCTTGGAAAACTACCAATACACATTTCAAGACACAAAAAATTGAAAAATAAAACAAATACTTAATTTTCGAAATTTCTTTATTTGAAAAATCTTTCTTGCATAAATCATCAACACGTAGTATATTTTATTTATTCAATAAATTTTTATCAGAAGTTCAGAATCTAAAAAATACATTTTACGATTTCATTAAAAAAAAACAATTTAACATTAAAATAAGCTTCTGCTAGCAATGACGACAAAAGTTGAAGTAAAATAAGACATTAAATTCAACAGATCTTTAATAATAAAAAATATGAGATGTTAGGCGACGCTTTTCTTATTTAATATATTGATTTATCTCAGATAATAAGGACAAGAAAAAATATACTCTAACATATCCAGGACTAAATTGAACTTTTTATTAATTATTTAGCAGAAAAATTTATGCATGTTCTTGTTTTTTTTTTTTCAAATATTTTTAAGATATTTGAAAATTCAGATATACCGTTAAAAAACTGTAATAAACTAACTGTAATAGTATATTATGTTATTAAGAGTAAAAGTGATAGTTTATGTGGCGATGCCGATGGATTTATTTTTCCAAACATAGTGAGGCGAATAATTCAGCTGGACACTTTTACTGCAAATAACATATACTATGTTATTCGCGAGAGTAAAGAGCAACTATAATTGGGAAGTAAATGAACAAAATAATCAGGATACTTTGACAAGTAATGAAATCATAACGCTTATAAATAAACATCCAAACATCACGCATCAGTATCGTTAAGTGTTTATTAATTTAACTAGTGGATGACTAGTGCAGTCAGTAGTGGAAAATATCGAATGCTGATAATCTACAATGTACCTCTCCAGAAAGTGCTGAAGCAGCAAAAAAGACAAAACAGAAACAACAATGGTAAATGTCAGTAATGTCATGGTAAAAGTAAAAACGCTTAGGCGCAAAAATGAAATTTTTATTCCATGGCTGAGAGGTAAAACTTTTACTTGTGACATTTATTAGTCATAAAAGTGGTCATTTTTGTGACGTTTGCAGATAAAAGTGTTTTAGTACAACAAGAAAAATCCTCTTGTTTTTTTTTCCTTCACCTAAGTTAGACAGAAAACTTAAACTTTTGTTAATAAGTTTTTAAAACAAAAATGAATCCAAATTGGAGAATACCCCAAAGTTGGTCTCCTCTCAGCTGCTGTAAATGGCAGAACTGACGTAGCTTTGGCCCGCATTGATCACATTTTTTTCAATAACTTGATCGTGAAATTTATAAACTCCCAACTGCCCACACCAAATCGCAATCAATCCAAGCGAAAAACCCACAGCTTTTTCCATCGGAACAGTTTCTTTTGGTTTTGGTGTTGCCGTCGTGTAGCTGTTTTCCATACTGTGAAGTATTTCAACAGAGGCAGTCATCCCTGTTGTGTTATAAAAAATCATATAACTAACCGCCAACATTGTTATAATAAACCAAATCAAAGAACTCAACAAGAGATACAACGAAATGTGTTTTTCTCTTCCCTAAAATTGAAAAGTTAGCGTTGAAAAGCGCAAAAATTCCAAACTAACCTTTATTATACCTATTAATAATAACAGTCCAACAAAAATAAGAAACGAGGCCATTTGGAAATCTACCACGACGAAACCTACCGTCACGTCGGCATCGTTGTTTAAATATTTCGATAATAATAAGCTTCCTTCGACCAAAATGTACAACCCCAAGATCTGAAAAGTTGAATCAAGGATTAAACAAACTGAAAAAAAAAAACACTTACAAGGTTCGATAAAGCAACCACAACTGAACACAACTTCAAGCAACTACAAGAAGCCGACATTGTTTACACTGAATTTTTAATCTGTCAAGAGTTATTTATTTTTAAACACATGCTTTGGAAGTATTTTTGTGAGTCTGGTCCCGTCCCAATTTGCACAAAACGGGCGTGGGTGAAACACAACAGGAATCATAGTAAAACTGAGTCGCGATGCTGTTGCTGACAAGCTATTTTTGAACAACCTTGGCCATAAATTAGATTTCGTATTACACGCCGAATCGGTCAGAAAACTTCAGTTCCTCATTTTTCTGTCTCCAGAATTAATTTAATTTAAAAATAAAATTTAGTAAATAAACGCAAAACAGTCAGTTTTTATTATTTTTGTATTATTAAAATTAGAAGTAGGAGCCATCTCAGCTGATTCTCTTGGAGGTAAGTTACCCTAGTCAGATTATGGTAACATTTTCGACCATCATATATGTATTGCTATCTTTAGAATCAATCACATACTTGTAAAAACTGTACACAAGACTTTGTCCACACCAAAAAACTAAAATAAATAAAGGAGAATTAACAAATTTTCTGAAATTGCCTTTACCAGCAAAAAAACCCAGTGACGGTGGCCACAGAACCAACATAACAACAGTCATAAAAAAGAGACAAGTGGAATCTACCACTAAATATAAATAAATCCAGATTGGCATAGACTGTAAATAATTGTTTGATTGTTGTAATCAGAAATTTGAACCGACCTTAAGGGTACCAAACAATAACATAATTGCAGTAGATATTGTCACAAAACCAAACACCATAATGTAATAATCCTCTAAATGAAATTGACAATCAAAGAAAAAATGTTTGGTTGCCAAAGTCGCCATTAAGATGCTAATTGCCTAGAAAGCATTTTCGGATTTTAAAAATTAAATCTTTACTTACCTACAAAATTGACAAAAGTCATGAAATAAGCAACAATTTGTAAATATTGTTTAGACATCGCTTCACCCAAACTAAATAATCTTACATAATTCTTTATCATTGTAAATATCCATAAACAAGTGATATCGTTTAAATAAAAAAGCAAAGTGTATGCAACATCGTGTATTTCTTTTACAAAAAACATCATATTTTTTTAGAGTAACTACGAGTACTAATATTTCTAATTAAGTTATTGTCCACAATACAAACTCAAGTGTTTGAGAGTGCAGGGTTTCCGGCAACATTCGTCAACAATGCCAACTCTGGTTCTCCGAAATCTGATTGGTAAAAAGGAATTTACCGATTCTTTTTGAAGGAATGGGAAGTCGATTTGATTTTCGTCGTCGCTTTCGTTGGGGAAGTACTCGTCGTATTCGTTGTAAGCGAAGATATCATTGGCTGAAAAACACTGTTACACAAGTAACAAAAATTCTACATTCTTACTCGACTTTTTAGTAGGGTTTGGGTTTGGAGAGTAATAATTCCCTTTACAAAGCATAGCTAAAGTCTCAGCTAGTTTCGTGCCACAGAAAATTTCGCGTTTGTTCATCAAGTGGACCATGTGGGGGGAAGACCAGACGTATATGATGTTAATTAAGAAAAAGAAGAGTAGTACTCGTTTGTCCATCTGATAAAACACTATTAGTCTTTGGTATTTTAGAACAAATAACTTACTTTTGTTGCTGGAAGTAGTTTGTGAACTATCATTTTCGACGAAAACTCTCGCTTTTATAGGAATAGTGTTTACATGAAGAGTCCAAAATATCACACAAAATTATGCAAATATAGGTCAGACGTCTTGTTCGATATACACCCCCTTAATACAGATGGATTCACAATTACTTCCAAGCCACTAAAGACATGGCTTATGATCCAAATAAATGCCATGGTCGTAATATAATGCAATAAATTTAAAATAGATCAAAAACATCCACTTTGTGGCAAAATTTTCGATCTTATTCGACGAAAAAAAGACATCCAAACCAGTATTACAAAATACAATACAAAATCAATTAGGAAAATAATAAAGTAAGTGAGTGTTGATTCCATAAGAACAAAATATAAGATACAATTTTTGTGTTTATGTTTGATTCTTTGGAGTAAAAAATGTTGAATATTTCAATAATTTTTTTTTCATACTGTAGGTAATCAAAAACATCAAAAATGCCGATTAAATTGCACTTTTCTTTTAAAAACACTATACCTAATAGTAGACTGAATAAGTAATTTTACAATTGAACATCAATTAATTATTTAATTTACTTTATTTTTCTTAGTTCTTTTTATGATGAAATGCATTAAAATCATGAAAAAAAGCTTAAAATTAGCCATAAAATACCAATTAATAAAATAATAACTAAATTTTTTTTTCTTTCTCGCCTTTAATATCGCAAACAAAAATTGTAAAAAATGATTTAAGGTCCAGTATGTCACAAGAAAGGTTATCAGATTTTGCTATAATTAGTATCGAAAATCAAATTGATAGACGTAACTGATATTACTGGAGATTTTGCTATTAAAAAAGTGAAAAAAATTGTTTTTGGTTCCTTTTTTTTTTCATTGTGTTCTAATGTGTTAGGCATTTTTTGTTGAATTTTGTAGATTTTATTTCAATTTTGTTATTTTTTGTTTAACTTTATTACTGTTTTGTGATTTAATAATCGAATAAAAACAACTGAAAATAAAAAGCTGTAATTTTTGTAAAAAAAATTACAAGGTTTTTCTTACATTAATCTCAGCAATCTCAGCAAAATCAGCAACATGATATTACGTGTGTGGAGTGCAAAGGTTGTGGAAATTATTTGTCAGCAAATTATGTCAAATGTCTGCCAAATGGTTTCTTCTTCTTTTGCTGGGTCAAATATTATATTTATTTGTGTTGTATCATAAATACAGTCTATTTTATTTATTTGCTGGTGGGGGTAGTGTGAATCAAGACCACGACATGACCTCCGTCTGTTTTTGACATTTGACAGCTTCTGACATTTTGGTACTAAAGTCAAAAATTAAAGCTTCTCCTTGGCATTAGGAATTTTGTAGGGCTTGAATTACGATTGTTATGATGATATAGAGGGTATAACTATTAGCGAGAGAGCAACAAGGCTGTTTACAAATGTTGAAAAGAGTTAGCTATTTGGTACGTCTTTTGAATGATTAATTGATCCACACGCATAATAATAAAAAACAGACTTTACAACTTCAAACACGTAAATTAAGCAAAAAATTTGAGAATGAAAAGGTTTGAAAAAAAAAATTATTTTTTTTATTTTAAGAATAATCTACGAGTATAAAAGTAAAAACAAAATTTTCCACTCTGTAAAAACAAAATTCTTAATAATCTATTAATGCTTTTTCTTTAATTATCTTAGGAATAGTCCGGTCAAAATAGACATTTCAAATAACAAAAATTCCGACAGAGCTAAATTTTGGTGGAGACCTTGGGTACACTATTATAAATAAAGTGTCAAAAGTTCCCATCGATCCCATGTGTGCTAAAAAAGTTATTCGGGGTCAAAGGTCAAAATTTGAGGATTTTTGATTTTTTTTCGAAAACGTAAGTTTTATTAAAAAAGTAGCCCAGACAAAAATTATATAGATCTTAAAATTAGTCCATATACTTTTTTTCTAAGAATCTCCATTCCTGAGATATAGCGATTCTAAAAGTTGAAAGAGTCACGTTGTACATGCACGTATATACCACGTATATACAGAGTGTTTCACATAACTTTACGAGGCTTACGCTTAATGTACGCACCCAAATATACAAAAGTCGCAAAACACTATACATACAAAAAATACACATTTAATTATTTAATTTTTGGAAACCCATGACAGTAGTTGTCAAACTAATCACCGTTTAACTAAAAAACGTTGTAATTTTTGAAAGGGTGAACAAACTAGAAGATTATCCAATTTTTCAAAATTTGTAATCGAGTTCGTATCGGAATATGTGTTATTGATTGCATCTTACAGGCACAGGTCTCGTGCAATTACGTGAAACACCCTGTACATCGTCAGGCACCTAATACAAGTAAAAATGCCTATTTGTGTCTCTTATATGTATGTCGTAGGCTAATTACAAATTCAGTCGTTTTATAAAACGCCTAGTCATTTTAAAAACAACTGGGCAAATTGTAAATGAATGAATAAATAAATGCAGGGTTTTTACAATAAAAAAATTTAGGCTTATTATAAATCCCTAATCAGTTTTTATCTTATTGTAAAATGTTTTTTAATATTTACCATTTAAAAAATGACTAGATACATTCAGTCGCTTTGTAAAAAACTGAAAAATATTAGCCATTTTATAAAGTACCAATTCCTATTCTAATTAAGAAGCCTGTTAAAAAAACAAGGTTAAATGCTATAGTTTATAGTATTGCTAAGACGAATTCTCTCGGAGGAAGAAGAACTGATAAGCACAGCTGATAAATAAATTTAGTGAATCATCACTCGAATATTTAAAAATTCCACTTCTAAAAGTACAATGTGAACAAAAAAAAAATAAACCAAGCTTTTATTGCATAAACATGCAACGAATTAATTGGTGAATAATAAGAACTATAAAATAATTAGATTTTTTTGTCTAAGTTCCGCAAAATTTAATTTAAGCTTCAATTTGAGAAAAATTGTTACAAGATGTATTACTGGTTGCATAACGTTGCTGGTTGGTTAAACTAGAATTCTCAAAATCGTATATTCTCCGGAGCCTATATTCTCAACTTTACAACAAACACAAAATGTGATTTAAAAATTAATTGTTGCTAATGAACAAGAGTTTGCACAAAAACAATAGGATGCAAAAATTCTAATGCATTAATTAACTACCTTTTCACATTTTTTTTTATATTTGCTCTCTGTGCCTAAATTTTCAAAATAATTAAACCAAAGCATTTAAATAAGTTAATGATTAAAAGCATCACAGTAAACACAACTGTCCATGTAAATAGAATCCAAAGTTTTCAGTGGATAGCCATTAAAAAAAAACAAGGCATAATCTCTAAAAAGTTCACTTTTGTAGCACTTTGTCTCACCAATCATTTTGTTTCTAAAAGCAAAAAACACTTATTTCCATACTTTTCCTTCATCTTGTGTCTACCTCTGAGTGGTGAGGTTTTGGGTATGATAGGACATATGGGTTAAAATCAGCCGTTTTATTTATTTGAATAAAGTAAAGGTACAAATAAATGGTCATAACAATAAAGTAAAATATCCGCAAACGTGTTAAATTAGTTTAAAAATCAAAAAAGTGAAAAGCACACTAATAATTTTTGAATAAACTCGAACACAGTTAAAAAAAGTCTAAACGTGATAAAAATTGTAAATATGGAAAGTTTGTCTGAAGACCTATTTTATAAAATTGGAAGACAGGCGCCAAAAAATATTGCCAGTAATGATTACTGCAATAAAAGTACAAAACGATTTGGCACATAGAATCTTAAAAATACATACCAAAGCCAAGAATATTGGCAAAGCATAGAGTATTATTTACTAGATCAGGCAAAACTGGTATTGCTATAAGATATTTAGAATTCTCACATTCTAAACTAACAAAATCAAGTATCGCACTTATTCATTCAATTTCGCACCGATTCGGAAGACGGCCAAAAATACAATAAATGTTTTCTTTTTGAATAATTGAAGAAATTGAATGATAAGATTAATAGGAAAATAGCTTTGAAACGCACACACATTTTTGAAACATTTATGATTGTTTCGAATCTTTATATACAATAGGAAGAGCATGTATGTATCACGGGAAATAGAAAAAATATATTTATGCTACTCTACTTTCAATGATTATAAACCCAACTTGTAGCAATAGGAAAATTCTAAAACGATTTTTTCTTATTCCCTATTACTGATACACTTTTATTGCTTAACTTCGTAATTTTCAATGAAATGACCAGATACAAAACACCAAAATGCCCCAACATAAGAAAAATTACAACGAATTTCAGCGTGGAACATCATTTTCGAAACTACATTCATCTTAAGACAAATTAACAACAGTTTAAATATGAAAATAAATAAATAAAACAACATAATTATCTAAAATCAATATATAAATTACTTCCCCACTTAACTACTATTTATACCTACTTTGGTAACAACATTAAAATTAATTCATTTAGATAAAATTTCCTTTATAAGAATAATTAGCAATCGAAATCTTGCACTTTCATAGTTTTCATTTGACTTGAAAATTACTTCTAAAATAAATTAATATTTGGTGATGAACCTGATACAAAATGTTATAACAGCTCCAATACACTTGTAAAGAGTATTTTGTTACAATTAAAACAAATAATGACACGAATTATACAACAAACTATTTTTTACCTCGAAAACCAAGCTCCGCTTGTAGAAAAAACATGTGCAGCAATTTCCTTGAAACTGTTATGCAAAAATCATAATTTTCAGTCAGTAACACTTCTAAAAACAATCCTAACATAGTTACTCTTCATATTTTATAAATGTAAACAAAAACATAAAATATATTAAAATTACAATAACAGCATTAGAAGACTTCAAATTAGATAAAATTACGTTATACTCGTCTAATTACCGGGCGTTTGATTACCTATGTTGGTTTATTTCCAACTCGCGCCGGTGTTTAACCCACTCGTCGTTATTATTGTTACACAAAATTTTCGATTTACCTTCTTTCTTCTTTGTTCTCAAGAGTCGCGGTTTGAAGGGCGTTGGTCGCTCGTTCGCCTCGTTATCATTAATGTCGTATTGCGGCGACAGCTTGATCCTTTTATACGGTTCATAATCCAAACTTTGCGAATTGTATCTTTTCCTTGTCGTGATCCCTGCCAAGTTAAGAAGAGTCTCCGCCCCTTCTTTAATCTTCCGTTCCTCCTCATCTTCAAAATCGATTTTTCGACAAGTACGACTCTTGACAACCCTAAACATCCTTTGAAAAATATTAAAGCATTGTTGCTGGCCAGATTTACCGTTCGTCGTCGCTTTCGAAAGCCTCGTCGGTGCCTAAAGGATCGACCGAGTCGGCGGCACTGTAAGTGTGATCCTGGCTGGGCGAAGTCGTTATGACTTGGCAGCAAAGAGCTTTTTCCTTCTTCTGGCGATAGCGGGGACCGTTTTTTAGGCTTAACATCACTGCAGCTGCGTCAACGGCGTCCAAAGACTCATCCGAGGCCTCCGATTTAATATGTCTGTTGTTGAGCTCGGCTGAAGCTAGTTTCCTTGAAAGGTAAGGATATAATTCGGGGTTAGGCAAGCGCGACATTGAGCTTTTTTCAGGAGTTAAATTACTTTTGTTATTGTTATTGAAGTAGGTGGAAGGGTCGAGGGTGGAACAGGGGTGGAAAGGTGATCGAGTTAAAGCTTGGATTAGGTTGGGTTTGTACTGTTGGTCGACGGTCCACAGAGAACCTTTACCCAGGTTCTAAAAAAAACAGTTAGAAAATTCAAGGGTTGGTATGACCAGTTACCGGGGCTTTTTCCACTTTTTGGAAACACTTGTTGAGGGATAAGTTATGCCGGACGCTGTTTTTCCAGCCGGTTGGGGCGTTCTTAAAGTATGGAAAATGTTCCAAGATCCAGGCGTAGATCTCCTTCACTGGAAGGGCTTTCTGAGGGGAATCTTCAATCGCCATGAAGATAAGACAAGAGAACGAATACGGCGGCTTGTTGTTTGTGTGAACTAAAGGGTCATAAGGGACATTATGTGGATGTTTGTTCCTTTGAGAAGTGCCATTTATGTAAGGAACAGGCGAATTTAACGAACTACTCGACGAGTCAGCCGCTGATATGGAAGAATCATCAACGTAATCACTAGTCGGGAATTGATCTGACAAGAGACTATTGCTATATTTCACTGGTGTAGAATTGACACTGTTTGACGGTGACGGGTTTATGTTCATTCCTAAAGCAAAAATTTTTATTTTGTTGGAAAAGAGAGTTGAGAGTACCTTTCAAAAGGTCTCTTTCGTGCAGCCATGAGAGACTCGTGAGGTCATCATCACCGTTCCTGCTTTGACTTTGAGCCACTGCTAAAAGAATTGATATGGGCGATTGGGCTTCGCGTATGGGTGTCCCTGCGACGGGACTTGCTGGTACTGACATCTTTGGTGTCATTACTGCTTCATCTTGAGGTGAATTTGATCGTTCGGGAGACATTGTACTTTAATTACTGAAACAATTATAAAAAGGGGCCGGTGAGTAAAACACCTTGGAGTTTTATTTGTAAGCGGTGTTGCGTTACATTGCAAAAAACTTGACACAGTTAAATAATAATTATTATTGGTGATATTTTACAATTTTTACAAATATTTAGGAGTTAGTGATGAATTGAAGTTCAAATTGGTTTTTATTAATGTTTCGGAACTAGTTTAACACTTAGCTAAGCTTCCATACATATGTACAGTTGGGGAATTAAAATTTCGGGCAGTATTGTCATTTTCACAATGTAAACTCTAAAACAAGCTTTACATTAATAACCTCATTTTTTACTTTTGTCATATTTATGTCATTTTGACTTAAAAAATAGCGTCACTGACAGAAAAGTTTAATTGTCAAATGTCAGTCATGATGACAGTAAAAGGTAGTTTACAGTGGACAGAAAATTACTACCCGAAATTTTAATTCCATAACTGTTCAGGTGGAACAAATGAGAAATAATTAGTGATATAACTTAGGGCGGCTAATAATATAAGATAGGGAAAAAATAGCGTGTTTTAAGTTAACTTTTTTAAGTTGCTGTGTGAAAAAAAGCCAAAAATGATATCTCTAAAGTTGTGCTCTCTTCTTTATTTTCCGGGACTTCTAGTTTTGGTAAAATTACTGTTTATCTCAAAAAAATTAATCGCAAAAATCAACTTTTCAAAGTCGAAAACCAAAGAGGGTACTTAGTAGATGTAGTTATGAAATAGTTAGTTGTATTTTTTTCTCCCACAGGTGGAAGTTATTGCCCGAGACTTGTCATCTGTCAAAATTAGGTCGTAGAAAAAATATATTATTTTCTCAACAAATGAGCCCGAAAACAAGTCACTTGTTTCTTTCTAAACCTTTTAGAAAAATTTTTTGCCCACTTCGGCTGAAGTGGAATTACGTATTCAATTTTTAGTTTTATTTCGACCTTCGATCGGTTTGTGTCACATTTTCGAGCCAAAAACGAGATGTGGCGCAAAAACGGTAAAGCATTTAATTAAAGTACAAATAATAATAACAATAATATAACTCGAAACGCAGATAAGAAAGTTTTCTATTTTAGTAATTAGAAGTATGAATTATTTCAACTGTTTGTTGATTTACAATTGTAATAGAAACGTATTTTTCTCAAATTTTATTTAAAAATCCCACTTTTCATTTCACGATTAAATTCTCATACATCCAAACTTTTGCTTTCAAACATTTATTTATTTTCATTTTTCAGGCTTTGTGAGCCATTGAAGCGCTTATTTTACGGCAGTTATTTGTTTTACTCTCTCCAGTGGTGTGCGTATGGGCACGTCTCTAAATATATTTTTTTTATTAATATTATTTGTCGACCTAGAATATGTGGTTGCAATTTTTTGCAATACACCTTTGTATATCGTGTTTGATTCTTGAGAAATTGATGTTCTCCACCTTACTGAATAATGTATTTTTTCTGATTTGCGTTTATAATACGTTTATTAACGTCTATCAGTAGGAGTCGTTTATGGCTATCTATAAAAGCACACTGTACTTTAATGAATTTAGGGTTATTTAGTTTTTGTATGCCGGTTCTGACTTGTCAGGTAACAAATTTTGTGTTGTTACTTCGGCAATTTCGTGAATTTCGGGAGGAGTGCAAACTAAATTCTGTTAGCTCATATTTTATTTATTATTATTATGTTGTAACACTAATAACTAATAATTTGTAAATTTTTACAATGACAGATGTCAGAAATGATTCTAAAAATCAGGTGGGCGCCGAGTGTTACCAACCGATACCAACTAAGACAAAATTCTCTACACGACAAAAATATATATATATTTTTTATTAAAATAAGAAAAAAGGGGGCGTAACTCGCCTACGGCTCATTTTATAACTTGGGGTTCGTGCGCCAAATCAACCCTTATAACACTTGTTCTTTAATATACTATTTCCTTCCTACTAGTAGATAATTACTATTATTTACCAGCTTCAAAAAAATAAGAAATAAAAATTGTTATTTTCTTACTTAACATTTTTTTTTAGATTATATTCTGAATTAAGTTCTTGGTTCTTCACGTTTAAAACACCAAGAAGCACATAGCGTCATTTCGCAGCTCTTTACAACTAATTTGTTTTTAATAGATTATTCTACAAACCATAAAATTTCCTTAAAGAAAGCCAATGACATACATCTACATAATGTCAATAAATCACAGATGATTAAATTTTTGATTATATGTAATGATAACTTTCAGAGCTTTCATAAACTTTCATAAATGTACACAAAAACTGCGCCAACCATACAGGGGTGCGCCAGAACTCGCGCCCCAGAGAAAAATGCCATATAAAGTAAGATACCAGGAACATGGAAAAAATGTTAAAAAAAAATTATTTATAAAAACCTCGAAGTTATGAGTTTAAATTTTGCACTTTGACTCCATTTATTTCTGTCAGAAAAATAATTTTTGAAGTTTTTTTGCTACAGGCTATTAGAAGAAGAAATAAGGAAGATGTATTTAAAATTGTAACTTTGTTTAATGTGATTTGTGGCTTTTATTGGCAAAATTTTTGTACCTTTACTAAATAATTGTAAAAAAACATATACTAGATCATCAGTATCATTAAATAGACATAAAAAAATGTCAAATGTGAAAAAATAAGTGTCAAAATTTTTTGACAGATAGTTTATTTTAAACATTTTTTCCATGTTCCTGGTGTCTTATCTTACTTGAAATTTTTCTCTGGGGCGCGAGTTCTGACGCACCCTGTATAAGATTAATACATGAAAAAATGTAATCGGAAAAAAATTATTTGTGAATTGTATTAAACATTCAATCAACCGAGAGATTTTCGCAATAAAAGAAAAAAAATCTAAATAAACCATGGCCTTGTGTGCTTATTAACCAAACCGCCATTCATTATCTAGGTTTTATTATCTGAAACAAAGTGACAAAACACCAAATGACCAAGTAAATAAATAGTTGCGAACAAAACGATACAATTTCCTATCGCATCCTTTCACATTTATTAATAACGATTTTAACCACATCATCATAATTATCGTGAAAGGAGTATGAAACGAACTAAACGTTAAAAAAATGAGTTCTTAGTGCAAAGTAATTATAAGATATTTGATTACTTTTTTTGTGACAAAGTGAGTAAAACCAGAATGTTGCTGAATAATAATATAAATAACACTAAAATATTTCAAGTACACACCCGTTTTGTTACAATTTTTTATTTACTTACTAACAAGTTGTTTTATCATAACTTCGATTCCTGACGACACAAAAATTATTCAGGCGCCAGAAGCTCAATACTGAGAGCTCACCTTGAATAGTTAATTACAGAAATGATTTTTACGATTTCGGAAAATTCCCATGCACTGAGACAACATAGAGACAACTAGGGGCAGATGCTTAAGGGGCAAATTGAAAATTGGAAGGTTCGAACCGAATTTTTCATTCTCTCCACATTGAAAACAACAAGCAAAATAAAAGATATCGATCCAAATTTACACATTCGCACACTTACGTAAAAAGATAAAATAACATCAGTGATAAGCGAAAAAGCTTTTTATCGCAGCAAAGACGATGCCAACAGTTCATCGCGAAAACATCTCAATACTGATCTAGCAACGACATGAAACCGGGGTATTCTTCTGGGATTTCTTACATTTTGCGAGGAGTTAACACCCGAAGATGTCTTGGATTTACTCGAATAGACATCACATGCACATCTCTTTACAATTTAGCTACGAAAGGTTGTCATAGTTACCCCGTTCTAAATGCATCCCAGACTCCCGCGCCTACTCGCCATCGGAACGTCTCACGCTCGCATCAACCCGACGCGAGACGTCCGTCGGGGATTAACGCGCTGACCCACAGCGTCACCGTTGCCATGGCAACCCATGAGAAACTGACGTAATGAAGTTTACCTTTGAAAATAGTAACTAAGCATGCATATAATTCGTTACGTAAAAGTTAATTGGGCTTTCAGTGGATTTTTGCGTATTATTATTATTCAAAAATCAGTCCCTGAAAAGGATAAAATGACTGTTGATTTAATTTCATTTTTGTTTACGTGAATAACACGATTGCCAACTTTATTTTTCATAATGCAGATAAACAAGTTATGAAATCAAATTTTACAATATTGCTTATCGCAGACGGCTGATGAACGACCATTTTAAGATCACATTCGAAAGCCCCAAAGCTGGAGCAAAAAGCACAATTTTATAATTTTGTTTGTTGACTACTTAGTTACAGATTTATCAAGCAAATTCGGTTATATTTGATCATAAACAATCGAATTTTTGGCATGGTCAACGCTTCTTTGTCTTTTATTTTTTCAATCACCATTGTGATGTCCAAATTTAGTGGTAAAAAAGCGCAATACGTGGACAAGGAATTTCCTAACCCAATTTACTGAAAACGAAATATTTTCCAAATCGTTGACTAAAACCTGAATAAATCAATACTTAACAATTACTCAAGCCAAATGATAAATCCAACCGAAGCACATGGTGCTAGCAACAGATTAATTTCAATAATATAGGTCAAATTTCGGCCATTACAAATATACAACAACGTGAATGTGAGAATGCATTTTCTTTTATTTTAAGTAGATTTTAACTAACACACGGTAAAAACTAAGAAAGTCGATAGATAATTCACCATGCAATGTTAATCGAAATTAAAACTTGATTTATATTGTTACCTTATCACTAAAAAAGTTAAAAAACTATACCACTTTCCACAAAAGGTTCAAGAGCACACCATTTTATGCCACCCAAACATATGATCTCAGTGATTTGTTTGTAGCCATGATTCTTCATAATCTTTCAAATTCAATTATTTCCCGCCATGAAAATTTTAATCAACATTTTCACTCTAACCCAGCCAAATTAATACCGAATATTATAAGAATTTAACAATTCTCATAAAAGTCTAACAAAATATTTAAACAAATACTTATATTTGCTAAAATTTGAAAAAATATAACATCGAGAATGGTTTACTTTAGTAACTTTTGTTTTATTATGAAAACTGGATGGCTTCGTTATTCTTTACTTCGAACAGGATATTTTTACTAAATAACATTAAATATTTTTTTAAACGATTTTACGACTTATTTTCCACAAAATGATAGGTATTGAATTTTTGTACTCTTCGTTTTGTAGCCCAATGTGCATCTCTGGGGTCTTTTTTAACAATTGGCGATATGTTTTCGGCGCCACATTCAAATGTTACTCAAAGCCATGCGTTTGAAGGAACGGGAAATAACACAAAAATGATTAAATGAACAACTTTATTATGTACATACAACTATTTACATTGTATCACAATATGAATTTAATGAAAACCGTCATCACTAAAAATAGTTTTTGTGTCGATGCCAAGATGAAATAACAATAAAGAAAATAAATTTACTATAATTTATAAATGCACAAATTTTTAAGTTGCAACCTGCTCGTATTAAAATTTGGAATGTAAAGCTTTAAACTTAATTTAAAATATCTCAATTTTCTAATAAAAAATTTGCTTAAATGTATGTACATTTTGATACAACAAAAAAAATATACCTAACTCCAAAAACATTCTATACTGACAGTTGGACAAATGATTTTGTTATAAAAAGCACACATTTGTGTTATTGAAATACTCTAAGGGATACAGTTCTGTAACTTGAAACCTAATAAAAAATACCGTTATAGTAAAAGAATGAATGAAATAAAAATTACATCATTCACTTCATCACCGCAAAATAAACTATGAGTTAATATAACAAAATTTATACAAGCATAATATCTATTTTATTTCCATAACCCTATAAAATAAAAAATACCACACAAGGACGTTCACACGGATTTTTATTAAAAGTACAAACCTATTTAAATGCTTTATCGAAAGCTACTGTCTCTTACTCAGATTTGTAACAAATTTTGAGCATCTTAACTTGAACATTTATCACAAACTCGTACAGGTGTTTCCCACCCTCTAAGTGGTACAGGTTTTCTCGTCGTCGAGCATTTATCACACACCCCTTTCCCGCAATCTCGACAATGGTGCAAGCCCAAAAGCGCCCCAAACGGTTTCTCACATACTGCACAGTTTCTACATTCGTTATCGGGCATCCAATATGCCGGCCGGACTGTCTCCTTTATCAATTCTTTCGGCTTATCCAGAATAGATTTGACGACTGATATCGAATTTATGACGCTTTCACCTATTCTTCGACTTCGGAGTTCCGTGCCGTCGGCCACGTGATTAATAGTGGGCGTTTCCTCCTTGTAACAAATGTCACAAACTCGCACGTCCTCGTGCCAACCCCTCTCGGGCACCGGCTGGCTTTTGGACGAACAGCCTTCGCAGAAACCTTCCCCACAGGCGCGACAGTGATGCTTTGAAGCGTTTGACTCGAACGCCGTTTTGCACTTAAAGCACTCCTACACAACCGTAAATGATTTATAAATCGAAAAAACAGGACGAAAAAATTACCAAAATTTCGTTGTTTGGCCTCCAGTAGCTAGGGGCGATTTGATCGGTGACCCAATCGCTTATCATCTTAGTGGGTTGAGATCCAACGCTGGCTACTACATTACTGATGCTAGTGACCCCATCGAGGACTTTCTGAGCTGAATTTTGAGACCCCAAGAGTGATTTATGCTGAAAGTAGTGTTTTTCCTTTTTCACAAAATTAATACACTACTTTACATAAAATCATGTCATGACAAAGGCTCAACAGAACACTTTTGAAAGTAACAATCATTGTTCAAGTGTTCTAATAAGCCTTTGCTAAATTATTTAACTTACCCCTGGCCACACATGAACGATATCAATTACCACAGCCTCATCTTTCGGATCTTTATTTCCGTACCAGTATTCCCGGCTTTGATAAATTTTACCACAAGTTGGGCATTCGATTACGTAACCTGACCAAACCGATGAAATTATACTGCTCCAGAATTGTTCGTTTTTTCCTTGATAACTCGGTTCGACCACTTGCTTTTTACCGTTTTCGTAACATTTCTACAATTTTAAATTGAAATAATACAATTTTTACAAGATTTCGTTACATACTCTGCAAAGATAAACGAAATTTTGGTATTGGTGCTGAAGTTTGCAATTGCTTGAGTTTAAATGGGGCTCGTCGTCGTCTTTGTGGCCCATTGATAACGTACAACCCACCCCACATGATAAACATTTGTCTTGGCACGTGAAAAAGGCGGAGAGGTAGAGCTGGGGGGCGACGTCGGATATGTGGCTTTGAAATTTATCATTTAAGGCCTAAGTAAAACACAAATTATTACAGGTCTCAAAATTCTCAGCGATTGCATACTGAAGTTTAAATTAAAATTTTACATCTTAGAAAAGAGTTTTTTGTAACAAAATTACAGAATCAAGCGGTTTTTTAAATCATTTGCCTTCAGAAAATAATAATAATAATTAAAGTGTTATAAAAATGTGATAATGTAAAATTAAGAATAAAATTTCGTTTTGTTTTGAGTTTTGCGATTTTTTTGTCAATATGAAAACTTTTTTCTATAAAAATAGCCTTTGTCAAAAAAAGAATTTTATAGTGGGTTGCCATTTGAACAAGAAAATTTTTTGCAGAAATCAAAAATAGAAAATTTTGAAAAAAATTATTCTTCAGAAACGTTTAATTTTTTTATTTTTTTACTTTATAAATCATCAATTAGTTTTTTCAAGAACTAAATAGATTAAGCAAAAAACGTTTGGTTCCATATTTTCTCTTCACTTGGTACATATTTTAATTCAAAGGTAAAAAAACGTTCTAAAATTGTTTTTTTTAATATTTATTTAAAGAAAAATGTTTAAAATGTTCTCATTTATTTCCTGGCTATAAAAAATATGTTAAACAAAGTTTTGTAAAGAATCAAATAAAAAAATTGTACAACTATATTCAGCTGTATCCTTTTTTTATTAGCGACCATGTGTAAAAAATATAGCAAAAATAAAAGTTGTAGTAAAAGAAATTTTTATCTTTATTTCTGTTAAAAAAAATATTAATATAGTTTTTTAAAACGAATAAACAACCATTTTTTAATCCCGAAAATGTAGGTAATACGAAGGGCGACCGAAGGGAGCCGAGGGCATTAACGATGTTTATTCCAGAGATGCATACAAAACTTTACTCCCAATAGTATCAAGAAGGTTGTTTATGTAAAAAAACACTCAAAAATTTCAATTCAATCAATTTTATCAATTTTTTATTTTAAGAAAAAAAAAGGGCAAATCACTTATTTTATTACCAAGGGAATAAAGTACCAATTAGTCAAGAACGAATTGGAAAGAAAATCGATTTATCCCAAATAACCATTTTTACATTAAAATACAAAAACTTATTTTGTTATTTATTTATTAATCTTTAACAATGATAGTTCTTTTCTGGAACAAATGTAAAATAATACATCAAAAATAAAAACCGACTTTGCAGTTATGAAATTATAAAAACTATTCGTCTTTATTCCCTATATTTATTAAAAATAATAATAAATTAATCATAATTTGAAAACCTTTTGCATTAAAAACTTTTAATATAGCTTGTTCCAAATCTGGTGGCGACTGACGTTGTCCAAAATGACTGAATTTTGTCACTAAACATATGTTTACTATAAAAAAAATATTGTTCATAGGCGTCGTATGAAATAATATTTCAAAACCACTGTTATTCTTTACAATGAGTAGGTGTTCGTACATAAGATGAAGAATGAACAAATTATTAAATTGTTAACGCATGAAAATAATTTTCAAAAATGATATTCCTAACAATCCTTGTCTTCAAAATTTTTAGAGAAAAAAGTACGCCCATGTATTTTTTTATCTTAACCAAGTGGGCGCACTCCAAGTGTCTTTTCTGTCACTGTCAGTTCGCCACCAGATATGGAATAAGCTCTATCTGATTCAATTTTCTGTGGATAAACAAGATCACTTTGTTAATTTTAATTGATTTTTTTATAAAAATGCAAAATATGACAAAAAAATACTATTTCTCATAGAAAATGTTTTGAAAACGTCAAAAGCAATAATTAAAGTATAATAGTAAAGTTGTTGCCATTTGTGTAAACAAGTCATAATTTGTATAAATGCAGGCTGAGTCTTAACATACATGCATAAGCTTAGAAAATAAGAGTAAAAAAATAAAAAAAATGTTAAATAAAACTAAAAGATATTACTTAACTCCAACTAAATAAAAAAAAAAGATTCACTTAACTTTGAAAATTAAAATTTAACACTTTATGTATATCTCAGTAACTAAAAAACTTTTACTAGATTTTCTTTCACTATTAATCATTAAACTCTCATTCCCTGTATACGTTAAGAGTCACTCTGTATACGTTGTTAATAACAAGTTAAATTCTCGCCAGTATCACTGTTACTTTTTAGATGCTACCTTATCCACATTGTATTACAGTTCTTGCCAACGTATACGTGTAACCTTACTCAAATGAAACCACCTTTTGGTCACTATACCTTTAGCGTGTGAAAGACATATTTGGGGTTCCTTGGCGACCTGACTTGATTGCTTTCCAGCTCCTTCTCGACGGCGACCCTCAATTGCAAAAACGACGCCTTTCCAACCCCATCTACCACCCCAATGTATTTCAGAGAGCTAAATCCGTCACAACTCTCATCCAATTTAGCGAAATTCTCCCGCAGAATATCCTCTGGTGACATTTTAACATCGGCGATGCTGGTCAAAGTATTCGTGTACCTCGTCTCGTGGAAAATAATAACGCTTGGCCCCCATGCGGCTGCAGTCTTCTCGACTTCGTACTTTTGCAAGACGGTTTGTAACGCAGGACTGAAGTGTTCTTTGTACGCCTTTGAGGCGCCCCCAAGAAACGTGTACATGTCCCGTGGCAAACGTTCTGATTTTGTTCGATAGATAATAACATCGGAAATGGCGAGAATTTTTAATAGCAGACGAGTGCGTTGATGCTCCTTTTTTGTGATTCCTAAGAAGCCCTCAGTATCGATGCAGAGCATTTTTAAAGTGGGGTCGTATTTCGCCCAAACGCCGATCGTGCACGAGTTTTGGTAAGGAGACGTTTGAAAAATTTCTTTACCTTCGAAAAATGTGTGATTGAGAGTATAAGATTTGCCCTCTCCTGTGTTACCAAAAATTGAAACTACTTTGATCTTGTGAGAGTGGTCTATTTTTAACAATTTTATGAAGTTTTCTTCAGTGTTGATCAAGAGGCGTTCTTGGTCGTCTAACAGGTGCACACTTTCGCATTTTGGGTCGTCGTGGGGGCTCAGAGAGAGACTCAAAGACTCGTACTTGTCGGGTAGGGTTCCCAGAGACTTCATAATAGGGGAAGACATCTTACTTTTGGGATTTTGCACGTGGGGTGGTAGTAATTTCTGGATTTTGCTATATCCAAGCAGCGTTGTGTTTATTTGCGTCACTGGAAAATTCAAACAGTGACACTAGAATTTGAGGTTAGATCACAATCAAATTAAAGAAAAATTTTGTAAACAAAGACGATTATTAGTCCACGCACGTTTCTACTTACAGGGATTCATTCTGGGGGCTGTTTTTGAGCAGAATATGAGAAAAAATCTGTTCTCAAGGCTAAATCAAGATAATTTTGTTAAGTCGTAAGTTTTTGAATATTTCGTTTTATGCTCGTTTTTGTGATTAATTTGGACATGAATTGGCGAAAATAATTTAGATTTTGTTTACATCGTACAAAAATATGTTGACGTGTTGATGACGGAAATAAGTCGCACTTTAATTCTCTTAGTAAACAAAGGAACTGGACGATTTGAATCCCGAATAATTTTGTAAAACAAAAAAATAATAATTTTCTTACCAAATCCGTATTTTCCTAGACATGATACACGTTTTTTGTTAATAAACTACTTACACATGACTTGACACTTGATGTTTTTGACAGTTGATTAGAATCGAAAGGAAAGCAACCAATCCAGAAGCACAATTTGGGTGTAGTGTAAAACAGTTCTGTTGCACTCAAGGCCACACCGCTGAAGAATTTTATTTTTGTTATTGTCGCTGAAAATTCATTCCAGAATTGTATCTATTTCTGAATTCTGATTGTTGGCGAGGTTTTTGACCGTTTGGGCGTAAACGGAGACGTGATTTGTCTACGTGCTGATTTGCAGACACCAACTTTAAATGTCAATTACTCGATCACTACTGGGCCTCTCTCATTATCAAATTCATTTTTTCCCCTATTATGGAAAATTAAATGAAATCGAAAGCCTTGGCAATTATTATTGTGATTAAAACGCCGGCGATAAAGGGTGATGACCACGACGATTGCGCCATATACAAAGTGGCTCCAACACTTATTTTTCGTCAATTTGAAATTACACTCATTGATCACATTCAAAGGTGTCTATGAACTAAAAAAATATCAATGAATAAAGAACTCAATGGACATTTCGTGCCAAATGGTGGTAATTGACGTCAATAGTATTTCGAACTTTCAATTTAAATTTAGTACAGAAAAACCGAACTTGTAAATTAAAAGATGACTCCAAGTTACTTTTATTCATAGAAAACTTTTTTGGTATACAATAATAAAAACTGAACGCCGTCTCATTATATTTAGATGCACCCATAGTCTTGGTTTTTACAAAAAATATTATTAATCAATAGTTTGCAGAAATAAAATATAAATTTAGAATTGCTATCATTTTGTCGTGTGGACTTTTAATACTAAGAAATTGTGTGATGCAAGAATTAGAAGAGATTTTTTGACGCAGTTGTGAAAGAATCATCCACAAAATGAGAATCTTTATTATTCTTTATACATGCATAAACTACCTACATAATAAAAAAAAACAATATTTTATTTTTGCATAATTTGTATAATAATTCCATTTGTAGTGGGTCCCCATGTTTTTGTAAAAATTCTAATTTTTTGGATAATTTGGTTGAATAATCAATTAACAATAATTTGTTGACGTCAAAAATAAACCCCACGACGTCTTTGTCTGATACATGTTTTATTTTTTACTTTAAATTATCTATTTTCATGTTTGTGTTTTGTAAATAATATAAAATTGAATGTTGATAAATGATAAGTCAGTGTCATCGTACAATTAAAGACTTCCTTTTTCTTCACACAATACGCTCATTTGAGTTTTATTATTCTCAATAAAAATGGGTAAAAATGATATTTCTTGGTTATACAGGACGTTTCCGCTAATACTTTCTCGTTGTAATATCTTAATTTTCAAGAGCAAGAACGGGATCTATAAAACAAAATTCTCTGTAAGAAAAATAATGTTAAAAAATTTTCGTAATTTCCAAAAAAACTAAAAGTTGCATGAGAAAGAGATGGTATTGAAATCTGCGTCAAAATATCTACAAAAAAAACTAAAACCAGTCACTTTTGACCAATAATTGAATAATTAAAAAGTTGAAATTTTCAATCGTTAAAAAATTTATTCAATTTACACCTTAGCTTCAATCAAATTTGTAAAAATTTCCCTGTTTTCATAAAAAAAAATAACTGGGGAAAACTAAGAGCATGCAATCTTCAAATTACAACTTCAAACTACTCCAAATTGTACACATGTCTAAGATTAAGTAAGTTATTTCTGTAATAAACTATAAATTTCTGTTTGTGCGAAGTTTACAAATTAAATTTTTTTAATCTTTTACTTCCAAAATGACGAGTTATCTCAGATCTTCAAACGATTTTATCGATTTTATAACGATTTTTTACAACCCTGTATAATGTCAGTTCCCAAGACAAAAATCTTGGTGTAGATTATGATCTATTACGCTCTTTGAAGGGGTCACGTTTACAAATTGTGCCAATTAAGGCTAAAAATATGCGATATATAAATTTATGAACGTGATTGTGCAGATGTTAACTAATTTTGACATGTAAATGATAAGCTTTTATCAGTGAGGTTTTAAAACGTGATGCGCAAATGTTAATATATTTAATTTTTTCTTTATAAAAATCGAACTGAATGGTCGTGATTATTGATTGATTAATTTTTGACCTTGGTTACATTAAAACGATGAAAATCACTATCGATTTCTCGTAAGCATAAATTGGTATCAACTGACGCAATAAAGATACACAAAAAAATGAACAACTCACCTACCTAAAGTGAGCTTTTCTTGATTTGTAAACTGAAGTAAAAACACAAGTTATGTATTAAATTATTTATTTTCAATTATTGTAACGCCCGGTTTATTTACATAAATAATTATAATAATGAATTAACTAGTAACTTCAAATATTGGGCTTTATACAAGATTCAGAAAAATTAACAATATTTCAGACTTTTCAATTTCACATTCTAGCCGATTTTAAAAAATAAAACCGACACATTCTTTACATTGCCAATAACATCCAACTAAAGATATATAGGTATACAAAAATACTAAAGTTGTAATAATAAATTAGAATTATAATTAAATGATTAATGAGCATTGGAACCGAAAAACATACAAACATTTGAAATGTTTGTATATTTTTCCTTTCTTTCTAAGTACTCGTAAACTATAAAGTGGTAATGGAAAGACATTAACCGTTATTGCTGGAAATTTGACCAAATGAAGGTAGTTTAATGTCTGTAACTACTTGAACACATATACGTCATAGAGAATATACAAAAGTGTTTGAGAGTGGCTTATTACCCTAGGATATTTACAAAGTTATGTTAAAAAAATATCCTCTAACTCGTGTCAATCTTGTAACAATAATTCAAAGCAAAATTCCAATTTTGCCAACAATTTTCATAAAATAAAAGAAAAAACAAAAACTGTCGATATACTCTAATCTCTCTAGTATACATTTGAAGATATAAAGACAATTTTCTGAGGCACTTTGTAACACTGTCAGAATCGATCATGACTTGTTTGTAATCTGTTTTGGTTTTGGAGTAATTAACAAAACGGGACTTGAAGGCCGCGAGGGTTTCCGGGTGACTGTTTGCGGGATAACCGTTAAGGATTTGGGGATTTTTGGAAGGGATAACGGCGGTTTATTCTCGTTCAGTCTAGATTCTAACTTCTCAACTTGCTTGTCTAACTTCTCTAAAATAGTCTCCGGTTCGGCCGGTTCTGTTTTCGGACTCGACTTCGAAATCACTAAACCCTTCCTCGGCGTCACCGACTTTAGCACCGAATTTTGCGACCCTTTTGTCGCTTTTCCAGCATTCGCCGCCTCCTGTAGTCTCTTCTGTTTCAACTCAAAACTCTTCTTGATAGCACACATCTTTTTATAGTCTTCTAAAGTGATATGGTACGGCTTGCCACCTGATATAACCTGTACCAATCCGGCTTTGCGTTCGGAATTTTTCTTACTCGGGTCGATTGGGATTAAATTAGGACGCCAGTTTTTCGTAATCGGGAATTTGATCTTCTGGGATTGGGCAGGTTTGACTAGGGGGGCCACAGGCCGGTTGGTGCCCGGGTGCAAGGAGATCAACCCGGGAGGGGCCCCCACAGGTTTAGGTTTTGGGGGAGGCGGGTTACTTGGAGGAATTAGGGGAGGACTGTTCAATTGTGAGATCGTAATTGGGGTACTTTTAGGGACGTTGGCCGCATTAATAGTTGGGGGTACTACCGGTGGTGGTGTTTCTTTGACCGGATTGGGTGGGGCACTAGTGACGATTCCATTGGTACTCTTCTGGACTTTGTTAAATGGTATCATACTGATGGGTTGAACGTTACCAGCACTTGATGGGATGTTATCGTATGCTCTTAATCTATTGTGCACGGATTCGCTGTAGTTTATCGAATGGTGACTAGCGTTGGGTGCTAGAATCAAATCGCCGTTGCGGAAATATTTCTCGAGGAGGATTAAATGTCTCAAGAAACTGCTTTGGTTTCCGTATGGTTTTTGCAATTCTTGCCATAAATGTTTGGTTTCCATGTCGTACTGTATGACTGATGTGCACTTCTCCCAGCCTTCAGGAGTCCGTTCTTTGACATTCCCGAATTCTATGGTGCCCTGAAGTGGTAGATCTTCCTCACATGGGAACAACTGCCGTACTGATATGGAAGGATTTGATCCTAGTCTTTGGACCGCGATATCACTACTTTTATCATTTTTCAGTTTCATGTTCTTTGATATTTCCACAGCTTGTTTGATGGTTTCGGGACGTCCGGCTTTTTTCAATTGCGTTGGTTTTGTAGGAGGTTCTTTTTTAGATTCACTATCACTACCACATTCCATTGCAATAGATGGAATTAAAGTATTGTAGTCCACCATGTAGTCAGAGGGAGATTCTGGACGAGACTGGTTAGTCGAATCAGTTGAAGGCACACGACTTTGGTCCGATTTTTCTACTTCTACCTGAGAATCAGAACCATCTCCTGGTACCGACTGGTTCTTGGATATCTTCCGTTTCTTCCGGACTTGTTCCTTCTCGATCTTGCTATCTTTTGTAGGAATTATTATTGGTTCTTCAGCTGCGGCTTCATCCATCGGTACGATATCGTTGAAGTGAAGCAGCCTACAAACAAACATTGAAATCTAAAATTCAATCTAGAATTCAAAATTAAGTACCTCTTCTTGTATTCAAGAAAAAATGTTGAGCTGTTTTCTGGTCGTTCCTCAGGCGATTTGAGAATAATCGTAGCGAAATATTTACACAATTTGCAAACGACAGGTTTGTCGGTTAAACTTAAAGGAATTCCTTCAGTGGTCAAAGCTAAATTTAAATCGACAGTTTCAGGTCCCAAATAATGAACGTGATTTTTAGCTAATCTTCTTTTACACATAGCACACACCATGAGGTACTCAAGGGCCGAGTAATGCTCATCACAAATAGGAATTGAATGAAGACCGGGATTATCTAAATCTATATTTATCTGCAACACAAGTGTTTAGCTTCATTTCCGAGTGCAGTAACACTCAACTTACCACTTCGCATATACTTCTCCTCATTTTAATTATCCACTTCCTCCGCAATATATTTGAAGCGAGTTTACGACATCCCAAAACGTGGCAGTGATCCTGTCTAGGTCCTGGTGCAACTGTTGCACTTCTTTTGTAAGATTTGTTCGTGTAAGACGGCGTGTTTGCTTTACGGTCGACATGTCGATAACAAGCGTCGCAAAGACAAGAATCTCTTGTTAAATGTTTTTCAGCTGAAATTGCAAAATTATACAATTTCGCAAATGGCCGCAAAGACATACCCGCTAAAATTTTATTCTGTCTTTCCACACTCTTCATTTGTGCGATATGACATGGAGTATCAAACAGTCCAAACTTGCCGTAGCAATAGGAACATTCATCTTTACAAATTCTTCCGGGGTGAATACTGAAGGAACTTGCTTTTTCCGGTATGACCAAAGCTTTGGTTGATCCTTCCTGAGCACCGGTTTCACCATCGGAAGTGTGTTCGCTGCTGCCATCTAAACAAAAATCAAAATTGGTTTTCGAACACTTTTTATAAATCAAACAGTATGAACCAAGTGACCTAAGGCGTAGCTCAAGAATCTGCCATACAGTGTAGTATGATTAAAATGAGAAAAGTGCAATAGTAGGCAAAAGTTAACCCCAAAACCATGTAATTACCCATGTTAGAGCGGTTAGAATAATGTGATTTTCTGTGCGCACCAGCCGTGTCCGACGACTGACCACCATGTTTCCAGCTTGTGGACGGACCCTGAAACAGTTTTATTACCATTTTCGCCTTTCCACACTCATTAAACACTCACATCCTTAATTTTATGGTGATCTTCAACTCCGTTATCATAATCACTCTTCTTGCTTTTGTGCAAAGTCATCTTCATGTTCCTCCCTTTCTTCTTCTCCCCACGATTGATTTTGATGACTGTTTTCAGCGTTCCGGTGTAATAGTCACTCTTCGGTTCAGTCTTTTCCTTGCTTTTCAGTCGCGCTTCTTTAGCTGCCTTCAAACTCTGTAAGCCCAAAGCTTGCAAGATGTTTTCTTTGATCGCTAGATTCTCCGCAGTTTCTTCAATTTGGGGCTCTTTGGGTGCATCCCCGTTTGGCAAAATTGAAGATTCTTCACCATTTGCAATTTCTTCAATCGTAGTCTCGCCATTTTCTACCACTTCTTGGTCAACATTGTCTTTATCCTTGGATTCACCGACTTCCGGATTTTCAATTGGCGGTGGTTCAGTTTTCACACCTTCGACAGGAGTGTCAGGAGTTTCGTCTATTATTTTCCCACTCTTCTTCTTCTTCTCCTCTTTGTCCTCGAAAGGGTCATTAAACGCTTGCTTCATTATGTCAAGAATTATAGATTTTTCAGGAACTTTGGAACTCGGAGCCGACGCGAAACTTTCCATTACGTCTCGTTCATTTTTAATCGGAACATTATCCTTATTTAGACAAAGATTCGAATTAGTATCAGTGAAATTGTGATCAGTCGAAAAACTTCTTTTAACGGCAGCAGGGACTTCGTCGGGGTTTTCTTCGACCTCTTCTTTTTTCTCCTTTTTTACACTTTCAACGTCCTTGGTTTCAGGATTTTCAGCACCGTGTACTGACGACAAGTCTGAAAAACTACTATCGGACTCGTATCCTGAAAATTTCGACATTTCGCTTCCGCTGAACTCTGAATAATTCCGTCTTCGTCTTTTGTGTGTAATGTCTAATCCTTCTAACAATTCTAAATCTTTAAGTTTTCTTTGTTTTCCGTTGCGTAGAATCCGAGCTGGTGAGTCTGATCTGGTTTTGTACGGATTTGATCGGCGACTGAATCCATCTACTGTTTGCCTTAACCTAGGGAAATTTTTCGAGCGAGGACTGATACAACGAGGTAAATTATTGAAAATTGATATTCGGTTAAGATTTGGTCCATCGGTGTCTACAATCCCGATCGGGAATTTCTCAATGCTGTGTCGTCTTTTAACAACAGGCAAATCTTTATATTTGCTAACGTTTAAATCAAGCATATCGATCACTTTGCGTTGAGAAGGACTCAACTTGCTCAGGGTATTCTCAATATTTTCCTTTTTTCGCCTCTTGATGACTTTTTTCGGGTTTAATGAGTCACTTTTGCCCGATTCTGAAACCACATCAGATTCTTCTTTACTCTCACCTTTAATGAGCGAACTCAAGTCATTCATAACATCTTCAATTGATTCGTTTTGAGTGTTTTCAGTTTTAACTTTTTTCTTATAGACGCGTTTAGTTTTGGCAGGATCTATTAATAAACTATCGTTTTTGGCATAATTGTCGATTCGTGGTGCTCGTCCTCCCTTTTTCTTTACTTGTTTGTTATCTGTATCTTCTTCAATTGGTAAAATCGGTTCCAAAACGGGCGGTAAAATCTCCTCCGTTTTGTCGCCTTTATCCACCTTCGCTTTTTTAGGTTTGATTTGCTTTACGCAATTTTTGAGCAACTTCTTTTTACTTTCAACATTTTTGGGATTATTGCCTATCACTTTTATAATTTTTCGTTTAATTTTCACGTTTTTCTTGATCGCGGGTTTTAATTTTATCGCGATGGTTGGTTTCTTTGTTAATTTTTTTGGCGTTTTGGGCGCCAATTTTTTTGTTAAAGGAGCTTTCGGTGATTGCTTTGCGACTGGATTTTCTTCCGCTGTTTCATTAGTTGGGGGAGGTTTGATTTCAGTAGGTGTTAGATCCTCCTTTGGCGGTAAAGGAGACGATGTGTTTTGCTTTCTGCTAACTGAAAGCTTCTTTTCTCGAGTTGCCATGTCATTACAAAATTCTGAAAATTATAAAGGAATGTCAAAAAACCCAAATTACTCTTTACTCATTCTTGCAATTATATCTCATAAAATTCCTACCGACTTATTAACATACTAAGAGTTTATCGCTGATGTGAAACAGGTTTGTACGATTTTTAAATGAGCTTAGGATATCCGGTATTTCAAACGCTATGTATCAACAGACATAAATTCTTGCTTTCATCTTTCGCATTTGCACTACTTGTGTAACGTTTTAACACCTTGACAATTTATCTATCCATAGAATAATTAACTTCCAACGAAAAAATTAAGATGCTTGTGTATTAAAATTTGTACTTTTTATCATCCTGCGATTACCTCAAGCACCCAATAAAATTTATTATTCTGAAATTAATTCCAAAGTGAAAATCACGAATACAAATGTGAGAAAACGGAGAAGAGCTAAATTAGTGTTTTATTATCTTTAGATTATTTATTTTTACAACAAATAGAAAATTTCGCAAACAATGCAGACTCCCAAATTTGTTAATTAAGATGACTTATATTTTGCTACAAGTCTGGATAACAATATTCTGCTGATACAAGTTTTTAATAGCAAATTTATTGTCGTATCAACAATAAATTACTCCCTAGGATTTAGGAATATTTGTGTATAGGTTGCCATATATTTGGTTAGGTTGGTTTCTGGTGACAAACAAAAGATATCGTAACACTGGTTAAAAATTTAGGTTAAGTCACCTGTCAGCTTGTATGGATAATTCAATTGATAGTTGACAGCAGGTTGACAGAAAACGTCAACCGCCAACAACAAGGGATAACCAACTCTAAGCATTCAAAATTGTTTCTGAAAATTCTAGTTACAAACAACATGAAAAACGTAATTTTCCTAAAAGTTCAAATCCTAGGTGGTAATTTCTTGTTGACAAATCTGTATACATATTATGTATAATTAGAAATCTTTATTTATTTCAAAATGAAAATGTGGTATTAATGGTTTAAAATGTAAAAAAAATATTATATCACCATTTTTCATTCATTTATTAGATAGGTAATTATTAAAAAAAAAACAAGTAAAATTATATTTAAACAAAACTGTTCAACTAATTATGTTGTTTGTCACTTTATTATATTTTAACAACACGTTTCAAAATTGCTCTTTAGATATTACGTTTAAAGTTAAAAAAAAATTCGTTAATGTTAACCAGAAATTCGCACAGTAGCAATTTCAAAAAATGATTTTTAAACGTATACATAATTATTTTAGTGTAATAAATTATCTGGGGATAGAAGGGACTTTTTTAAAGCTTTAAAAACACCACTCAATTATGAGAAACACAAACAAAATCTCTTTGTATTGTTGCTAATTTTAATATTTTTACAAAAATTGCATGACCCTATGGAAGAACCAATTTAGTATTTAATATGATTACCACAGCAACACAAAAATTACGGAAATTTTTGGACTCATTAGCTAAAATTTTTAAGTGAAAATTTTTTTGACACAAAAACTAACCTCAAATATTTAGTAAAACTTTATTTTAAACATCAAAAAGTAAGACTTACTTACTTGAACTCGTGATATCGTGCAATTTGCACCCAAATACTCCTCGTGCATTGGTTGAATCCGGAAATGTTTTCTCGTGATTGGCAAAAACGTGTAGTTGAATTAATAATGTTTTTGACAATCACTCGAAAAAATTTGTGAAAACAATCAATGCACTCGGAATATTATAAGTGATAATAAATATAGACTCCCTCAAAAAAAAAATATATTGTAAAGTTTTTCAGTTCTATTTTGAAATCTCTTTCTCCACCTACATGGTGCCAAAGAAATATTAAATAATAAGTAAAAATCTTCCAACACTTTTATGGTAACGTATTTGTTGTTGTTTTTTCTCTCAATCATTTATAGAAGATCTTATATTTTAAGTAATTTTTGGAATTCACTTTTTCTTCATTTTGAAAAATACTCTTGAATCTCTATTTTCATAAAACCACTCATATTTCCACAATTTGTAATAATGTTATTAATTTTTGTCGCAAATAAAATTAACATTACAATTAAAAGACTGAAAATATAACACTAAGGACCGATTTACAGAAAGCGAATTAAAATTTAATTTGCTTTGCCAATTAATCCCGAATTAAAATGTGATTAAAATTAAATGTTCTGTAAACCGGCCCTAAGTAAACAAATTAAATAAAAAATTATACGAAAAACGGCCAATACTAGAGAAAGGTCGAGCTTTTCATGATTGCGTGAGCTTGCCTGACAAAGTTATATTCTTGTCACAAGCTTTGAATCTATCAATTTCAGGTAACAACTGACAATTTAGAAATCTCTAATTAAATAAGTTTAGATGACTTCGTAGACTGCAACAATTGAGAAAAAACACAACATAAAAAATGAAGACAAATCTCTTTCCACTTGTTAACCAATTAACTCAATTTCACCGAAAATAAATGGTTTCATACGCCCTAAAATAGATTGAACCCCCTATTCATCACCTAAACGCTCCACTTAATTTGAGGTCAGGCACGATGGTGGTTATTTCCATATTCGATCTTTTTATTTATTCCAAATAATAATAAAACGACATTTAGACGTGTAGAAAAACCTTAGTCCTTGCAAAAAACGAAAATGTTTGTAGGTATGTACATTAACAAAACGGAAACTATGATAAATCGAATAGTTTCTAAAGTTCCATTCACCCTTCAAAATTAATTATTAAAATATAAAGTAGAATGTAGGTATAATAACAGAAGAATCAGATATCGTGGCAAGGGTAACAATTTAAATTGAAATTTTTATAAAACCCAATTTATTAATTTATTAGAAATTTATGAATTCCCACCCTTATTTTCAAAAAGAAATGACAAAGTTGCTACTATTTTTGCAAATTAATTATTATCGTTTGGTGGATAAACAGTATTTTGATGTATCCTTCGACTTTTCCTTATTACTTAATCTAGCATTGATATTTCTCGCGTCAAAGGGGATGATGGTGAAAAATAAGTAAAATTTCCTTTCTGTGTCATTTTTATCAAAAACTTGGATATTCTAACTGTAAGTTGCACCAATAATTGTTGTAATTTAAATGCCAATAAAGGAGATGTGATTTTAAATTGAAAATCATAGGGTTTATTGAAAAGATGGGAAGTAGCGTTGTGTTTATTTTATTACCATTAGCATTCGAAGTGCATTAAAAAAGCAATAAAAGCTCAAATTTTCCCATAATTCGATGAATCGTTTCTGAGATAAACATGATCGCAACCCAAACTCGTTATCATTCCGTAATAAAAAAGCACGAAAGTCGACCGTTAGAGGTGAAAAATGTGTAGAAAATTGAGTGTAAGCGTAGGTACGACGATGGTCAGCGCCCCCTGTGAGACAGGATGCGGCCCCCCCTCGTTCCGGGCGCGGAAACCGCCCTCGGATTCATCCATGGTACAGCTCGAGCAACCTCCCGAGCCTCGCGTATAAACAAAGCAAATGACCTGTTAGAGAGGCGATTTCCTCGTTCGAACCGCCTAAAAAGCGACGTTTCACCGTTAAAACCTACTTAAATCGCGCGAAAGTCGTCGGTTAACGGGCGCGCCAGTCCCCATGCATCCGAAAGTCGCGGAAAATGGCAAAAAATCCCGCCGTTAAAGGGTAAATAACGAGAAAAATAGTCCAAAGGGTTTCTTACCTTCCCTGAACGTGGTTCACAACGCCACCTATGTGATATGCGTCGTCGCTATTCCACCAAAAGCACGTACGAGGCGCCGAAGGAGCCCGAATTCGACCGAAGGCTAAACGATGCACATGTTTGCAACAGCAACTGACGGATTTAACTGAATTTATTGCGAAATTCGAGGATAATCCGGGCGATTTTCAGGCGGTTTTCGCGATATTCGGTCGTGGCGTTGCCGAATCTGGCGAAATGTTCGGGAAAATGCGGAAAATTCGGGATGGAACCGCGAGGAAAACTTTGGGAACTGCGGCGGTATGTCGGAACTATTAGATTTACTTTGGCTTGTCACGACGATAGGGACGTGGTTCTTTTGCCAGGAATGCGGCTAGTTTTAACAGTCGCCGATAGGCGGCAAAATGGCGCTCGTATCGCTTTTTGTCTTATTCATTTTCCAGGCTTATTTTATTTATTATGCAGCAGGTTCAAGGTCTGTTCCTTCGCGTGGCTCCGTGTGTTCAATCAATCCGAGATATTCTCAACAGAAAATTTCATTCACTCGGTGGGATGAGGATAATTTTGGAGGAGCGTTGAGGGGACATATTTAGCTTTCTCTTCTTCACTCTTCACCCTATTCTTTCGCGCTCGTTAATGGCGTACGAGGACGGGTGAAAGTCCTTTCAGGATGTACGCAGGATAATGGCGGTTTCGGTTTTATTTTCACATTCACAATGAAACTATCAAAATGTTTCACATATTATTTTCAACGAGAAAGCTTCTTTGTAAACAAGAATTTATCTCTACGAACGTAAACCTACGTCACCTTTATTTTAACCTTGTTTATTTGAAATTAATGTTTTTCGTGGATAATTAAATGCTGGATTTACCAATTGTGATTGGAATGGATTTTGACTCTCCCTACGAAATCTATAGTAACTCAAAATTTACAGTTTTTTGAAAAATTGCATTGAATCTTTGATTCTTAATAAAGATTCAAGGAACTATTTAATATTATTGAAAATTGTTGTGAGGGTCTATATTTTGGTTTTGGTTTTGTATTTTTGGCCCTACATAAGCCATTGTAACGCAAAACCAATTTTTATGAGTTACTATAGTTTTCGTTGGGAGAGTCGATTTAAAAAAATTTGCTTATGTTTTATTTTTCTGTAATTGTTGTGAATTAGTCATTATTTTTGAGATATTAAAGATTTTATTCAAAAAAGTCGACCAACTAGCTAATATTTATTTACTCGTAATTCAGGAATAGATAAAATTAATGCAACGAATTATTTTTACTTAATATTTACTTTTAAATTCTTAGAATTTGTGAAATGAAACACAAAAGTATTTGTTTTTTGCGGAAATATTCTTCTCATGCTTCTAAAATACAAATGTATGCATTTCAAGCTGTGTTTATGGGAGAAGTTCTTGCGATTTTTTTTACCTTATATTACACATTTAAAACCCTAGAAAACATCCCATTATTATGTAGGTAAATAAAAAAAAGAATTTCTCAATTTTGTTGCCAAAATAATAGGTATATATTACTCGGGTGCAAGAAACCTGAAAATCCAGTTATAATAAACTTTTGTAAATGTAAGTATTACTTTTGAGTGCACTTGGAAAGTTGATTGTATTATATATTGATATTATTTTTGATTTGCAATTAGATACATACTAACAAAAAATTATCAATTTTTGAAAATAAGTTCTGTTCGTATTCCACAGTTATTTAACTTATAAAAGCAGTTGAGAAATTATCTATAAAATGCCAGAATACATATTTATTATTTATTGCTTACATTATTTAGTTACCTGCTGTCCTCTCAATTATTTGAAATTTGTAACATAAAATAAAATCGTTATAAAGAATGACTAAATCGACTGAAAAAAAAAACATTTTTTTTACTTTAAATCTTTTTAAACCCGAACTATTGAAAATAAATTAACTATTTTTGTCTGTGAATCTGATAAAAATATTGGAAGGAAGTGTAATAAATAAACAAAATGAAATCTGCTTAAAAGCTTCAATTAATTTAAGAATGAGATAATAATATTGAATAATTTTCTTTCTTGCTGAAGTTGATACGTCGCCTTATATATTTATTTGTTCAATTAAACAGATTTGACTAAATAGTGATTATCCACAAACGGAAATGACTTCATAAGTAACAAAATTTTGTTGAAATATTTATCACTCTAATAAAATTTAACGACTTTCATCGCTGAAGCAATTTTTTTTAATAAAACTTTTCATAGCTGTTACTATGTATTTTAAATTTATTATAGAATAATAATAGATAGTAATAACAATAATAGAAATTTATTGAAAGAAAAATGGGTCGTTGGCTATAAAGAATCGATCAATATTACACCATAAAGAAGAAAAAATCGAGTTAAGAATATTTCTGTTTACTATCTTTTTAACAAGCACTAAATTAGTTTTATTTCTAAAAAAAACTTTTTTACTACAAAATCCCAAATCCTCTACTTCTGAAACTTTTTACCAATTTGATTTTTGATAGTTAACTTCTCTTATACAATTACTAACAAAATTCTAGTAGAATTTAACTGAAAACCTATTTACTTTTTCAAGAATATTATAATTCAGTTGGAGTAACAAATATGAGAAAAATTTAAAAATATTTTTTACTAACTAGGACCACTTATGAAACTTGAAATTAAGTTCGTTAACAAGATTCATCACTGTTTTTGGTAATTTTAAAATTACATTTTTAATTTAGAATGCAGTGTTTAAATTTTGTAACTTAATTTTTTTTACAATAAATGGGGGTAGAAAAAAATTGCAATTACAGAAAAAAAATAAAAAAACCAACGGGCAACTAAAGATGTGTATGGGACGAGATTTACCATTTGTGTTATTTGAAATGATTTAATTTGAATTATTCTTTAATAATAAAACAGAAATTTTTCAGTGCCGTCACCGGACTGGAACCCACGTCTCCTGTTGAAGCCTCTCCGTTAGGAGAGCTGAAGGTAAGTTGAGATCGGAGCAAATCTTTAATAACTTGTCTTTAATGTATAATTTCATCTGATTCGCATATTATCTTTATTCATTAGACTTCAAATAAATAGTAGCGTCGCAGCGACATTTCCCAAACTCTACCCATCATTATTATTGACATTTTTATGAAACAAAATCTTCTGGTAAATACAATGACACATAAATTAAACGAAAACAATACGAACCAGAAAATAAAATAAGAAATGTATTATTCATAAAACACAATAAACTGAAATAACAAATATGAAACAAGGTTAACGATTGTACGGATGCATTGTCCTGAAAGTGACATTTCAGTATTGACCATGAGGAAAATTTGGTGGTGGATAATTTTAGATTGCGACCTTGAGGTGGAAAAGCTCGACTTGGCAAGCTATCTTTCCACCAAATACAAAAAATTCAGCAGGATTTTTTTTCATGTGCCTGAAAAATTCTCTTTTCAGGATAAAATCACTGAATCTTTTGAAAGTGATTTATTTTTGATTATTTTAGATAGGTAGTCGCCGTTACACAATTTATCAGTGCAACAATCCTTTCACTTGAGTGATTTTGCATCCGTTATTTATTTAGTACTTACTTGAGTGTACTTAGTTGTACTAGTTCGAGTAAATTATACCGGGCACTAAATGAGAAACTTTTGTTACGTCAGTTTGGTTTTGTTGCTATAATTAAAATTAATTGAACTACAATTCAAATTTTACAAATTTTAGAAAGTTGGGTAATAAAAGTCTGAACATAGGTTTAATTTTTTATTGAGTTTATATACTTTAGTATTACACATAATTTTCTTACAATATTTAAAAACATTGCATTTTACTATACATAGTCGGTAATTATCTACATGAGCACTAACTCATCTAATGCTATATTTATAACACCTTGCACTTTTCTTCAATACAATAAGTACGTTGATTCGGTAATATAATTAAGTACATTAAAAAATTTGGAACAATGACCATCCTTGTTCGTTAAATTAGATTTGTCACCATGTACACTATTATATAACTTGGTATTTATAGAAAACTATTTCCATTTGGCATAGTTTATCGCAATGTACACATTATACAAAAAAATCATATAAAATCATTTCAGAAACGTCTAAAATCTAGAATTATGTACAAAACAGACAGTTGCGAGTAGAAACAATTTGTCGATGGTTCTCCACCAAATCACAATTTGTTTCTACCATCATCTGATACAGCTTCTTGTAAATATTGCACTACGAAACAAATCAATTCTCACAAATTTATGTACAATGAGTCGACTTCGTAGCAAACGTATAAGGGGAATGAATACACGATGACTCATTTCATTCGATGCCTTCACAGATTTGTACATTAGAAAAATCATTTTAGAACCGCGATGTCGTTGATATAATGCATCTGAAATTTGTGTTCGTCACATTTTTCAAGGCTGGACTAGTCGTCAATAGCAACAATTAACGCTTCCTCACACTTTTCCATCGAAAAATCAAACTGACGCTAAATTTAGTAGTTGCAAGGGTTCGGCCACTTAATCTACTTTTAAATTGTTGTTGCACTAGACACCTGTTGAAAGACCGCTTTCTATTTTAAAATTCGAAAAACAACATATTGTAAGTCTTCCAAATCTTATAGATTTGGTGGAACTATGTAAATATCTAGTGAGAAAACAACTAAGCTCCATGCATGTTCACATTTTGTTAGCTATTCAGGTCAGATTAATAATCGCTTTCAGTTCATTTAAATGAAATTCTTTAATCAGGTGGGTATTTTTAACAAACCGAGACAATATGAAAAGTTTCACATGGCCTAAATCCACCCAAAAGTGTGAAATAAATCGAAAATTTCATTTTATTTATGATGTACATAAAACTGCGTTGATAAGATAATAGAATGCAGATAATGGGAATTATCTTGGACGAACTGTAACGTCAGCGACTATTAGTCTCAATACATGAACATCCAGATGCCTAGTTCAAACTTCAAAATGGTAGGATGCCCTATTTTTAGACCTTTCTCTACCTGAAAGGGGTTTCTGCTCCTTTAACATAATAAATGGAACGCTCGAGACAGATTTAATGTCACACAGTCCCGGTTTATCTAATTATTTATCGTCTTTATAACGAAAGATAACTTAGATAACATAAAATCTTCAGTTTGGTAATTTTACAGTTTTATTTATCGAATTTTATTTCACCGAAATTGGGAGGAAACAAGAGAGAAGCATTTTATTTTTCAGTTTAGTTGATAAGGAAATCTACTTGAAAACACAGATAACAGTATTACAGAGTCCTGGAAGAGTTCTCTGAACTGTTTGATTCATGGTTGAATAATTACCGAAAGTGATTCATTACATATAGTTGTTGCCAAAAATTATGAATAAAGACGTTCAGATTTGATCTGATTTCATTTTGGCCAGAAAAAAATAAAAAATCTAGGCAAAACATATTTGATAAATTCAATTTTTGGCAACTCACGAGAATTTATGAGTTTCAATTTCTTTTAAGCAATTTATAATAGGATAAAGCTTTAGACGTATGCTGTATGCACCCTCTCGACTTCATTTCCATCACAATAAAAGAGCACATCTGCAGAAATTAATAAAAGAAAAAGTATTTTATTTTTAATCTTAATTTATGCATTACTGTGTAAGCATTTTGTAGCAAAAAACGAACTGACTAAGTAGACAATTTCAGTCAGTTGTCCTTTTTGTTTAATTAAAGTTTTGTGTAAGTCTGATTATAAAATTGTTTTGTATGCTAATTTCTTAGTTATACTCAAAAGGTATTTATTTTATTGTAACTAATTTAACCAATTTATAAGAGTTTTAAATATTTTATTATATATAAAAATTGAAAAAAGGCTTTGCAATAATACCTAGTTGAAAATAAATAACTTTGAGAGAAATTATTTTTCATTTTATAAACAATTAAATAGTTATTTAAAGAGTTATTATTTTATTACCTAAATAATGAAGTTTTATTATCTTATGTGATGTCATTTAAAGAGTGAATTATCATATTTTGAAAATTTCAATTGTTTCAGCAAATTATACAGTGTGTGTCAGAATTCACGCCCCAGAGAAAAATTTCAAATAATATAAGATACCATTAACATGGGAAAAATGCTTAAAAAAATTTATCTGTCAAAAAATTTTGATATTTATTTTTTGACATTTGACATTTTTTGTTTATTTAATGATACTGATGATCTTATATACGTTTTTTTATAATTATTTAGTAAAGGTACAAAGATTTTGCCAATAAAAGTCAAAAATAACATGAAACAGAGTTACAATTTAGGGTACAGCTTTTTTCTTCTTCTAATAGACTGTAGCAAAAAAAATTGGAAAACAATTTTTCCAACAGAAATAAATAGTATCAAAGTACAAAATTTAAACTCTCATAACTTCGAAATTTTTATAGATAGAATTTTTTAAACATCTTTTTCTAAATCGGTGGAACATTTTTTTTGAAAAATGCACTAGTGTATAACATTTCAAAATGTGTGGTTTTTTTAATTTTGAGTTTCTGTTACAATAAAGTTAAATTTTTTTCTTTCTGCAATTTATTTTTCACACTTGTTCTCTTTTTTTAAGAAAAATATTGTAATGTTCCTTAAATTTAAAACGTTAACATACTCGTAACATGTTTCTGCTAACATTAGTAAAAAATAGAAATGGCATTGAAAATAGTATACGTAATAGTTTATTAGTTTGTACTAAAGGACACATGATTTAAAACAAAAATGAAATTTTGTGTGAAATGATTGTTATAACTCTGAAAAGCAGAAAATGCTACTAAATGGATGAATTTAGTTTTTTGTGGGTCGGAGTTTGTTTCAGTTTTTATTTTTATTTTAACAAAAGTTTCACTCTGCTTTTTCCACTACAATTTGCAAACTGTTTGACCAGAATTGCCTGACTATAAAATGCTTCTCCGAACTGGTATATAACGACCCTCTCCATTGAAGCCATGCTCACAAATCATTAAAAGTAAATTAGTGTCTTAAAAATAAGTATTCATTAATTCACAACCATCGGTGTATGAGTAAGTGTATATTCGTTTACATCATAAAAAATTCGTTTTGAAAATCTCTTTGTTCTCAATATCCCCCTAACCACGTCAACTAGTCTCTCAACTGACCATCCTCACTCCTCTGTCAAAAAATACTTGGACTAGTCTCTGCATTCACCACCTCCTGGTGATGTATGTTATTGGCGTTGGCGTCACTAGACCTCACCTGCATCATGAGATTATGATTGAGCAATTTGGCGCTGTGCTCCTGAGCTTTAGCCCGCAAACAGGCGATCGAATTGTTTCTGAAGGCTTCCGGATCGTCTTGATAGGGTGGTTGTGTCGTTGCTAATCCGACGTGTTGTTGATCGTCGTCGCCGCCGGAAACGCTTACATTGGTGTGACCGGGAGGTGGCTGCTGTTGTTGAGTTTGTTGGCTTGAGGTGGCGCTGGTATCACTTGCTTCCGTTCGCATGGAAGTCGTTTCTTCATGGTCGCTGTTGGTGCAGTCTTGGTCTTTCAGGTGCTGGGCGGCTTCCAAGGATTTTCGATGCATTCCTGAAAGGTTTACGGGGTTAAACGGCGCTGAAACGGATTTTTAGCAATGCATTTGGGAGAATTTACCAAAAAAATATTTTATATTAAATTTTTTGTAGAAATGGAAACTGAATTATAATACAGTAAAACTAATTTTGTAAATAAGAAACTATTATTAATCAAGAATTAATGGACTATTTATTATTATTTTTATTTGTTAGATATTGGGAGTTAATTTGATTAAGGATGAAACATTTTACTCTTTTGTAACGAAATTTCACCACTTTTTAATTCTTTCATGCACTTTTTAATACATAAAAGCGTATTTTAACTGTAATTTAAACTTAATTTGGTGAAAATAAATGTTTAATTTGTAATAAATACCTGAATCTAGAATGTCTCTCTTTCTTCTCAACTCTGGAAAAGAAAGAGATCATTGTATAGTATGTGTTATAATAATAGTAGGTATACATAATATTCGAAAAAAATGTTTATCACTAGTTAATTTTAAAAGATTGAAGGTCAATATCTAGTTTAACCTTTTCTACCAGAAGGTGTTAAACCAAATATTCAAATATTAATAAGTTTTAAAAAACGTTTAAAGAATAAATATATACAATAGTTTTTATGTTTCAAGAAAAATAATTTTAATAGTTGAGCTCAGTGAAACTTTTGTGCATTTTTTTCTCATTTTTTTAATTCAGATTTTATAATTAATTATATAATAATTAAATAATAACAATGTTGATTACAGTGAGGATTGCCAATTTTAAATTATTAATTTATTAAGTTTTTATTTTTGAGCCTAAAAGTATAAAAGTAGCTTAAAAAATTCGGTCAAAGTTCCAAAAAATTAGACAAAATGAATGATTAAAATTCAGTGTAATAAACAGGAATTAATAGCAATAAAATAAAAAATACTTACAAGTATAATATTAAATACTTGTCTCAATATTTGAAATTTAATTTAATTTTTCTATTTCGGTGTCACAATGAGTATTTTGTGCACCTGAAAACAGTTGCACAAAATGCAATTTTGTGACAGTTTTTAGCGACATTTTATGCAATACTTTGGCCATCATCGGTCATAGACTGTCGTTTTCAAGTAAGAAGTTGTTGCAGTTTAACGAATTTCACAGAAACTAACGCTATTTAAGCTATTTTTGAACACTTTGGCTACCGCATACGTCAAGTGGTAAAAATTTTATCTGTCAAATATGATAATAAATTCAATTTAAAAAGCGCTTAATAGAAAAAATAGTATAAAAAACGCGTGTCACAATCTCTTATTGTGATACTTGTGCAAACTACTCGTATCACAATGAGAGGGTTTGTAATACTTGTTTTTTAATATACTATTTCATGTGTCATACTGGCTTAGTTATACATTAACCAGTTAATGTAGTTTTTATTTATTGTAAGAATTCTACTACTAATAACGCCGTTCTTTACAAAAGCGTGAACACCTGCAACCTACAATGGTTTTGAAGTGGCAGAAGTTATATTTAAGGTGAAATCGATATGGTATAATTCATTATAATGAATGGAAATTATCTTTACTTAAAAAAAGTTTTAGTTATAAAGCATGATGTTTTCTTTGTTCTTTTTGTTAGAAATTTTTCAATTTTTTTTTCCGATTAGTTAAATTATGAGTTTTAATGAAATTATTGTAAAAACGTAAAATTAATCCACTAAGACACAAATATCCTTTTTGTCCTGTCCACCTATGAAGAAAAAAAATCCAGGACAATGAGAAATAATATATACATATCAAAAACATGATACTTGAAGTCAAAAATTAAAAAATATCAATTCCATCTAACAATAAATTATTATAAAATACTGAAATTAAAAAAAAATATTATGGATCTGTCATATTGACCTAATTTTTATTTTGTAATATAGTTATTTGTTTTTATACAATTTAGAAGAAGCGAATTTTAAATTAAACTTTATTATGATCATAGCTTTCAAAGTCTGCATATTTAGCTGAGTTTATTCAGTGGTTTCCACTTTGTCCATATGGGGAATCACCATCTTAAAAGTCATGATTTTGCGATTAAAAATAATCAAAAATTTAAATCTATCTAATCTAAATAATACTAAAGTAAACTCATTAAACAATGAATTTTCAATTTTTTCTTTCGTTTTTTTATGTTCAGAATACTGTAACTGTAAGAAAACTACGAAAAACGATACCGAAATGTGAAAAATCAGGATAAACCAAAACTGACTTTAAAAATCTAGTAATTTTACTCTTTTTTTATAATCGCAGGTAGAAAATTTTTTATGAATTAACTTAAATTTTGACATTAAAACTTTCAAATGTCGTTTTAGTTACGCATCTCGTCCCACATTTCCAATCCTCCTTCTTCCATTTCGAAACATCATTGTTTCGCAAATTAATCGTTTGTTTACCAACAGTATAACAGTTGAAAATAAATATCAACTGCGTGAAAAAGTCGACACGTGTAATTACAGTGAGGAAAGAATTAAATCAAATACAATAGGGATTGTGGGTGACTATTGAAACAGCAGAAATGCATCATTGGTACTTTACAGAATTTAATGTTAGACGTTTTATGAATGTTAGAAAGCGTACAAGCGAAGCTTTGTGACGCTGTTCCAAGGCTAGATAACTGGGACATTCACTCATCTAACATAGGACTAGGAGTACACTCCGTAGCAATTAAAATTAGCAATGCTGCAGTGCTTGCTAACGACATCATGCGGCCGAGTTTGGTAACTTTTGCCAATGGAATTTTATATAAGACTTGTTTCATTTATTGTAATGTACTGTTATGTTTATGTTTTGTTAAGATACGGTAATTAATGTCATGAAAGGATGAATTCTAAAGACTTTGCATTAGAATGCCTAGCTGAATTAATATTGTGATGGTAAAGGGTAAAGGAGGAACGCCTTAAATCTTGTTCTTGATATTTACTTACTCAGAAATTGCTTTATTGTAAACACACTTGTGCTACAATGCAATTACTGTTCTCGTGATGGCTTTTGGATTATTGGAAGACATTTTCTTTATCTTTAATTTTTGTTGGATTGTTGGATAGAACTAGAACTGAAATCGATAAGAATTGGTTTCAATAGTGAACCTTATCCTTATTTATTAAACAAACAATCCAATTTTAATTTAACAAAATAATACATAAAATGTGTTATAAATGTAAAATTTTTTCTAAAAAATTATAAAACTGTTATTTTGGGTATTTCCTACAATTTTAGTTTTAAATTTTAATTCGCTTTCTACAAATCGGCCCTTGTTACACAGCTTTGAAAGCTTTATTTCTAACCAACAACTAGATAATAACAAAATTACAACAAAACAGTCTTATTTTAGTATTTGTAGTATTTCGTGGAATCAACTTTAGTTCCTATTTTAGGGATGTTTTTAGTAAAAATTCGGAGAAATTTTTCTGTATTTTAAAGTTCTGTTAATGTTTAATAGTTTTATTTCGGTTTTAATTTGAATGAAAAACGGTTTTATTCAACTGTTCAAGCTATTGAAACTTCACACTATTATCAACTTGTACAGTTTTAATTTTAATTAAAAACAAAAAAGTTTCTAAGGATGTCTTCTTTGTTCATTTTTTGTTTCGTTGAGATTTAATAAACTGAAATATGTTTTGTCTAAATTGTGTTTTTATAGTGAAACATTGCATCAGTGAAACAGCAGAACCCGCTTTAATTGTTGTTGTTTATTCTGGGTATTTTGGGTATTAATATTTATTTCTTGATGTTTTTTGACTTTTTTACACAAATTGACTAACTTGATAACAGAAAAGTAACAAATGAAATGCACAGTATAAGAATATTATTAATGTACTTGTTATATTATAATATGATCTATAAATAAATGCCCAGTAAAAATAAGAAACTTAAAAAATTGAATGCTTGTTATATAGTAATATAATGTATAATATAGTAAATTTCCA